ATAATAATAATAATTTTCTCCCTCTCGTAATAGTCGAATTTGTGGACATCCCATGTAGCTGAATGTTGGAAGATTCAGGGCAGATAGAAGAAAGTGCTTCTGCACAGAGTTAAACTATGGAACTCCCTGCCACTGGAGGCAGTTATGACCACCAGCTTGGATGGCTTAAAAGAGGAATAGACAAATAGACACCCTGGGGGTGCCTTGAATGATGGTGAGGGGTGCCACAGGCCACAATGGCCTCCGTCCCTCTTTCCTTCCCTCCTTCTTCTGATGCCCTCTTGTGTCTCTATTGGGCCACTAATCCTGTGAGAGGCTGCCGGCTCTGCAGGCAACGGGTGACCTTGCCGGGCTTTTGAAGCTTGGAAGGTGTTTCCCCAGTGGGGAGTTGATCAAGGGAGCCGTGGACTGGAAAAGGTTGAAAACAGCTATCACCACCACCTGGACTGTTTTGTAAGCAGGCAGGTGAGAAGCTACCTGAAAGCAACACGAGTGGATCAGACTGCCTAGTGGATCAGATTGCTCCCCAGCGACCGTGGGATCATTGCACCCTTCGTGTCCACAGCTACAAGCCAATCGCTTTAGAGAACGGCTGCAAGAGAGCTGGCCTCTCCTGACAAGGTTTGGCAAGGATCCTTATCACGAGTTTCCAGAAATATGGAAGTACATGGCTCCTATGGAGGTTTGTGGAACAGACCCTACAAAGCGGGTCCTTCCATTTCCTTTTTTCAGCTGTCCAGTGTCTCCCTCGGCCCTCTTCCGCCAACCTTCCCCAGGCCCCCTCAAGTGATCTTTGCACTGTCAACATACTTTTGTTCTCTCTCCAGGGAAGGACTGCATTTTCAGCTTTCAAAACAGCCGATCAGGGTCAGGAACGAAGTTTTCCCCCCCCATTTTCTTCAAAATAAGTGAAATTAAGTGCACAAAACAAGTGACCGTTTATTTGGATCCTACCGCCTTCTTTGTTTGGCATGCAAAAGGGCCCAGCTTTCATTTTTAAGTGAGAGAAGTCAAATACGATTATTTATTGATCTTTGTAGACACCAACCATTCCAAACCTGGGCACCCCAGATGTTTTGGACTACAATTTCCAGCAGCACACACACCCCTGACACCTGTCTCACACCTCCACATTCAAAAGCTGCATCCCTCTGAATACCTGGAACACCTGGTTGGCCACCATGAGAAGATGGATCACCTGTGGCCTGATCCAACTGCAGGGCTCTTCCTATGTTCTTGTTTTCCAGAGGTCCCACTGGGATGACAGTAGCCATTGGCACTGAGAACTTGAGTTTGCTATCATTGTACGTGTCACACTGCACAGAGCTGCTTGCTAAACGACTGTGTGAAGGGACTTTCCCTGCCCCCAATTAAATCTCATTGCAGGCACTGAGGTGGGAGGAGGCGAGGTGCTCCACACAGCAGCTTGCAAAACTATGGTGTAAATTAAACCCACCCCTCAACATTGCTGCAGGCCCATTTAATGGAGGGAGCTTCCCTGGACCAGCCTGCTATCCCGCATGCTGCAGTTGGTGTGGCCACCTAGTGGCAGCCATGCAAATTGCAGAGCGTGATGACACCTTACATTCTTATGTATATAGCAGGCACATCCAATAGGTAGATCGTGATGTACCAGTAGATGGGTAGATCACTGGTTACCCCAGCTCAACACTTTTGCCATGAACCCCCCCCCCAAAAAATGGGGTTTAAAAAGGTAAAGGGACCCCTGACCATTAGGTCCAGTTGTAGCCAACTCTGGGGTTGCAGCGCTCATCTCGCTTTACTGGCCGAGGGAGCCGGCGTCCAGCTTCCGGGTCATGTGGCCAGCATGACTAAGCCGCTTCTGGTGAACCAGAGCAGCGCACGGAAACGCCGTTTACCTTCCCGCCGGAGCAGTACCTATTTATCTACTTGCACTGGTGTGCTTTCGAACTGTTAGGTTGGCAGGAGCAGGGACCGAGCAACGGGAGCTCACCCCATCACAGGGATTTGAACTGCCGGCCTTCCGATCGGCAAGCCCTAGGCTCTGTGATTTAGACCACAGTGCCACCCGCGTCCTCCCTAAAAAATGCTCAACCACTTTGACCTGAACCTCCAAAAAGGGAGTAGATAACTGCCAGTCTTTAACTCTGTGAGTAGATCGCAGTCCCTTGGGAGTTGGCCACCCCTGGTATTTAGGAAGAAAACAGAAGTGATTCTGAAGTTAACACAACTATTTCTCCTCTTCCCCAGCCGAAGCAAATCACACAGCCACACAAGCACATGGGTTTTTCATTGGTTTTTAATTATTCGTTGCCGAAGGCGATAATATTTCTATGCAAAATACTCTTATATCTCCCCACCCACCCGCCCACCCCAAACAAACTTCACGTGCCCCCCAGCAAGAAACAACCTCCAATTACATCCTGTTTTGTTTTTTTTAAATAATGCCCCAGGGGAGGGGGAAGAACCTTTTGCGTCTGACCAACCCCTTCCATGCCAACACACTGGTGTGTTTTTTTTGGGGGGGGAGGGGGTTGGCACCAGGAACCCCATTCCCTTGGGAGGAAAGCCCTTAACAAATCAGTGTGACGGGAGGCACCCATTGTGTTCAGCGAGCGTTACTGGGAGGGGAGGGGGGGCAAGGAGAAGAGACGCAAAGTGTCCGATCCCTTCTGGGCCCTCTTAGAAAACCCAGGGAGTTCAGGAGTCTGGGCTGCCCTGCTTGAAACGGCACACTTTTTAGAAGGGCCTGAAGAGGGGGCGCAGAGGGCCAGATCAAACTGTTTAAATCAGGATCAGAGGCCACATCTGCCAGCCGCCATCTTGCCATGGATGGGCATTTTCCCCAGGGTAAACTCCCCCCTCCAGCTTTACCCCACTGGCCTGTGGGTGAATTGGCATATTTAGTCGTGTGAGCTGGGGCGACTTTGGGGGAGGGGGGGCAAACACAGCCCTGGGATGCCCCACCCCCCTCCAAGCACACTGGTATCCTTGTGCTCTGTCCCTCCATTCCAGCTGCATCTTTCCCTTTGTTTTCTGTAGATTATCCTTGTTTTTTGCCTCAATTCAGCGGTTGTTAAAAAAAAAAGACATTTGCGCTCCTTGGGCGGGGTGGGGGTGGGGTGGTAGCCAGCCTTCGGAGCTTTTGGACCAGGTCCAACATATGCTTTTCAGGCATAATTAAAATGTCAGATTCAACCCCTGTCATTTTAAAAATTATTCCTATGAACGGTCAGGGTGAGGCTTGCTTTTGGAGGGTGGGGCAGGGGAGAACCCAGTCCGAGCGGAAGCTTAGTTCAGGCATTTGGAGAAGAATCTGTGTTGCTTAACTTCCCGGCAGCTACAGAAATAAACTTCTCCACTGACACACCAGCAGCTCTTCCTTCCTAGAGTACAAGTGTGACCAGGCACCTTCCTCCTACCCCCGACAGGCTAACTTTTGGAGAGTTTTGTGTCTTGCCGGGGGCCAGCAGTGGCTGGAGCAGTGGGGTTGGGGGCTAAATATCTCCAACTCCCCCAACCCCCAAGTCCAATCTCTGTTTTTTTCTTTATATACAAAAAATAATAATTAATCCATTAGATTTGGAAATTAAAATCTTCAAAGTGAACTTAAAACAGCCCTCCGAAATATATCTCCCACCCACTAAAACTGTTCTCCTCTGTGTATTTTTTTTTCATACATCACGCACAGCCGCACCAAAATACTTGATATGACCCCAAAAAATAGTCACAGGACATCAAAAAAACTCTATTTCCCTTTTTCCCCCAACCTTTCTCTTCTTTTTTTCTCTCTCCTCTCCCTCCCCCAGAAAGAAAAATATAGATTGCTGGATTAGCAAAAATGGTTCCATGATTATTGTTATTATTATTTTTTGTTATCCTTTTTCTGCTAAATTTTGAAGCCACAAAAGTAAACTTCATGCACTGAAGAGGAAAAAAACAAAACAAAATGAAAGAGAAAATCAAAAACAGAGAAAAAGTCAACTGAAAATAATATATATCTATCTATATAGAGATATATAGATATAGATATATTATATCCCAAAGTCATCGTCATCATCAGGCCATTCTTGCAAGCGAGGATTATCTTGGATTCATCAGTCCTGGGTCTGTGCTTGTTTCAATCGTAGAATATTATTCAGCCAAAACAAAAGAGGGAAGGAACGGAAAAAAGGTATCTTGTTTCCTTCCAAGGGGAAAATAGTCAGGTTTTTTATTTTTTAAAACAGCAGAAAACTTAGCTTGGTAAATTTGTTTTGATTCTTTTATCGAGTGTGCAGTGTTGCTCCTCCTTCCAAAATTAAAAAAACCCTCCGGAATCCCCATCCCTCTTCTCTGCCCTAATGATCAAACCACAACCAGGGAACTTTAAAACTCCTCAGCAACAATGCCTTCTTTTCTTCTGAATCACTGGGAAAAAAGGGGTGGGAGTCCTGGAAAGTAAACTCATCAAAAGTGGCTTCCATTTGCAGAAAGTTTTTCTTAAAAAATATCTCTCTCTTCTCTCCCACAATAAGTTTGTTTCAGTCTTTCTCTCTCCGAGTTCAGAGTCTGCGTGTGCCTCCCCTCCACCTTGCTGCTTGTAAAACGAAACAGACCAGAATCTAAGAACCCCCCCATTCTTCCCCTGTGCCACCACCTGCCCCCCCAAATGACAGCATGCATGCGCTAGCGCTGTTGGGGATGGAAGAAAGCCCCACATTTGCTGCAGAAATTAAAACGGGAGCGGTTTTGAATCAGGATTAGGGGTGGGGGAGCCGGATCACGCAAGAAGAAGAAAAGAAAAAAGAAAGGAAAAAGGAAAACAAAAATTGAGAATATTAAAGAGTCAACGGAAGAAACAAAAGAAGCCTGTCCCAAGACATCCCCACCCATCCCCAAAATATTAACCAAACAGCTAAGTTCAGTGGCAAGAGACAAGAGTCGGTCCCCCTCTCCAGAGAGGACAGCTCTGTCGCAGATTCGGTGGTGGTTGGTTTTGCCATCCCTTCCGGGAAATATCAGTTCACATTAAGCTCCTAAAGTCTCTCACGAGCCGGGATCCAAATGTACGGGCCGGAGAGCTCCTCAATGATTCTTTTGATCTTGTGGTAGATCTCTTCGAAGCTGTCTCCTTCTACAATGGCTGGGGGTAAAGAGGGAGAAGAGTGTCAAAGAGAGAGAGAGTCTGGGGTTGCTTTTAGAACCCGAGAGATCAGCTAGTAAGAACACTGAGAAGAGGCTGGCTGCTGAACCAGGCCAGGGGCTCATTCCGGGATCTTGAGGATATTTCCGGGATCTAAGAGCCCTGCTGGATCAGGCCAATGGCACATCGAGTCCAGCATTCTGTTCTTACAGTGGCCAATCAGATGCCTCAATAATAATAATAATAATATTATAATAATTTATTATTTATACCCCGCCCATCTGGCTGAGTTTCCCCAGCCACTCTGGGCAGCTCCCAATCAAATGTTAAAAACAGTACAGAATTAAATATTAAAAACTTCCCTAAACAGGGCTGCCTTCAGATGTCTTTTAAAGATAGGATAGCTGCTTATTTCCTTCACATCTGAAGGGAGGGCGTTCCACAGGGTACGCCCCACTACCAAGAAGGCCCTCTGCCTGGTTCCCTGTAACCTCACTTCTCGCAGTGAGGGAACCGCCAGAAGGCCCTCAGAGCTGGACCTCAGTGTCCGGGCAGAACGATGGGGGTGGATACGCTCCTTCAGATGTACTGAACCGAGGCCGTTTAGGGCTTTAAAGGTCAGCAGCAACACTATGAATTGTGCTTGGAAACGTACTGGGAGCCAGTGGGAAGAATGGAGGCAGAACCTGAGCAAAACACCACTCTCTCATCTCCTGTGGCTCTCAGCAGCTGATATTCAGCTCCTGGCAAGAGAGGATTCCCAGAATGCCTGTTGTAGCAGATACATCCAGGGCTGGGCAGAGCTGGTCAGAGGCCCACCATATGGGAAATGTAGGCCAAAGGGTCCCCCTTTGCCTCTACCAGGGGACTCAGATTAGGCCTCATGCCCATTGGCCCCACCATCTCTGCTCTGGCCTGGATACATCAAGAGTCTTGTGGCACCTTAAAGACTAACAAAACTGTTGTGGCATAAGCTTTCGTGGGCTACAGCCCACTTGGTCAGATGTAGGCTCCTGCCCATCCACTGAGGCCTACACAGTGGCCTTGGTTAAGGGACAAACCTGGATTATGCAAGTCAAGCCCACCTGCATGAATTGTATGCCCACAAATCCTGCGGCGGGAAGGAATTGGATAGCTGCTGAAGCTCCTTCCAATAGGAGGAAATCATAGGTATACTGGAGGACGAGGCCGCTAAAAGGTAAAGGACCCCCTCACAGTTAAGTCCAGTCGAGAACGACTCTGGGGTTGCGGCGCTCATCTCGCTTTACTGGCCGAGGGAGCGGGTGTTTGTCCACAGACAGTTTTTCCGGGTCATGTGGCCAGCAGGACTAAGCCGCTTCTGGCGAACCAGAGCAGTGCACGGAAACGCAGTTCACCTTCCCGCCAGAGCGGTACCTATTTATCTACTTGCACTTTGAGGTGCTTTCGAACTGCTAGGTTGGCAGGATCAGGGATCAAGCAACGGGAGCTCACCCCGTGGCAGGGATTCGAACTGCCAACCTTCTGATCGGCAAGCCCTAGGCTCAGTGGTTTAGACCACAGCGGCCACTACCGGTTACTAATCACAATGACTATGCACGCTGGCAATCAAAGGTAAGGAGGGTGCTGTTGTGCTCAGGTCCTGCTTGTGGTTTTCCCATGGTTGGCCACTTCTGAGAACTGAGTGCTGGACTAAATGGTTCCCCTTTGAGCTGTTCCAGCTGCAGGGTTCTTCCCATGTTCTGATGTGCCCAGTGACTGGCAGCAGTGGCACTCCGGACTTCCAGGCAGTGGACATTCCCAACTCTTACCTGGAGATACTGTCAGGGATTAAATCTAGGACTTTCTGCACACAAGGCAGATGCTTTCACCAATGAGCCACTTCCCTTCTCTGAAAACTCCAAAAGCAGCCTGAGGCTGCCCCTCCCCCGCCGACTTAAGCCTTCTGTGAATTGTGCCCAGGGCTGATGTACGGAAAGCAAGAGGGGGCAGGAGGTGACCTACCCGAAAAGCACTCTGTAAATTCCTGCTCCAGTTTTGTAGCTCTGTCGAAGGCTTTCCGTGCCTGCTCCTCCGTTATCCGCTTGTTAATTTCTCTGGAGAAGAAGGAAGGGGGGGGGAAAGGAGGACACAAAGTGATTATGAAGATTGTGCAGCCCCAAAGCTGTCTCTTCCACATGCCTGTATTCTGCTGGGTTTCCCCCCTGTGCTTTGGGTGTGCACTGTGTGTGTGTGTGTGTGTGTGTGTGTGTGTGTGTGTACACACATGCTTCTTCTATTTGGGGAACCAGCTTGGGACAGCCTGGTTCCCACCCTGTGGCCAACCAGATGCTTCTGTAAATCTCACTAAATAGGACATGAAGGGAAAAACCCTCTCTAGTGGCTGCTCCCCAGCAACTGGTGTTCACAGGATATATCTGGAGGTTCTCTTTAGACATCACAACGGCTATCCCTTGCCTGCTTCCATTAATGCATCCATTCCGGCCTTTCCCAAGGTGGTGCCCTCCAGCAGTTTGGGACTACAATTCCCATCAGCCCCAGCCAGCTGCTGCCAAGACTGACCGGCAGCAGCGGCTCTCCAGGGTTTCAAGCAGGGAGTCTCTCCTGGCCCTACTTGGAAATGCTGTTGGGGATTCGACTTTCCGCATCCAAAGCAAATGCTCTATCACGGAGCCTTTCCTTTTGAATGAGCATTCATTCTGATTTGTTTGCAGGGAGGTTGTTTCAAAGCACCCACCGCATCCCCTATAGAAAAGCGCCTATATATATTTTTGGAGGGAGGGAGGGAGGGGTAGAGGAGAGCAGGTTTGTTGCACAAGACCTTGCCAATAATTGTGCAACCTGAATTTGCTGGTCTGTGATTGAATCCCACCCGAAAATAGTGACAGCATGGGAGTACCCTTTGTTGCCTTCTCTTTTTAAAACAAAGACTTAAAAGCCCCTGAACAATTTTGTCTTTCTTCAACGGCGCGGAGGAGATTGTCTTGCTAGGTGCTGCTTAGAAATGCTAAGGATTAATCTTGTTTATTTATAGCATTTATATCCCACTTTTCCTCTAAGGAGCTCAATGTGGTGTACATGGTTTTCCCTCTCCTACTCATTTAATCTCCACAACAACCCTGTGAGGCAAGGAAACACCAGGAGGCAGTGGCTGACCCAGGGTCACCCAGCGAGCTTCATGGTTAATCAGCATATACTGTATTTTCTGGCGTATAAGACTACTTTTTAACCCAGGAAAATCTTCTCAAAAGTCGGGGGTCGTCTTATACGCTGACTACAGCAGCAACTCCTGCAGCAACTCCCTACCAAAGGATAAAACGACAGCAAATTAAATTACCAAGCTCTCTAGATGAAGCAGAAATACGCTTGAAAATTGGCCCCAGGAGCCCCTGGCCATTGGGAAGTGGAGCGGATTTCCGAGCCGGACTGGAGACTGGTTTTTTAATTTTTATTTGGTGTGCATTGGAAGAGGGGTAGTCTTATACGGCGAGTATATCCCAAACTCTATATTTTAACTGGAAAAGTTGGGGGGTCATCTTATACGTCCAGTCGTCTTATACGCCGGAAAATACAATAAATGCCTTAAGTAAATAAATGGTGAATGATAAATGAAAGCTTTGGCTGATCTCAGGCCACATCCCATCCCCTTGCACACTCCAACCTTTGTGCAATATCTTACACCCTTCTGGCCCTTGCAGACCAAAAAACCAAGGCAAAGATGGCAACAGAGGGCTCATCCACCACTTCTGCTTGTCACACCACTTTTCCCTGGGAAAACCTGCTTTTTACCATTGAGTTGGAACAAAACTCTATCGGGTTTTCCACAGATTAATGTTGTCTCTGATTCAGTGGTCAAGAGTGGGGTTTCCTTGGTGAAAGCAGCGGGGCAAATGGAAAACTGCTCGGAGCACCCGTACCCAGGAAGCACAGGGGCAAGCAGAAAACCTCTCAGCCCCCTCGTGCATCCTAGGTGTGGGACAAGTGACGTGTGGACACCCTCCTGCCCCCGCCCCCCATTCCACAGCCCCTGTCCACCCCGGGGGGCCACTCACAGAACATTCTCGAGGGAGCGTGGCCGGATAAAAACGGCGATGGGGTGAAGTTGAGCTGCCTGCAGCCTCCGCACGGCATTGGCCGAAACGTCCAAAATGCAGTGCTTGCCCTGGGCGGGGAGAGAGAAATGTGGTCAAGAGGTTTCAACACCAATTTGTATTCCACTTCCACTGGTCACGCAAAGCCACAGCTAACCCATGGCCTCCCCAATCGCTTCCGCCTGCCAAAAATTTCCACTCCACTGGCAGGACAATCGCCTATTCTGTCCCCTGCCCTGCCCATACACAATTGAGGGGATATACACAGCATATTGTGGATGTCAGCCTTCAGGGATCCTCTGCTACCCTCCCCCCCATAACAACCAGCCCCCAGAGACCCAGTCAAACAGGGGAAGGGGATAATTTGAGTCTGGTGCGTTAGCACTGAGCAAGACCCTGGCTGCGTGCTGCTGGAGAGCATCTAAATATCAATGGACTCTTGAGTTTTTGTAACCTCTCCCTGCTTGCTTTGTCCAAACCTTTCTGTGAGGGGGAGGAAGACCCAGGAAGTTGCCTACTCAGTCAATGGTCTATCTAGTTCAATATTGTCTATGCTGAGTTGCTTTCCTCAGTATCAGGTAGGAGTCTCTCACAGTCCCTGCTGGGGACTGAACTTTGGACATTCTGCATGCAATGCAGGTGCTCTACCACGGAATGATTTCTCAGAAACTCTGGCATTTGTTTGATTCTTCGACTCTGCATTTCAGCCTACCTGCTCAGCCACCTCGCGCACTGACTGGACGCTCGTCCCGTACAGGTGGCTGTTGTACTGCCCGGCCTCAATGAACTTGTGGCTCTGAATGTCCTTCTCCATCTTCTCCCGTGAGGCAACAAAATGGTAGTCCCGCCCATCCACTTCGTACTCCCGTTTCGGCCGAGTGGTGTCTGCAGAAGCGGGAGTGGGGAGTCTCCGTCAAGCACAGGGGAGCAAGAGTAGCCCAAGCCAAGGCTTCCTCCTGAAGCAGAAATCCTTCCCCCCCCCCCCCCATAATTTTATCTTGGGGCAGGGATAGGGACCCCGTCAGACTCACGTGGGACACAGGAGCCAAATTTGTCAGGGAACTCCGAGAGGAGGTCATCGTTGACTCGGTCCTTAGTGGGGCCCAGGATAATGATGGGTCGAGCGTAGTGAACTAGGGGTGGAAAAACCCAAAGAAATGGGAAATGGTCTGTGCTAGTGGAGAACACAACTCAAAAAAGGGAAATTGAAACAATCAGTTGGTTACAACCAACCACAAAGCAATGGGTGAGCTTCTGAGCCTTCCTCATTGTACAAACAACAACAACATCAATAATAATAACGTAATTCAGGGCTGAGGAAGGGAAGGGTTAGGGTTCTCACCTTCCATTTGTACAACAGTTTCATAGCTCAAGACAGCATCTTCTCGACCTGGAAGGGAAAGAAGGAGGCTGTTAAGTACAACCTGTTCAACCCAAGCCCCAGAACAACTGCTCCTTAACAGGGAAAACAGCAAACTACAAAGGGCCTTCCCCAAACTGTGCCCTCCAAATGTTTGGGGTTCAATTTTCAGCAGACCCCAGCCAGCACAGCCAAATGATGTTGGGGGCTGATAGGAATTGTAGGCCAAACCCATCTGGAGGGTGTCAGGTTTGGGAAGGCTGCTCTAGAGCAACAGGGAACTAGGGGAAAGTTTAGAGGCAGTGTGGCGTAGAGTGTCAGTTTAAGACCTAGGAGAACCATGGTTGAAATCCCCTCGGCCATGAAGCTGACTGGGTGACCTTGGGCCACTCACTGTCTCTCAGTCAAATCTACCTCACAGGGTTGTTGTGAGGATCATATGGGAAAGGGGGAAGAACTGCACATGTCACTTCAAGTTCCTTGGAGGAAAGGTAGGATATATAAAAGCAGAAATAAATAAAATGGTGTGGAGAGAGAAGGGAGAAAGGAAAGGGGGGGAAAGCTCCCACTCTTGTGGATTTCAAAGCATGGAAATATTTCTCAAAGGACAGGTTGGGGGGGGGGGAGAGTGAAGAGGAAGGCCTGAAGCATCCTTCCTCAACCTGGTGCCCTGCAGCTGTTTTGGACTACAATTCCCATCAGTCCCCAGTCAGTATGGGCAGATGATGGTGCTAGGGACCAATGGAAGTAGTAGGGCAAAACATCCAAGGGACCCAAGTTGGGGATGGGCAGCCAAGAGACAGACACCCACCTTGAGAGCCTGATCCCGGCACCCGATCCTGGAAGGAGAAGAAAGAAAGAAAGAAAGAAAGAAAGAAAGAAAGAAAGAAAGAAAGAAAGAAAGAAAGAAAGAAGAGACAGTGGGAAGAACCAATTAGTCTTGGAATTTCTGTCAGTATGGGGGGCACCAGCAGAAGCACCCCCACCCCTGTGTTTAAATGCAAGAGTTACCAAACAGGGAGATGGTGTGGGACTCTTATCTCAGGCTCCAGAGGGATGCCAGGAAATTTTAGGGTCAGAACAAACACTACAAAAGTAGCTCACATTGACTCTGGGGACCATCCCCAGGATGAACAGGAGTGGGAAAGCAAGGCCCTTGTAACTTAGACGAAATAAACAAATGGCATTTGTAAGCTGCCCTGGGAGCTTTGGGGGGGGGGCTGAGAAGCAGGGGGATATTGAAATAACTATTTCATTTCCATAATTCATGCAAGTGCTGAATCTCTATTTTTGTTATGTAACACACAAACACAGGAACCCCACAATGGAGCTCAAGGTTATCTGAAGAGACTGGCAGCAGATTCAGGACAAAGAAAAAGAAACACGTCCCTCACACTATGCCTTAACTTGCTTATGGGATCCGCTCCTAAAAGAGGCATCCACGGCCCCCAAATTGGATAGCTTGAAAACTGGATTAAACCAATTGATGGAGGAAACGTACTTCCTGCAGGATCACAGAGTTGGGAGGGTCCTCGAGGGTCATCTAGCCCAACCTCTCTACTCGAGCCTCTCTTTGAAAACTTCTTCACAAAGGAGAGTCTGCCACCTTGTGAGGCAGTCTGTTTCACTGTCAAACCAGTCATATAGCCAGGAAGTTCTGCCCAATGTTTAGCCAAAATCCCTTTCCTAAGAGGCTGATTCAGGTCCTACAATCTGGAGCCATAGAAAAAGATGCGTGGAAAAAAGATTTCTACTGAATCTGACCGCTGGTCCATCTAGCTCAGCATTGTCCACACTGACTGGCAGAGGCCCTCCAGCATTTCAGGCCAAGGGCATTCTCAGGCCCTACCTGGAGATGCTATCGGGGCCTGAACCTGGCACCTTTTGCAGGCAAAGCAGATTCTCCACTCCTGAGCTATGATCCTTCCAAGATGTGCCCCTCAAACGTGTGGTCATCATGACGCCTCTTAATCCACTCTTCTCCAGGCAAAACACACACCACTCTTCTGAATGGCAGTCATTTGGGTACAACAGTGGGAGGGGAAGGGAATTTGGTTAGCCCAGTCTTCTCTAACCTGGAACCTTCCAGCTGCTTTGGATTACAACTTCCATCCTGAACAGCCAGTGCAGCCGTAGGATGGTGGGGCTAAAATGGGAGCTGTACTCCAAAATATGTGTAAGGCATGGGCGTAGCGGGTGGGGGGCAGGGGTTAGCTGCCCCTCCTAAATCAATACAAATCAATACAAATCTGAGGTTCTACTCCCCCTCTAACAAAAATCCTGGCTATGCCCATGGCGGAGGGTGAGAAATTGTGGAAGGCTGGCCTAGAGGCTAGGGATGGAGACAAGCGAGTTGATCGGCAGGTCCAGTTCCCTGCATGTGGGGATCTGCCTTGTGTTCAAATGGCGCCCGCTGCGTGTGTGAGAAGGCGAAGCATACTTGCACACTGGGGTGCAAGTGGGAACCTTTTTCATCAGGATGAAGTTCTCCGTCTTTCACACACGCACACAAGAGTGCCTTTTTTCATCTTCCACAAACAAGAGAGGGATGGAGCGTGAGTTACCTTTGCTTTTAGCCGTGTCCATTCCCGTCGCTCGACCCTGCGAGAGAGAGAGACAAACAGAGGGCGGAGGCTTAGGGCAGTGACACAAACAGCTTCCCTCTGATCCCACCCCCAGTTGCCAAGACCCCTTCACACATACCGCCTTTTGCTGGGGATGAAGCCAATCTCATCGCTGTCACCATCTGGATGGACGCGCCGTGCCTGCCACCACTCTTCGTCGGAAGCGTCGATCACGTGCAGGACGTCGCCAAAATGGAAGCTCAGCGCTTGGCTCAGGAAACCGCAGTCCTTGGTCTTATCATAGTCAAAGAGCGCCCTGGGAGTGGGGAGGGAGAGGAGGTTGGCCGAGGGTGAACACAGGAGCAGTGGGAGCTGGTGCCCATTGGAAATGGTGGGGCAGAAGGCAGGGAGACCCAACAGCAGGTGCAGCCAGAGCCTTCTGGGCTGGGGTCACATTTATACCATGCATTTAATGCAGTCTAAAGCTACTTTAAACAGTCATGGCAGTCCTCGACAAATTATGAGCGCTTTGGTTCTTTGAGGCTGGTGAGAATTGTTAGGAGATTCCCCACCTACCCCCCTCTTCAGATTCAAAGTGGTTTGACAGTCAGTCTCTCTTCATGGGGAACTCTGGGAATTGCTGCTATTGGAGGAGAATGGGGGTCTCCTTACATCCCTTACCACCTTTAACAAACCGCACTTCCCAGGATGCTTTGGGGCAAACCATGAGGGTTTAAAGAGGTATTATATTGTTTTAAGTGTCGACAATCAGGACATAGCTGATTCCTGCATAAGGTTGTCTGGGGTGGTTGTTGTCTCTCTAATTCTGCATTATGCCACGTTCTCAATGGCAGCCATTTTGTGTTATGTCATACCCCCTGGAAGCACTTTGTGATTGGCACCCCCAGCACTCTCCCAAAATTCGAAATGTGCCCACTAGTCCAAAAGGGTGGGCAACAGCTGATCCAGAGGGAACACGGTATGTAAATTCTGAAAGGGAACATTTTCTGCATTGACAGAATTGCTTGGATGGCCTGGGGATATTTGCAGTACTTACTTTAGGGAGGGCTAATCTGTGGTCACTCAGAAGTTGTTGGAAGACTCCAACTCCCATCAGCACAGACCAGGTTCAGGAAAGATGGGAGTTGTAGTCCAGCAACATCAGCAGGGCTATACTATTTTCCAACCCTGGACATAAAGAGACACTAAGTCTGGTTATAGGTGTCAGACTCAGAAACAACATAAAACGGATGGTTTTAGTTAAAATGCCTCTCTGTTTCAAAGGAAAGAGGTTATCATAATTCATAATTGCTTATATGGAACTCTAGCTGAACAGAGCCCTTTATCATTCTTATCCAGCCGTAAGACAACCCTGACATGCTCCCATTTTGCAGGTGGGAGAAAGTGAGCCCAAGGAAGAAAATGTCTTTTGAACCCAGCCCCCATAGATCAAACTCAAAGGGACCTGCAGTATTATGGATTCTGGTGGAGCTCAGATGCTAAAATCTAGTAGTAATTCAGGAACAGGGGGCGGGGGATGGCCAAGGTATTGAGGAGAAGGCAGCTGTGATCTCACCGGATGTAGAAACCCCTCTTGGGGTTGCTCCGCAGCGATGCTGTCCCTGAGCCCAAGCTGCTGTTCATCAGCTGCTCCCGGAGGTCATGGATCTTGGCCTCAAAGCGGCTGTACTCTGCAGTGGGTGGTTACAGACAGGGTCAGGGTCAGTATGACTCAACTTCCCTCACAGAATCATCTAGTTCATTCGGCTACACAACTGCCCACATGCCCACCCGACTCCACAACCCAGTCTTCCAAACCTTCCACCAGTCTCCACAGATCAAACCATCAATTTAAAGCACTATGATACCTCTTTAAGCAATCATTGCTTCTCCCAAAGAATTCTGGCAGCTGTGATTTGTTAAGGGTGCTAAAAATAGTTAGGAGACACCCCATCCATTCCCCTCAAAGAGCTACAGTTGCCAGAGGGGTTATACAATCCCTCTCTCTTCCCAAGGTCTCCCAAACACCTTTTAGCACCCATAACAAACTACAGCTCCCAGGGTTCTTTGGTGGGTGAAGGAAGCCATGACAACTTAAAAGTGGCATGATACCGCTTTAAATGCACAGTGTGAATGTGGCCCCAGCCCCCCCACAAACCTCTGAACAGACCCCATTGCAGTTTCCCTCTCACCTCAACCATCTTGGGCTCACCTGGGCCATGCAACTTCCAGCACCTCTTTAGTCTTCTCAACCCCATTGAATCCTACCCATCTACCTACAGACTGCCCCCTCCCTTGGACACACATGGCCTTGCCCTACATGTGCCTGCAACCAGCCAACCCAACTTCCCACCCTCCTGTCTTTCCATTTTCCCATCAACAGGCACCAATCGTCTCTCATGTGGTTCCTTGACCACCTTTCCTTGCAACCTTGCAACCTCTCCATTCATTCATCCCTGAAGGTGAAAATGCTGAGGATTCTCCCCTAGGACATCCTCATCGCCCCTTATATTGCTCCTTGGATAACAGGCACCACTGCCCCACCCCACTTGGCAGCGACAGGACCATTTCCCAGGCAGTTCACACACACACAAATCTCTTCCCACTCAGGAGGGGCTTCTGCAGAACAGAACTCACCATCCGGTTTGTACTGAGCAATGATGGTGACCGTTTGGCCGGCGTTTTTCAGAGCAATGGCTGCTTGTTCATGTGTGGCATTCCTGAGGTCCACACCGTTGACCTGGGAAGGAAAAGGCAACCAAAATGTTCAAGAGGCTGGGCCAACTCTCCTGTGAGATGACAACATCTGAGGCTATTTGCCTTAGAAAAAGAGGAAAGTAAAGGAGGGAACATAATAGAGGTGTATGACATTATTCAGAGTGTGGGAAAGAAGTCCCTTCAGGCTGGTGGTAGCTTTTTGCGGGGGGTGGAGCTCCTGCAACAAGTCATGGCTGTGATAATAGAGAATTAGCAGTGGATTTATAGCAGGCTACCAACACATCATTCCACTTTATTACTGCTATCTGGAGTGCTTTACCTCTAGTGTGCTTTAACAACCACATCTCTGGGAATTGTAGTTCTGCAAGGGGTATAGGGGCCTCCTAACAACTCTCAGCACCCTTAACAAACTACAGCTCCCACAATTCTTTGGGGGACGCTATCACTGTGGTATCATGGTGCTTTCAATGTATGGTGTGAACATGACCAAACATGGGACAAAAAAAACAAAAAAAACCAGAACATTTGTGGTATAAAAATATACAGAATTTCAGGAGGAAGTTATGGAACATGAACTAATTAGAAAGAAAGCAGCATGTCCACGCCAAAATATTTGCAGGAGCATACCATGCTGAAAGTGGGATTGAGTATAAAAATCACCCCAATACAATCATGAGCACAAATAATCATGAATGCAGAATAAAAAGGAAGTCCAGAGGGGACCAAAGTGGACAGAGAGAAATTTTTCCCTTTTGTAATACAGGAACCCAGCAGGATCATAAAACAAAGTTGAACGTTGGATGATTCAAGACAGACAAAAGGAAAGATGTCTCCATAGAGCACAGAGTTAAAACTCTGGCTTCTGCTACCACAAGATGTAGAGATTGCTTTAGAAGACAAATTCATGGAGGAAGAAAACCCTGGGATAACTCAGTTGGCAGAGGATGAGACTCTTAACCTCAAGGTCGTGGGTTAGAGCCCCACGAAGGGCAAAAGATTCCTGCATTATAGGAGGCTGGACTAAACGACCCTCGTGGTCCCTTCCAACACTACAGATCTCTGATTCTATCAACAGCTACTAACCAGGGTGGCAATGAGCTGCATCCAGGATGAGAGGGAGCTGGTCTCTGAATAACCATTTGCTTGGGGTTGTGAGAAGGGGATGGGTACTGCGCTCATGGCCTGGTTAGGGACTTCCCTTTGGGGCACCCGATTGTCCATTATGGGAAACGGGACTAGATGGGCCTTTGATCTGATCCAGCAGGGCTAATCTTAATTCTTATGAAGGGAGGTGAGCATCATTTAGGTTTAATCGTAGGGTACCAACCGATTGCCTCTTCCAACCAGGCACCTGCCAATGCAGGGATAAGGAACGGTTCTTACCGAGAGGATCTGGTCCCCTTTCCGGAGCTCCCCACTGAGGTCGGCCGGCCCCCCAGCCAGGATGAAAGAGATGAAGATTCCCTCGCCATCTTCACCCCCAACAATGTTGAAGCCCAGCCCTGTTGAGCCACGGTGAATGACAATGCGGCGCGGTTCCCTGCAGAAGGAAGGAGAGAAACAGGAGGAAGCTGGAAGCAGCTTGCTGACTGCGGATGCAGCGGCAGGCAGCAACGAGCCACGAACTCCAAATGCCCGACAGGACTGTGACCTACACAACCCCCACAGGAAAGAGGAAGTTGGGGGCTGGCTGCATTACTAGGTAAGGTAAAGGTAAAGGGACCCCTGACCATTAGGTCCAGTCGTGACCGACTCTGGGGTTGCGCGCTCATCTCGCTTTATTGGCCGAGGGAGCCACCGTACAGCTTCCGGGTCATGTGGCCAGCAGGACTAAGCCGCTTCTGGCGAACCAGAGCAGCGCACGGAAATGCCGTTTCCCTTCCTGTCGGAGCGGTACCTATTTATCTACTTGCACTTTGACGTGCTTTCAAACTGCTAGGTTGGCAGGAGCAGGGACCGAGCAATGGAAGCTCACTCCATCGCGGGGATTCGAACCGCCGACCTTCTGATCGGCAAGCCCTAGGCTCTGTGGTTTAACCCACAGCGCCACCCGCATCTGGCTGCATTACCACCCTGTGCCAAAATATTCACAACTCTGGCAGCCTTGAGTAGCTGGATATAGGATGGATGAGATGCACACAAGGTGATGGGGGAAGAAGGGTGCAGCTTTATACTGGGCAACAGAGAGAAACTCTTCAGGACCACGGACAGCAACTGCTGCTTGGTGGTGCTATGGGAAACCAGAACAGCCACACCAAGAGGGAGGAGCCAGAAAGGGCACAGCTTACCTGGGTATATCCTCCTCACCCATCAGCTCCTTAGGGATGGGGGAGTACCTCCGAGGGGAGGTGGGGGTCATGGCTTGTGGATAGTCTGTGCCCAGGTAGCTCTGGTGACCAATTTCATTGTCGAGATGCTGGGAATAGGCTGTCAGAATGCATGAAAAAAGATAACGATAAAAGCTTTAACAGCACAGCACAGTGGAAGGCAGTGAAACCAGTTATGAACGCAACATTGAGAAATGCTCTTAAATCAGGCTGGACAACAACAGATCGTGTCCCGCTATTATTAACATGGTATGTTAAACACTTTGCTAACTTTCTAAATCACCCAAAATCCAGCAGTATTTATAACTGCAAATGCAGCAATAAAAATGTGAAATGTGTGGAACACAAAAATCTACAGTTTTTCAAGCATCTTCAGTTTAGGATAATCTTCCACCATCAAATCCAGTTGTGTCCCAGACAGTGTCTGAATTGACACTCCCTTTCAACCGGTTCTCCACAAGACAGCCAAACACAAGACACAGTAGGGAGAACAGGAAACCACTCACAGGAAGTGATGTCAGGCGGGGCGTAGGAATCATTCAGGTAAACATTTGTGGGTTTGGCCACCTTCAAGTACACAACATCATATGTGTTCTTCAGGGCTGCAACGGCATCTTCGTGCATAACATCTTCAAGGCTCACATTGTTTACCTGGCAAGGTGTGGGCATGGGAAAGCATATGTAACAATAATCCCTGCTTATAGAAAAGTAGCATTTCAAGGAGAAGGGTGGGCTTTCAGTCCTCTGATTCCTAGTTGCAGGCTGGAGTGGTGCTCAGTGATCTGGGGAAGTTCTCTGCTTCCAAACCTGCACAAGGTCCGGCTGATCACATGCCTTGCATCTGCCTTTGCCAAACTGGTGCCCTCCAGATGTTTTGGACTGCAACTCCCATCAGCCCCAGACTTGGAGCTGTAGTCCAGAACATCTGGAAGGGACCAGATTAGCAAAGGCTGCTTTATTCACTGCACGTCTCCTCTCCCAAAAATCAACCTACCCACCCAACACCCAGTCTCCAGTTACTAGTGTGGGGTATTGTGCAGAGGTTTAGGCCGAGGAAAAATAACACCTTCATGACTCCAATGGGATAAGGCGGAGCAGCCCTTTTTACTTAGGTTGGTAAAAATAAATAAAAATAGACACTACAAGAAGAGAATTAAGTATTTCTGTGAGATGCGGAATTGGGGCAGTCAAACATTCACAGGACAAAAGAAACCCAAGACACAGGACAGCTGGGAATGAGCCACAAAATGGCCATCCAGCTTACCGAGGTTTTGGTCTTCAATGAATTCTGTGGGTTTCCAGAGCTAACAAATCAAATTACCCAGATTTGTGCAGAGAGGTAGTTTGTTTTGCATTGTATACCATTTTCAACAGTCTAATATTTTAGGCCCCTTTTGACAAGCCCCAAGGCTGAACCCCACTTAAATACTTAAAACCACTGGCCATCCCTGTTGTGTTTTTCACTTTTGGGGGTTGGAGTTCTTGCGAGACCCCCCTCCCTCCCCTTATTTTCTGTTTACCCTCAGAAAAAACCCAGGGAACCACTCAGTCCACTTAAATTATTTTTGCTATTTATTCCATTTATTCCATTTAAATCCCACCTTCCTCCAAGTAGCTCAACGTGGTGTACATGGTTCTCCCCTCTTTCCATTTTATCCTTACGACAACCCTGTGCAGTAGATTAGGCTGAGAGGAGACTGTGACTGGCCCAAGGTCACCCAGCAAGCTTTATGACTGAGCGGGGATTTGAACGCTGGTCTCCCAGATTTCCCTCCCCTTCTTCCCTTCCCTGAAGTCTGGGTATGGACCAGACCAAGAGGCCCAGCTGCTCTCTGGCATCAGGCCTTCTCCACCTATCCTTACCGCCAGGATCTTGTCCCCAATCTGCAGGCGCCCATCCTTGTGGGCTGCACCCCCCTCTATGATTTTGGTGACGTAGATACTATTGTCGCCGGGGATGTGCTGGTTGCCAACGCCACCTGCAATGCTGAAGCCGAGACCTGTGGGGAAGGAAGGAAGGTGGGAAGAGAAAGAATAAAAGAAGAAGAAAATCAACAGGTAAGGAAGAAAGTGGCATCAGCAGAGGCGGAGACTTTTGAAGAGGGTGAGGTTTACTCCCCCATGGGAGGAGCCTTTTTAGAAAGATGATAATTCTCCACAGTGCAAGGGGACAGAGTCATTGAGACAAGGTGGAATTCTCCATAGTAGGTTGTTTCCAGTTTTCCTAGAGCAGTCTCCTCCAGCTGAATGGGAGTTGTAGTACAAAATATCTGGAGGGCATCAGGCTGCATGGAATGGGGGAAGCTAGATGTCCATTCACGTGCGGCAATTCATCCCCAAGAGGGGGATGAAGTGGGAGAATTTATTCCCCCGCCAGGCTTGAGTTCCTTGCAGATATGCAAACAATGTCCATGCATTTTGCAACTGCGTACATCCAATTTTGGATGCAATTCCATTTTGAAGTTGGAGGCTTTGAATACTTGAAAAGCAGAGCTTGCAGTTCGGCTGAGCATGGATTTTATTTGCATTATGCTCCTGTGGTTTACTAAGCTCTTTTTGCCTTTTGCACAGTCAAGAAAAATAAGGAGTGCTTGTTTTTAAACAAACTTTTAAAAGTCCACGGAGAAAATGGGAAGTGAAACTGGAATTAAGTTATTTAGGGTTGTATCCAATGCTAGTCCTACTCAGAGCAGACCCACTGAAATTAATGAGCATGACTACACTAGTTTCATTAATCTCAATGGGTCTACTCTAAGTAGGACTTGAACTGGATACAACTGAATATTGGTCTCTGTTTCCACAGGAAATAGCTCTGTGTGTGTGTGTGTGTGTGTGTGTGTGTGTGTGTGTGTCTGGCCCCACCTACTACTGCTTTCAACCAGGATAAAGTGCTGCTTAGTCCACAAAGGTGGTATAGATATTTGATAAATAAATAAATGAACTAACCTGGACCCTGTAATCACCTTCTGAGGCTGTTCTTAGTGTGTTTCCTCCACGAAAGGTCTGGAGGGCGGCAACACAAGAACGGATCTTTTCTGTAGTGGCTCCCCATTTGTGGGATGATCTCCCCAGGGAGGCTCGCCTAGCACCTTCGTTACATATCTTTATGTAATATTCCTCTTCTCCCAGACCTTTGGCTAATGAAACAATCTATGGCCTTTAAAACTGCAGCGGGCGGCTTATTGTTTTTGTGTGTTACTAAGTTATGCATTTTTGTGTTTTTATATTGTAAACTGCCCTGTGATCCTCAGATGAAAGGCGGTATAGAAATTTAAATTAATAAAGATAATAATAATAATAATAATAATAATAATAATAATAATAATAGGTTGCCCATCGTTGATTCAGGATTATGGCTCTTCCCCTGAAATAAGGAGGGAGGATGCTTCTAAGGGGAAAAGCCTCTGCAAAACAGCTTTCTGCAGTCCCTTCTCATGCACCTGAAGGGTTGGGTGCTCTTTAAGGAGTTGTCGGGGGGGGGAGGCAGAGCTAGGTTCCCTCACCTTTGGGGCCTTTGATCAGCTTGATCTCCATGACCTTCTCGGCCAGGGGCTTCCTGCGCATGACATACAGACGCACAATGGAGCCGGCCTCCTTCAGGGCCTCAACAGCCGTGCTGTGCGTTACCTCCCGCACGTCCACATCATTGACGAAGAGGATGCTGTCGTTCACCCTGTGTCACAGCCGGATCAGAAAGACACGTTTAGCGCCAAGATACTGAGACCTACTGAAACATGTGGGGGCACTGCCCCAGGGTAAAAGGTTCTGGACAAAAGTCTTATGAGATCTCATTGATAACCAGACAAACAATTCACCCACCCCCTCTCTTGAAACTGGCTCGTTGATCCTCATCCCCTTTTCTTTTTTGAAATGTGAGATGATAAGGACTGAACCTCAGAACCTTCTACACGGCAAAGAAACTGTTCCAACAGAAGCCCCTGCAGGCACATAAGGGGCTGAAGACACCTTTGTATTGACTGAGCCAATGAAGGAACATAGGATGCTACCTTGTACTGTGTCAAATCAATATTCCCCACGCAGACAGGCAACAGTGGCTCTCCAAAATTTCAGGCACAAGTCTCTCCCAGCCCTACCAGGAGATGCCCTTGGTGACTGAACCTGGGACCTTCTGCATGCAAAGCAGGTGCTCGATCCCTGAGCTGTGTCCCTTTCTTCAAAACATAGGAATACAGAAAGCTGCCTTATATTGAACCAGACAAATGGTCCATCTAATTCAGTATTGTTCACACTGACAGAGTGGCTCGCCAGGATTTCAGGCTGCGTTCTCTCCCAGCTCCCCTTGGAGATGCCATTTATGCTGTGAACCACCCTGAGATCTACAGATAAAGGGTGGTATACAAATTTAATTACTTATTTATAATACCAGGGGATTGAAACTGGGACCTTTTGCAGATGTTCTATGATCTCTGAGCCCTTTCCCAAACTCCCATAGGACCAGCTTATGGAGCATTCATCCTGATTTGCTTTTGCAGGGAGTTTATGGGCAATGTGGGCTATTTAATGGGCATTCATTTTCATTTGCATCAGAGCAAGCGTTATCCCACAATTTCCAATGCATCTCTCCTTCACTTTCCTTATGGGGGAAAGCAAGTTTGCTGCAAAAGAGGACAAGCCCACTTTCCCCGTGCAGCCTGAAATTGCTGAGATGAATCCCACGTGGGACTAACAGCCATCTGGAAGTGCCTTAGAAAAAGACTCACTGTCTCCAGCCCAGTCAGCATCCTCCCTACAAAAAAAGCTTTCCCCAAAGCCATTGGTACCTTAGCCTGCCATCTTGTGCTGCTGCCCCACCAGGGATGATCTTAGTGATGAAGATGCTGGGGTCATCGCCAACATGGGGGTTGTCAGTACCACCGGCGATGCTGAATCCCAAACCGGAGTTACCCTGGAGGAAAAAGTCATGCCCCACCCAAAGGAAGAGGCCAGAATTTAATTAGAGCATGAACAAAGGCTTGGGACCCCCATTTTAAAAAATACATACTCTTCCCACTCTGGAGTAACTTCCAAATAACCTGTTTATTGTTCATTCATCCTGATTAAGGCTGCAATCACATAGGTTATTCAATTTCCCTGATGTTTCTCTATGTGTTAATTGCTGCATTATATTTGAGGTTCCACATAACGTAAGAGTCATTTCTAGAAAACCGACAGAATATAATTCCACATTTAATGCTGATTTCCATGTTATCTGATTCCAGAAAAAAAACCCCACAGTTTGCAGCCCACTTAACCCAGAAAGTGGCAGGAGTAAAGTAGTGAAATTTGGGGTGGCATATGGTAGGTACACTGGCATATGGTTCTTTCCTGCTGTTTTCATGGGGTAATCATGGAGAGAAGAGAAGCAGACATGTGCGGAAAGGGTGGGGGAGCAGCGATGTTGCCTAATGACGTTCCTTGGTGTGAATGAAATTTAGCGCGGCATGTCGGTACCTTGGTCAAAAAGCCACAGTCCCATAACACAACAGGGACTGCAGCATAAAACGGAATATTAGAAAACAGGATGGAAGCACTAGCATTATAATCAGGAAAACTAACACAATATTCCCCACATCTGAATGCACCTTAGATGATGCTGGTTATTTAACAAACATTCACTCCAATTTCTTTGAGGGGAGGTTAGATGACGCTGCATCAAAGCAAGCATCACCCACACTTTCCGGTGCTTTTCCCCATCACTTCCATTAATTGCAAAAAAGTCTGATCTTTGGGGGGGGGGGGGAGCAGGTTTGTTGCACAAGACCTCCCAATCAACTGTAACTGTGGATTTGTTGTTAAGCGATCAAATCCTTCCTGGAAAAAGTGACCGTCTAGGTTCCCTGGCCTAAGTAAAAAAATCCCCACCCACCCAGAATCAACGATGTCTATAAGAATTACCCGCTCTAGAGTTATTTCTTCGTATTCCATTTCTCCTTCCGTTCCATTTACCTGAAAGAGAGGGGACAGAGAGGAATTGTGTTAATGCAGCAATGCAAAAAAAGAAGAAGAAACGAACAAAATAGGGAGGGGGGTGTTTTGGAATATGTTAAAAGTGTGAAAGGTTGTGGGGAGGGGGAAAGAAAAGGAAGAATTCATCCAGTAACTCACATAAGCTGGTGCTTCTAAGGTATCTGTGTTGACAATTACCGGTGGGGAGTTGGCCTAGGAAGAGAAACAGACAGAAAAGAATGATATGGACAACTGTCCCCAAAGCAATATGGTCCCTAAATGTGGTTGTGGGGCTGTTTCACACAGGTAGGAGAGGCCATAGGTAGCAAATTGAGGGTGGAGGCCGAAGCTCCCAAAACCCTCAACCTGCCTTTTGCTTGGCTTGCAGACAGCAGAAGCCCTTGGTGAGTCTTTGAAACCACACCCCAAAGATGGCTGTTATCTTTGAAGGTTTTAAGCTGAAAGATGAACCTTTTCCCCCTGCCCCTAAATTTGTGCTCTTTCTTCCACACCACTGTGGTTTGGCAAAACTCCTGGGTCATTTCAGTGCGGCTTAGGGAAGGAGAATGAGTTTTGCTGGCGGAAGAACTTGCATGACTGTTCTCAGCCAGAATAGCTTGCTGTGAATTTTTAAAAATCCCTTTAAACTCCTTCCACCCTGCTAGCATATGAAAACCCCAAATAAGCCAGGCAGCACCCGAACATTTTCTGTATGGATAACCAAATCCACTTTGAATTACAGACTGAAAAATTGAGTTCCACCAACACCACACACACAAACACACATTTCACCCTCACAGTTTCATTTCCGTATATTTTAATGCATAGATAACAGCAGAAAAGGTAGGGGCTAAAATTATGCATTTAAGGACAGCTAGCTGGATGAGCTGGGGTGAAACCGAGGTCACCAGATATCTGGTGAAAAGAGATCCAAAATCCACAAATCACCATTTCAAATTTTGACATTAGGGGGCAGTGTGCTTCTAGGAGGAGACTGGCTTACCTCCTGGCTCTGAAAAGGGTATTTCTGACCCCCCAAACCAGGAGTGTTAAAATGCCCAAGAAGCACCCAACCTCTCTCTCCCACCCCCATCCTCTTTCATTCTCTTTTCCTCTCTCCCCACCACCCAAAGAATGATTCCTCCACCTCCACTGTCCGCTGCTGACTACGGTAACCACGGCAATGCCATGGAAACAGCATCTGCCTCAGGGGGAGAAGGTTACTGTGGCAACGCGGGTTTCGCCATAGTTCAGGATGTTCTGGGGTGGGACTAGCACCCACCCCAATCAACCCCACACCCCATTCCTAGTGGTGGGAATGTGGGGTGGGTGTTTATTCATAGGGGATATTTGAAGTAATGTGTTTCCTTGGCCTCTACGCATCAGAACAACTCCACTTGAGGCTGCATAGCACAACCGCTTGCATTAAAAAAATCAAGAAATATATTTAAGATTGGCAGGGGGTGGAGAAACCAATTTTGGGGGTGAGCATGGGGTTTATTGTTATTATGGTCTACATTTACAGAGAGAGGAAATAGCTAAGGCTTTTAATAACAGCATCCAATTTTTATATATAGATTTCATCGCCAGCTCTAGGCTAGGGGTTGTAGGATGGGCTGTCCTCCAATTTGATTGCCAGGGGTGTGTTTGTGTGTGGAGGGAGAGAATCCCAGAGCAAAAGTTTCATTGCATAGCTGATCAGGGGTATGCCTGAAATTCAAGAAAGGTGCAACAAGAGTCTTCATGGTTTCGTTTCTGCAATTTGTGGAAATCAGGATGGGTGTGGTAGTGTCTGCGCTGAGGACCAGCTGAAGATTTAAGAAGAGCAGAGAAGCCCTCGTGATCCCCTCGCAGTCGCCAAAAGGCACCCTGCTTCTGATCCTAGGAACACTATACATTGCCACCATGACTGACAGCCACTGATAGCAAGAATTCCCTGTGAAACCCTTAGCAAGACATTATGAAGCTGCGGTATGCACAAGGCAAACACGTGACTAAGATTGATTTATTTACTCATCGTGAGAGCTAGAAACTTATTTGAATGTAAAAACCACACCCACAGAACTCTGAGACCCTGAACTTGTAAAAGAGGCTGTTTGTGTATCTGGGTATTGCATCTGGACAGATATCTACATTTTTTAACATGGTTGGTGTTGGTTTGCTTTTTAGGGTGCCTTAAAAGCTGACCCCCCCAAAAAAAACACACAAATGGGGCCAGGACTGCAGTACCGCAAAGACCACCTCTTCTTGTGATGATCACCTGAGGCCCTTCTTTGGGTGCCTCCCCCACAAGAGGAGTCACAAGGGTGGAAGCAAAGGAACTGGCCTTTTATGCAGTGGCTCCCTGTTTGTGGAATGCTCTCCCCAAGAAGGCTCGCCTGGTGCCTTCATTACATATCTTTAGGCACCAAGCGAAAACATTTCTCTCCAACCAGATAAATGTTTGGCTGATTAACATTCTATGGCCTTCCAAATGTGCCTGTGGGAGGGGGGTATTGGTTTGTTTTGCTTTTGTTTCATTATGTATTTTGCATTTTATGTTGTGAACCACCCTCTGATCTTCAGATGAAGGGCGGTAAACTAATAATAATAATAATAATAATAATAATAATAATAATATGCCCCGTGACTAGTTGCAAATGGGATAAAGGTTCAAGGCTGTTCCACTGCAGCAATTGTTTATTTTTATTCCATTCCTCCTTATGTGTCCCAGCTGCTCCAAAAAGCCTGAAATATTCAACTCAGTGTGGGGGGTAGGGGCAAGATGAGCAGTTGAGGGAAAGAGGGTGGGCAAAGTCCTGGGGGCTAGGGATAGCAAAGCCACTCACCTGTCCTAGGTTGAAGCCCTCCTCTTCTAAGGCCGGGCTCCCTAAACTGAAGCTTCTCAATCTAAAAAGATGACAGGCTCTCTCCTCTCTCCATCAGTCAAACAACGCTTGCCCTTTTGCTGGCTCAGGTCCTCTCCCCCCCCCCCAACCGCTGACTGCCAGTTCTCTTCCTCCACGCTTGACTGCAATCGGGTTTCCCTGGCACATTTTAATCTCAGGCTCTTCAAATTTTCATGACCCCCAATGCTCAGCCAGCAAGGCATCCTGGGAAATGGGCACACTTAACTCAGAGGCGCATGCTCGCACGTGTACACACACACCACTCACACACACATTGCTCTCTCACCCTAAGCCCCCACTTTCTCACAAATTTCCTGGGGAGACCCTCCATTCATCCACCAGGCAAGCAATGAGGGCATCTGCAGGAATTTTTCTGGTGGGTGAGAGGGACATATATACCACTTATATATAACTAGCGTCAGAGAACAGGTCTATAGTTTCTTGTATACGTACTGATCAAGGGGGTAGCCAAAGCCTGAGCCCCAGAAGGATACACAAAGTTGGTTTACACCTTGGTCCTTTCCACCAGCAGCTGAGGAAAAACAACAACCCTACGTTTTTTTCCTCTGGATCCCTTCACTCCCTCCAGCCCTTAATTAATTGCATTGCTGCTACAAATCAACAATTAATCACACTGCTGGTACAATCAACTTCACAGCATGCCCTCCCTGGAGGAAAAAAAACTTTAAAACCCCAGTCTGTCAGGATGCGGATGCCAGACTACACTGCAAGGTTATTGTACATTACTCCAAGTCTGTCCTTGTTGTTGTTGTCCCCACCCAGCAAAATGGGTGCAACATACAGGCTGACTGTGCCAGACTCAGGTACCATTCAGCCCTGCCCTCTGCAATAATGGTGTAATAACGATGGATAGTTTTTACATGCTTTCAAACCTGGGGGTGGGGTTGCCATATGGGTGGGGGGTGTTATGAAGTAAGACCTGGAGCCAACTCCTGTCCTTGTGGCTATCTTTCTATCGTTTTTGTGAAGACTGCAGTTGAATTAATTCTTGGATTTCTGAATGGTTTTAAATGAAACAGAAATCTCCTCTCCACCAGAGGGAAGAAGGTGGGGGAAAAGCTTGGGAAACGAACCATGAAGTTGATGGGGTGCATCACTTCTAACCTTCTTTTTGACTAATGGGCTAGCTTTGGCTTTCCCAAATGTCAGTCACTGCTATGACTTGCATTGCTGGTTAAGCACTATAAGGTGGGGGTGGGCCAGTTTCTCACAAGGCAATTGGGCAGAATGGCACTTTCACATTTTGCAAAGACCTAGAGGTTGAAAGGGCCAGGGGGAAAGACATTTAGCAGGGCAGGGGAATAATTAGGAACTATGAACCTCAGAAATAATGGTCCTGGGCATGTACAGAGCGCAGTTCCTTTACCAGTGAGGAATCTCTTCACTGAATAAGAGGATTCCACAGCACAACAGCATTCTGTGGCAAGGCTTCTTTTTATTGCTTATTGCTAAAATATTCACTTGATTTACTTCCTTGTTATGATTCCTAATAATGGTGACTGGTGATTTCTAAATACTGATTATTTCTTTACTTTATGTCATTTACATTCCTGCAAATTTGGGTTGGGGTCAGTGGCAATTTTATAAGATTATCAACAAACGCAGATGTTTGAGGAACCCTGACCTAAACCAAGAGACTCCTGGCTGCTGGTTCAGTTGCATCCTGAACTGCTTACACTCCACTCCTTGTCCAGGGAATCCAGGATCCAGGCCCCATCACCCTTTCCCCATTTGACTGCTTTTTGCAGAACAGAAGCTTCTGTCAAAGAAGAGAAAATATAGATTTTTTTTAAAAATTTAAAAGGAAGAGGCAATTCTTTTTAAAATGATTTGCTCCAAGTGGAGAGTGAAGCTTAGTGAGTTGATGAGGAAAGAATAGGTGGTCGCTGAGAGCAGACCCCCTGGGTTTTCTCCCCACCTTGAGGAGGGGTGGAACCAGGTGGGGGAATTTGAAGCCAGTTGAAATAATTAGGGTGTTGCAGGCTTGATGTAAGGAATTCCGGGGCCCTGGGCTCCTGGGACCCTCTGGGAAGGAAAGTGGCTGTGTCTAGCAGGTGAGGGCAGAGAGGATGCCAGGACGTCTGGGTCCCCTTGGGGCCTGTGGCATTACAGGAGGAGTGGGAGGAAAGAGGGGGGAACTTCCTGTACTGTGGGCTCTGCCAGGTTGGCAGCTGCATGTGGGTGGCTGGGTAGAGGGAACTGTGTGGGAGAAGGCTTGTGGAAGAGCTGGAAATGTTCACACACGTGTGTGTGTGTGTGTGTGTGTGTGTGTGGCGTTGGATGATCTTTGCATGTGTTTGTCTCAGAGCATTAATGGCGTACATGTGCATGAATCTGCGAGTGTTAGGAGAGGGGGAGAGAGAGAGAGGCTATGGCGTGGGGTTGAGCACAGTGATGTATGTTTGCAACGAGCGTCTGTGCTGGAGAGGGCAACGTGTGTGTGCATTTAGCTGCAGCTTGCTCAATTTGTATACAAGTGAGAGAGAAGGAGAGAGAGAGAGAGAGAGAGAGAGAGAGAGAGAGGCTGTATTCAGCAGTGCAGTTAGGTAATTTTAGACTTAATGGTACATAAGGAAACTGCCTTGTGTGGAGCCAGACCATTGGAGTCCATCTAGCCTACATTGAGTGGCAAAGTCTCTCCAGAATTTCACGAAGAGCTTCTCTAACCCATACCCAAAGATGATGATAATAATAAAAATACTTTTATTATTTGTACCCCACCCATCTTACTGGGCTGCCCCAGCCACTCTGGGCAGCTTCCAACATATATAAAAACATAATGAAACATTAAACATTTTTTAAAAACTTCCTGAATATGCCATCAAGATTGAACTTGGGACCCCTTGCGTGCCGAGCAGATGCTCTGCCACTGAGCTAAGGCGCTTCCCCTCCAGAAGCGTGCACTTTGGCTTGCTTTAATGACTACAGAACATGTCTAGTGAAGCTTGAGTCAGACCACCTGGTCAATCAAACTCTGCACTGTCTGCTCTGACTGGCAGCAACTCTCCAGGATTTCAGATGGGGAACATTCCCAGCCTAACCTGGCATGCTAGCAATCCAACCTTGGATCCACTGCATGCAAAAGTGAGGCACCACCTCCTTTAGATGATGATATGCAGTAACTTCAACATGTGATATGGAAACCCGCACTGCTCATTCTGCTCCATGGGGCCCTGGACTTCTGACCCCAAAGCCCCACCTTAATAGCACCACCATATGCATTTATGTGACAAGACGTCTGCATTTTCGCTATGTTTAATTTCCTCCAAGAAGCCCAAGGTGGCAAACACGGTTCTCATTTTATCCTCACAACTATCCTGTGAGGTAGGCTGAACTGAGAGGCAGTGACTGGCCCAAGGTCACCCAGTGAGCTTCATGTGGCTGAATGGGGGATTTGAACCCTGGTCTCCTAGGTCCTAGCCTGATAACGCACTAACCGCTACACCACACTGGCCCACATTGAAATGTATGTCACGCAGCAAGTATGTCTGATCACCTATGTCATGAAAGGGGGGTTATCTACAAAATGCAGCGAGCTCCCCAATCAAGCTGCACAGATGGAGAATCTGGCACCGGGAACAGAGCTCTTTAACTCTGAAATTACAGGTTTCTTTTCTTTTTTTAAAAAAGCAAGTTCCTAGCCCCTAAGAATAGGTTTCTTTGCTACATCTGAAAACTTGGGGACTGAGGAGGATCAAGGGGGGGGGTCTGAGAACACTTCAGCACCTTGGATAGCACTTTGCTCCTTCCCATGATCTGCAGTAATAGAATAAATTATGCACAAACATGCAAACACAGACTTAATCGGCATACACTATACAGGACATTTAGCTGTGAATGGCGCAGAATAACGCAGAGACGGAAGATATGCAGTCTTGGATACCAGGGTACTGCTGATGTTGAACTGTCTACAGTGTGTGTGTATGTGGGTTCAGGAATGTAGACATCTAAACAGACACAAACAATCCACATGCAAAACCAGGAGACACATAAGCCACAAACAGGAAGCCCACAGGTGTTTGGCTCATACAAGGAGCATGCAAATGGCACAGATCCTCAAGCCCCCAGGGCATTGAACATGCAATACACATCACCTGTAAATTACTGCAACCAGGCAACACAGCACACACTTACTCCAAAGAAGAGTTGCGGTGCTGCACAAGAGGCCACGTCTCCCTGCTCCACACCAGCACACGATCAGTGACGCACACTGCACCAGCACAGCACACTGGGCCACAAGGCGCACTACAAACGCATGGCCCTGAGAACGAGAGGCATTGTGTGGCTCCCCGACCGACAGCTGCAAAGAGGCTGAGCGCACAAGAGGCTAAGAACGCCCACACACACAGTCCCAAGGAACACCGGCCATGCCACAAGAAGCTGCGGGCACAGAGCTGAACAAACATGGTGGCGATATCAGGAGAAGATGGCGTCAACACAAGGACACCTAGGTCTCCAAAGCTCTGTGTACAGGAATCTTGTGCATCCCTAAGTCACACACGCCTGCGAGGCCTATGCTGCAAATCTTATATCAACCTTCACTGCTGCCCAGCTTTTTGGGGGACTATGAATCCCATCAGCCCTGGCCAGCACAGTTTGAAGATGTGTTTTCATGAATCTCAGGGTGAGGAGAGAGATGAGCTATGCTAGATATTATGTGTAAGCGGAGGCTGTGCTGGATGTCACATGTAGGCCAAGACTAGGAAGTACAAAGCATACTAGTATTGCTCTCCAGATGTTGCAAGACTACAACTCCCATCATCCCTGATTATCCCTGCTGTAGAGTGACAAAAGAAGGGCTAAAGGGCATTTAAGGCAACCTGCTGGCTGAAGCTGATGGGAGTTGTGGTCCAAAGCAACAGGAGAATGCTGTCACAAGCAAAAAATAAAAAATAAAATCAGTTTGGTCTAGATCCTCTGGAAGGGATAAACCTGTATCTAATTAATACCACTTTCAACCTGCAAATGGGGAGTTTCACAACTGAATATTCTGAATATTTCACAACAGAAAGTTCCTGCTGTGTAAAGGTAACTTGCATCTTAGGGGAAGGCTATGCTGGAATACTTTTCCCTGACATGCTAAGCTTCTGCATGCAGGGATTTGCTGATAGGTTTTGGTTTTTTTTACACAGAGGCGTTCAGCTGCATGTGAGATGCCGCAGGTCGCACACAGTTTAACCATCTCCCTGAGAACTGGAAGCTTAGATGCAGCACTCTCTGCAGCTCACAGATGCGCATGATATATATATAATTGGAGGATGCACCAGCACAAGATAACCAGCCTCTTAGGGAAGGGCTACGCTGGAACCCTACTCCCTGACACACTAAGTTTCTACATGCCAGGATTTGCTGTTATTTGTCTACACAGAGAAGTTTTCTACTGTGTTTGAGATGCCACTGGTGACACACAGGTTAGCCACACACACACAAAGATATACCAGGAGGGTGCACCAGCACAACACACAGACGGTACACACATATATTATAGTTCAATTACACCAACAGCTTAAAAGTACCAGAAGAGAAAAGAGATTTAATGCCTCTTAATGCAGACCACAGGAGCTAATCACGATGAAGTCAGTATTGAGGTCAGTGGTGGGTGAAGGAAACCCCTTTATGTAAAAAAAAAAACCTGCCCAAGGAACTGACAAAAAGCCATATAGATATCCCTGGCAGTTACCTTCAGCTGACCAGAACCATTAACCATTCTACGGTCAATACCCACAGCCTTTAATCCTCACATTCAATTTCTCTTTTTAAAAAAATGAAAGTAGGTAAAAGCCAGCCAGAAATCCCTTCTCACCTCACCTGTACATTCCCGAAGATGGACGGGGAGCTCTGCAGCTTCACAGGAGAAAAAGCATTCTGAACATGCTCAGAAGTATCCTACTGTGCAATCACATTTTCTAGGGCTTTCATTTTAAAACCAGGGCAGGCAGGAAGAGAGCAAACAGGGGGAATCAGGGCTGCAGGGTCTGCCATGCGGAAGGAAAGCTGACCATGTGGAGATCAGGGGCAGGGCAGCTGACACCCTTCCCCCCATGTGGCTGTGCTTTTTGGGCCACGGGGAGGCCCAGATTTTAAGGAGTTACATCACTCTCGCAGCATCCAAGGTCGGAGAAGAAAACTCAAGAGGGACCTTTCGTTCCCAGCCTCCTCTCCCCCTCTCCCCGGCTGCACCGCCCTCTAGAAACACCGCCCCCTGGATCTCCTGGGGGTGTATTTTTAAAAAGTCTTTCTGCCCGCAACCCACTTTTTCCTTCTTCGGAGAGGAGAACAGCAGGGAGGGGTGGGGAGGCAGTAAATCCGCTTCGCTCCAAACGAAGCCTTGGCATGAATTATTTACAGCTGCTAATGAGGGCTGCCTTGTTCTGTTCTGAAGACATGACAAGTTTCATTTCATTTCATTAACTTTCTTTTTTTTAAATGGTAGCCTCCCCCCCCCCCTCTGGTTACCCCTCCACCCACCCGTCTATGCCAGCAGCAGCAGCTGCATCAAAAGCTTTGTATAAAACGGCTACCTCCACCCCAGAGGAGACCTGCGTGGCAGCTGCAGATTCTCTTACGAGGATCCAACGTAAAGTGGATTGGGAAAGGCTTTTTTTCTTATTTTCTCCCGGCACTAGAACTTGTGGACATCCAACGAGGCTGAACGCTGGAAGATTTGGGACAGATAAAAGGAAGTCTTTCTTCGTGCAACGCATGGTAAAAACTGCGGAACTCACTCATGCAGGAGGCAGTGGTGGCCTTTAAACCTTTAAAAGAGGATTGGACACAAAAGCTCTGCTCTGCTGTCGCACTTGGAGGAAGCCACACTTTTGAATACCAGTTGCTGGAAACCACAGGAGGGTTCAAATCCTGCTTCCAGGTTTCCCATGGGCATCTGGTTGGCCATTGTGAGAACAAGATGCTGGACTAGATGGCCACTGGCCTGATCCAGCAGGATTAACTTACTGAACAAATAAATCCAAAGCCTTCTGCTCTCACCTCTGAAATGTTGCCTATCAGAATTCCAAATAAACCAACACTCCAGCACTGACTGTCACTAAAGTTCTAGTTCTCATTAAGGCAGCTAGCCAACTTCAGTCTCAGCATCTGGTTCTCATGATGGTAAGTCCTTGCATGATGGCTCCTTTGTCCCAAAAAATAAAAACCAGAAAAATAGGCAGGAATTCTCCCCCTCCCTGCCCAACGTCATTTTTCTGCGAAGGGACTTTGAGGAGACAGAGGTATAGCCCACACACAAGTTGACTGTCTCCAAGCAAACTATCATTCATTCATTCATTTGGTCACTTATGCTGCTGTTACTTATCCCACCTTTCCTCCAAGGCGCTTAGGATGGAATACAGCTCTGCTCCATTTTTATCCTCAAAAACAACCCTGTAAGGTAGGCTAGTAGGGTAAAAGAGAGAGAGAGCACACCTGGCCCAAGGTTGCTTTATGGCTGAGTGAGGAATGGAACCTACATCTCTCCAGTTCTAACTCGATACTATCCAGTGTTCCACGACATGGACACCCTTAAGATGTTCACAGACTACAGGCCCCACCAGCCCCAGCCTCAGGATGGCCAAGGATGATGGGAGTTGAGACCCTTAGAGAAATAGTGAGTTTGTGTCGGAAACACACACAAAATCTTCAGCCACAACTTCCTGTACTAGGCCCTCATGGCTGCTTTCCTGTTCACAAATGTAACTGATGCAATCTCAGGAAAGGTATAAAGTAGGAATAACTGTGATTCATCTCTGAATGGAAGCCCTTCTGAGCCCTGAAGGGTCTCTGGCAGAGAGAGGGGGGAGAGCTTTTCCCCATCACCTCCTACTTGATGCTTTTATTATTCAAACAACAACAGCAACCCTGGAGATGCAGGGGATTTTTTTAGAAAAGCATCTCTTTATTAAGAAAATGGATAAACCGTTTGAACTAAAAAGCTCTCCAAACTACGTGCAGATAAAATTATAGGTAAAAATATAGCTGAAACCCACAAACCAGTTAAATATATATAAAGAACTACCACTGTTAAAACAAACAAACAAAATCAATTTATATTTATAAAAATATAAGTAACAGAATCATGGGTCCAGATTAAACCTTGGAATCAGTGTTCAAAACTCCCGTTGTTCTAGGCACATTTTGTGACAGGGAATTTCATTAGAGTGAGCAGTTTCTGAGCTCTGGGCGCAGTACTGCACCTAAGATTTCAGATTAAAACTGCAGAGTGGAAGGAAAGGAGGACCTTTTTCTGCCTCCCCACTTCCAGCTACACTCTGAAGAATGGAGAAGAGACCCTCTTAAGAATATTAGGGGGGTAGGCAGGGGAAGGACTAGACCAAATGAAAAACGAACATAATATTTTAGCTGCCGTTCATTCGTTTTCAGCTTTGTATTCTTGTTATAAAAAAGTGCGCCTAGACATTCTGTTGTTGTGCCCAGAACCTAGGTTTAAGGTGCCATTGAGCTCCTAGCTTTCATATCCCAGTTTCTAACACTGCTTGGAATATCAGAAGGTGCCTTATACAAAGTCAGAACCTCTCGTCCGTCCAGCGCAGCATTGCAAACTCTCATTGGCAGTAGCTCTTCAGGGTTTCAGACAGGGGACGTTCCCAGCCCATACTTGGAGACACTGCCGGGAACTGAACCTGGGACCTTCTGCATGCAAAGCAGCTGCTCTACCACTGAGCTAAAGCCCCACCAGCACTGTAAGTGCAAAGCTCTAGGATACCAGGTTAAAAAGACATGGCTTCCTGTGAATATTTCCGGGAGCTGTGGTTTGTTAAGAGTGCTGAGAATGGGTATGAGACCTCTATTCCCCTCCCAAAGCTACAATCCTCAGCGTTCCCGGTGAAGCCACTCTGGGATTTGTAGTTCTGTGAGCGGAACAGGGGTCTCCCAACAACTCTGGGCACCCTTCACAAAGTTTCCAGGATTTTGCGGGGGAAGCCATGACTGTTTAAAGAAGAATGACACTGCTTTAAAGGTATAGTGCAGAAGGGGTCTAAAGTAATAGGAATCTAAGAAGCTGCCTTATACTGAGTCAGACCCTTGGGGTCCATCTAAGGCTGTATAGTCTACGCTGACAAGCTGTGGCTCTCCAGAGTCTTGGGCAGGGGACTTTCATTCACAGCTCACCCAGGAAATGCCAAGAACTGAACCTGCAAGCAAGGCAGCTTATCTGCCAGAGTTCTGACCCCTCTTTCCTTCCACATTTCCCCAGTCCTCCGATTACTCTGCAGTTGCCACAGGAGAGGGGAGCATTATCCACATGTCACAACATCAGAACCAGCTCTCAGACTCAGAAAGAGAACGTAGGGTTAGCTATATAAAACTGGGTGGGGTGAGAGGTTGCATCCCGAACAAGGGTCTCCTGTGTCAAGATGGCTGCATTTTAAAGTGGCATTCAGAGGGCACCAATACCCCCCAAAAAACCCCTCACAGCTCTCCCTGCACCCCATAAACAAGCAGGTAGACCCCTGAATTCTGCTCAAGTCATGGGCAACAGTTGTGCCAAGGACCAAATTCCTAGCTCCAGCAGGCAAAAGGCCTCCTTTAAGGACGGCTGCCCTTCTCCCCCCACCGCACACACACATCTCCACAGAGCAGGCCTTCCGCAGCTGCGTCCATCCCCCTGCCAGGCGATGCAGCAATCCCAGGGAAGGTCTGCCAAGGCAAATTGGGGGCCTTTAATCTTCTAAATGCACCCTCCTTCGGGATCCAGAACCGGCCCTGCCAGCTGGGCATGGAGGGATCTAGAAAAGGCCACGACAACAGGAGGCAATGCCGTTTCCAGAAGGAACATGGTGGTGCTGGCCGCTGCAGTCTTGCTAGGAGCCTTGGGGGGGGGGGAGCCTGGATAGGGAGGATCTAAATTAAGTTGGGATGGGGTGACACAACTGGCTGTAGTCCTGATAGGCAGGGTCAAGCTGGGGCAGCAGAGCCTAGTTTGGGGGGTGGCAGCCCAAGGATGAGTGTAGCACACAGGGATCAGACGCTAGGATTCATTCACCTTTTTTTTAACAACTGCAATGCTTCTACAAAAAGGGAATGGAGGGGAAGGGAAGGGTGGCTCTCTCTCCCCCCCCCCCTTTATTAAAAAGCAAAGCACATAAAAAACAAACTGAACTGATCAGGAACCCAAGTCATGAAAGTCCTTCTTCACTCTCCCATTCATAACTCAGGAAAATTTACAGTATAAACACTGACGCCATCTGTCTATAAAGCTGACGCACAACCTCCCCCCTCCCCTGCTCCCCCAACACACTCATATATATACACACACTGCTTACTTCACATAGATCCCAAAGGGAACTGAAAGGGCTGACAGCCCTCTAATCCTGACCCTCCAATATTCCTGGCCAAAGGACTACTCCCCACCCCCACCCCAAATCATCCACCCCTAGATAATTATCTGGGAGATGACCTGTGCTTTTCCTGGGGGTATCCCTTGCAACCCATCCACATCCAGTCAGACGCACATATAAATACCCTGCACCCCAATATTCTGTTGTCCAGGTCACAAATTTTCATCTTCTATCCTTTCCAGAAAAATCCCAGTCATGGTTAGTTTATTCACAGACCTTCCCACCCCACTTTGAGTTCCAGATGAGACGGGCCTTCTGAAGAACATCTACAGCCCCTCCTGACCCACACCCCCAATGCCCTGACTATCATGAAGCCCCCTAACCCCACTATTTCAGCCCCTCTTAAACTCCTTGCATTCCAACTCAACCACAGGGACACCCCTCCAATACAGACTTTCCAGAACCCTAAGGCTCTGCTAAGACCCTCAAATGCTGCCCCACTCCTGACTTTTATCTCCTTCCCAGCCATCTTATCCTGCACCCCTGGGAATCCTTGTATCATTTATTAGTTGGGGGGGGTAAGGACAAGGCCATCTATGGGTCTGGGCCCAGAGTGAAGAGCCAGATGGGCTGAGAGGAAAAGGACGTTCTGCCTTGTGTCTGTTCCCACCCACCCACGCAGACAGAAAACCATTTGTTTACCTCCATTACCCCAAAGCCACCCCCAACCCGCCCCATGGAGCTCAGACCTCCCAGAGAACCCAGGAGTCCGGGTTACCTCCCACTCACTCGCTGTCTTGCAACCCAATCAACCCCAGGAGAAAATAAAAAATTCACCTCCCCTCATTAGCCTTGGAGTCCTGGCTCCCTTCCCATAGGCATACCTCCCCCACAGCCCCCCCCAACCCAGGAGTCCTAGGTCCCACCATTGCCCCTTTTCACTGTCCTCTGAAGTCCCTATCATGTCACACCCTGTCTCTCCCCCTTGCGCCTAGAACTCTGTCTACCCCCCCAAAAAAGTACCCTGTTCCTTCCTCCAACCAATTTCTTACTTTCCCCCACCCCAAACTATCTGGCTTGTACACCCCCCCAAAATACAAGCTGCAGCCCTAGTGGCTTTGAACCATGCCCCACTTTTTAACCCCAAACTCCACAGAGACCCCTAACTCCACCCTTTCCCCTCCTCCAGCCCCCTCACTATTCCTCCCTGCTGCTGATACGCCCCTCCCAAGCAAAACTGAGATTTCTCTCCCTCCCCATGTTCACCCATCCCACCCACTCCAATGCCACGACAGGGGTGCTCCCCCTCCAGCCCGCTCCCCCCCAAACCCCGTACCGTGAGCAGGTGCCTTTGCCTCTTCGCCTTCCGGACGTTGCTAATAAACCTTCGCCCCATTTTCTTGGCATACCACACGGACACAAACATGATGCCCCCTGGGGCGACGCTCCAGAGGGTGGCAGGAGGGTGGAGAAACAGGGAGAATGCCCCCTTCAAGTTCTTTGTATACCTCCCCCAATATTTTCCTTTTAAGACCACCTAAACTGGCAGAGCAAGACCAAAATATGTTTTAGGGGAGGGGGAAGGGGTTTTAAATTCACCAGGCAAATATTAGGGGAAAGGGGGCATTGTTCCCCCCTGTGCCCCCTTTCTCTCGGCTCCCCTCTGCCGGGATGCAGACCCGCCTCTCTCTCTGGATGGGGTGGGGGGCACAATGTCCCCCTCTGGCAGAAGGAGGTGGAAGGAGCAAGCAGGCTGCTTAGGACCCTGCCGTCCTCACCACCATCAGCATGCCACCCTCACGCTCTCTGCCTCCTTCGCTTGCTCCCCGTCAGGTGGACGGAAAAGATGCAGGGAGGGAAGCCAAACAATCTCCCTCTCTCTGTGTGCTCAATGGGCCAGAAAGAATTCAATGAGAAGGGGGGGGGTGGAGAAGAAGAAAAAAGAGGGAGGGGAAGGAGGAGGGGGAGGGAAGGAAAAGAAAAACAGGTGGAATAGGAAATTTCCACCGAGGGAGGAATAGATTTGGAGGCCAGCGGATGGATGGATGCCGGCAATCCCTCTCCGCTCACCTCTGGGGGGACCACCGATGGGCAAGGGGCCCGATCCACCCCGGCGAGAAAGCACTGTTTGCACCCCCTCCCTTCGGGGCTAAAGGCTGTTTGTGACTCCCAGCATCCCTGAGCTTCTCTCTGCCCCCCCCTCCACACACACACACACACTCACTCACTCACTCACGCAGACTGCCTCCCCCCTCTCTCCTTCGCTCGCAGCGGATGGCGAGGCAGACGGCTGCCCAGATGGAGCCGGGTTCGGGTTCTACGTGCCTGATGGGGCCAAGGAGGCACGGCGGCGAAGAAAGGAGGTTTTTCCCTCTGGAAAGGATGGAGTCTTGCTATTCCTGCCTTGCTAGAAGGCAATGATCCCCCGCTCTCTGGTCCTGGGTGGTTGGGCTCAGGTTTGGCTTTTGGAGCGGGGGGAGGGAGGGAAAGCTAGCGGGGTTGAGGGGCTCCATCCCTCTTGAGCATCGTTCATCAGGCAGGCAGAAAACGGGAAAGGGGGAGGCACCTGGACTTCCGGTGTGTGTGTGTGTGTGTGTGTGTGTGTATGTGTGTGTGTGGAGGTGGGGGGGCGGCGCTGGGGAAGGACGCCAGGACGCCTGGGTTCTCAAGAAAGCAGAGGATGTTAGGGCAGAGGGGAGCAGGGAGGAGTTGGGGGAGAGCTGGGAGCTTGGGCTCTTAGGGAAGAGGGGGAGGCATATTATTATTATTCTAGGAGCAAGGTCTCCTGGATTCTTTGGGAAGGGAGAGCAAAGAGGCGAAAGGGCGAGGAGCAGGGAAAATCCGGTAATCTGGAGGAAGAACGGGGCACAATGGGTTAACAAAAGAGATGTTCCAGAACCCCGGGCGCCTTGTTTCTCTGGGGCAGTATGGGGTTGGAGAGAGCCCAACCCCAGGTTTTCCGGATACAAAGTGGAGTTCTGCTTAGATTAGGACAAATGGGGAGGTGTGGGGGAGGGGAAGGGGCAGAACTCCTGAGTCCTGGAACAGAACGAGACCATGTCCTTGTGGAGCTGCAGGTGTCATGAGCAGCCACCAGGTGGCGCCCTTATCACGCTGAAAGGAGGCACTTTGGGGTGCTAAGCGACAATGGGGCTTTTCCTGGGGGCAGGGAGAAAGGAAGAAGAATAAGGGGCAGAAGGTGAAGGAAGCGGGGGAAAGAAGAGGCCTCCTAGTTATTAGGGAAAAGGTTTTTGCAGGGGCCAGACACCTGCTTAAAAAGTGCAGGGATGGCGGAAACCTCGCCGCAGTGAGCTTTGCACAACCACGGCAGGCTCTCACTGAGCCCCAACGATGCAGCTCTGCCGAAAAGACGCTGCTAAATATCCCTTGCTCAGGCCTGCAGCACAGCACCCCCTAGTGGCTCTCCCTCCCTCCTCCTCCTCACGCCCTCTATCAGCCCTTGGTCTGGCGCTCAGGTTAATTGGATTGGGAGGAGGCGGCTTCTGTCAGGACAGGCCTCTTAGGTCACCTCTCTGATGGGATTAGAAGCACCACAGCAGTCCCCTGCAGAAAGGTGAGGGCGGGTGATCCGATGAGCCCCAGGAGATCTGCGCCCACCACACCACATGCCAGGCCCGGCTCTGTCCCGGGAGGAACTCTCCCCACTCCAAAGAGAAGATGCGTTAGCAACCTTAAAAAGTCACAATCCTACAGTTTAGGATAGGGCATGTGTTGAACTACCGTATTTTTTGCTCTAGAAGACTCACTTTTTCCCCTCCTAAAAAGTAAGGGGAAATGTGTGTGCGTCTTATGGAGCGAATGCAGGCTGTGCAGCTATCCCAGAAGCCAGAACAGCAAGAGGGATTGCTGCTTTCACTGCGCAGCGATCCCTCTTGCTGTTCTGGCTTCCGAGATTCAGAATATATTTTTTTTCTTGTTTTGCTCCTCCAAAAACTAGGTGCGTCTTGTGGTCTGGTGCGTCTTATGGAGCGGAAAATACGGTAAATAGTGCAGTGAGCTCCAGCCAACAGCTGTGGACACTGTGACTTTGGTGGGGAACCCACACGTCCAGGACCCCATGTTCTTATATTCTCTATAGGCCTCTTGAAGGGTCAAACAAGACAAGGGGTTTCTAAGGCTTAAAGCCAGCTGCAAGGACTAAATCAGGCCAGGGTTACAGTCCTGTGGGGTGGGGAAGGGAATACACACACACACACACACACACACACACACAGCCTTTATGTTTTTTCCATGGTTTAAAATGAAAGAAGCTGATATTGAGTCAGACCACTGGAGTCCATCTAGCTCAGAATTTCCCACTCTGACTGCCAGCAACGGCTCTCCAGGGTTTCAGATAGGGGGTCTCTCCTACCCCAACCCGGAGATGCTGTCGGGCATTGAACCTGGCACCTGCACGCGAAGCAGATACTCTGTCACTGAGCTGCAGCCAAATCCCCTAAGAATAAAGCAAGATTCTAGCCCTCATCATTCAGAATGAAGGGCTGGAATAGAGAAGAACATGGGAAGCTAGGTCTGTCTAGCTCAGTCTTGTTTACACGGACTGGCAGTAGTGGCTCTCCAGAGATTCAGGCAGGGAGTCTCTCCCAACCCTACCTGGAGGTGCCATTGGGGATTGAACCCAGGACCTTCCGCACACAAGGCAGCTGCTCTGTCACGGATCTTACAGCCCTCCCCACACCACCGCAAGGCTACCATGAGGCCCGCTTATTGGGGTGGCGTATGGTGAGGGCAAGGAGCCCCATTGCAACAAGATGAAGTGTGGATGAAACCCCCCCCATCTCTTCTGACAAGTCATCCATGCTTGGCTCTCACACACACAGCTGTTAGGGGGTGGCTGAGCCCCATGGATTCTGCACCAGACCCAGATCTCCTTCACCTTCTCTCCTTTATAAACTTTTTTTTTAAAGAACCTTTGCTTACAGGGGAGCTGAGCCCCCAACAAAAGGTGAGACTCCAGCCCCTTAGTTTGCAGAGAGGGGCCAATACGCAGAGTCCTGGGACCAGAGAATCTTATTTCCTCTTATTTCCTTCAAATGTGTGTGATTGCATACATACATTTGAATTAGCAAATGCAAGTAATTTGTGCCATGGACCTGGGCTTAGAGTCTTTGAAAGACCTAGCAGCACTTCCTACCCTCACCCTGCCCCAAACCTCTTGGATTCTGGTATATCCTCTTCCAACCTCCTGCAAGAAATTCTGCCCCACACCCAAGTGCCTCGGCTCCCGTTGGCCTCTGCTAGGAGGCTTCCTCTCCCACCGCCCCCTGCACCCAGAAGAGTTTGACTAACAAAAGGATCTTGAATTCTCCATTGAAGGTTTATTGGTTGCCATTATCATTACTAGAATTAATGTATTAATTGTCTTCTAACCCACCGTCTCAAAGCAATTTACATATAAGGGAATTAAAATCGTTCATAGTAAAGATTTATCCAGCTGTGAGAGACAGTTTCAGGGTTTTATACCACAACTAAAGGCATTATCGTGTCTGTAGGAAGTACAAAATCGGTATATTTTAGAGCAAGGGACAGGTTCTCGAAAAGTTCTACTCTGCCCCACTGCTCCCTGGGTCTGCTTGTGCCCAGTCACAAAATGGTGGTGCAAGGGGCAGAGTCAACTACAAAATGGCGACATCTGGAGAATAGGTACAATATAGGCTGGTAAACACTGATAGCATTTCCTGCGGCTGTCTAATCCCTCTGCGGAAATGGCTTAATTCTTTGGTGCAGCAGTTTCCTTGTGGCAGGGAGTTCCACAATCCAGCTAAGTAGAGACTTTAACTCTGGAGGCATCGGGGAAACAGCTTCCACATTTTAGGCACAATTTCCTGACCCTGAGTCTTTCAGACTGGGCATGCCTTCCCATTTAATCCGCATCTCATTTGATCGCACCAAAGGTTGGGGAAGCTGTGGACACATTACATTAAACACAATCCATATCTGTCCCCTACCTATCCTGTCATTTCTTAGGAAATACTGCATTTTGACACATTTCCCTCCAAACCATTTTCAATCTGAATTGAGAAAAGGACCTAGCTGAATTTTAAGAGAGTAACCAGTGCACAGTTGTAGAATGGAGGAATGGGACTCTGTGGCCTTCTAGACATTGCTGGTCTCCCACCTCCCAGCAACCCCAGAAGTCAGCATGGCCACGGGCCAGGGATGGTGGGAGCTAACAGTCCAACAACACGTGGGAAATCACAGGTTTGGCTTGAAAGGATCAGCATCTAATGGACCCTTTTTGGTTTTACACTTTCCCTCCCTGCCAGCTGACACCAGTGCTTATCAGCCATCGCTGCAGTTAACTTGCACCTTACTCCCATCCCAAAGTGCCTGTTTCTTTCATCGCTCATCCCTGCCCATTTTACTGTCATAAGGACATAACAGCATTAGAAGAGTCCTGCTGGATCAGGCCAATGGCCCGCCTAGTCCAGCATCCTTTTCTCACAGTGGTCAGCCTGTGAGAAACTTGCAAGCGGGATCCAAGCACAAGAGTCCTCTCCAGCTCCTGCAGTTTCCAGCGACTGGCATTCAGAAGCACAGTTACCTCCAACTGTGGAGGCAAAGCAGAACCGTCATGGCTAGTAGCCATCAACAGCACTCTCTTCCACGAATTTGGGGATACGGTATAGGGGATTCACTCCATTCCTTTGATCATTGTGGTTGCCCTTTTCTTCCTCTTATAGCACCTTCCTTTTCTTATACCCTTCTCTATTCCCAGTTTGGTATTACAGTAAGCCCACAATTTATGAGTTTGTTACGTTCCAGGGATCACACCTAAAGCCCAAATTGTGTATACTCAAAACCCATTGAGTTCAATGGAGGGAGGGGGGGATTGCCAAAGTCATTTTTCCCGGAACCCCAACCCCTTTCTGCCTCTTTTTATTTTTAAATTTGCCACATGCATAAAGTCGAGGGTGAACAAGTTAAATGCACGTAAATTGTGGGCTGGCTCACTGTATTACTTTAAAAAAAAAATATTTACACTGTTATCTCTCTTCATCGTCCATCTTTGCCTGCTACAGATCCACTCTCACCTCATGCTCTAACTGTCCTCTCCCGTGCGCCTATGCGCTGTGCATGTGAGGAGCTGCTGCTGCTGCTGCTAGCGTCCCTCCTGTCAAAAGACTACTGCATGACCATGGGGCGGACTGCAGTGCAGAGGCTCAATGGTGGTGGCCTTTGACGCACAGTCTGAGAAATGTTGATTTTTGTGGATCTGCAAGGAGCAAGTTCTGCATATATGTTACATCAAGCAAAAATAAATAAATCTGGGTGTTATATAACCGGGGGGGGGGGCTTTAAAATTTGCATACTTACTCCTACACCAACCTAAATTGGTCACAAGAACACCAGAATATGTATATAATACCTCTCTGTTCAGATATCTGTACTGGTTGCGCCCATTTGCTATGGGACCAAATTCAAGGTGTAACTACTATTATATAAAGCCTTTAACAGCTTGGGACCAGTATACTTGCAGGATCGCCACACCCCATATATGCCCACTTGACTGATTTGATCGGTGGAACTGGCACTGCTACACATAACACCTGCTAAGCACTTGTAGAAAATCTATTTTTTAGCATGGCAGCACCCACACTTTGGAACTACCTGTCTATTGAGATGAGGCAGGTGCATTCGCTGTACTCTCTTCAGCACCGGCTTGAAACATTTTAGTTTAGGCAAGCCTATCCATGGCCAGGCACCGAGAAGTTACACCTGTTTTATCTCCTGTTGATTTTAACTCATCTTTCCAATGCTTTGATATGCTTGCTTTTAACTGCTTTTTTGCTGAGATTTTTAATGTTTTATTTCACATTTTTGCAAACTGCTTAGAGGGTTGGTTGTTTTTCCTACAATCAAAAGGTATATAAATTTGGTTAAGTAAGTAAAATAATAATTGAGCCCTGCTGGATCAGATCTACAGAAGTATGAAGGTAACCCGAAAGGTACAATGCTTCTGAACACAGAGGATCCACCTAGCTACCATGATTACTGACCTACCCATCCACCATGTCGAAAAGAAGGTAACATTTCCTGTGCTATTAAAAAATATATGCACACATACATTTTAGAATAAAAGGAGGGGAATACAAACTGACAAAGACCAGAAATTCATCCCTAGAAAGATGGGGGAGAGGGGATTCTGCAAGGCCTAGAGCAGCCATTTGATTAGATCTGTCAAGCGGTCCTTATTCACCCTTTGTCAAAAATTATTATTCCAATAATTCACAGGAAGGGGCCAGTTGTTAGAAAAATGGCCCTCTCCCAGCCTGTCTTCCCTCATTCCTCGTAAGGAAGGTAATTCATTGAATTGCACGCCAGTCCAGGCCCTAAATCAGCCAATGCACCAAAGCCCATACACAAACACCAGTTGAGAAGGAGGTTTCGATTAACCAGGATGCTCTCCTACACAAGTTTCACTGAACAGAAGATGCACACCAATTCACTTCTTCGAGAGTCCATCTTTCCCTTAAGCGTAAATTTCCCATAACATTTCCCAGTACCACATTTCTCTCCTCAAATGTGTTTCCTGGCCTTGCACAGTTATGCCCCCACCTCTAGTCTGACCTCTCTCCCTCTCTCACACAGAAATGGTGCTGTACGTAAGCATTCTCTGACCTCCCCTTCCTCCTAGAGCAGTTATGGGAGCATTCTAGGGAGCACAAGACTACGGTGAATGGGGAAGGAGTCAAGCGGCAGGCTAAGTCTTTTATATCCTTACAGCATTTGATGTTGGGGGGAGAAAGCTCACTCACAACAGAGACAGGACCGCTTGTAAATTTTTGACAGTGTCAACCACACAGATGACACTATATAAATAATACACAGCAAGAGGGATGACAACGGTTTTTAAAACTGGTTAACTCGCCAGTATTTCAGCAGCAAATTAAATTTAAATATATTTGCATACCGCCTATCCTCAGTGGAAAAATCCCTGCCGAGGTTTTCAAGAGAGATGCCCATTATGTAACTGTAGATGTAACTTACAATTTCTGCCAACTCTGCACAAGCCATCTCAGCATCTTCTAATCCTGACTATGCCAACCTGGCGCCCTCCAGATGTTGTTGGGCTGCAACTACTGCCAGCCCCTGGGGCTGATGGGGAATTTCAGTCCATAACATGTTGGGTGAGGGTGGGCACCAGGCTGGCAAAAGCTGTTGTACTGGAATACAGTGAAGACTGAGTGAAACATCAACATGGCCCTGACAGTGACACAACCTTCAACAGCCCAAATCCCGGAGTTTTTGCTCTTTGCTAAACTCAAGCTACCAGCATGAGTTTGTCCAAACTGCGGGAGGCAGTGGAAGACAGGAGTGCCTGGCGTGCTCTGGTCCAGGGGGTCACGAAGAGTTGGACATGACTAAACGACTCAACAACAACAACAACAGCAAGAAACCCATTGATTAAGTGGGGTGGGGAATGTCGCCCAGTTAATCAGCTGGTGATTAGTCACACCAGACTGAAGTCTGCAGTCCTCAGAAAGAAGGACAATTTGCTGTATGGTTGCAACTTGCTGGCACATTTCCCCTGACTTAGCCTGTGCTGTTCCACATCAGAAACAGGAGTTTGGGTAGGAGAGGCGAAAATTATCCAATCCCAACATGCTCTCCTTTCAAGCATGGCAATGCTCACCAACCTTCTGCCCCTGTCCCATTCCATCCCTACCCACCCCCTTTGTACAACGGCACACTGTGCCACATCCCCCGCCCACCCCATGCTATCTTGAAAAGGTTCCACAGCGGATGGGGGTAATACATGTCTTCTTTCAGGTTCTTCAATGACATGGGCAATGTGGATATTTTAATACTGTCCTACCATACAGGGCTGTTGTGAAGAACAACCAGAGACCACTACAAAGAGTAAAAGCAGCAGCAAGTAAGCAACAACCCAAGAAAACCCACACCACCCATCAGCAGCTTTAAAAGTGTTTCTAAAATGTTTTTCAACTTTGGAGAGAAAGAAATCCCGGTGCCAAAGGATGATAACAAACCGGCAATTTTCCCTGAGGAAAGCATTCTGCAACTAGGGCCCCACCCTCCTCTGAAAATCTTAACAAACAAGGAGGTGCATCTAGAGAACGGCAGCCCTTCCAGTATGCATAATGCTCCTATTTATTACAACAATTGATCAAAAACCACCACTTCACTCTGCACAGTGCTGACTAATTAATTTCAGGATAATTGGCCTTTCTGGATTTGAACCCACCAACACTTAGGATGAATCAGGTTCTGCTGGCCACACACCATCAGGCTTTGAAACAGGGTGGATCTGAGGTGTGAGGGGGGGTGAGGCCTTCCTCCAATTCTTCATCCCTCTCCTGTTCACCAAAATCACATGTGCTGCTGATTCACAGATTGTTTTGCCGGTCACCCTCCACTGTGAGGGGTTACTCCCTCACAACAACGTCCCACAAAAAAAACTTTTTGTCCAAGAGACAACTCCATATCCGTAACCCACACCCCACCCCGCCACCCATCGCAGCCCTCCCCACCGCTTCTCACAATGATAAATACCTCTCAGTAGGGTAGAGCGGAGGCTACGTGTGATGTGAGGTTCTGGTGTCTCTGTGTGAGGGTCAGCATCCAATATGGTGGATACAGAAGCCATGCACCACAGCAGACAAAGACACAGCAGGCACACAGACTAGGGCTTAGCCTGAGCCCAAGTAACATGCCACAAACCACAGAATTTAAATGCTGGTGTTATATCCTGGAGACAGGGTGGTACACATTCAGCAGTGTGAAGCTCACTGGGTGACACCTCAGGCCAGTCACTTATTTTGCTTATAGGGATCTGAAATTTAGACGGGTTCCAAAATTTGGCTATTGCTGAATTTGAAATAGCAAGCTTCTTTTCTGGGAAGGGTTGGTTGGTGCAGGTGTGAGTGTGTTTGTATTCTAGGGAGCAGCCGAGACACTGTCAAATGCCAATGGTGCTGAACGACAGGATCCTCGTGCAAATGCTTCAACACAGTGGGAGGAATGCCCAAGAGCCTGGCGGCTGGATCAGGCAAAGGGGGCCCATCCCGGTCTCACAGTGGCCAACCAGATGCCCATTATGGGAATCCCACAAGCAGCTCCTGAGCGCTCTCCTCACCTGAGATTCCCAGCAAGACCTGCTTAAATGAGTCTCGCACCAGTGCTCGTTTTAAGGAAGCAAAAAATAAAGAAACAAAGGTTTCCATTTCAGGGGAAGAGCTCCAGTCGAGGGAGCAGGATCCTTTCAGGTCTAGCAAAGACACAAACCATAAGCTAATACGCCACGAACTCTCACAGTGATAAACGGACACACTAAAAAAAGCACCCTTGAATGTAGCACACGTGTAACTGTAGCATGCCCAAAAATATGCAAAGATGCCCAAGTTACACCCTGTACGCTAAGATGTCACACCCACCAGCGCTTGTGAAAGACCACAAGTGCTTCAATGAACGTAGGCAGATGTCTCCAGTGCCACTGATGTTATGATAACAATATTCCTCCTGCCCAGGGAGCAAAGCACGCTTTCAAAAGCATTTTATATGCTCAGGCACACCCTGCTGTTCCAGAGATGCTTTATATTGTTAAGGAAGACCCGCAAAAAATGTGTCTATGTTTTAAAAAGTGATGTGTGGTGATGCACAGGGAAGGAAGCATTTGTGTCTCTTTCAGTCTTTCCCAACCTAGTGCCCTCCAGATGCTTGAACTACAACTCCCATGTGTTGTCTGGGGCCGATGGGAATTGTAGTCCAAAACAGCTGAAGGGTGCCAGGTTGGCACAGGTGATTCTATTTGCTAAGGCACTGGCACTCCCCCCTCCAGAAGCATACAGTTGGCGGCAAACACTCATCAGCTACCACATATTATAGGAAGACACACACTCCTTCCAAGAGCTCCCTCCATACAGAGCAGCACACAGACACATTCGCAGTCATGACAACCCTGCGCTGAGTCACTGTGCTTTGAAAAAACAAAAGGGTTGCACAGTTGCACTTGCCGTGAAATACACACACACACATGTGCATGGAGAGCTTTACGTGGACGAATAACAACCCCACACAGAGAAGCGAAAACAGCGCCACACACTCCCCCTCACTCGCACACCTATCAAAACGCCAAAGTCTAAATCTTACCACCACCAAAAAATCACACATACGGCCTACTACAGAGACAGCAACAGCCAAACGCCACCTGACACACGAAACACACACATGCTGCCACGTGGACGGTGGTGTCCACGAGCTCCAGTGCAGGCCACAGGTGGGTGCGGGTGTGGCGGAGTGCGGGTGTGGCAGGGGTGGGCAGGGCCGGGTGTGGCAGGATGGTGTCCCCTCTCCTGGCCGGGGCACCCGCGCCCCCCCTTCCTACCTTCATGGGGGAGATGTGCGAGTGAGACACATAGCCGTGGACGCTCTCGATCTGGGACAGGTTCTTCTCCGCCACGTGGACCAGCTCAGGGGCCTTTACCTGGTTGGGGAGGTGGGCGGGGCTGTGCTCCAACGGGGGGCTGTCTTCATCTTGGTAACGATATTTCTGAAAGGGAAGAGGCAGAGCGTCAGTGCCACGGCACGCCATGGAAGCAGAACACTGCTGGGTCGGCATAACAGTGCCATGTCAGGATGCGCACCCAAGCCTCGTCACCTGAAACCGGGGCGGGGAGCAGCAGAGGCCACTCTGCTCGCTTGGCCCTGCGCCTCCCCTCCCAGAAGCCTTTGCAAAAGGAAGCAGCCACGGGCAGGCTTTCACCCCCTTTCTTTTGCCCTGTGCCCCTAAAGAGCTGTATGGCAGGCTGAGATACAACAGGTACTGAACCCCTTGAGATGTGGGGATAGGAAAACTTTTACCTGTGCCCCTAACAGCTTCATGGCAGGGTAAAATCCACGGCAGACTACAGAGTCCCTTGGGGAGACTTTTACCTGTACCCCTAAAGAGCTGCACATGGGCCTTGAGAATAATAGAATTGTAGGGACCACAAGGGTCATCTAGTCCAGCCCCCTGCAATGCAGGACTGTTTTTACCCAACGTGGGGCTTGGACCCACAACCCTGAGATTAGGAGTCTCATAATCTACAAACAAGGGAGGTGGGTGGCGCTGTGGGTTAAACCACAGAGCCTGGGACTTGCCGATCAGAAGGTCGGCGGTTCGAATCCCCGTGACGGCGTGAGCTTCCATTGCTCGGTCCCTGCTCCTGCCAACCTAGCAGTTCGAAAGCACGGCAAAGTGCAAGTAGATAAAGAGGTACCGCTTTGGTGGGAAGGTAAACGGCGTTTCCGTGCGCTGCTCTGGTTTGCCAGAAGAGGCTTAGTCCTGCTGGCCACATGACCCGGAAGCTGTACGCCGGCTCCCTCGGCCAGTAAAGCGAGATGAGTGTCGCAACCCCAGAGTCAGTCACAACTGGACCTAATGGTCAGGGGTCCCTTTACCTTTACCTTTAATCTACTGAGCTATGGTAGTGGGGCTTTTACCTGTTGATTCTCCATCTGCCATGCAGTTCAAGGCTTGGCAGAAGAGGCAGAAGGAGGCCACCTGCCCATCTGTCCTCCCTGTATTGTATTCCACCTTTACAGCTACCATTTCCTCTCCTGTACTAGCAGTGGCCAGTGCTTCAAGCAACAGCCTCTCCCAGCTGTATTGGGCAACTGAGCCTGGAACCTTCTGCATGGCAAGCAGATGCTTAGCCACTGAGCGACAGCCCTTCCCCCACGTTCTCATGGGCTGTTTGCCATGCATCCCATCCCCAATAAAGGCTGGCTATGGTGCAATAAAGGGACGTGGGTGGCGCTGTGGATTAAACCACAGAGCCTAGGACTTGCCGATCAGAAGGTCGGCGGTTCGAATCCCCGTGACGGGGTGAGCTCCCGTTGCTCGGTCCCTGCTCCTGCCAGCCTAGCAGTTCGAAAGCACGTCAAAGTGCAAGTAGATAAATAGGTACCGCTCCGTCGGGAAGGTAAACGGCGTTTCCGTGCGCTGCTCTGGTTCGCCAGAAGCGGCTTAGTCCTGCTGGCCACATGACCCGGAAGCTGTATGCCGGCTCCCTTGGCCAATAAAGCGAGATGAGCGCCGCAACCCCAGAGTCTGTCACAACTGGACCTAATGGTCAGGGGTCCCTTTACCTTTTTATGGTGCAATAAATCCAACTGCACTGTGCAGACCCAGTGCAGTTCATGTTTCATTGATTTATCTATTGAGCAAGGAACTGAAGACTGACCATGGACCAATCACTAACTCTCAGCCTAACCCACCTCACAAGCTGGTTGTGAGAATAAGCGGAGGGGGACGGATGGACCATGTTCACCACCTTCAGCTCCTTGCAGGAATATTGGGATTTGAACAGAATAAATAAGTACCGTACAATAAAATGTTTGGGATTCCCAAGTCTCCCCCTCAATCTGAGATCCTCTGAAGGGGCATCTGGTGGTTCCCTGTACCTCTGAAGTTTAATTGAGCTTTCAGTGTGGCAGACCTTGCTTGCCCTTTCCAACTCCCTGCCTGTAGAGGTTTGGCAGGAACAATACCTGCCTTCTTTCATAAGTCTTCTGAAAATTGTGCTTTTTAAGACAGGCCTTAACAGTATGTCCCCCCCCCCCTTTTTACCAAATGTATCTATTGGTGTTTTATTAGCTGTTTTTTCCCCCCCACTTTTTACTGATGTTTTTAGTTCTGTTTTATATGTATACAATGATTTTTTATTGTGCTCTATGTTGTAAGCTGCTTTGATGTATTTTATGAAAGCGCAGATCATAAACATTTAAATAAATAAATCATCCCTGAATATAGGCTAAAGCTGGCTGGGGCTTCTGTGAACTAGGATTCCACCCACAGGTGGTGGGGGGTTGGCTCCTATGGTGGCTCCCCGCCTCCCCTATTGACTAAGGGTTGCATTTATTATTTAAAAAAAACCACTTTCACACACAAAAAGCATCTCAATTTAAAATTCACTTCTCCCACCCCCCATAAGACCACTTCATACACAAGAGCTCAGCACCTGAAACTGCAGGATCCAAGAGTACCTGTGTAAGTGTAAAGTTCCTTCCTCTCACTAGAAAGCAGCCGTTCACATCAGGCCTGAGATTAGTCCATGCCTCAGCAGCCTTGCATGAGAGGTGTTAACACAAGGGGAGAGACACCATCCGGAGCCAAACCACCTGCCTCCTCCTTTTCCTTCCTTTCTGTGCTTTTCTACAGATAAACCACATTCAGGGGAGAGGATGGGGAGGGACTTCATCCAAATCGCTTCTCTCTCGTGCTCAGCTGATATTTCTCCAGCTCTGGAGTTTCTTTTCTAGACAGACATTGCGGTGTTTTCGTTCTACCACTAAGCACTTTCAACTGCTCAACTGTCATGTTTTAGTTTGTCTGGGTACCCGCTCAGGATGTGGCACCTGTGGGATAGATGCTAAAATCACCCAAGAGTATACATAAACACATAGCAGCACATTATGCGTATATAAACTATGGAACTCCCTCCCTCAGGAGGCAGTGATGGCCACAAACTCAGATGTCTTTAAAAGAGGATTGGATGGAGTCACGGAGGATATGGCTACAAGCCTCCATGGCAATGCACTAGCTCAAGTGCTGGAGGCAGTATGCCTCTGAATATCAGTTGCCAGGAATTGCAAGTGGGGAACCTGGAACCTTCTGCATGCGAAGCATCTATCCACTGAGCTATGATCAGTGGGTAGAGCAGGTAAATATCTATCCTTGCCTTCTATTGAGAATGCTTTAACAATCAACCCCTCTTCCCAGGCAGCTTCGTGAGGGGAACAGGGATCCCCTAACAACTCTAAACACACTTAACAAACTACAGCTCCCATGATTATTTGCGGCAAAGACAGGGTGAGCTCCCATTGCTTGGTCCCTGCTCCTGCCAACCTAGCAGTTCGAAAGCACATTGAAGTGCAAGTAGATAAATAGGTACCACTCCGGCGGGAAGGTAAACGGTGTTTCCGTGCGCTGCTCTGGTTTGCCAGAAACGGCTTAGTCCTGCTGGCCACATGACCCGGAAGCTGGACGCTGGCTCCGTCAGTAAAGCGAGATGAGAGCCGCAACCCCAGAGTCGGCCACGACTGGACCTAACGGTCAGGGGTCCCTTTACCCTTTACCTTAGCTTTTAAGTGGTGCATGCTTGTCATCCACCAAAAGTGAATTATGAGTAGCGGACGTATCTTTTCCTCCCACCCACATAAATAATAATAAAATTGGTATCTTGCTGTAATTAAAAAACTAACAATTTTGTTGAGATCAAAAATCTTGGATGGCTTTAAAACAGAATGAGTTAAATTCCTATTGGAGAGGGCTAGGGATGGTTACTAACCACCATGGCTATCTGCTGCTACAGTTGGAGGCAGCAGTGGTTCTGAATATTGGTTGCTGAGAGTCACGGGATGGGAGAGGGCTCTTGTGCTCGAATCCCACTTGCTGGTTTCCCACAGGCATCTGGTTGGTCACTGCGAGAAGAGTATGCTGGACTAGATGGACCACTGGCCTGATCCAGCAGGCTCTTATGTTATTATGCTGCAGCTGGCAGGCATGAACATTGGAGCCTGAACTGCAGCGCCCAAGAGAGAAGCAACATTGTGCACAAATATAAACAGGCAATCTAAGCTTCAGGTCACCATTCTAGCGCGCACACACACACACACACACACCCCTAGATGCAATGAACATTCACAGCAAGCCTCTCTCGATACGCACATGCACACATTTGCCTCTGCACTGCCTCCGCATCAGATTCCTTCAGATCCTAGGCAGTGAAGGAGAAATCAGTGTGGGCTGGGAGTGGGTGTTTAGGAACAGGCCCCTCCCCTCCTCATCCCAACAAGATGCCCCAAAGCAGAAGAAAATAATTAAGGCGGATGCCTCACCACTGCTCAATCCTCTGGAGCCACCAAAGCCTTTAAGAACACAGGACGGCTGGGAGTTTTAAAAATGCACATTTGCCAGGAATCACGGATGAATGGGGAAGCAGAGAGCTGTGGAGGAAGGATTTAATTGGAGGGGGGCAAGTTCCTGGGCCCTGGGGAGATGAATCTCCAGCAAGAGAGTGAGTGTCACCTACTGGGGATGATTCACACATACATGCAACACCAACGTGACATTGAATTAACTGGGAATTGCCAGCTGTCCTTGCAAGAAAAGTATTTGGATCGGGATAACACAAGAGAATGGAATTGTGGGATCTGACCGGCAATGGATGCTTCACATGTGCAAAATATCAAGCAATGATATAGGAATGTGGTCAAGCGATATTAGATCTTACAACTTTCAGCTAATAATAATGATGATGAGGATGATGATAATTCTTTTTAACAACTTATGTGGGAACATAGGATGCTGCCTCGTATCAAATCAGATAATGGGGTTCTTCTACCTCAGTATTGTTGAGACTGACTGGCAGCAATGGCTATCCAAGATTTCAGGATCTCTCCCAGTCCTATCTAGAGAGGCAGTCACAGATCGGATGCGAGACTTTCTGCATACAAGGCAAGTGCTCTACCACTGAGCTAGCACCCTTCCCCAGCAGAGAAGAAAAGTTATGCTTCTCTTTACCAGGGACTTTATGGACACTGGCCAATGCGTGGCTGTACTGGTTTGGTGTCCTGTACATACCACACTTCAGTACAAGGTAGTCTAGGAGAAGGAGCAGAATTCCATTCCCCCAACAGCAAGCATTGTAGCTTAAGTTCTTGGGGGACACCACTTCTCTGCATCAGAAATTATTCTTGAAAAACCTGTGGTCCTCTAGAAATTGCTGGACTCCAGCTCCCATCAGCCCCCGACAGCATGGTCAACGCTCAGGAAATGTTGGGAGTTGCAGTCCAGCAACATCTGGAGGGCCACAAGTCCCCTGTCCTTGCTGTAGAGCAGGGGTGGGTAAGGTTTCTCAGCCCGTGGGGTGACAGGATTGGTGGAGCCAGGAGCCAAAGTGGGTGAAGCAACTTTTATTTATTTTTACCTTTGTACAGTAGGTTGGCTTCTACACACACACACATACGCATCTCTAGTCCCTATCCAGGCAAGAATGATCAGAGTTCAAGGATACATTCTAGCTAGGCAAATACATTCCAGAAATGTCCCAAGCAATGCTGCTGAAATGTGTAGTCTGCGGAGCATTCGAAGGGCCAGATAGGGAACCGAGGAGGGCCACATTCACCTCCTGGAACAGAGGTTCTCCCACTCCCGATTTAGAGGAAGCTGCCTTGATTCACTGTGACAACCGACTAAGGACTGAGATTAATTATATAAAAATACCACACAGGAAATGGTGGAAGAGCTGTGTGAAACTCAGACGCTTGCACCATTCTTAAGCTTCTGGATGAATCTTTCTGTGGACTGGCCAGACAGAATTGGTCCAGGGTTATGTCCTGTACAGTACTTAGCATGCACATACCGCTGGCCCCAGATAATTGTCAAACAGTGGCAGTAATGCATTGTATAAACGGAAGGGTTAAAAGAAAAAGAGATTATAGGGTTCTTCCTGCTCAACACTCTTCAAAGCCTCTTTTTTTCTCTTTCAAGTACTAGGAGTTTCACAGGAAGCAAAAATTCTTGCCTGTTAACAGGAATAGAACATCCTCACTGGAGTTGGGTCGTTATCGTGTTGATTAACAAAAAAAAAAAAATCAACTGAGCAGAGGGGACTAATTAGCTCTGTTCCTGACATGCGGTGGGCATGTAGAGTACAGGAACAAAGCCTCTGTGAAACGAATCCCAAATGGAAAGGAAGATGAAGATGGAGAGAGAGAGTTGATTTCAGCAGATTTTCAGATTCCAGCAGCATAAACACCAATACGTATATACAGTACTGGATATGTTTTCCAGGATGTCAAAATGGTCTAGAGAAGCAGTGTGTACAAGAACTACAGGCCTTACTTTTAATGGTTAGTTGGCAAACCAACTCCACCCATTTCCTCTGCCATCTTGCAGTTTTCCAGGGCCTGACTGGTTCCCTCCCAGTCTGCTTTGCTGACTGGCTGGGTGCTATCATAAAAACCCTCTCAACTTGTTCACTCTCAACTTGACGCTTAACACTTCACCTGAGTACAGGTGACATGGCTGTGAGGGCTGGGGCTCAAGGGAGTTGTAGTATGAAACACCTGGAGGGTACCAGGTTGGGTGGGGAAAGGTGTGATTTACTTTTGCCATGACTCTAAACCAGGCTTCCTTAACCTCGGCCCTCCAGATGTTTTTTTGGCCTCCAACTCCCATGATCCCTAGCTAGAAGGACCAGTGGTCAGGGATGATGGGAATTGTAGTCTCCAAACATCTGGAGGGCCGAGGTTGAGGAAGCCTGTTCTAAACAGAATTCTGCTGTTCTGTTGGGTGGGTCCAGCCGGTCCAATCAGATGCCTCCAGGAAGCAGGTGTCTGGAGGCAACATTCCTCCCCAGGTTTGGATCCACTGCAAATGGCACTCATGGGTAGAATGCCACTGAACATGGGTATTCCATTTAGTCATATCACAGCTATAAGGATGAATATAGACTTCCCCTCCTCCTCAAATTTTGTCTAATCCCCCTTTGAAGCCATCTAAGCCAGCGGCAGCCTCCACACTTCGGAGGAAGCAAATTCCTTAAACAAATTATGCATCATGCAAAAAACACTTTCCTGTTGTCGGTCTTGAATCGTCTCCTATTCGATTTCACTGGACGGTGTCCGAGTTCCATTCTTATAGGAGAGAAACAGGGGAAAAAGCTTATTCTGTTTTTCTCTACCCTACACATAAGTTTTACAGACCTATGGGAGGGATGGATTGAACCCTAGCTCAGTGGTGGAGCATCTTCTTGGCACGCAAAACCCCAAGGTCCAATCCTTGGCATCTAAGATAGCAGGCACTAGGAAAGGCGTCTGTCTGGGTGAGACAATATAAGCTAGGTTAGATTTTGATGGTGCCCCACCCTGGGCTCCTTGGGAGGAAGGGCAGAGTATAAATTCAATAAATAAAATGAGTGATAAATAAATGTCAGGAATTCCACATTTCTTTTTCTTTTAAAATCGTCTTCCCATAGGCGGGTCAGATATGCAAGATGGTCAAAGAGCTGGCATCCAGGACCATGTGGTTAGTTTCTTGATGAACAGAGCAGACGGTCCACTCCCCGCTCCTGCCCTCCCATCACATCCTGGTCACTGTCTCTTCGAGCTCTTGCCGTCGGGACGGAGATACAGGACGATGAAGACAAGAACGAGCCGTCTTAAGAACAGCTTCTTCTCCAGAGCGATCTCGGCCCTGAATGGGAAGCCCGGACTTTGAAAGTCATCTAATCTCCCTTGCTGTGTTATACTGTATTGATTAATTAGTGTTTTTATGGAGCAGTCAAGTAATTTCGTTGTCCCCGAAGGGGGCAATGACAATAAAGATATTATTATTATTATATTATTATTATTATTATTATTATTATCACAAAAAAGCCTCTCATCATTTTGCTTGGAAACTGGTCAAAACCGACATACTCCTTGCAGGGGTTGGTGATGGTTTGAATTCAGTTAGGATTTTTCAACAAGACACTCCTGTTATACACGCACAACTTGACAGCCTGCTTGTGTGTTAATTTTGCATTAACAGAGCAACTTTGGAAAGGAACAGCTAAATTTTCCAGGCATTTGGGGTTGGTATCTCCATGAATTTTACAGGCAAATTTGAAATGGATATATTAAAAGGACAGCATATTTATTTGTCTGTTTGTTTTAAAGGGAGGGATGAATTGCAAGATACACACACTTCTCCAACATGGCTATTTTTCTCCCACAATCTTTCGCATGAACACAAGTAGTCCACTCTCATTCCACCATCTCTGAAAAAGAACTTGGGGGAGCATCACAAAGTTTAACATGTATCAGAAAAAACCTCTCACAGGTCATAGGAAGCTGATTTGTACTGAGTCAGACAAGCCTCACAGAGCTCACATTTCCCAGCACCCTATTATTGTTGTTGTTGTTGTTGTTGTTGTTGTTGTTGTTGTTCTTGTTGTTAAGATTTAGTTCTTAACAATACTACAATGATGTGTTCAAAAATATATAAACCATCCTTTAGCAATTTAACATTACATTCAACATACATATAGCCAAATATTATTATTTATTTTCACCTTCTTTTTCCCCAGTGGCTTCCCTCCACCCATGCTTGGAATTATTAGCTCTATTACGGTATCTTTTAGGTTGTATTAAGCGGTATATTATTGCTATTGACCATGAAACCGTGTACCTTTTACCTCTTAACTTTGTGGGTTTCAGTCTAAACATATCAATAGATCACTTTTGGAACATCGTTTTACCATGCTTTCATCTACGCTTAACCATTCTTTCTTTAAATTTTGATTAGATTGTAATCTGATTGCCGCCGTCATTTTAGCCAATTCAATAAATTCACAAAAATTAATTTGCCATTCTGATACTGTTTTCCCCAGCACCCTTAACTAACAGCAGCTTCCAGGATTCTTTGAGGGGGAGTCCTGTGCTTTAAATGTGTGTTAAATGTCCTTTAAATGTAGGGTGTTACTGTTCCCACTGACTGAAGTGCTCTAGGGTTTCAGACAGATCATCCCCAGTCCTACCCTGAGATGCTAGGCGCAGGGGTAGGCAACCTAAGGCCCGGGGCTGGATCCGGCCCAATCACCTTCTAAATCCAGCCTGTGGACGGTCCAGGAATCAGCTTGTTTTCACATGAGCAGAATGTGTGCTTTTATTTAAAATGCACCTCTGGGTTATTTATGGGGCATAGGAATTCATTCATTTTTTCCCCCAAAATATAGTCCGGCCCCCCACAAGGTCTGAGGGACAGTGGACCGGCCCACGGCTGAAAAAGTTTGCTGACCCCTGTGCTAGGGATTGAACCTGGGACCTTCTGCCTACCCCCTGAGCTACAGTACTTGAAACCTGAAGTCCTGAAGTTAGATTCAGCTCTTGAAACCTGAAGTCCATCCATTCAGAATCATTTCTATGGTGATTTACACCAGTCTGCATCTAACAGAGCCCTGACCCCACTGGATGAACTTATGTGACGTCATCAGAGCTTCAGCCACACAACAGCAACAAGTGCTGCTTCCAGAGAGGGAAGCAAAGGTTAGCTTGACTGGGCAGAGGGGGGAAATCTCACAAAGGGAAAGCATGGAATGCTTTGGAGTCGAGGGGACAGGGAAGTCAAGGAGGCACCTCATGGAAGGAAAAGGAACATGCCTGAAAGTCACATCGTGATTGAACCATCATATAGTTTGTCCCTAGCTCTTTGTCTTGATAACTGCAGCCAATAAAAATTGGCTACAGGTAGCAAGGAAAGTAAGCATTCATAAAATGGAAGATTCTGTATTTCAGGATGTCAATGTATCTCTGTGACTAAACACAGGATGTCAGGGCCAGTAACTTTTGTAGACTCCTCTGGAAGGATGAACTAACCGTACTACTAATTAAAATCAGACTCAAATACTGCAAGAAGCACCATACAACTAAAATCTAGCAATGATTTCCAGAGGTTTAGTAGTCGTGTTAGTATGTCGTGGATTGTACAAAGCTGATGCCATAATACTGCTTTTTTAAAAAAATGTATTTAAGATGCCACAACAGTCTCCCTTGTTTAAAATACACACAAAATAAGTTGAATAGCACATGGAGCAGATGGCAATTAAACCTCTGTTTTAAACCAATATTTTGCTTTATTAGAACATGAAAAATCACCAGCTCTGCAAAACACGGGGACAAAAAGTAGTCACTCGCTGTCTCACCACTGTAAAAGTCTCTAAGAAGATAATTTTGTTCAAACTGTAGGAAATTGTATTCAAACATAACTATGCATGAGTACTAGTTAATGCACAAAGAGGTTAAGACCACAGAGGTGTGTTCCTAGACTCAGTTTAAGTCAGGCCCCCACACCGCTGGTGAGGGAGGAAGTGAAGCTTCTTCTCTTCCTTTCCTCACTCTCTCGTTGCACCATGTAACCAACCAGGACATGTTTGAAATGAAATGCTGTATTTTGCACCTGTTATGTACTGAGTTGAATAGGATCCAAACTGCAGCAGTCTGATTGGTCGTAGAACAATAGGATCCAAATTGCAGCAGTCTGATTGGTCCTAGAACAATAGGATCCAAATTGCAGCAGTCTGATTGGTCCTAGAACAATAGGATTCAGAATGCAGCAGTCTGATTGGTCCTAGAACAATGCAGCAGTATGATTGGTTGGCAGGAACCACCCAATCATGCTCCAGATATAAGTGAATCCACAACCTGATTGGCTTACAGTAGAATTCCAGAATTAGCCAATCATGTGCAGCCCATTGTGTAAATAATGTATATAAAGCAGATACTTTGAGGGGACTTTCATTCATTCCTCCTCACCACTATGAGCTGAATAAAGAGCATGAAATCACTTTGCGACTCTGAGTATATTTCACTGGCGACGAAGGTGGGATCCCGCTGAGCTGACTGCCACACACAGCACCGCAGCACCGCCACCTGCCGCACCACTGCCTCGCACCGTGTATCCAGGCTTCAGCTCCGGGACACAAGGAACTCAGAATGGCAACCGACAGCAGCTTCTCGCCGTTCAACCCAGCATCTGGAGACTGGGAAGCGTACGCCTCCCGTTTCACCGTCCTCCTAGAAGCCAAAGAGGTCACCGATGAAGAAGACGCCAAGAAGAGGGCGATATTCTTCAGCATCTGCGGAGAGGAGACGTTTGAAATCGCCCGGGCTCTCCTTGCACCTGAAGACGTCGCTACTGTTCCATACAAAACAATAATGGAACAGCTGAAGGGGCACTTTTCGCCGCAGCCCTCAGTGGTGGCTCGTCGAAATGCCTTCTACGCAAAGCGGCAAGCCCCTGGGGAAACCATAACTGGGTTTGTGACCTCTCTCCGCCAAGCCGCCCGGTTCTGCAACTTCTCAGAGCTGGAGAACATGCTTCGGGACCGCCTCATCAGTGGCCTGAAGGATGAGAAGCTGCAACGACGCCTCTACGCTAAGAAGGACCTAACGTTCCAGGTTGCTCTGGAGGAGGCCCTGGAAACGGAAGCTGCCAAGAGGTCGACGCAAGAGGCACGGCCGAGCCTGCCATCCCAACCGAGGGTCCACCACGAAGACCTCACCGACGACTCAGGATCTGACAGGGAGGAGGTGCACCGAGTACAGCAGCGCACTCAAGCAGCCCACATACCACAGCTGCCTCGACGAGAAGGAGGGAACTGCGCAAGCTGCGGGGAAAGTCACGAGAGGAGGACCTGCCGTTTCCGCAACGCAGAGTGCAGGCAGTGCAGAAAATCGGGACACATCGCCCGGGTGTGTCGAGCTCGGCCCACCCGACGCCAGGCATCAGATGACCAATCCAAGAGCCCCAGGTCCCGGGGCCCAACGCACCAAGGCAACTCGACGGAGCTCACGGACTTCCAGGTATACCAGTTGCCCCACCCCAACGTAGAGAAAATTTATGTAGAGGTACAGATAGAGGGGCCCCATGCCGCATGGAGCTTGACACGGGTTCAACTCTATCCATAATCTCGGCAAGGACCTTAAGGAAACTGTGTCCTACTGGGGGTCCCAAACTCAGGCCGGCCCCATTCACCCTCCGGGACTTCCAGAAACGTAAGGTCCCCACAATGGGGGTGGGGACCTTCAGGGTGCAATACTGAGGGCGGACACGGCAACTGGACTTGCTTGTAGTCAAGGGCCCCTACATTAGCTTACTGGGATTGGCATGGTTTGGACCACTGGGGCTAGCCATCACCGGGGTGAACCACACTACCTTACAAGTGGACGTGGACGCCATATGCAAGGAATTTCCAGGGGTTTTCGATGGGAAATTGGGACAGTATACGGGGCCCCCCATTGCTCTACAGCTTGACCCCACAGTACGACCAGTCAGGCTCAAGGCCCGCCGGGTCCCGTTCGCCCTGAAACCCCGTATAGACGAGGAATTGGACCGGCTCGTGGAGCAAGGAGTGCTGGAGCCGGTGCCTAATGCCCCCTGGGAAACCCCAATCGTCACACCCGTCAAGCCTAATGGTTCGGTCCGCATCTGCGCAGACTACAAATGTACCATAAACAAGGCCCTCACGGCCCATGCATACCCAGTGCCAGTGGTCAGCCATGTCCTTGCCACCCTGGCTGGGTCGAAAATTTTGGGCAAGCTGGACTTGGCCCAAGCATATCAACAGCTGCCAGTAGATGAGGCCACAGCAGAGGCACAGACGATTGTGACGCACAGAGGAGCGTTCAGGGTAAAGCGGCTGCAATTCGGTGTCAGTGTGGCACCAGGCATATTCCAGAATCTAATGGACTCGCTCCTTAAAGGGATTCCTGGCGTCACCCCCTTCTTCGATGATGTGTTGATTGCCGGGCCCACACCAGAGGAGTTTGAGGACCGCCTCCGCACCGTTCTGCACCGTTTCCAGACGGCGGGTCTCAAGGTGAAGCGGGAAAAATGTCTACTAGGAGTGCCTCAGGTGGACTTTCTGGGATTTATGGTGGATGCAGAAGGGGTCCACCCGACTGGGGACAAGGTACGGGCCATTTGTGATGCCCCAGCGCCCAAGAGCAAGACTGAACTTCAGGCCTTCTTGGGACTATTGAACTTTTACCATTCCTTCCTTCCCCACAAGGCGGCGGTAGCGGAGCCCCTACACAGACTCCTGGACAAGCGGGCCCCTTGGGTGTGGGGCCAGCGCCAGGAGGCTGCATTCCAGGCAGTCAAGGACTTGCTTGTCTCAAACTCGGTCTTGGCACACTTCGACGAGAGGCTGCCGGTGGTGCTAGCATGCGACGCCTCGCCCTATGGCATTGGCGCTGTCCTGGGACACCAACTCCCGGATGGAAGAGAGGTACCGGTGGCATACTTTTCCCAGACACTCAACGCAACCGAGCGGAACTACTCGCAAATCGACAAGGAGGGTCTGGCAATCGTGAAGGGAGTAAAAAAATTCCATGATTTCTTGTACGGGCGGCCCTTCACAGTGGTGACTGACCACAAGCCGTTGCTTGGCTTGTTTGGCCCCGAAAAGCAGACCCCCCAAGTGCTGTCTCCTCACGTCCTTAGGTGGTCAATTTTCCTTGCCAGCTACCAGTACGCACTGATTCACCGCCCTGGGAAGGCGATGGGCCATGCGGACGCCCTCAGCAGGCTACCACTACCGGAAACAGGCCCTGACCCAGCACCTGCACAAGAGGTTATGAGCCTGGAGCTGCTTCCCGACCGCCCCATTCAGGCACAAGAAGTTGCACACCATTCCAAGAAAGATAGGGTCATCTCCCGGGTCCTGGACTGGGTGTGGAGGGGATGGCCCAGCAGCAGCCCTGGGCCAGAATTCGCTGGCTACACAACCCGCAAACATGAACTGTCGGCCCACAAGGGGTGCCTGTTATGGGGAAGCAGGGTCGTTGTTCCCCAGCCCCTCCGCAAAAGGGTCCTCACAGCCCTACACGAGACACACCCAGGGGTAGTAAGAATGAAGGCCCTGGCCAGGAGTTATGTGTGGTGGCCGGGGATCGACGGAGAGATAGAGGCCTGGGTCAAACACTGCCAGGCCTGCCAAGAATCCCGCCCAGATCCCCCAAGGGCCCCAGTCCAGTCCTGGGAGTCCGCCCGAGCACCATGGTCACGCCTGCATGTGGACTTCGCTGGCCCCTTTCAGGGGAAAACATTCTTCATAGTGGTGGACTCCTACACCAAATGGCTGGAAGTCGCACTGGTACCGTCCACTCCAAATCCGCAGCCATCCGGGTACTACGCAGGCTGTTTGCAACCCACGGGCTCCCTGACACTCTCATCTCAGACAACAGGACTGCATTTACGTCAGGAGAATTCCAAACCTTCACAGCGCAGAATGCCATCCGCCACATCCGTTCGGCGCCATTCCACCCTGCCACCAATGGCCAAGCAGAACGCATGGTGCGGACCACCAAGGGCACCCTTCGCCGCATGACGCAAGGGGATTGGGAGTACCGCCTTGCCACATTCCTCCTAGCACAGCACAGCACCCCCAGCTCAACGACTGGCCGGAGCCCCGCTGAACTACTAATGGGTCGGCGCCTTGCAATCAGATTGGACCGCCTTCACCCCAATAGAGCTCAGGATGAGGTAGTAGTGGGGGGGGAGGCAGGAACCCCCGGACCTTCGAGGCCCAGGACCCAGTGTACGCAAAGAATTTTGGGGCAGGCCCAGCATGGGTACCCGCCACAGTCACCAGGGTCACTGGCCCCGTGTCGTACGAGGTGCTAACGGATGGGGGGGCAATGCTGGCGCCGCCACTGCGACCAGATACGGCGATGATTCCCAGGAGAAAACCAGGAGGAGGAAAGGTCAGAGGAGTCCCAAGGGAACAGAGGGGCAGTGAGGCCCATAGAGAAGGGGCCAGCAGGAGAGGCAGAATCAGTAAATACAGAGAGGACCCGCGAGGCCGAAAGGACACCGGAACCAGAACCACGACTGAGCGAGCCGGTTGCGCCAGACCAAACAGGCCCATCACAGCCAGCATCCTTGGAACACGAGCCAGAACCTGAACCCCGGACCAGGGAACACCACAGGCCGCAACGCACATGTAGGCCGCCGGCGTACCTCGAGGACTATGAATGCGACCTCCCGGGCAGGACTGGAACTTAGAGGGGAAGGGTGTTATGTACTGAGTTGAATAGGATCCAAACTGCAGCAGTCTGATTGGTCCTAGAACAATAGGATCCAAATTGCAGCAGTCTGATTGGTCCTAGAACAATGCAGCAGTATGATTGGTTGGCAGGAACCACCCAATCATGCTCCAGATATAAGTGAATCCACAACCTGATTGGCTTACAGTAGAATTCCAGAATTAGCCAATCATGTGCAGCCCATTGTGTAAATAATGTATATAAAGCAGATACTTTGAGGGGACTTTCATTCATTCCTCCTCACCACTATGAGCTGAATAAAGAGCATGAAATCACTTTGCGACTCTGAGTATATTTCAGCACCCAACAGTAATCTACCTGTGTTCTCCTTGCTGCTGCATGGAATAACACATGAACTGGACAGTGAGTGGTCTTTTCATTGCTAGAGGGGTAGAGAGAGGTAGCAAGTGTTTTCAGGCAGACAAAAAGAGATATGTAAAAGGGTTTAACAACCTATATTCCACACTATGCTGCTGGTCAACTCTGAGAGTGTTTTTAACTCTGCTGGGGGTTCTCTCCTGCGGGAGAATGTGCAAAGCCAATTCTTTTTCTTGCTTACCCACACATTGGTCAGATCTATATTTCCACCTCCACATACAACATGCAGCACGTAAAAGCAGCACGTACATAATGCTTGATTATAATAAATCCTTTAAGTGGTTTTCAATAAATATTAAAATTAAAAACAATTACAGATGTTTAAAATTAAAAGATTAAATTAAAAGATTAAAACACATCAACATCAATAAATCTGGATAGGTTTCCTAAACAACGTTTTAAGTAGATACTGAAAGGCGTATACATCATGAGGCCATGGTCCAGATTATTCAATAAAATGAAATGTGGCTCTCGCTCAGAGGTTCCAGAATATTTTTATGGAATGCAGGTGTATCAAAGAGAGGAGGGGAAGCAGCATGGGAGTTTGCAGGTGGAATTGATCAGCAGATCCCACACAGCACATGAAACCCTGTGAAACTGCTTAGCACAGAGGTTCTTCTCTTCCCCACGCCCTGAGCACCAGAGCTGTAGGAAGCTAATGCAAGCAGAAATGTTCATGATCACGCCAGCACACAGAAATACACCTCTCTCTGATACAAAATACATGCTGAGACCCACAGAAAACCAACCATCCCCAAAACCCAATAATCAGTGTTTACTGGACATGGAGGACATTTTCATGCTAACAAAGACAACAGGGAGCATTACATACTCCTGAAGAGGGTTATTCAGGGAACTGAGGCTCACTTTACTGCGTCACCATTTGCTCAAACTTAAAGAATGGGAGTACATTACACTGGTTTGTATTTCTCACTTCCCCAAATGGTCCCGTGTTTTGGGGAGCAACCGACAAAGCAAGAGCCCTAGAGATTGTTATAGGGGGGGAAACTGCTCGTTTGAAGTATTTCTAATGTATTTTTATTTATTGATGTAGAAGCTGAGTAGGGGGAGGCAAGCAAAAACTGCTGAGAATCAGCAGGCTACCCCAAAAGCAAACATCAAATTCTATACGGAGCTCAAAGGCTGCTTCTAACTCCCACCTACAAAAATTCAGATAGTTACAAAGCCTTCTTCCAGTCCTTTGCTGGGCAGTGGCTAATCATAAGCTTCTCCTGGGAAGACCAGAAGCAGGACATGAGCACAATAGCCCTCTCCCACATGTGATCCCCAGAAAATGGTAATCAGGGGCATTTACTACCTCTGATCCTCAAGGTACCATACAATCAATATATGACTAGCAGCCATTCTGAGCCTTATCCTCCATGAATCCATCCAGCTCCCATAGCTGACGGCCTCCACACTTTGTGGCAGGGATTTCCATAAGAGCATAAGATGAGCCCTGCTGGATGAGGCCAACAGCCCATCTAGTCCAGCATCCTGTTCTCACAGCAGCCAACCAGATGCCTGTAGGAAATCTGCAAGCAGGACCCAAGCGCAAGAGCACTGTCCTGCGGTTTCCACAAACTGGTATTCAGAAGCATCACTGCCTCCAACCATGGTGGCAGAGCCCAGCCATTGTGGCTAGTACCCTTTGATCACTTTCTCCCCCATGAATTTGTCTGATCCTCTTTTAAAGTCACCCAAGTTGGCGGCCGACACTGCCTCTCGTGGAAGGGGGTTCCACAGTTTAACTATGCACTGTGTGAATAATTCCTTCTTTTTGCTGCTCCTAAATCTACCGCCCATCCATTTCAGTGGATTACCTCAATTAATTTATCACTTATCCACTTGCCATCCATGCCTTGCATTGTTTTTACAAGTTTCTATCACAGTTTCCTCCCCTCGCCCCCCACCCCGCTGGTGACCTTGAGATGTTCTGAATTACAATGGCAGTGCTGACTGGGGCTGATGGGAGTTGTAGTCCGAAACACCTGGAGGGAACCAGATTGGCTCTATCATTCCCTGCTCCCCTCCAGTTAGCCTCCCCACCCCTCTCAAGCTAATGAGTGAAGAAGAAGAGGAGTTTGGATTTGATATCCCGCCTTTCACTCCCTTTAAGGAGTCTCAAAGTGGCTAACATTCTCCTTTCCCTTCCTCCCCCACAGCAAACACTCTGTGAGGTGAGTGGGGCTGAGAGACTTCAGAGAAGTGTGACTGGCCCAAGGTCACCCAGCAGCTGCATGTGGAGGAGCGGGGAAGCGAACCCAGTTCCCCAGATTACGAGACTACCGCTCTTAACCACTACACCACACTGGCTTTAAGGTGAGGATTTAAAACAATGTATTTGTAGATCATTCCTCCAAAGGGACTGTGAAAACATCTATGGGGTGGAGTCCACTTTATCTTCATAACAACTCTTTAAAGCAGGGCAAAGGCCAATTAATAGGTCTGCTAGGTGAGCAGCAACCTGAGTATTTCATGCTCTACACTGGAAACCCCACTCTGCTTTTTAGCCAGGAAATGGTTGCAGCCTCTAGAACACTGGCTCCCAAACTCTGCCCTCCCCGCCTTCCCAGGCAATGGACCACTTGAAAATTGCTGAGAGTCTTGGCAAACCACTTAATGCTTTTTCTGCCCCACTGTAGCAACGGTAATGAGCTAAGCTAGATGCTCTATGGCTTTTAATTGTGTTTTGCATTCCTTCTTTTACTCCTTAAATTGTATTTGATTGAATTACAATTTGCATTTCATAGAGTTCAAATTGCAATACAGTAAAATATAATTTAAGAAATAAAATAAGCAATAAAAATGCAATTATAAATCCATGTGAATACTTAATTCAGGCCTGCTGCGGACCACTTGAATGAAGCTCGCAGGCTGCTAGGGGGTCCATGGACCACAGATATGGAGCCTCTGTTCTAGGATGGTCCGCCCACCAAGGAATGGCAAAGCATCATAAAGAAATCAGTCCAGCAGGAATGACACTCAGAGAAGAACCAAATTTTCAATGCCAGGTTACCAATCATGTGCACTGGGCCACACTAGATTTATGGTGTTTACATGTTAACACAAAAACCACAACAACAATGCGCATCTGTTTTGCATATATTATAACACAATTCCATTCCACATATGTTCTTACGTACTATTGCCATAATATATAGTGCCGTCATAGCTCTCAACTACATTGATTGCTTCATACTATTTATGGGCCCTACTGACTCAGTTTGTGGCTTCTGTGTTGCTGTTTTTTAAGGGGGCCTTCCTAAGCATTTGTGTTTCCATTTCAAAACCACATCCTTGAGAGTCTCACACCAGAGGATGAACCTTTTCCACTTGTGGGCTTAGAAACTGTAAGCAAAACGGCATTTTCTGCTGCGGTATACTCTTGGGATAACCTCTTCTCCACACGGTTTGCCACTAGACCATAAGGGAAAGCAGCCACAACACAACACCCTCTCCTATGTTGGCTGGGCTGATGGGAATTGTAGTCCAAAGCAGCTGGAAGACAGCTCCCCTTGGACTCCTATCAGTTTATTGACTATTATGTTTTACCATTTAAAACATTCTCCCCCTCCCTCCTAGATACTCCCAGAGTCCTTTGGGACGGAAGAGCAAGGTATTAAACATCCTAAGGCTGCAATCCTCTCTCCACTTACAAGGGAGTAAGCCCCACTGAATTCAATTAAACTACTTCTGCGTATTAATGGTTTAGACTGCAGCCTAAATAAAGGGAAATTTTTAAAAGCCAGACAGCAGACAGTATAATCAACTCTAAGAAAGTGTCCAGCCCAGAGACACAGACCAGCAGCCACAGACTTGAGGGGGAAACAGCTCTCTAGCTAAATTTGGTGTGGTGGAGAATTTAACACTCAAATCGTCACAAAGCTCTCCCAGTTCCTAAAACCATTTATACACATGCATAGACACAGCACTGTACAATTATGAAATCTACAAAATTCTTGCAACACACAACCTGGTGGGAGAACCTAATATACAGGCATAAGCCACACCCATGGTTTCTGGTTGGCTGGTGGCACAGCCTGGATAGCTATTGGCTGGCTGCTCTCTACCTATATAAAGCTATGGAAGAACTTCATCTCTGTAGAAGAAAATTTGAGCTGGGATGAAATAAATAAATCCATAAATTTTATTGGGTGATAAGAAATCCATGTGGTGGCTGGTGGTAGTATTAGTATTTAGATGAACTGTATAAATGACAGCTCTATTTGACACCTAAAATAGAAATGAAGTTCAGAAGCAGGAAGTTTTAATATCTGTCAAATCTGCATGCAAAGTTTATGTAAAGCAGTATTCAAATAAGTGGAGAGTTAAAAAAATGTCTTAGAAATGAAAGTGAATAACTGAAGGGGCTGGAAGCCAGGGGTCCTGAACCTTATGAAAGGTTGAGGAGGGAAGAATAGTGGCCACGGCGATGTGTGTGATTTGCAGTGGCGGGCAGGCTGTAGAGCGATTGGCGGCCAAATAGGTAGCGTCTTATACATGGGGGTGTCTTATACACAGAAAAATACAGTCGTTAAACCACGGAAGATGCTCCCACATGAGATTAGCAATGGCCACCAACTTGGATGGCTTTAAGACAAATTAACAGAAGAAAAGGTTATCAATGCCTTCTGGCCATGATTACTATGGTCTACCTCTACTGTCAGAGGCAGTAATGCCTCCGAACAGCACCGGATTTAGGGCGGTGTGGGCCCATGTGGTCCAAAATCCTTTTCTCACAAGAATTGAAGCCCACAAGTAGGAACTGGTATCCAGAGGCAGGGGCAGACTTTGGTAATCTTTTGTAATATGGCACCCTGTGCAAGGCCAAATTTTGGCACCCCCAAATGAATCTTCCCAGTTATGGATCTTCTCTATTTTGTGGCCCCTTGGCTTGGCCCCTTGGGGAAACCACCAGCACCGCCCTAAATCGGATGCTGTTCAGAGGCATTTTTAGTTCTGACAGTAGAGGCAGAATGTGGTTGCCATGGCTAGAAGCCATTGATAGCCCTCTCTCCTCCATGAATTTGTCTCATCTGCTTTTAAAGCCATCTAGCTTGACGGCCATCACTGCCTCCTGTGGCAGGGAGTGTCATAGTTTAACTGCGTGCTGTGTGAATGACTTTCTTTTATTTCTCTTGAATCTTCCAACATTCAGCTTCATTGGATGTCCGCAAGTTATGAGAGGAGGAAAAGCTTTCTGTCCTTGGAGATTCTTCAGTTTTTACCTTTGCAGATAGACAGTACTTCATTACAGCAGCTTCCTTAAGTATACAGTGGTACCTCGGGTTACATATGCTTCAGGTTACAGACGCTTCAGGTTACAGACGCTTCAGGTTACAGACTCCGCTAACCCAGAAATTGTACCTCGAGTTAAGAACTTTGCTTCAGGATGAGAACAGAAATCGTGCGGCGGCAGCACAGCGGCAGCGGGAGGCCCCATTAGCTAAAGTGGTACCTCAGGTTAAGAACAGTTTCAGGTTAAGAACAGACCTCAAGAACAAATTAAGTTCTTAACCCGAGGTGGGTCGGGTGGGCAGGAGAGATACGAGGCTCAAATGATTATTGGGTTGGTATTTTTCTTAATTTTGCATGAGTGTGAGTGCAAAATATTTCTTCCTCCCTCCCACCCCCAATCCTCCGCAGGCCTCCCCACTTCGACCTGGGCTCTCTGATGTGTTTCATGCTTGGTACAACGCCAAGTCCAACCTCCCACAACCATGCGCCTGGAAGGGGGGGGCACCCAATCCATCTTTCGCTCCCTTCTTTGATCTTTCCTTTTAAGCTTTGACAAGGAAGCTTTGAAAAGGGACAAAAGACAAGATTGAGAAGGAGGGGTGCAGTGTAGAGAAAAGAAGAAAGAAGATCTCTAAGACCAGCCTTTGCCAACCTGGTGCTCTCCTGAGGTTTTAGACTACAACTCCCATCAGCCTTAGCCAGCATGGCCAATTGTCAGAGGTCAATACAGTGGTACCTCTGGTTACGTACGGTACTTAATTCATTCCAGAGGTCTGTTCTTAACCTGAAGCACCACTTTAGCTAATGGGGCCTCCCGCTGCTGCAGCTGCTGCTGCACTGCCGCGCGATTTCTGTTCTCATCCTGAAGCAAAGTTCTTAACTCGAGGTACTATTTCTGGGTTAGCGGAGTCTGTAACCTGAGGTACCACTGTAGTGGTTTCTCTGGCGGAAGGCAGGGAAATTCTTGAACAGATCTACTAAGCCAGTCTTTGCCAAACGGGCACCCTTCATATGGTTTGGGTTAAAACTGACGGGAGTTGTAGTTCAAAACATCTGGAGGGTGTCAGGTTGGCAAGGGCTGCCTCCTGCGAGACTTGGGTCTCAAATAGGGGATAAGCTTGGGGTGGAAATGCTGGGCTTATTCTCTGGAGGGGTGACTGGGAAGTTTTCTCCCTCCTCCCTCTTACTTCCCACTTTACCTCCTCCTCCTCCCCCCACTTGGCTTGTCACTGCATTATTACAACCCTCCTTCACTCAGTGTCAGAAGATTAAAAAGCATAATCCCCAGGTTCACAAGCACAGCCAGGACTTTACGAGGAGACAAGCCTCAGGCTGGTGAAGATTAAAGCCAGCTCAGAAAAATATCCCCCCTTCCTTGCCCTGACGAAAGCTCCTCCTTGCACACTGAAAACTGTAACGAGAAGACTCCCACGACCCCAGCCCACCCCTGTCCCAATTCCCCAGCATACATAGGGCACCACTTATGTCACCCCACACTCACCCAAATCCCTGGATTCAAGAGTTCTCAACCCTAGGAGTGATTGAAGAACCTCTGGGGAAGAAAATGGAAGTGGGGCCAGATTCTAGGACCCCGGGTCTAGTCATCGGCTCCCTACCCCATGTTTGCACACCATCTTTTAAAAAAGAGGTGAAGGGAGCAGAAATCTCAGCATCAGGACCAGGCGCAATATGGGAAACTCATCGAAGCAGGCACCACTGTGCAAGCGGGGCCTAGAAGCTGGCGCTCACGGTCCTTTCCACAACCATGTCCCCACAGAAGTGTGGAGGCACCCCCACCCCCACCCCCACCCCCACCCCTGGACGCTCGCCGGAGAGGTCAGGCGCCTCCCTCCCGAGAGAGACGCTTGCACGCCAGTCGCTTCTCGCCCCCACCTTCGCGCCTTCCCCGATGGAGCAGGCCACACAACCTTGCACGCCGCTCAACCTTGCACTTTGCTCAAGCGCACATCCTGAATTCCGCTGGGCCAGCTTTCCCAACACCGCCAGCCCCCCCCCCTCAAAGATGCATCCCTGAACAAACTCCCTGCGCCTTATCCAGTCGCTTGCACGTTTGCACAGCGGGCTGTCACAGTCGGATTGCCAGCTTTGCACGGATCGTCTCGCCTCTTCTCCCGACCTCGGATGCTCGCCTCCCACCCGCGCCACGCTCCTTCCTTACCTTGCAGCCGAAGACGAGCGAGAGGGTCCGGTTGCTGCAGGTGACCTTGCACTGGCACAGGACGGGCGAGAAGCAGCCCAGCTTGCGGAACGGGGGGGACACGCCGTTCAGGCCCATCCCCCTCGCGCCCCCCCGCCTGCCCCCATCGGCTACGCGCCGCCGCCGCGGCCAGGGGGCGCCCCCCGACTCTGCCCCATCGCCCGCCGCACCTGCCGCCCGCCCGCCGCCAGCTGCTGCCGCTGCCCGCCAGGCCGGCCTGCCTGCCCTAATCCCCTCCCCTCCCTCCTCCCCTCCCTCGCCAGGCCAGCCTCCTCCCCGCCAGAGCCCAAGAGGAGAGACGCCCACTAGGCCGCACGTGCACGGATCCCGGGACGGGACCGGGGTCCAGTCGGTCAGCCCAGTATCCCGTTTCCAAGGGCGGACGGCCCCAAAAGCTCACAAGTCGGCAGGGCAGGAGGGCACCAGCCCTTTTCCCCTTGCAGCTCCCTAGCCGCAGGCACTGAGAAGTAACACTGCCCCTGAACATGGGGGCTCTGCTCTCAGTCTCCACGCGCCCCCACTTAAGGGTCTCCGCATATTAGCCTTTCTGGCAGCGTGTGGGAAACATGGGTTTGTATGCGAGAAGCCCCACTGTAGTGGACAGACACATTGATTCCAGTGGGTCTACTCTGAGTAGGATTTAGCTGACAACAAGCATTCTTGGGCTGCCAGTAACCTGTGTTTTCAGAGATTATTATGCGAGTTGGAAGTTGAGGTCTCTCATCTCCCCTTTATGGAACAATCTTAACTAGCAGTCATAGGAAGCTGACTTATTTCCAGCAGTGTCTGTACCTACAATGACTGGCAGCGGTTACCCCAAGTTTCAGACCAGTCTTTCTCAGCCCTACCTGAAAAATGGCTTGTCGCTATTGGGGATTGACCCTGCAACCTTCTGCATTCAAAGCAGTTCTCCCAGTGACCTGTGACCCCTTCCCTAAAGTCATCCTGCTCCTCACCCTCCCTAGTCCATATCTGCTTGGGTGTCCATTTGTACAGCCCAAAGTCGCTCTGTTGCTTCTTTCTCCCAACCCTGGTTTCCAAGAATACACACACAGTACTATTAGAGATTTGGGGTAAACCCTAGAAATTAATAAATGCCAGGATTTGGGGTTCTTTGTGATATGCAGGGGGAATATAAGCTGCAAGGGGATTCCTGGTCTGCCTTACGGTAGATCAGTTGTGTCCAAACTCTTTTCAAAGAGGGCCAGATTTGATGAAGTCAACTGCCATGGGGGCCGACCAAAGGGCCAGCCAAAGTTGCTGACCGTTTTTTAGGATTGAAGTTAGGACTGAAGCTTTTTTTAGGATTGAAGTTGTTGAGGTTTTTTTAGGATTTTACCCCAGGAAATAAACTGCCTCAGGGGCCGGATTAAACCGACAGGCGGGCCGGATTAGGCCCCAAAACGGACTTTGGACATGCCTGCACTAGATAGTCTGGCTGGCTGAAGGAAGAGCAGAGCTGTTAGCATTACAGTAGAGAGCTATTGAGGGTCCTCAACAACTTGTCCCAGGTGTGACCAGAGACTGGAGATTTGGAAGGCTGTCGGGTAACTGCTCTGGAAAAGGGCAAGGGGCTTCTGGGAAGAAGAAAGGGGAGTTTGTTCTTGGCGAGGGTGAAGGACAGACTGCCTGCACTGCTGTGCACAAGATGTTACTTAACCGGCAAAGAGACAGGCCCCTGCCTGCAAGTAACTTACACTCTACATTTGCTCAGTCTGCAATCTCATTCCCTAAACAAGCCACCTGTGCTTCCTGGGGCTGATAGGAGTTCAAAACATCTGAAGGGTGACAGAATGGCAAAGCCTGGCCTAAAGTTACCTGCAAGTAAGCCTAAGCATGTGCAACCAAAGGCATCTCCAGAAAACATATTCACTGAGTATTCATCCTGATTTGCTTGCACAAACTTATACTGTAGTTAGATGATATCTGGACTTAACTGAGCATTTGTTATTACTTCTTTGCAAACAAGTTATATGACAAGGAGCACTTGTGCTGACTGGGGTGTTGGGACATCTTCCCGTTAAGTCATTTGTGCACCCCAGCCTTTTCAATGCATTTTCCTGTCACTTTCCAAAACTGCAACAAGTTCCAATTCTTTTTAAAAGTCGATTTGCCATGCTGGGTCAAGAGAGCCTTTGAGTCCACTTTAAGATATGCAATCCTAAACTTCTGGTATGCACTTGAATCCCTCCTGTGAAATACTGACACCCTGGAGGCACCCTGAGACAACTGTGTATTCCTTCCCTGTTCATCCCCTGCCTCCTCACCAGCTGTTTATTTTCCCTACGGTGAATTTTCTTTTGTAGGCTCCGTTGGACAGAGACTTGATGTCTTGGGACACTGCAAAGTGTCATCTGCACAGCTGGCATAAAATAAATAAATCCCAGCATACTAAGCCTTTATTCTGTGCCCCACCATGACCACCTTCAATGCCAGCTGACAGCAGTTACCCCAAATGAATTAATAGGAACACCAGGCTGGGGGGGGAAACAGTGTGGTGTAGTGGTTAGAGCATCAGACACAGTTCCAATCCCCACTCAGCCATGCAGCTGACCTTGGGCCAGCCACAGTCTCTCAGTCTAACTTACAGGATTGTCGTGAGGATAAAATGGAGGGGTGGAGGAGAACTATGTATGCAGCCTTGAGCTCCTTGGATGAAAGGTGAGATATAAATGTAATAAATAGGAAATCAAATAACCACACATCACATTTGGGTCCCAATTTAGCCTCATACCCTATGGAACTACCTTTCCCCTCCCCTGCAGATTAGCCAGGCGTACAAACCTGAAGCCTCACCCCCAGTTCCCAAATGAGGGAATTCTGCAAGAAAAGGATGAAGGTGGGAGGTAACTGGGTTTCAAATATTGTGAAATGGGAATTGTAACCTGTCCAAGATTTTACTAGTCCGGCTGGAGTGTATATATATGTTCAACACATTTGCTTTTTCAGTTATTTAGCACTGCAGCTATTATGTATACCACTGATTTTTTGGTATTATGTTTATTGTTTGGAAATGGGTATTATATTGATTTGAATTTATTGTTCATCATTTTCTTAGATGGCTGTTACAGGGAGTTTTTTAAGAAAATGCATAGAGAATATGCATTGATGTTAGGATTGATGTTATATGCTCAAACCGCCTTGCTCTGGTGCACAACCTGGTCACTGAATTCTGTACCAGCTGATGTTTCCAAACCATCTTCAGAGGCAACCCTATGTATAATGAACACATTGCAGTAATCTAACCTAAATGATACCACAGCATAGACAACAGAAGTTAGACTAACCCAGTCCAGATAGGGGTACAGTTGGGCCACCAGCCATAGTGGATGGAAGGCATTCTGTGCCACCAGAAGATCAAATGACAGCAAAGGATCTAGAAGGACCCCCAAGCTGCATACTTGCTCCTTCAGAGAGAGTGTAACCCCCCTCAAGAGCAGGCCACCTCCCATCTATCCAGTCTAGGAAACAGCCCACTAATAGTACCTCAGTCTGGATTGAGCTTCAGTTTATTGGCTCTCCTCCAGTCCATTACTGAGGCAAGACATCAGTCCAGCACATCCACTCCCACACCTGCAGATGTAAAGGAGAAGCAGAGCTGTGTGTCTGCAGAATATTTCTGGCAACATACTCCAAAACTCTGGAAGACTCCACTCAGCAGTTTCATGTAGATGTTAAATAGCATGTGGGATAAGATTAAACCCTGAGGAATACCACATTGAAGGCTCCACAGGGTCAAAGAGCACTCCTCAAGCATCATCCTCTGGAAATGACCATCCAAGTAGGACCGGAACTGCTGCAAAGCAGTGCTGCCCATCTCCAACTCAGACAGCCAGTCCAGAAGGTTACCATGATCAATGCTACCTAAGCTGCTGCGAGGTTGAGGAGAATTAAGAGGGACACAATTCCCCTGTCTCTCCTCTGACATAAGTCATCGTTCAGAGCGACCAAAGTAGTTTCTGTGCCAAAACCGGGCCTGAACTCTGATTAAAATGGATCTAGAAAACCAGTTTCCTCCGAGAGCACCTGGATGAGCTTTGCAACCAGCCACTAAAGAACCTTGCCCAAGAAGGGGAGAATGGCAACTGACCAGTAATTACTTGTATTTTCCAAACCCAGGGAAGGTTTCTTAAGGAGTGGTTTAACCATTGCCTCCTTCAGGCAGTCAGGGACCATCATCTCTCACAAGGAGGCATTAACCACCTCCCTGGCCCAGCTCTCCCCTCCCTGCTAGTTTTTATCAGCTGGCAAAAGCCAGAGTGCAAGCAGTCACCCTGACTGATCCAAGCACGTTGTCTAGATCCTTGAGCCTTACAAACTGAAACTCATCTAACAGAACAGAACTAGATAGTACTCTGGACACCCCTATTTAAATTCACTCTGTCAGTCTTAAAGCAGCTAATGAAATGCCTGGTTTTATTTGAGGTGTTCAGATGAGTGTTTCCAGCTCCCCCCCCCCATTTTAAAATTGTTTATGCAGATAACTGATATCACTGTGTATTGTACTTTAATAATGTGTCAGGTGCTAAGGGAGTTCATAGATGAGCAAAGCGGGGTGTTGAAAATGTTAGAATACATAATTTAAAAGAAAAAAAACCCGAACAAGCAGCAAAGCATTTTCACCACTATCTGCCCCTTGCTCCTTCCTATCAAGCAACCCCCTCCTTCTCAAACAGCCAGCTGGCCTTGCCTGCAGATAAAACCTTGCAGACAACGCCTTGACCAGTTTAATCAGAAATATTCGCATCCACAATAGGATTAGAACAGCAGATGCCACCGAAAGGAGAAAAAAGAGACAATGTGTGTGTGTAAGACAGCAAAATTTAATGCTAACTGGACAAGTGCCAAGTGCCAATGTAAATTCTCCTTACCCTATTCTCTTATTGCCTACCAATCTCTAGTAATGTTATTTTTTTCAAATAGAAGATTATTGTGTTCTTATCTTTTTAGTATTTTCCATTATGGAGAAGGTAAGTAGCTCCCTCAAACAATCACCTATTTTTGGAAAACCAAAAGTGCTTCTTGTACATTCACACACACAATCAAATTCTGATGAAAATAATTAAAATCCAATTTCCCCCCTCAAAGTGAACATATGAAGCTGTGTTAGACTGAATCAGGCCAACTGGTCCAGCCAGCTCAATATTCTCTACTCTGACTAGCAGTTCATGAAGGTACTGCAAGGGTCATCTAATCCAACTGCCTGCAATGCAAGAATCTCAACTAAAGCATCCATGACAGATGGCCATCCAACCTCTGCTTAAAAACCTCCAAGGAAGGAGAGTCCACAACCTCCTGAGGGAGTCAAAACAGCTCTTACCATCAGAAAGTTCACCTAACAGTTACCTTGTACAACCCACTTTTTACAGGCTTCCTCGCAAGAATATCATGGTGGACTATGTTGAAAGCCTTAATGAAGTCAAGATAAACTATGTCCACAGCATTCCCCTGATCCACAAAGCTTGTAACTCCATCAAAAAAAGAAAAAAAGAAATGAGATTGGTCTGGCATGACTTGTTTTTGAGAAACCCACGCTGGCTCTTAGTAATCACAGCATCCTTTTCTTAGTGCTCACACAGTTGAATTATCTGTTCTAGGACCTTTCCTGGTATCAAAGTCAAGCTCACCAGTTGCTAGTTACCTGGATCTTCTTTTCCCCTCTTTTTGAAGATGGAGAACATTTGCGTGTCTCCAGTCTGCAGGGACCTCCCCTGTTCTCGAAGAATTGATTACATCTGCAAGCTTCATTAATACCCTTGGGTGCAGCTCATCAGGCCTGGAGATTTGAATTAATTTAAAATAGCTAGGTGTTCCCTTACCACCTCTTTTTCTATCTTGGGCTGCAGTTCCCACCTTACATCATTCATTCTGTTATCACCAGGTTGGGCATTGGTTTCCTTTTGGGTAAAAACAAAGGCAAAGTAGGTGTTGAGTAGCTCTGCTTTTCCACATTTCTCCATCTTCTCCACTTAGGGAACCTACCACTTGCTTGTTCCTCCTCTTGCTTTGAACATAGCCGAAGAAACCTTTTATTATTATTTTTAATCTCTCTTGCAAGTCTGAGCTCATTCTGAGCTTTAGCCCGCCTGACATTCACCCTGCAACTGTTGGCTACTCATGTATACTCCTCCTTTGTGATTTCCCCTTTCTTCCATTTCTTATACATGCCCTTCTTAAATCTCAGCTCATCTGTAAGCTCCTTATACAGCCACACTGGTTTCTTTAGATGCCTCCCACTTTTCTTTCTTGTTGGAACTGTATGCATTTGGGCCTTCAATATTTCACCCTTAATAAACTCTCATCCATCTTGGACTCCCTTCTCTTTGAGAATTTCTGACCATGGGATCTCACTCAGTATCTACTTAAACTTTTTGAAATTGGCTTTCTTAAAGTCCAGAGTGCATGTCTGACTACACTCAGCTTACTTCTGTATCTTGAAACCCAGGAGAACATGACCACTTCCTTCCACATTTCTGAGTACTTCCACTTCGTTGATCAGTTCCTCTCTGTTGGTGAAGACCAGGTTCAAGACAGATGGTCCCCTTGTTGCTTCTTCCACCTTCTGGGAAATGAAATTGTCAGCAAGGCAATGGAGGAATTTGTTGGACCTTACATTCTTGGCAGAGTTTGAGTTCCACCAGATATCAGGGAAGTTGAGTCTCCCATGAGTGCTGTATCCCTCCTTTTAGAATGTTTGGTAATCTGCTCTAGGAGGGCGTCATCCAAGTCTTCAGTTTGGCTTGGTGGTCTATAGAGACACCCACAGCAAGGTCACTGTTGCTTTTCTCTCCTACAATTTTGACCCATATACTCTTAATCTGCCTTCCATGCTACAGGTCATATATTTCTTCACAAGTGTACACATCCTTTACATATAATCCTCCTCCCTTCCTGCTTCGTCTGCTCCTTTTGAACAGATTATACTCCTCAATTCCTACATTCCAGTCATGAGTCTCATCCCACCAGGTTTCAGTAATGTCTACCAGGTCATATTTGTCATCCTGTATTAAAAGCTCCAATTCATCTTGCTTGTTTCCCATACTCTGTGCATTTGCATAGAGACAAATGAAACCATGAGTCATTTCCTCCAGCTGCTTCCTTCTTGTAGTTTCTTGCCCTTTAGCAGGTTTCTGGGGCACCACCTCAGTTTCCTCTTCATTAATAAAGCTATCCCCAGTACCAGGTGTTCTTCTGTCATCTGTAATGTTGTTTCCCTCTCCATCAGCATCTAGTTTAAAGTTCTCCTGATCAGGTTCACAAGACTCTTAGCAAACACATTCTTGCCAACTGCTGTGAGCTGTAGCCCATCTTTTGCTTCCTTGAGGAAGGAGACCATGATCCAAGAAGCCACCCCTTCCTGACACCACCACCTGTGCAGCCAGTGGTTTACTTCCAGTATTTTCCTCTCTCCTTGGGCCATGACTTTCAACAGTAAGGAGTGATGAAAAGATTACCTGTGACCCAAGGCTCTTCAGCTTCCTGCCCAGAGTCTCATAGTCCCTAGCTATATGTTGAAGGCTGTGTGGGGCAGTATTGTTTGTACCCACATGAATCAAAAGGAAGGGGCTGCAGTCAGTGGGCTTTATAAGACTGGGCAACTGCACTATCACACTGTGAATCTTTGGCACCTGGAAGGCAGGGTCTTAAAGGGAGAGAGTTAACCTGGGATCTTTTGAGTGCAAAGTTGGTGCTCTTACATGTAGGCCACTTTCACACCATACATTTAAAGCACTATGATGCCGCTTCATTGCTTCCCCCAAGGAATTCTGGGAACTTTAGCTTGTTGTGGGTCCTGAGAGTTGTTAGGAGACCCCTATACCCACTCCCACTGTTACAATTGCAAGAGTTCCCTGCAGGAGGCATTAACTGTTGAATCACTTTGAAAATTGTAGCTTTGTGAGGGGGGAAACTCTCAGTACCATAGCAAACTACAGGTCCCAGAATGCTTTGGGGGAAAGCTGTGACTGTTGAAAGTGGAATCATAGTGCTTTAAATGTATCATCTGAATGGGGCCAGCCTGTCCCCAAATCTGGGAATAGCATAACCCAATCACCCCACAAAGATGACAGAAAATCCCAAATCTTTCCTCTGATTCACATTCTCTGTGGTTTGAGTATACAAACACACACACACACACACACACACACACACTGTAACTGTGTGGTCCTTTACTGAAAATGTTTTTTTCAAAACTGGGGAGGGAAAAGGGCATGGAGACGGAGGTAGGATGGATGAAATAAGGGCATTGCTGCTTTGCAGTGTGAAAGTCTTAATATATTCTTTCAAAAACATTTGAGGAGTGGGGACTCCCCATTCAGAATTATACATTTCAGCCTCTCCAAAGTGCCAGACTATGTCTCCCTAATTAGAAGATTGTTAAAAGATGCAGCTGTCACATATAAAGACAAAGGGGTTCTTTCTGTGTGTGATGGCAGGACATACATATTGATTGAACGCCTGTGGGGTGATTTGGGAGGGGACATTGGTAGTGGTCCTTTGTCATTGAAGCATCTCAAAAAGAGCTTTGATAAACAGTGTGGATGAATCTGTCTGGCCAAGATGTCCTAGCAATGGTCCTGCAGGGGGCACCAGATGCCCAGTTTCAACAAGCTTCTGTCCTCCTGTGATGACAGATCAGACTACAAATTCGCAGGGGTTCTTACAGGCCTGGAAAAGCAGCAAAGATTTCACTGGTGCCAACTGTCTCCTAGGCCAGCTTTCTGGTTGGCTTGGAGCCCTCTACAAGCTCAGCCCCTCTGTGCTCAAACCAGTTTGACCTTCTTTCATAGGAACATACTAGGCAGTTGCCTGATCCTGAGTCTCAGACCATGCAAACATTCACATATATTTAAAGTACTATGATACCACTTTAAATAGTCATGGCTTCCCCCAATGAATTCTGGGAGCTGCAGTTTGTTAAAGGTGCAGAAAGTTGTTAGGAGACCCCTTGTTTCCACAGAGCTACAATTTCCAGAGTTGCCTAGGAAGAGAGACTGTTAAACCATTCTGCGAATTGTAGCTCCGTGAGGGGATTCAGAAGGAGTGGTGGTCTCCTAACAACTCTCAGCATCTTTAACAAACTGCAGCTCCCACAATTGATTGGGGCAAGCCATGACTATGTAAAGTGGTATCATAGTGCTTTACATGTATGGTGTGAACGTGGCCCATTGTTACTCATATATATTGTCTACACCAGGGGTAGGCAACTTAAGGCCCGCAGGCCAGATGCGGCCCAATTGCCTTCTCAATCCGGCCCACGGATGGTCCAGGAATCAGCGTGTTTTTACATGAGCAGAATGTGTCCTTTTATTTAAAATGCATCTCTGGGTTATTTGTGGGGCATAGGAATTTGTTCATTCCCCCCCCCCCCATACAATCCACCAAATGGTCTGAGGGACGGTGGACCGGCCCACAGCTGAAAAAGGTTGCTGACCCCTGGGTCTACATGGACAGGCAGCACCTGTTCAGGGTTCCAGGTAGGGGACAGTCAGGTACACTTGCCCCGGTCTCAGAGGGCTAAGCCAGCCAGGGGGCCCCACCAGGGACCGGCTGCCTTTTTGTTTTAGTTGATAACTTTATTCTAACAAGACTCCTGCCCCAGGCTTCAGATGTGATCTGCATTGCCCTGGCTCCATATGAACAGTAGCTAAACATGTGTCAGTTGGTTGACACAATCTGCCCTCTCAAGCCACAGAACATCCCATACACCAGGGGGCGCTATGTAGTAGAAATCAGAACAGAGTAGTGGTGCTGGAGTAATGGTAAATCCTGCGTGATTAGCACCCTCTAGTGGGCATCCTATGGCTTTCAAGAGCTTATCTCAGCACTGGTGATTCTAAGAAGATTCTCCACACACACACACACACACACACACACACACACACACACAGATTTACTTCATAAAGTTACCATTTGTAGTGCAGAATCAAGGAGGATCACAGCAGCTACTATCCTGATTTTAAAAAACCCGAAGCGTATGCTCAGTCAGTAGAGCATGAGACTCTTAATCTCAGGTAGGGCTGCCATACGTCCAGGATTTCAAAGGTGGAATTGACGTCCAGGGGGAATTTCCAAAATGTGGCGCTTTGTCCTGGATCTTAGTCTTGGTTTTTACTTTTTGAAACATGGCAAACCTATCTCAAGGTCATGGGATCAAAACCCACTTTGGGCCAAATATTATTGCATTACAGGGGCTTGGACTAGACGACCCTGGTTGTCCTTTTCAACTCTACAATTTCTATGATTACAGAACTGAGTCCAGACCCTATAAACAGGCTGTTGTCAGAGGAAGGAGGGAGGCCCTGATTAGGCCTTGGCCTTTATATTTCAGAAACTTTCATCTCCCACATCACAGACTGGTTTTCTTCTTTTTCTATTACGTTTTATTGTAATTTATATTCCCCATGAGCCCGGCCCTGGCCAGGGAGGGCAGGATATAAATAAAAATTTATTATTATTGTTATTATTATTATTATTATTATTCTGTTTCCTGCTGTTTTATTCACTTTGCACCTTGCAGGGCAGTAGGAGAGAACAGTGATTCTGAGAATGTGCAAAGAGTCTTCAGCTTATCAATGGGTAAATACTGCCAACTGTATACCAGGCTACAATTCCAAAACATCTTGAGGGCAACAAGTTGGGGAAGGGTGCTCCATAGCTATGGGATTTGGGCAGCCAGGGTATTTAAATTAAGAGCAGGGAGAAGGGAGAATTAGCAACCTATTCACTCCTTCCAGTGTCCTTCCTCCCTGCAGCTGAAATGGCTGGACGTGGTCTGCGTGGGCTATGCTAAGATCATTAATCCTTGGTGTTAATCAGAGATTCTCCCCAGCCCTTTCCTTGTATAGATGAGAGAAGGCTACACCCCCCTCCTCCAGCTGAGTAGGCCACAGAGACACAGCTGTTTCTCCTACACACACACACACACACACACACCAGACCCAAAGTACACTGTCCTGGTATCAAACACACAATCTGTCACACATTACGATTTAAAGGATCTTTTCTTCTATGTACAAACAGAGTCTCACAATAAGTACATAAGAAGAGCCTAGCTGCTGGATCAGGCCAACGGTCCAACTAATCCAGCATCCTGTTCTCACAGTGGCCAACCGGATGCCTGTGGGAAGCTTTCATTCAAAACCTGTGCAACAGCAACACTCTTCCCACTTGTGATCCTAAAATACTGGTATTCAAAGGTGTACTGCCTCCGACAGTGAAGGGAGGACACAGCCATCGTGGCTAGTAGCCATTGTAGCCAGCATAACTTAATCAGCAATCATGTTAGGAACGTAAGAAGAGCCAAAGGGGGACCCATCTAGTCCAGCATCCTTGTCTCACAGTGGCCAATCAGATGCCCCCAAAGGGAAGCCTGCAAACAGGACCTGAGGGCAACAGCGGCACTCTCCCCACTTGTGATCCCCAGCAACTGGGATACTGCATATCAAAGCAAGACAAAGCAACACAGAAAAACAAAAACAAAAAACCCATCAGCTGTCAACATGTTGCATGAGCATCCCAAAACATTCAAATTAAGACTATAGGAAGCTGCCTTATACCAGGCGAAACAATTCATCCATCTAGCCCAGTACTCTCTGCTCTCTGACCAGTAGTGGCTTCCCAGAATCTCATGCAGTAAGACAGCCAGCATGGCATTGTGGTTAGAGTGTTCCAACTCAGCCATGAAGCTCACCGGGTGACCTTGGGCCAGTCACATACTCTCAGTCACATACTGGAAAAGAAGAACTCTCCCATTATTTGCAACCTGATCCTTTTAATGAGAAGTGCTGCCGGGATTGAACCTGAGGTCTTCTCTTGCATGCAAAACACTTGTTCTGCCATGGAACTATGGGGTTTCCCCCTAAGAATTCACAAAGACACATCCCCACAGATGATAACACTAGGCCCCAAGGGAGTGCATTTGCCTATTTGGGTCTCCGGCACCAAGTGTTGTTGAGTGGCTCAAAAAGAGACACAATGAGGTTCAGAGACCTTAATTACTAGGCTTCAAGCTCAGCCTGATGAGGTAGGCCGGCCTTTATCAGCCTGGTGCTCTCAAGATGTTTTGGACAACAACTCCCAACAGCCCCAGTCAGCTGATAGGAGCTTAAGTCCCAAACATCTGAAGGGCACCATGCTGGTGAAGTCTCAGGTAGGCTGTTAATAAAGTACTGTACATAATTTAAGGTCAAAGTCCCTTGACTTGACATGAGGCGAGCCCTCTGGCCAAAGGTAACGGGGGGACGGCCGCATGGCGGAAGGGGATAAGCAAGCCCCCACGTGTCATGGTTCGGGTCAGCCTCGTCATCCGTGCAAGAGAGTCAGGTTAAGCTCGGTTGTCCTTGTTAGTGGATTTGGGATTAAAGCGAGAACATAAAACAGCATTTAAGCTGCATGGAAGGAAAACAATCCTGAGCTGGAAGCAAAAATGGAGGTGTTGATGTTTATTTGAAAACAGAAGTCCACTCTGGGCTCACGTGGGAGGACTTTGCAATGAGTCAGGCCCACAAAGGCCCTAACTCAGTTTGGCCTACACTGGAAGGCAGTTGTTTTCCAGGATTTCAGGCATGAGTTTTGCTCAGTGCTACCAGGAGATCCTGCCACGGACTGAACCTTGCAAAACGGGTGCCCTCCCATGAAGACACAGTCTCTCCCTGCCGGGTCTCCCTTAATGCAGATTTGATGAGCTTGTGCCCTTCCAAATGTTCACAGATTACAATTCTCACAATCCCTGACAACTGGCCATGCTGGATGGGGCTGATGGGAGTTGTAATCCAACAACATCAGGAGTGCCACAGGTCCCTTGCCACTTAAATAAAAGAAGGGGCAGGAAAGTGTGAGGAAGGGCATACACATGAAACGCTGAATATTAATGGCCCTCCAGAGGAAAAGAGACTCATACATGCACTATATGCAACAGGTCTAAATTCTAATGACTAGGCCAGACTTCCTCAACCTGGTGCCATCCAGATGTTTTGGACTACAACTTCCATCAGTAGCGCTGGTTAGGGCTGATGGGAGTTGTAGCACAAAATATCTGGATGGTACCAGGCTGGCCTGATCATGCAGTAGGCCGAAGAGCCTCCTCAAGTGAACTGGGAACATACTGGGCACACACCCTCCATTAAAGGTAAAGGTAAAGATATCCCTGCCCGTACGGGCCAGTCTTGACAGACTCTAGGGTTGTGCGCTCATCTCACTCTATAGGCTGGGAGCCAGCGCTGTCCGCAGACACTTCCGGGTCACGTGGCCAGCGTGACAAGCTGCATCTGGCGAGCCAGCGCAGCACACGGAACGCCGTTTACCTTCCCGCTGGTAAGTGGTCCCTATTTATCTACTTGCACGCGGGGGTGCTTTCGAACTGCTAGGTTGGCAGGCGCTGGGACCGAACGACGGGAGCGCACCCCGCAGCTCCATGCGATCGGCAAGTCCTAGGTGCTGAGGTTTTACCCACAGCGCCACCCGCGTCCCTACACCCTCCATTAGTGTACAGTACTTTAAAACTGGGGCAGGGGAATCTGTGGCCCTCTAGATATTGCAGGACTACAACTCCCATAACCTCTGATCATTGGCCATGCTGACTGGGGCTGATGGAATCCAACAATATTGAGTGGAGCACAGGTTCTTCACCTGGCTTTAAAAAGGACAAGATACTGATAGGATTGTACATACACAGAGGCATCAGATTTGAAAAGCAGCAGATCAGGTGTCCTTCAAAACCAAGTATGTAAAAAAGAAGGATAAAAGGTGGTTTATGTCATTTAACACTGGAGCATTCTGAACATTTTACAGAAGTGAAGCAAAATCTACCATCTGAGAAAAAATTACTTTTGCGTTTTTAAAAGATGTCCCAGTCAGGAGGGTTAAAATATTTGCATATTATTGCAAACTATTATAACTCTCGTTAGAATGAGAAAAACTTAGTTGCCCTTCCTCTGGAAGGCAAAAAAAATTAAGCACCCATTATAAGAAGACAGAACCCCTACAAAAAAAAAATATTCACACACACTCACCCCACTTGTATATATACACTTTTATGATTATTATATGTTATGTATTTGGGCATTCAGAAAATTTTCTTTCAAGCAAAAGCATACATGTACCACTTATTTGAAAAAAGCTCATGCAGTTTTAAAAAGAAAGTTCAGAGAGAGGACTTTGAATATCCTCTGAAATGAGTAAGGAATGGACAATAGAAAACAAACTGATATTTGTATGTGATTAGTCTATCCATCACTTGAGACTATTCAGAATTTTTTTCTGGAAAAAAAGAATCAACATTTTTCACATCTGGAAGGAAAGGTTCACATTCATTAGCTTTGGAGCAAGTACTAAGGGAAGGGTGGGGAGCAGACACTTTATATCATCTATGCACTAGCATCTATCATAACTGTAACATTTGCACCATTCATGAGGACTAGAAAATTGAGTAACACTGGAAGCAAAACAGAGAGGTGATAAAAAGAGCTGAAACACTAGCAAGGAAAAAGGGACAACCCCTCCCCAATTAACACCATCCAAAAGCAACTGATTCTTGTAGCAAATATTCATAAAAAAACCAAGAGCTTCTAACAGGATGTGAATAACTGCATTTACACTGTGAATGAATGGGGATTAATAATAAATATTAATGTAACGTATTAGACAGATAACAATAATTTAAAGGGTTTGAGTTACAGCACAGCATTTGCACCAAATGTCTACTGTAGGGGTTTCCCTTGACTTAGTCCAGAAAAAGACGTGTACATGAGCCAATGGGGAAACTGATGCATCCCATACCTATGGTTGTAAGGAAATTTAGTTTAGAGGGCTGTTTTGGTGAAAGGATTGGGGTGTAATGGAGGCTTGGGGGTCCCAAAGTTTCCAGGTATCCTGTAGGGGGGAGGGGGTGTTCTATTGTTGGGGGGCAGTCATGGTAAGAGTAAACAGGTGATTCTAGAGGAAGGGATAAAATCCACTGTAACTCTCCCCCTCCCCAGACTTTTTCTCCAGGGGTAGGGTAAGAGAGATCATTGTGTTGTTACTGAGCAGGAGATTTTAAGACGTCATGATGGTTTGAATGGGGTGGGGAGAGGGGAGAGCTGTACCACTATGTTGGGAGCCTCCAACATTTGGGGGGGGGGTGTCAGAGAATTTGGCAATATCCTTGAGTGGGCGAGTACTATATTGGTGTAGGAGGGATGTGAAGGCCAAGGATTTATAATAAACGGAAGGGGACAAGACCAGAATTTGCTATTTTTTGGGGGGTGTACCCCAGGAGGAAATAGCAGAGCTTAGGGAGACAAGTGGGGAGGGCAATCAGATGGTGTTTGGGTGTCAGGAGACAAACAGAGCAATACTCTGGAATTTGAGGGGGCCAAAGTGGCTGGGATATGGGGAAGATTGTGCCATTAATGATGTCAGGGGCTGCTGTTTTTGGGGGGGGCACATGAAGCCTTGAATATTTGGGGTGGGGATGGGGTCAGTATTTGGATTTGTGCCTAGCAACAAACCCACCCACCCACCATCTCGCTACACAAACACAAACACACACACCTTTTCAGGTTAAGGACCAGAGAAAATATATTTTGGGGAAAGATCTGTCTCTTGGCAGTCTCCTGCATGTTGAATAAGAAAGACATCTGTGTCACCCCCACCCCCCGGCACACACACCCACACCCCGCAATGCATTCCCTCTCTCTTCTGAACCTGTTGCTGTGGGGCTGGAGGAAAAGAAGGGGTTAAAGATAGGGGTGGCTCTGACTTGCTTAGGGGCTGGTGGAAGGAGGGGGGGTTTCATAAAGATAGAAGAGGTGACACCTACCACACAGAGACACATGGAAGAGAGCCTGTTCTTCGTCTTCATGGGGGTGTGGGGGTGTGGAGATGGGGGAGCTGAGTGTGGGGGCTGCCAGAGAGAGGAGGTGGGGGCTTGATCCTCACGACTAGACGGAGGGAGGAAACTGAAAGGGCGAAGGAGGGAGGAGAGGATGTGCAGGGGGGGGATATAAGCAGAATGGTAAAAAGAGGGCTGTGATTAGAGGATTGATGCAGTGAGCAAGGGAGAGAGAGAGAGAGAGAGAGAGAGAGGAGTGTGCAAGAAAAGGATGTGGGGAGTCTGAGTGAGGGATGCGGTGTGGGTGTGAGACAGTCGCAGGATTTGTGTGTGTGAGAGAGAGTGTGTGTCCAGGATGCTGCGTTTTGCGGGGGTGGGGGGGTGTTGAAGGAAAAGGATGCTCCAGTTGTGAGTGTCCAATTGATGCAGAAGGAGATGGGGAGGGCTGGATGGAAGAAGGATGTTCTGGTGTGTGCAATGCAAAAGTGTGGTGTGTGTGTGTGTGTGTGTGTGTGTGAGAGAGAGAGAGAGAGAGAGAGAGAGAGATACCCCATTGCAGTATTCCCAGAAGGGGAATGCAGGGGTGTTGATGTGGGGGTGATGCATGTGTGCGCGCCAGGACTTTGCATGGGGATGTGGGAAGCAAAGTGACTGCTACGAGTGTGTCACCAAAAAGTCAATGCAGTTGTTAGGAGAATGCAGCTGAAATAGTGTGTGTGTGCAAGGCAGGGAAGGAGGGAGGGAAGGAGGAAGAAAGACCATTGCAGTGTTCAGAATGCTCAAGCACTATGCAAGGAATGCTCACAAACTGAATCATCAAAGCTATGAGTGTGGAGCTGAAACAGAAACACCCTGAGAAATGATGTGTGTGTGTGTGTGTGTGTGAGAGAGAGAGAGAGAGAGAGAGCGCGCGCACATGTGCAAGAGAAGGACAAGGAAGTGCAGAGTTGAGATATGCCACACGGCTGGGTAGGTGCACGTGTATATTTTGCACATATCATTATCACTCAGTGGTTGACTTGCAGTCGAATGTGTGAACAGCCAAAAACTCCTTGTGGCGGGGGCCATAAGGATGCAAATACACACACCATCTGTGACATCTGAGTTGTGACAACTGCTTCACACGTGCCAGTCCTCTCTCAACGTGTCAGTCACACAGTTGATTAACATGCATGTGCTCTCATGGAGAAAGCGTGAAAGAGCATGTGAATGAATGAGAATCATACACACAGTGCAATGGTAAAGTACTACTGAATATCTCATGTATGTGCAAGCACATGTCTGAGAGGGACAGCTGACTGCAAATACAATGATGCAGTGCAAAGGTGTTCAATAACATTCTTGTGAGCATACACATACGTAGCACTTATGCACCAATTCTGCATTTTACTGTCTCCACAGAGCACAAGACTGCCCCTATTTCTAATAGGTGCAAACTGCTAAACCAGAGTTTAGAGAAAAGGTGACTGAGAGGTGACATGATAGAAGCTTGTAAAATTCTGCCTGACCTGGAGAAAGTGTAGAGAGAAAAGTCCCTCCCCTCTCATAACACTAGAACCCCGGAATATCCAATGAAGCCGAATGTTGGAAGATTCAGGATGGGCAAAAGTACTTTTTCATGCAGCACTATGAACTCACTCCCACAGGAGGTAGTGATGGCCACCAACTTGGATGGCTTTAAGAGAAGATTGAACAAATTAATGGAGACAGCAATTGATGGCTACTAGTCATGATGGCTGTGCTCTGCCTCACTGGTCAGAGGCAGTAATGATAATTTAATTTCTATACCACTTAATGGGGTGCATTGGGTGTTAGTGGAGGGGTAGGACCTCTGATGAGGAACATGTCATGCTCCTTCTGGGGTAGTCTGACCACCTTTGGTCTCCACGCTGCACTCGGTTCTCACCTGTGGCTCCTAGAAGCTGTCAGCATGCAACAGTGGCTACATCCTAGGAATGGTTTGACTGGCTAGCTAAACCATGTGAGGGTAGCCAACGGGATTCAAGCCCTTGGTGAGTTGGGGACTTCCCCTGCATGTGAAGACAGGCTCTGGCAGATTGAGCAGATGAGACCAAGAGTGAGTCTCAATGGTCAAGAAGAAAGAAAACACTGATCCTCAACCTCTGCTGCCTTACAGTACAGTGGTACCTCGGTTTACATAGGCTTCAGGTTACATACACTTCAGGTTACAGACTCCGCTAACCCAGAAATAGTACCTCGGGTTAAGAACTTTGCTTCAGGATGAGAACAGAAATTGTGCTCCGGTGGCGCAGCAGCAGCAGGAGGCCCCATTAGCTAAAGTGGTGCTTCAGGTTAAGAACAGTTTCAGGTTAAGAACAGACCTCCGGAACGAATTAAGTACTTAACCTGAGGTACCACTGTATAGCTTCAGGAAAAGAAAATGTTCAGAAGTAAACCCTACACAAATCTACACATTTGGGTGGCAGTTGGATGGTGCCTTGTATGCCTTCATCCAGCAACTCCTGCAGCTAAGCTGGCACCATATGTCTTGCTGTGTTTTCCTTTGGATCACAGAAGAGGCCCAGAGCGGGCAGCCCAGGACTTCCTTACACATTGCCCGGGCTTGCGCCCCAGGGAGGTCACTTAAATGCTGCTAATGCAGTTTGACTTCACCCTCAGAGGTGCACTCCATTGTCTCTGGAGACAGGTGCCAATTAAAAAATATGCCTTAGTATAGTTAAAATATCTCTAAGCAGTATACAGAAAACTGAAGCAACAGCAGACAACTTGAACAAAATATTACAAAAATATACAGTTACATATAAAAACGCTACATTAAAACCAAGTTACTAATATATAAATCTATATGCTTCCAAATACCAGTTGCTAGAAACCCCAGGAGGGGAGAGTGTTCTGGTACTGAGGTCCTGCTTGCGGATTTCCTGCAGGTATCATGTTGGCCACTCTGAGAAGAGGATGGTAGACTAGATGGGCCATTGGTCTGATACAGTAGCAGGACATGCCATTTTAGGGCGTGAAACTAAATTTTTGCAAATTTATTCAGTGAAGGGTCTTAAAAAATATGTTTTTGAGTGTGAGGAATTCAAATCTGCTATTATTTTTGACTGGACAACATTTAGCTTGTTAAGTCTATGCTTGATGAAAAACACATAAATTGCTTTTGGAAAACCAAATAATTTAGTTTTACCTTCTGAAAATGTTGGGTATAAATAAAATAATAAGAAGAATAATGTATAACTGCAAATACTTGGCAATCATTTTAAATGATGTCTATGTAATTTTACACACATTTTACTTACCAAGCAAAACTAAATTATATTCATTTAATCAAAATATCTTTTGACTTCCCAAGTCGTGTTGCAAGTTTTTAGCACCCTTCATTTTTGGAATTTGAAGGTTGAACAATTCAACACACCCTAATGTAGCAGTCTTTTCTTATGTTCAAAGCAGTGCAGCCCATGAACATAGCCCAGAGGCCTCTTCCTGTTGCCTGCTGGGTACAAGAGCATCCTATTTTCGTAGGCTCAAACAATGTAAGCAAAACCATGCAGTTTCTGGCTCCCTTGGAGGGCTACTGCGCCCGACTGCTGGCAGACAATATTTGGCCCACTCTGCATAAAAGGGAGGAGTGTTAAATCAACACATAATGCACACCATTATTCTAGCAACACACCAGTTGCTAGAAAAGACCATATCAAAAAACCTCTTGCTCTCTCTCTCACACACACACACATAGAGTGAAGCATGTTCTTCTGTGATGAAATTTTATTCTGTGAACTGCCTTGAGATCTTATGATGAAGGGCAGTATATAAATTTAATAAATAAATCAGTCCCCTGCACTGATAAATTCTACTGGTAGCACTATGTCTCTGAATACCAGTTGCTGGGGATTCCAAGGGGTGGGATACTGATGTCATGCAAAGGTCCTTCCTGGAACCATCCCCACCTCTCTAAGAAGGCATCCTCACCCACCACATCACCCACTAAGAGGGCTTGGAATAGTAGCCTCAACACCCCAACATTCCTGTCCTAGGAACATAGGAAGCTGTGTTTATACTGAGACAGACACGAGTCCATTTAACTCAGTACTGTCTACACTGACTCGCAGCAGCTCTCCAGGGTTTTGGATGGGACATTCCCAGCCCTTCTTGGAGATGCCATTGGAGACAGAACCTGGGGACTTCCACATGCAAAGCAGATGGTCTCAGAGAGACCTTAAAAGATACAGGGAGAGGTGAAGGATGCGTAAGGATACCCCCATGCTCTTCAAATCTCCCCATCCCAAAGTCACTCAAAGGGGCGGAACCATCATTTTTTGCCTCCCCCATCTGCATTGATGTATTTCCTCCATCCATCCTGGCCTCCCTGTCTCTTAGTCGCTTAGCAACCAAGCCACTGGGGCTCTGGGGTTGTCATGGCGACAGGCTCCTGCTCCCGCATGGCGCTGAGAGGTTTTTTTGTGGGGAGGGGGGTAGGATGCAGTTCTTTTTTTAAAAAGGCAAAAAAATAATTAGTGGCTTCCTATATTTTTTAAAAAAAATACAACTCCCAACATTTGGGGCCAAAGGCCATGGGGAAAGATCTTAAAGAGGGAGGTAAGACAGAAGGGTTCAACAGAGAGATCAAGGGGATAGGGGGGAATTATATGGAAGTATAGCATCAACCTTCCCGCATTACTCAGATTCAGGAGCAAATGAAAATCTTCTTTCCTCCTCTGTAATTCTTACCCCTCCATTCTACACAGCTGCAGAGCAACTCCCCCCCCCCCCACAACCCCAGAACCAGCTGCATTTAAGAAGGTGGTGAAGGAGGGATCCCTAGTATAAGTAATCTATACACTCAAGGAGGCCGCTGCAAGTCAGCATAAGATGAGGGAGCCCACTGGGAACGCAGCTGCCTCACTTCAGATTACACAGTTATCTTCTCTACTCCAATAGGCAATTCAGTGCATGCGCACACACACACACACACACATATTCAACATACATGCTAAGGGGATCAGTGTCAATTCTGGTCAGCTTCAGAGTTCCCCGTAGTTACTGCAAAAAAAAAAAAAAAAAGTTTTCTGCAAAGTGGTTCTATATTATACTGCTTCCCTGATCAGGAATGTTGGTTAAAATGTGTGTTTTCTGTACTACACAGAACTCCTCTTCAACAATGCAGGAAACAGAGCTGATGAAACAGTCTGTGCATAACAAAAGGGGGCTGGCCCAACTCCTTTTGTTTGTGTGCTCTTCTCCCTTCAAACTGTTGCTTTTATTTATTATGTACAGTGGTACCTTGGGTTAAGTACTTAATTCGTTCCAGAGGTCCGTTCTTAACCTGAAACTGTTCTTAACCTGAAGCACCACTTTAGCTAATGGGGCCTCCCACTGCCACCGCACCGCCGGAGCACGATTTCTGTTCTCATCCTGAAGCAAAGTTCTTAACCCGAGGTACTATTTCTGGGTTAGAGGAGTCTGTAACCTGAAGCGTCTGTAACCTGAAGCGTATGTAACCCGAGGTACCACAGTATTTGTTTATTACAAACACACACAAACAACATTTATATACACAATTCTTCCCTCCTCACAGCAATCCTGTGAGGTAGATTAGGCTGAGACACAGTGACTGGCCCAAGGTCACTTAGTGAGCTTCATGGCTGAGTGAGGATTTGAACCCTGGTCTCCCAGATCCTATTCTGACAATCTAACCCCAACTATACAAACCTGTAAAACAGTGTCTTCCCAGTAAGCATCCTGCTTGGAGATGCACTGTCAACAAGTGAGTGGGCCTATGCTCATCCAGCCTTCCCTAACCTGGTGCCCTCCAGATGTTTAGGACTACAACTCCCATCAGCCCCAAGAGAAAGCTCCAAAACATCTGGTGCACACCAGGCTGGGGAAGGCTGGCCTAGAGCTCATCCAGACTTCCTTTTGCACTACACTTTCCAGGCACAGGTCCGCACTTTAAAGCTCCACATCTGTTTTGTTGTTGTTCTGGCGCTTTCCCCAGGAAAACCTGCATTTTACTGCTGAATGAGAGCAAACAGCAAACTGCAGAAAATCTGATTCTTACCACTTGCTCTGATTCAGTGGTAAAATGCGGATTTTTCCTGGGGAAAGTGCAGGGACAAAAAAATACCCTGCTTGGACATAGGGATTTAAAACCAGACCTGTGCCCAGAAATGCAGCACAAAAGGAAGTATTGATGAACCTCTAGTGTGCTTCATCGGTTTAACACAACATACAAAAAACTCTACTGTATGAACCTAAGTGATTCCATCTAGTTCTGCTCCCAGCTTCCCAAAGTGGCCGGTCAGATGTTCTTTGGAACTCTCTGGAAGTTTTGTGAGTCCAATAACTCTTCAATTTTACAACTTTTTCTTTCTGAAGGAAGCTTTCCAGGCATATATTTCCTATAAAGACAACTTAAGAGCCTTTTGGGTCAGGCCAAGAGCCCATCTAGTCCAGCATCCTGTTCTCACAGTAGCCAACTAGATGTCTCTATAGGAAGCCCACAAGCAGGATTCAAGCAGGAGAGCACTCTGCTGCAGTGGTTTCCAGCAACTGGTATTCAGAAGCATTACTGCTTCCAGCTGTGGAGGCAGAACATAGCCATCATGGTTAGCAATCATTAATAGCCTTATTTTCTTGTCTAATCCTTTTAAAACCATCCATGTTGGTGGCCATTATTGCTTCCTACAGGAGTGAGTTCCATATACACTATGTGAAGGACTTTCTTTTATCCGTCCTGAATCTCCCAACATTCAGCTTCATTGGATATCCACAAGTTCTAATGTTATAAGGGAGATGGGACTTTTCTATCTACTTCCTCCTTATAAACTTCTATCATGTCACCGCTTACTCACCTTTTCTATAAACTAAAAGTCCCAAACACGGCCATCTTTCTTTGTAATGGAGTTGTTCCATCTGCTTAATACTTTTGTTCCCAACGACAGTAGATCAAAAAACATCCGTATGTGCTAAGTATCCACACATAGCAAAAAGAGGCATTTCTCCCAATAAACTACAACCATCAGCATCCCCTTTGAGATGAGCGTGAACATTAATTACCACCCTGTATGAACATTTTTTATGGGGACACGGGCGGCACTGTGGGTTAAATCACAGAGCCTGGGACTTGCTGATCAGAAGGTCAGCGGTTCGAATCCCCGTGAGAGGGTGAGCTCCCGTTGCTCGGTCCCTGCTCCTGCCCACCTAGCAGTTCGAAAGCACGTCAAAGTACAAGTAGATAAATAGGCACAGCTCTGGCAGGAAGGTAAATGGCGTTTCCGTGCGCTGCTCTGGTTCACCAGAAGCGGCTTAGTCCTGCTGGCCACATGACCCAGAAGCTGTACGCCAGCTCCCTCGGCCAATAAAGCGAGATGAGCGCCACAACCCCAGAGTCGGTCACGACTGGACCTAATGGTCAGGGTCCCTTTACTTATACTTTATGAAAAAAAATTATAGACAATTAGCAAAAGGTCTAGAAAGTGTTCGTAGGTTTGCACAAACCATAGAATGCTGTTTGGGGACAGTTCTCTAAGCAAGGATGATCTTCTTGCATGTTTTTTTAATAGGGTTAGAAAAATACACAAACACAGCAAACCATTAACACTGGTTTTCAATTGAAATACAGCTTTATCTAGACTGTTACAATATTTTTATAACATTTTTACGTTAAAAGATAGATTTTGTTGTTTGCAATTGTTGTGGGGGGGGGAATCATAGCTTATTAAAGGAACTGAAATTGTGAGAAAAGGAGGCATGAATTCCTAAAAAAATTAATTTCTGCTGGAACTCATGCATACTCAAAGGTCATGTACTCCTGAATGAGAGCAGTGGTGAAGGTTGCTTGGTGGACAAGGAAGGACAGCGCAGACATGCTTAGTGGCACCTCCTTGTTAATTCCTACAAACAACCCCAAATCAAAGCAGATTGTGCGCATTCAACACACGTGGTCCCCCAGCTTTAATGAAGCCCCAGACAAGACAAGATTAAGGCAAAGGATGAAAATGTCATGCTGGTTTGGGCTGAAGGCGTTGTAGTCCGAAACAGGACACCCTGTTGAGGAAAGGTTGACATCGCACATGTAGAAATGGGAAGTAGTTTTACAGTGGAGGGTTTCTTCGCAGCCATGTGCCAATATAACAGCAACCTGACAATTCATTCTGAAAGCACACTCTTCTGCCCCTCAATTGGTCTTCATTATGTTACTCAGATGAGACAGATGGAGGAAGCTTAACATTTAGATTGGTGGGTGCGGAGAGGAGAATGGAAAGACCTAACTAGAAGAATGCAAAGAGAACACATTTTCAATTAAAGGCCCCAGGCATAATTGCACATACATGTCTCCTGATTTCAGTGGCGGTGCATTGTGGACTATGTAGTCTTTGAGCTTCATAAAAGCTTATCATTGTGCTTATGTATTTCAGATGCCAGAATAAAAACATAAAAGGGGTTGAAGGACTGCAATTAGTTTAAGGGAAATTAGGGACTGAATAAGTTGCTTTACACTGAGTCAGCCCATTGGGGTCCATCTACTTTAGTACTGCCTACACTGACCGGCAGTGAATCTCTAGGGTTTTAGGGAGGAAGTCTCTCCCAGCCTTACCTGGCGATGCCATTGGGGACTGAGCCTGGGAACTTCTGCAGATACTGTACCACCCAAAAGTAACATTTTACAGGTTTAGAAAATGCAGAGAAACTGAATAGAGAAGTTCTGCGCCGCCCCCCTTTCATAACACCAGCATGAATCTGAATGGTGGGGCATTCATGACAGACAAAAGGAAACACTTCACACAGAGAATTGTTAAATTATAGAACTTGCTCCCACATGATGCAGTGATGGCTGCCAATGTGGACAGCTTTAAAATGACAAAAGACAAATTCATAGAGGATAGGACTACCTATGGCTACTAGTTGTTATGCCTATTTATTTATTTCATAAAATTTATATACAGCTTGATAGTAGAAAAAACCCTCAAAATTGTTTACAAAGCAGATAAACAATAAAGTTATCACTAAAAAGTTTGCAACCATAATTTAAAACATACAGAATGTTAAAACTGCAATAAAATAGACTAAGTTTAAATGCCTACAAACTTTGTAACCAACTGGGTAGCCTTGTCTAAATAAGAATATCTTCAGCAGGCGCCAAAAGAAATAGTGGAAGTGCCTGCCTGATAGGTGCCTGCCAATAGGTTCCCAAGTGTTGGTGACACCACCCTAAAGGATCCAAGATCTTACAGATACAATGTGGATATTATATGGCACTTGTAAAAGTACCAAATTCACATATCTAGGTAGTCAACTGTGCACAGATGGAGTAAGGCAATTTCATTAGTAAACTGGTCCCAAGTTGTTAAGTTGTATTTTCTCCAAGGCCAAATCAGTCTGCCCGTCTACCAATCACTGGAAAACAAGAGCATGGGTAGGCCATGAGCCTCATGTCCTCTTGGTGGACTTCTTGGAATCATATGATTGGCTACTGTGAGCAACAGGAGGCAGGACTAGATGGGCCTTTGGTGACATAATGTCACAGATGCTCAGAGTACAGGGGGTACTGATGTACCAGGCCTTCAGCCAGCAGGAGCCCCACACTCTGAGCTTTCATTTTTAAAAATGTAAGTCTCTAGCCCCCCAGAAGGAAGGCAACCATTGAGACAATTTTTGTGAGATGCACCAACCTGGTTGCTCCCACCTTTCAGTGTTTTTAGCCAATGAGTGAAGTCAGAGATGTGACTTATTTGTGCTCCAGATGATGGTAATCCCCAGGATCCCAAAAAGCTATTTCATCCTCCCCTTTAGTGCATTTTTCCTGTTTCTGCCTCATTTTCCAGTTTTTGGAATCTCCATAGTTTTTGCCCTTCCTTTTCCCCTAGTAATCAGGATGCATCTTTACTGTGGGGTAGGGGGTTAGCTGAGATCAGGTATTCCGTAAAAGTTATTTTCTGCAAGTATCACGGCACAATAAGAGCAGGTAGATGTTAAAAGACCGCCCCAGAACTGGAAAATGCAAAATATGAAAACTTTACAAAGAGGCTTAGGCATTTCTCCTGCTGTGCTTGAGCTAAAGGCAAAGCATTAATTAAGAATCCACTATATAATTAACTTACAGTACAATGGTATACATGTCTACCCAGAAGTACGTCACTTTGTGTTTAGTAGGGCTTAGTCGCAGGTACATGGGTACAGGATTGCAGCCCAGGCTTTAATTTAGGGTCATCATTGTGGGAAAGCAGATTTCTTGTGCCTTTAACAATTATGTGTCAAGCATAAATTCAACAGGTTAAACCTTTTCTAGCGTGGAAAAATAATTATGGGGGGAAAGCTTCACCTGTCTGCATTCTGTCAGACATTTTATTACATGTGCAGCCACCGATTTATTTTTCCGCATGCCACTCCAATCGCAAAAGAGGAAACAACTTTGCATGCAACACAGCATATGCAAATTTTATGCAAGTCTGCGCCTGCTTTTGTGAGTAGGTCATAGGACCCAATCTGCATACAGGATTCTGGACCCAGAAAATTCTGTTAGCATCACTGTGTACTATACAGTGGTACCTCTGGTTAAATACTCAATTCGTTCCGGAGGTCTGTTCTTAACCTGAAACTGTTCTTAACCTGAAGCACCACTTTAGCTAATGGGGCCTCCTGCTGCCGCTGCACCGCCGGAGCACGATTTCTGTTCTCATCCTGAAGCAAAGTTCTTAACCTGAGGTAATATTTCTGGGTTAGTGGAGTCTGTAACCTGAAGCGTATGTAACCCGAGGTACCACTGTATGTTCATATTAACAGTTAGGCTGTGGGCACACCCTATATTTAATACACATGCCTCCTCCTTCCCCAAAAGAATCCTGGGAATTTTAGTTTGTTGTGGATCCTGGGAATTGTAGCTCTATGAGGGATAAACTTCAGTTCCCAGGATTCTTTGGGGAAAGTCATGTGTTTTTAAATGTATGGTGTGTACACACAGTCTAGTGTACAGACATATTTTCCAGGATTCAGCACAGACCTTTAGCCTGAACCAGCTGGATTCTTATCTTATGCTCTGAGCTACAGCCCCTCTCTTACGTTACGTTTGGCTCTCACACATTTCGATCATAAGAATAATGACCATTTGGTGCCAGAAAAAGAGAAATGTTTCAAAATGTGAGCATGCTGACCGTTTGGCACGGAAACGAACTGCGAAAAAAACTGAGATGCCACAAGAATATATAATGTCCATTGACATATGCATGAGTCGATCCGGCAGGAACAAAGCAGATTCCACGACGCGCCATTAGCCACAAGACTAGGAATGGAACCTCCATAATCAGAGGCAGGTTAGCTTTGATTAGCACACACTGGAGAAAACAAAAGGGAGGGTTGTGGCTCTCAGGCCCTGCTCACAAGCTTACCAAGAACAGCACGTGGCTGTGAAACTGTTAAAAACTGGATGACTCTGTAGTCATGACTGTGAAAAAATGTTCAAGGCCAATGCACTGAAACTAAGCAACTAAAAATGCAGTAAGTTTCCATTTTTATTTTTTGCAACAGACAGCGGGTTCTAACTACCCTGAGATGGGCCATGAAAGGTGCAAAATTGCCACACATTCCCAATTGTTACCATGCAGGCATGAACCACCCAAACCAGCATTTTAGTTTCCCTGACAGATACAAGCTCAATGGTGGTGCGAGTTTGCAAGGAAGTAATTTCAAGCGGGTTGTCAGTGCAGAGATGGGGGGGGGGGGGAGCAAAAGGATTGGTTTTATTGTCAAAGTTGTCACCCTGAATGAAAGGCATTCAACAGGACCGAATTCCAAAGATTTATGTATTTTTAAAAAGCAGCCAATCTTGAAATACAAAATTTACATTTCTACTCACACATGCACACTCTACATCTGTGAGCTTTTAATGCTCTCCTTTGACAGAACCCCTTCCACAGTCTCTGTTGCATAACTGGCATGCATCATGGGAGATTCTGGGGCATGGTCTAGGTCAGTTAGCAAGTACTGTGGACTTAGTTTTTCAAAAGCCAAGCCAGAGACCCGACTTTTGAAAATTTTGTTATCTCTATAGTAGTTTTTGTTATGTGAATGGTGCCACGGACCCACCTGGCTGGGTTTCTACCACCACTGTCTCCTGTGGGAGGGAGTTCCATAACTTAACTATGCACTGCATGGAGAAGGACTTTCTTTTATCTAACCTGAATCTTCCAACATTCCGCTTCAGTGGATGTCCATGAGCAGTGTTAGAAACTGAGCAATGAAAGTTAGGAGATAAATGGCACCTTGAACCTAGGTTATGGGAACAACAACAGAATGTCTAGGTGCGCTTTTTCTTTACAACAAGAAAACAAAGCTGAAAATGAATGAACAGCAGCTAAAATATTATGTTCTAATCCTTCCCCTGCTCACCCCCCTAATATTGTTAAAAGGGTCTCTTCCCCAGTCTTCAGAGAGTAGCTGGACGTGGGGAGGCAGAAAAAGGTCCTCCTTTCCTTCCACTCTGCAGTTTTAATCTTAGGTGCAGTACTGCGCCCAGAACTCAGAAATGGCTCTAATGCAATTCCCTGTCGCAAAATGTGCCTAGAACAATGGGAGTTACAAACACTGTTCATGGGTCCTAGTGTTTTGAGAAAGGGGAAAAACCTTTCTCTAGACACTTTCTTCATGCCATGAACCTTTATATAGCCTTCTATCATGTCATCTCTTACTCGCCTTTTTAGTTTAGAGAAGTCCCAAATGTTGCAACATTTCTTCATAGGGAAGTTACTCCATTCTACTGGATCTTTTTGGTTGCCCTTTTCTGAACTTTTTCCAACTCTACAATATCCTTTCTGAAGTGAGGCAACCAGAGCACTTATAAGAACTTTGTAACTAAGGCCTCCTCCTGACCAATGACTTTTGGTGAGTGTATTCTGCAACATGTCATTTATTTACTTGTTAAACTTATACCCCTCCGAAAGGAGCCCAGGGCAGCAAACACTTTTGCGATTAAAACATGTAATAAAAAATAAACAAAAAATATCTTTCAAATATTTTTTAAATGTTTTAAAAAAACTAAAAACAATAAAACATTTTAGAAAAATTAAAATCAGATACAACCAAATCATGTATGCCTGCTGAAACAGAAAAAAATTCAGCAGATGTGTCTAAAAGAGTACAATGATGGTACCTGCATAAGGTCAAGAGGCAGAGAGTAATAGTGCTTTAGCGGGCGCATTTATACTAGGTAAAAGGTAAAGGTAAAGGACCCTTGGATGGTTAAGTCCAATCAAAGGCGACCATGGGGTTGCGGTGCTCATCTCGCTTTCAGGCCAAGGGAGCCGGCGTTTGTCCACAGACAGCTTTCCAGGTCATGTGGCCGGCATGACTAAACCACTACTGGCGCATGGAGGACCGTGATGAGTGCCAGAGCGCACAAAAATGTTGTTTACCTTCCTGCCGCAAGTAGACCTATTTATCTACTTGCACTGGTGTGCTTTCGAACTGCTAGGTTGGCAGGAGCTGGGACCAAGCAACAGGAGCTCACCCCATCGTGGAGATTTGAACCACCGACCTTCCGATCAGCAAGCCCAAGAGGCTCAGTGGTTTAGACCACAGTGCCACTAGACCATCCACACATCATTCCGCTTCATTAGTTGCTGTGTGAAGCTTCCCCAATGCATTATTGCTATCTGGAGGGACACTTCTGTCTGCCACAGAGGCTGGACAAAAAATAAACTTGAACATTTGTGGTATAAAAAGGTATAGGATTTCAGCAGGCAGTTATGGGACCTGCATCAACTGGAAATGAAGCCGTCTATCTGCCCCAACATTTTGCAGGTGCAAACCATATTGAGAATGGGATCATATTGAATCACATCAATATCACCATGTACAAAAACAATCAAGGAAACACAAAGCATATCACTTGGATAAACTAGGGGAAGGGAAGCGCATTCCACAATGCAGCTTTCATCCCCAAACTGGAGCCCTCCAGATGTTTTGGACTATAATTCTGTACTGGATGGAGGCTGATTGGGGGGGGGGGGGGAGAATCTAGTCCAATACAAGTAAGTCATCAGATTGGAGAAGCTGGCCATAATGTCTAACTGCTGCAACTGTCTCTCAGGGTTGCCAGTATGCTGCTGGGCTTAAATTCGAGGTGTTATAAAGCCTTCAATAGTTTGGGACCAGATTACCTGAAGTATTGCTTCAACCCATATGTGCCCACTTGACCGCACAGCAATCTGTGGAACTGGCACCTTTACCAGTGCCACAAAATGTTCATCCCATGCTTGTGAGACATCAAACTTTTAGTGTGGCAGGAACTATGCTATACAACTCGCTTGCTTCTTTGTGTCAGGCAAGCACCTTTGTTGCCTTGCTTTTTAATGCTTGCTAAAATCTTGTTTGTTTAGGCAAACGTAAACAGAGCCTGCTGGATCAGGCTGATGGCCCAGCTAGTCCAGGATCCTGTTCTCACGGTAGCCCACCAGATGCCTGTGCAAAACTTACAAGCAGAACCTGAGCACATGAGCCTCCCCTCCTGGGTTTTCCAGCAACTGGTAGTTGGGAAAATTGCTGCCCCTATCTTTGGAGGCAGAGCTAGCCATCATTGCTAGTAGCCATCAACAGACTTCTCCTTTATTAAACCAACCCAGACACATAATTTTATGATGTGTGGTTCTTCTTAAACTCTGTTGAGTTTACAAAATTTTTTATTTTTTAAAAAAGACTTTTGAAATAAAGTTTCATAATTTTTTTTAGTGAATATCACCTCATTCTTTAACTACAACCTCCAGGAGGGAAGCACTCACAATCACAGCAGTCTCCCCGTCACCGGAGCAAGGTGGAGGAAGACTGTGGCAGGAGGGCTGGCAGAGCATCCACAAACACCATATGCACATCCAGCTCTAGGGCCTACATGTCCTTCAAGAAGCTGCCTCTTTCTTGTTCCTCTATGTTTTGCCTTGATCCACACAGGCTACTCTCCCACAGGTACAGATTCCTTTCCAAATAAATGTTATTAGTTTTCCAATATTCCCCCAATAGCCAAATTATAACAATATCAATTAACTCCCAATTAATACAATCATTCAAATGCCAATCAACTTCCAATTAATACAATTTAGATAAAGGGGCTCCCCGCATTTCTGAGTTCCATAATCTTATTAATGTCAGTTACATTTCAGTTAATATAATAATCCCTTAATCAACAGCTGCATAATTAATGATTTCCATTTGTGTTGTCATACTATATAAATTTATTAAACTTCAAGTGAGGAACTCAAACTATTATCTTTGTTTTGTCCTGTGTGTGAAAAACTGTTCTGCCCATGGAGATTCCTTCTGACCACACAGGTACAGATTCCCCCCCCCCCACGCCCTGTCTTGCGCAGGCCAGAAGGGAGGTCCACCCCATGTGACAGCAACAGTGTCCAGCATGCTTCCTGCATAGGGCTGTCAACCTATTTGCTCCAGCAGACTCCTATATCCTTCCTGGTGCCACAGTGGGCACTGCACCTGCTACCTGTCTAGCCACCTATCCAAGGCTGAGTGGTGAATGGCCCCCTTCATGCTTTCTTAGTTTGGAGCTGTCCCATTGGGAAGCTCTAGCAAAGAGGTAGCCCTCTGGGTGATTTTAAACTACAGTTCCTCTCATTTCTGACCACTGTCCATACTGTCTGGAGATGATGGGAGTTGAGGTCCACAACATCTGGAGGTTATTATAGTGGCTACCCCTGCTGTAGCGTGTAAAAAAACTAAGTGTAAGTGTGTATGGGGAGTGGGGTGGGGTGCTAGTCCTCATTGCCATAAGCTCACTGGCTCCCTTCATTTGCAGGCAGCATGTGGATGTTGTTACCAGCAGTCCTTGATTGGTGGACATTGGTGAAGTTTCTAGGGATAGTGTGGGCTAGCCAGTCTTTCCTCCATTTTTGTATTTTCTACCTATGAGCTTGCCCCTCACGCTAGGCACTAGATGTAGTGGCTGTACTGCCAGAGCAGCAGCAGCAGCACATATCTAGTCCCAGCATAATTTAAATATAAAGGTAAAGGGACCCCTGACCATTAGGTCCAGTCGGGGCCGACTCTGGGGTTGTGGTGCTCATCTCACTTTACTGGCCGAGGGAGCCGGCGTACAGCTTCTGGGTCATGTGGCCAGCATGACTAAGCTGCTTCTGGTGAACCAGAGCAGCACACGGAAATGCCATTTACCTTCCCGCCGGAGCGGTACCTATTTATCTACTTGCACTTTGATGTGCTTTTGAACTGCTAAGTTGGCAGGAGCAGGGACCGAGCAACGGGAGCTCACCCCGTCATGGGGATTCGAACCACCGACCTTCTGATCAGCAAGTCCTAGGCGCCACAGTGCCTGAATGCCTAAAATTAAGCCTGAATGCCTAAAATATGGTGACTGGGTTAGTGGAAGAACCTTATGAAAGGTGGGATGAAAAATGTGGGCACTGTAAATGCTAAGTATTAATTATTTGGTGCAGAAGTCCCTGTTTGACGTCACAAGCTGGCCCTTCAGCCAGTCTCCCACCCCAAGACCAGCATCAGTCATCTCATCCACAACTTTACAGGGTTGTTGTAACAATGACTAGGAGACTGGAGAGGAATCATAGCAAAAAAAAAAGGACAGTCTGCTGCAAGGGTCATTAAGATGGGTGGGTCACAGCCAAGAAGAATCAGGAGACAGTCCCCACACAACTCTGAAGTTATCTGCTGCATTCACACATGATATTCTCCCACAGGAACCCCTGCAGTTCTTAGTATCCTCAGGAGAGGCCTCAATCTAGAATTTGATCTAGTGCTTTTGAAAGCAGGGCCTTCCTGGAGGAATGGCAGATGAAAATGATGGACTACATGGAATTGGTGGAAATGACTGGCAGAATCCGTGACCAGGGAGAAGAGTCGGTGGAAGAAGATTGGAAGAAATTCAAAGATTATTTACAGAAATATTGCAAAATTAATGAATGTTAGAGTGATGTTGGATTGAAATTAAGTGGCTTCTAGCTGTACAGGCTTTAAAGTTATAAATATATCAAGATTAAGGATTAGGATTAAAAAGGTTAAAAGAATGGAAAAATTGGTTTTTAATAGGTAAAAATTTAATGTTATACTATATTAAGATTAAGGATTGGGATTAAAAAGGAGGGAAAGGAATTGCTGGACTAACAAACTGAATTGGAATACAAAAGAGGGAGGTATGAGGAGGTCCAGGAAACAAGTAAATGTAAAAGTAGTGATGAAAAGAGGGAATTGTTTTTAACTGTTTTTCTTTTTTCTTTTTGTATTTTGCATTGTGTATTTTTCTTTTTATTCTTGAATTTTTCTTTTTATGTTGATGTGATTCTTTCTTTGTGAAACTTTAATAAATATCATTTAAAAAAAAAATGAAAGCAGGGCCTTCCCTGGAGCAGCACCACAACATAGGCTTATACAGTCAAGCCATATGGTCTATCTAGCTCAGTATTGTGTACATTGACTGGCAGAAGTTCACTGGAATTTCAGACAAGGGGTCTTTCCCAGCACTGCCTAGAGATCTCATCAGGCCCCTAGGAAGCCTCTCATCAGGGAGCTGCTGCATGCAAAACAGGTAATTTACCTGCTGTGCTACTGTCAAATGTAAAGCAGGTGTCTTTGTTGCTGAGTTTCAAGGCAGTTTGAGATGCTGCTGCCTCTGCCTCTGCCTCCTTCTCCTCAGAAGCATTTGTAAGATCTTAATAAGAAGTTGAGACTTTTCCAACTGATTCACCTCCTTTAACTTTCCCCCCTGCCCTGCTAGTGCAACATAACACGGCACCCTTACTTTTGTGGGAAGACAGGACAGGACTAATATATATACAGTATGGCAATAAAAATCTAAGCTTCTGGACTCTATATGTGCTCAGGGACTAGGAATGGGGGAGAAAGGGTGCTAAATCTAGTTCTGTGACAGGAGGTGGTGTCCTCAGTGGCTAGGAGTGCCCTTTACCAACCAGTTATTGGCTGTTCCTGGATCAGTATAGCTTGAGCACAGTTGTCCATGCATTGGTAACCTCATGACTAAATTACTGCAGTGTGCTGTATGTGGGGCTACCCTTGGGGTTGATTTTGAGGGTGTAGGTGGTGCAGAACACAGTGGCTATATTGCTTCAGGAAGCAAACTATCACCAGCATAGAACACCCTGCTTGCATGATTTGCACTCACAGCCAATCTGCTAACCAGGACAAGTTCAAGGTGTTGGTACTAAATCCCTGTGCAGTTCAGGACCAAGTTACCTGAGAGATCACGGTACCCCTTATACACCCAGTTGATTACTTCAATCTGCACAAAAGTCTCTCCTGCAAGTTAAGTCTGTGGTAGTGTTCAAATCCCCACTTGCAATGAAGCTTCCTGGGTGACCTTAGGCAAGTCACTGTCTTCTTTCAGCGTAACCTACCTCACAGGGTTGTTGTGAGAATAATTTGAGGAGAAGAACCATGTACACCACCTTGAGCTCATGGGAGAAAAAGGTGGTATATAAATGATAGAAATGAATGAATAAGTTTCAGTTAGGAGGAGGGTTTGTAGTGTGGCTGCCCCTGTTCTGTGGAAGAGCATTCCTGTCGAGATGTGACAGGCAACCACTATCTGCACTTCTGGAAATAGCTGAAGACATGTTTTGCTCCAACAAGCTTTCCAGCTAGATAAATGGTTCTTTACTATGAATGTCCACTTGTTAGGATTTTAATCATTTTTTAAATGTATTTGCTGTTGTATTTTTAATTGTTTTTAATTATTTTTTTAATAAATTGCTAAATTTACTGTTTTATTTGTAAATCACCTTGAGACAGTGGATTAGAAGGTGATTAATAAATTAAGTGCAATAATAGTACGAATAATTAATTTTGCCTTACATTTGAATCAGAAACCACTTAATTCCCACTCCTCAAACCAAAACACAAACCGAAACACTACTATTCTTTGAAATTTTTGCTTCTCCAAATTTTGCATGCAGTTTTCCAACAAATGTGTACAAAAACATGGTAGGGCATAAAAAATGCATAATGTTGGTGAAAATGCATTGTAGTAGGAAAAACACTTGCAAAAATGTGCATGTTAGTCCAAACTGTATGCAAAAATATGTACGGTATATTCTAAGAAATTTTAAATTGTTGTAACCCACCCTGGGACGTGAAGGATAAGTAATAATAATAATAATAATAATAATAATAATAATAATAATATATGGGCTGAGTCCACCTGCTTCCAGGATTCATCTTGGGCACTGGAAACAGGATTTATCTGTGACCTGGAAGTTAAGCAAGCCCTTAACCTCTTCCCCATATTGCTCCCCCCCATGCCAAATTAATAGCATGTGTGTCCCCCCATCTCTTTGGGAGTCCTTGGGGTGGGTAGAAAGGGAACTGGATGGAACTGGGCATGAAGGGCCTACACAGGAAAATGGAGGGGGGTGTTGCTGTACGTTGCCTGAAATAATCCCCCCCTACGCATTCATGATCCAGTTATCCCTGGTTGCCATGGCATCCAAGAGGCAGCCGAGGCTGATAGGAGGGGGGGAGGGTGCTGGGATGAGGCGGCCAAGGATTGAGAAGAGAGATAAAAGTGGGGGAGGGAGGAAGAAACTGGATAGAGCAGCCTCCCCCAATGTGGCACCTTCCAGATGTTTCGAACTACAGCTCCCATCATCCCTCAGCTGGCTAGTGGATGATGGGAGCTGTAGTCCAAAACTTCTAGAGGGAACCTGTGTGGTGCAGACTGCTTTCGAAATCAGGAGTGGGTTGAGCATTGCCTTAGGAAGCTTTCGTCCATCTCACCCCTTGGCCTGAGGTGTTTTAGTTACCTCGCAATTGTCAAAAAACAGTTGCACAACCCTCTACCGCCCCGAACCAAAATTTGGGTGGTTTCAAAAACACACATCTTCATGCCTGTGGGTATCACCACCTCTGCCTTAAAACAGCAAACAGGTGTGATGCGGGGACATCCCACCACCATCCACCCCAACCTCTGCTGGCAGCACCGGGGGTTTGGGTGAGAGAGAGTGGCCTGTATTGACCCCTGCCTTGTTCTGTAAGCCATAACAGCTCTTCACATATGAAACCTCCTTGAGAGACTTCATAATATAAAGGGCTGGTGTGGGCAGGAACTGGAGGTTCCTTGGAGGAGGATTGGGGGCCACTCAGGGTGGCAGACAGATCTGAAGCAGAATTCATGTGGACAGTCTCCTGAGCAAGCTAAACTATGGAACTCACTCCAGAGGCATCCAAGGTCACCAACATGGATACAGGATTGGGAAGGGCTATCAGTGGCTAGTAGCCAGGATGGCCATGCTCTGCCTCCAGTCAGAGGCAGCAATGTTTCTGAATACTAGTTGCTGGAAGCCACAGGAGGGGCAAGTGCTCTTCTGCTTGGATCCCACTTGAGGATTTCCAGATGGCAACTGTGAGAACAGGATGCTGTACTAGATGGGCCATTGGCCTGTTCCAGTAGGGCTCTCCCAGCAATCTTATGAGCTCCACTGGGATAAACAGGCGTGGGTCCCATTCATTTCAATTGATCTTATTTTGGAGAAAGTTTCCCCCAGGAGCTGGGTAGATCTGGCTCATCTCCAGCACTAGCGGCGGCATCCCCTTAAATATCTTAAAGCCACCTTCTCCAAACTGGTGCAGTCCTTGGCCATGGTAGTCACTGGAAGTTGGACTCCAGCAACATCTAGAGGGCCTTGCATGGAGGAAGACTCTCTTAAAGCTACCCCCTCTGTCTGCTGCTTCTGTTCATGAATACAGCTTCGCAGATCCTTGGTCTGCACTGTTACAATCCCATCCATGCCAATGACTCCTTGGGGCAGCCACCATTTTTTGCAGGCCCAGGGAGGAAATTCATTCATAATGTGCCCTCCATCTCAGGTATGTGTGTATATTTGGGGGGGGGGCTGGGGGGGAGGACAGCACTGCACAGCACAGCACAATAAAAACTGGCTTCACATTGCAGGCCATCTTCAACACACACCAGGGCTGCTGGGGAGACAGAGATATTTCCATCACTTCCCTGAGCGCTTCCCATAACTTCAGAAAAGCATTTGTCAGGAGAAGACACAGAACGTACTCCTGTCAGTGGAGTGCATGTAAGTAGCACAGAGATATAAGGCACATACTTCCTTGCAAAACACCATTAGCTTTTGTTCACACAAATGCGGCCCAAGCTTCCAGTCCTCTTTGAGGCCACCACCACTTTTTGTACAAAAACTCAGGGCCCATAGCAGCTGCATAGTACGGTAAGTAGAAACCAGCTGACAAAGTGTTTCCCCCAACACTGCAACGCTCACCTGTTGATCCCCGACTATCATGGTGGATGTAAAAGGATACAGAGGCCCTGCCTTCCTGCCTGCATGGAAACCTTTGAAAACAACGCAAGAACACAACAGGACTGCAAACATGTCCTCTGCAGTCTGAGTCCCTTTCCATCATCCACCTCACTATCACCTAACCCAGCACTGTTCTCATCCACCTTCACTCCAGACAAACACAGAATGTCTGGTGAAACTCTAATGGCTGCAACAGAAGTACTCTATTCAAGACCCCTGAACACTTAGTTTGCATATTTTCAATCATATTTGGGGGGCATTAATGCCAAATTTGCATTATTATTATTATTATTATTATTATTGACAAACAAAAGCCCATCAACCAATTAAACATCACAAACATCCACTTATGGAATAGAAATCTCTTAAAATCATTGGCCTCCCAAGGATTTGCCACCCCAAACCACCCTGTTGGCAAAAACAGCTCCTTTTGGTTCAAAGGCCAGTCGCTATCTTATACCAAACACAGCTCATTGAAGAAGACTCCAGGACAAACCAAAAGCTTGCAGTCCTAACCAGTGAAGTTTATTTTTATTTTTATTTATAGCCTTCATATCAAGGAGCCCAGGATGGCAAACAAGAAGTGATAAAATGATTAAAACGTCTTTAAAACTTTTCCAGTACAGATGTAGACTGGGACGAAGAGCTCAACTTAGAAGGCTTGTCAAAACTTGTCTGAGGAGATATGCAAACAGCTAGCCAAAGCATTTGCTGCATCTCTAAAGCTTGCTACCTAGCCAGAGGAAACTCAGTGGTAGAATGCAGGAGGGTCCTAGGATCAATCCCCAATGGCATCTGCAGGTAGGGCTGGGAAAGACCTCTTGCTTGAAACCCTGGAGAGCCACTGCCAGTCAACAATACTGAACAAGTGTCTGAATCAGTAGAAGGCAGCTTCCTGTGTGACCTTTCCATTCTTATAAAAATCTGGGATTTAGTCACCCTCTTTCCCTTTAGAGCAAACCTCACAGCTATAATCCTATATCCACCACCCATACAAGAGCAACTAAATGGGTCATGGTATATGTAACACACTCACTAGATAAGCAAAAACTGGATTGATTGCTGCCAGCATTCCCTTGGTTTTTCCTAAGCTATGAAGCTGCCTTGTCCCAAAACTCAGGCAATCCCTCCATCTACTCTAGTTTTGCCTATGCAGATCTACACCATATATTTAAAAGAAATTAAAGGCACAAGGGAGGCGGGTGGCGCTGTGGTCTAAACCACAGAGCCTAGGACTTGCCGATCAGAAGGTCGGCGGTTCAAATCCCCGCGACAGGGTGAGCTCTCATTGCTCGGTTCCTGCTCCTGCCAACCTAGCAGTTCGAAAGTACCTCAAAGTGCAAGTAGATAAATAGGTATCACTCCGACGGGAAGGTAAACGGCATTTCCGTGCGCTGCTCTGGTTCGCCAGAAGCGGCTCAGTCATGCTGGCCACATGACCCGGAAGCTGTACGCCGGCTCCCTCGGCCAATAAAGCGAGATGAGCGCCGCAACCCCAGAGTCAGCCACAACTGGACCTAATGGTCAGGGGTCCCTTTACCTTTAAATACACATTAAAATCACATGGCTTCTCCCAAAGAAACATGAGCACTCGTTTGTTAAAAGTGCTGGGAATTGCAGCTCTGTGAGGGCGAAACTACAGTCCCCAGGATTCTTTGGGGAAGTCATATGCTTTGAACATGCTTTCAATGTATGGTGTGGATAGAGGGAGGGTGGCTAGTAGTTTTTCTTCAGGGTCTCAGGGAGAGGAGTGTCTCTCTTCTTATTGCCTGCCCCTGCCCCTTTCATCTGTTGGCCATTAAACCAAGGACTTCTGACATGCAAAGCCAATGCTCCACCACTGAGCTCTGGACCACCCACCCCATTGAGGATGCCAGATCTTCAGACAGGCTCAAGGCATTTTCAGACAAGATGCTGAAAGTGACATTGACCCTCTCCACCACAACCACCATGGACACTGTCACTGACCAGCCCTTCGCACCTTTCACACCTCCAAATGTAGGACAGAGAGCAGGAAAAGTCAGTTAAAACAAGTATCTTCCACCTTTTCAGACCCAGGACCCACTTTTAACTCCAACATGCATTTGGATGACCCTTTTCTTGGATCAGGCTGCAACCCACTAGTGGGTCCTGACCCACCAGTTGAAGACAAGAGAGTTAAAAAAATGTCAAATATATGTTCCCAGCAAATGCTTTTTAAAAAAGCAAGTGAGTTTGAATACTATTTCTAACGGTATACATTTTTAAAGCATCAGTGGAGTGGAAAGTATGTTGGACTGCGGGGGCCAGGCAGGAGAGGACACCTGGGTCCAAATTCCTACAAATCAATGAAATGCAGTGGGTGAAATTGATGGGCTCAACTCTTCCAACTAATCTACCTCACAGGGTTGCTGAGATGGGAGGGGACAGATGATTCACGTAAACTGTCCAGAGTTCCTTAGGTGGGGGAAAAGGATAAAAAATAGACAGCATGAGCAAAAATGGAAGATTTTTACAAGGTCTAGTTGGGCTGCATAAGTTGTTTTCTCTAAAACATACACATCCCACCTTTTCCAAAATAGCTTTAAGGCCAATTAAAAGATTATTAAAATAAAACAGTACAATATACAATTAAAAATCATAAATACATCCAGCTTTTCTTGATATCAAGAAAAAAATATGTGTGTGCCAGATTGCCTATGTGGTTATTAGCATACGTGTTTGAAAGGCATCTACTCTGGACCAGATGTGCCAATCTCACTGACTGATACCCAAGATCTACCTGCTGGGATGCAACACGTGTGTTGTGTGGGTGTGTACACATGTGTATAAAGTTTCCAGTGGATTCTGGGGTGTTTTGCATCCACAACCACAACCTTCCCTAAATGCCCTTAGGAGGACTTTTGTTCCAACACCAAATGCTTGAAAACAGGTCCTGTGGCTGAATTCTCACTGAGACTGAGCCTTTCCAAATTGCCTCATTTACGGTACTTCCCTCCCCCTCTCACATACGGCTGCATGATACCTCCCACCCACCTTCTGCCAGCTCAAGGGCCTTTTCTAAATTTCAGCAAAGCCCCCCTTTCAGCAAATCTTGGACCAAATCATTTATAAACCTTTGGGGGGCAGTGGTCACAGGTCAGTCCCGGTTCACTCACCCATCCTCAGAAGCATTTCTCTTTTTTGGAATCTCTCTTCTACTGTGAGTTTCTCTCTCCTTGTCACACACACACACACACACACACACACACACACACAATGACTCATTCCCAATCCAGATTATCAATGGCAAGAGCCACACAGGCATGTAACACACACACACAAAATGTCACCAACCAACCGGATGCCCTATCCCACCCCCATTTTCTTACAGCTGCTAAAGAACACCACACTCTCACAAATAATCCATGCCTGGAGAGACAGAGAACAGGAAAAAAGGGTGAAGGTAAAGGCAGTGCTATTCTAGGCTATCTAGCAGCTTTCTGGAGTCACATTTCGGATGCCTTGATGAGGACTGATCTGCAAGACTGCCACTTTTTAAATAAATCTCTTCCCACCACCAACCCCAAGAAATTTTAGCACATACATGGAAAGAGCTCAGTAGAGGCAAGCAGATCATATTGGACACCACGAAGAAGGACCAACAAACCATCAGGCCATAATAGTCATGATCCACTGGGACGCTGTCTCACAAAGACCCCAGAAAAATGAACTGTAACTGCACCTTGCATGGAAAAATGTCCGGATGGATCATGCCCTGTGCTAATTATCTGAAGAAGTGAACATAGGAAGCTGCCTTATTCCAAATCATGCTCTTTGCCCATCCAGGTAGATATTTTCTGCACTAGCAGCAGCTCTCCAGGGTTTCAGGCAAAGGATATCCCCGGTCTTACCTGGATATGCCATTGGAGATTGAGCAGGATCCTTCACAGCACCCCTAGAAGCCTCTTAATGTGTCTATCCCCATCTAGATGGGGAACCAGCAGCCCTCTAGATGTTGCTGGACTGCAACTCCCATCATCCCTGATTATTGCTGTTGTTGGCTGAGGCTTATGGGAACTGGAGCCCAACAATATATGAAGGGCCACAGGTTCCCCTCCTACCCCAATCTACAAGTTACCCTCCAAAGTCTAGGGGAGGTAGAGGGTCCTCCCCCTCTGCCTTTTTTTGATTCCCTAGCTTGAAACAAACAATAGCCATGGCTAGATACTTTCAAGTCCAATCTCTGCCCAAAGCATTCAGAATAGCCCAGCAAGGATTCCGTGCCCAACACCTAGTCATCTAAAAAAACATACTTTCCATCCTGGTCATTGACAAGTGGTATAATCAAATCCCCCATGTGATTTACCTGAAGCACCTTGGTACTAATGCACCCACCTCCCTAATAAATTAATACCCCTATATTGTGACATTAGATGAGGAATAGGAGACCTCTGCACCCTTCCAAATGCTGCTTGACTCAATTCCCATCAGCCTCAGCCAAGCATGTTCAGGAATGATGGGAGTTGTAACTCTTGCAACTACACAGATTTCCCCACTCCTGCATTAAATCCAAGGCCTTCTAGAAAGGAAAGCTGAACCTGTTCACACTTTTACATCCACCCCAAATGCTCTACTTGGATCAATCAGTCTCCACCAATATGGATTGGGCCCAAACTCAGTGGTAGAACAGCTGATTTTCATGCAGAAGGCCCCAGGGTTCAATCCCATATGGCATTTCCAGGTACAGGTGAGAAAGGATTCCTGTCTGCAACCTGGAGAGCCACTGTCAGTGTACCATTGGTGATAATAGTCTGACTTAGTATAACGACAGTTTCCTATATTCCTAACCAAGTGACTAGAAAAGATGGCTGATAGATATCAAACACCTTTGCACTCCTGATTCTAGGCATTTGTCTACATCTAGATGATTCCAAGTTGCCATCTTCACAGGCCTCAAGGCAAATTTCTACTCCAGTTGTTAAAATGAAGTGTGGGAGGGGGGACTTTCCTGGCGCCTCTAGAATACACATACAAACTGGGCAGGATCCAGACACCACTGTTAACACACTCTGATGCCAACTTAGAGGACCAATACAGAGCATCTACTTTACCTGCAGAAGGATCCAGGTTCAGTCCCTAAAGGCATCACTAGGTAAGAATCAGAATGTCCTCTGTCTGAAACCCTGGACAGCCACTGCTGCCAGTCTTTGTTGACAATACTGTGCTTTATGGACCATAGAGCTATATAGACTGAACTATTTGGACAATACTGATCTAGATAATCTGAATCAGTATAAGGTAGCTTCCTATGTTCCTAGGAGGGGGAACGGCAAGCCCAGGGGCCGATTGCTGCCCTCTAAGCCTCTGTATGTGGCTCTTGGGACTCTCCTCAGGACACACCCAAGGCCTCATCCCTCACCAGCCTTGCCCTGTCCCCATCTCAAGTGTTTTTGCTTGTCTGAAAAAGACTTTTTGCCCCCCAGAAAGTTACCTATGAGGAGATGTGGCCCTTGGGCAAAAAATGTTTCCCCACATTTGTCCTAGAACTCTGACCAGATGGTCCACAGGAAATGCCTCTAAAAAATTCTCCCCTAGGAAAAAAGAAAAAAGAAACTACCTGCCTTTAAATCTCCTGACGTCACCTGCTCTTGACACTTTAAGAACTCTTCATGGATCAAAACTATGAATGGGAAGGCAGGCAAGAACACTCCCACACAGCTCACTGTGGGTGGCTTAACTCAACCCAACTTTCTCCCTGGATTCTATTTTTAATACCTGCTGGTCAACTCTGAAGAGTGGATTTCCAAGCTTAGCCAAGCCCCTGAAGACCCCAAATGACAGACAAATACCATGAAGCCATCAAATGTTGATCAGGCCCTTAGCCTGGAACATAAGGAAGCAAAGACCAATCTAATAAATCTCAGGGGACCTTCTCTCCCACCACTCCTCAACACATTCATCACCCCTCCACACGCACTTAACCAGCAAAGAATCCAAGGCCAGTCCTTAGAAGATCTGATAAGAGTAGAGATGGATGAAGCCTCAGGAAGTAAAGCCCCAGCCAATCACTCCCAGTGCCCACATCCATTATTAATGGACCATTGTCAATTTATGGAAAGTGGGGGGAGGCTATTTTCAGTGGAAGTCCAATTCCCTCTCCCCCAGAAAACCTATTGTTCACTCTTGCCAGTGACTTATAAAATTTATTATAATTTTATTACTTATACCCCACCCATCTGACTGGGTTGTCCCTCTCATGATGGGCCAGGGCCTCCTGCTGCTATGCTGAGAGCCCTCCCTCTCCACAATCACCAGACTCCCTCTCCCCAAAACCTTTTTAAAAAAAGAAAAAGAAAAAAGAATGCACTCTATTCTTATGCCTCACAGTGTTCAGACACACTTACAGATGTGTTGTGCGTCTGCACAAATTAATGTAGATATACCCTCACATTCAGGGCTAAGAAATAACTTACAGTCTCTGTAGAATTGATTTCCCCAACCCAACACCCTCCAGATCTTGGGACTACAACTCCCATTAACCCCAGTCAGTACTGGTTAGGGCTGATGGGAGTTGTAGTCCCAACATCTGGAGGGCATCCAATTGGGAAAAGCTGCCCCAGATTGTGTCTCCCCTCCTCACACACCCAACCCTATTAACGCCATTCCCCACCCACTCCACTGCCTGCTTTAAATTCCGCAGCAAAATCAATCTAGGCACCCATCATACAGAGCCCCCTACCCTGATTTTCAATTATGCGGCCTAGAGACACTTCTCAAATACACCATATCACTTTCCCTAATACCAAGAAAATTTGTTGGGGTTTTTTGTGGGGGGGGGGAGAACCCCAGACATTCTCTCATCCTCCTATTTGCACTTACACCTTTCAACCACCACCACCCCAAATTCCTCTTCCGCCTGGAAGCGGACAGCCACTGCAGTTTCTACTACTGGTTCCTATCAGACGCTCGAACCACTCAACCTCTCTCTCTTCTACCACCCCACCCTCCTCACTCACACCCCAAAATCAGCATTCATGTACAGTTGGAGTGTGGTATTTAGCGCAAGCATTGTGTGTGTGTGTGACGGGTGGAACGAAATGGCTCCTTTTGATGCTATTTCTGTCTCTCTCCCCCTCCCCCCACTCACACTTATATACACCCCGGGTGATGCGCTCTCAACACCCCACTCTTTTTTCAAAAAAAACCCCAATAAGCCAGCTACACTTTAAGCCATCTCAGCCAAAAGCAACACCTGTTCACTGTGCTCCCCTGGAGCCTGGCCACCCCCACCCCACAGACTCATTCACTCTCCCCCCACCCACCCACCTCAATGCCTTATTTTATAATTAAATGTTCACCCCGCCCTGACTAATCAGGACTGAATCATTCCATTCTCCAAAGGCCTGATGGGATCTTGGATTGCTCTGCGTTTCCATGGAGGGGCAGAAAACCCAATGCGGAATGCTTTTCTTTTTTTCTTTTTTTGTTAAGAAAGGTTTCTTGATCTTGCTTTGTCAAGACACTGCATTCCACAGTTTCCCCCCACCCTCCCTCTTAGGTGGTGCATTCTTATGCTTCCTCCATCTGCTGTTCTCTGAAGTAACATGAGTTTGCTAAGAGACAAATACTTTCGGATGAGCATCAGAAGATGTCAGACTTTTATCCTTCCCTCACTCCCCAACACTGCTCTCCCTCCTGCTGCCCATTTTGGCACATGCAGGCCTTCCTCTCTTGCCCCCACCCCACTGGCAACCTCCATCACACACCTGTGGGAAACCCTTTTATTCCAACAGCCAAGAGCAGGGGCAGCTCTCAATCCTAGTCCAGTGGAGAAAGGGAGAGTTCAGTTCCCAATACCCACTCAGAACCAGGCCCTGAATGAGGCCTGGAAATCTCAATGACCACCACCACTACCCACCCACCCACAGCACCAGGAAAAGAAGTCAGGGAAGGGAGGTAGAGGGACTAGGAAAGCAAGGCCAGAAATTGCTGAGCACCAAGGTCCATGGAGAGCACTAAGGAAATGGATGGGTCCCCTTGCTACCTTATATAGGACTCGAGTGGCTCTCAGACTGGACAGAGAAGCACCTACTCCTCAATTCTCAATACTGTAGCTATTGACAAGTTTTCCCAAGACCAGTAGCCCAAATCTATAATTCCCAGCACCCCGACACACACACACACACACACACACACACACACACCATTTCAACAATTGAAAGTCTCCTAGTTATTAAAACAACCACCACCCAACCTTTCCAGGCACACAGATACATAACGCAGTGCTATGAGTTGTTTTGGGGAAGGACCCCAACCTCCCCCCCCCACACCAAATGAAACTGCATAGGAAAAGCATCTCTCTCTCTCTTACACACACACACACACACACACACACACACACACACACACACTTTTATGGCAAAGCCCTAGAGCCCCCATTAACAAGACAGCTAAAACAGAGAAGGACCTCAACCCTTGACCTGTACTTCCCCACTAACCCTAATCTTAGAACCATTCCAGCCCTAAGACATTTCAAAGTGGAATTGGGAACGGGTCCATTCCACCCCCTCCGCACACACAAACCTCCCAGCAACCTCTGGACCTGTACAATGTGTGTGTGTGTGTGTGCATGCACAAACATGCACACACCTGCACCCAATGTCAGCCTAGTAGTGTGTTGTGTTCCCAGTGCTCCGCCACCGTCACCATCATGGGCACGTTCCTTTAGCTGCAAGCTCTTTAAGACACAAGCCTTGTGGCATCCACTTTCAGCACCACGGAGAGCACCAAAGATTCAGCACCAGGGCCAGCATCCTCACATTCCAGCAGTAAAGATGCCACCTTTTGCCGCTGCAACACCCCATTTCTCTCCCTCCTGCCTCTTTATAGGGACGATTCCACCTCCCCAATCTCACCACCACTACCCCACATCACCCTATAGAGCCTTATCCCACGCAGCCATCGGCTCCATGGAAACTGCTCATGGGAGAGACAGAAGGCTTCTGGAGACCTCCTCCCACCACTTCAAGCAATGGAGGAGTCTCTTCCATTGCTTACCACAACCATCATAACCACCCCTATCACCAGCGACCACCTTGGCACCCAGTAGCATTGCCAAGCTGTTCCATGCCACCCATCAGCAACTGCCCCTGCTCCGTCGCTTGACACACAGACAAATACACATGGCTTTCTAGAGCTCTCTTACCCCCCCTCCCCTTCCCACCCTTTGCAGAGGTGAGCAAACTACCCCACAGTTAACAAGAAGCACAAAAGATGGCACAAATATACCCCCTCCAGAGGCAAATCTTACCTTGGTAGTGACTATGCACAAGCAGTCCATCCCTTTCTTGACTCAAGCACCTAGCTGGGAAAGGTCTGTAGAACATCAGATATTCCGGGGCTCAGGGTTACCGCTTGCCCCCCCCTCAACTATGGTTCTTGGGTAGCTCACCCTGACTGATGAGGGGTACCAGGGGTGTTACGTCCCACCCGCCCCTGAGCTACGCTTTGGTGTATCCTAGGGGTGCCAATGCTGGCATCTGGGTGGTGTGTGTGTGTGTGTGTTAGGGTGGGGGGCTGCCAGTTGGGAGTATGCGAGAGATGAAAGGCAGCGTGTGTGAAAGGAGAGGCGAGAGATCCAAAAGGAAGGGGGGGGGAGAGAGAGCTTACAGTGAGGGGGGGGAAGTGACAGAATGTAAGGAAGGAAGGGGAGGGTGGAAAAAGGAAGGAGGCTCTGCCTGTTCTCAGAGAAACAGAGTCCTTTGCTCCCTTCGCTCAAGATGGGCAGCTGGAAAGAGGTGCAGAGGTGGAAAAGAAGGTGGAGGGGTGGGAAAAGAGGGGAGGAAGAGAGATAGAGAGAAGGGGGGAAGAAGGGGGAAATGGGGGGAAGGCCAGGAGCAGGGGGGGGGTCCCGCTAAGATGTAGGGGCTGAATTGGAGAGAGGAAGAGCCCTCTTGCTGCTCCCCATCAGAGGGAGGGGAGAGGGACCTGGAATATGGAGCAGTGAGAGAGGGGGGCACAAAGAAAAAGGGGGGAGGGAGAGGAGGTTAACCTTTTGAGTGCCAGAAAGGATCCAGCCCAGCAAGGGAGGTGGGCGGTGTGTGGAGGCAGCAGCGTCACCGGGAGTTAACTCTCCCAGCGCCAGAGAGACTGAAGGTAGTAGAATGAGAGGCTGGCGGGAGGGAGATTGAATTTCAATTGTGGGTGAAAGTGAAAGGCACAGACAGCCTCTTCCCAGCACCAAAGTCCAGAAAGGATCAGGAAGGGAGAGATCAGGAACTTTGGTGGGGTGTGTGTGTTTGTATGTGTGTGTGTGAGACTGCAGATGTACATTTTTGTCATATGAGACCACCCAGTATGGGTCATGCATGTAACTGACAGAAAGTGGTGGTGACAAAGTGGGATCCAAAAGGCGTCGGGAGACCCTGGGAACCCAGTGCTTATGCACAAGCGTTGAGTGTGATATTTCAGGGCAGGGTATTGATCCTCATCTAATTTGGGAAGATTTTTCTTCCTTTGTATAATGGTTGGGAGGGAGAAGATAAACACAAGTATATGTATATGTGAGTGTGTGTGACACACACACAGTCTCACTCACACACACACACACACACACACACACTTGAGACCAATTTAATTTTACACCTAACAGGAAATATCTCATATAAAATGGTGGGGGACTGCCTGGGAGCCAAGAGAGGGGGTAAAAAAAGAAAAATAATGCCACCCCCACAAATCTGACCTTTACACACACAGGATCTCCAGGAATTCATTAACATTCTCTCCCTCAAACCCCTGAAGAAAAACAACCCCAAAACAGACTGCAATAGGTTAAATTTGGAGTTGAAGACAGGAGGGCTAAAAAGAAAAGATCAGATCCAACTGCCAGGAAAATATATGCCCATGAAAAGAGAGATAGAAATATATGGTCAAACGGATGTTGGGGTGGGAGGGAGGAGAGTTTTAAAAACTGCAGCTAAAATGCCTTGATCACAGAAGTGAGGGGGAGGCAGAAAACAGAAGATCTGCTGGAAATGGAGAGAGAGAGAATATCAGGGAGTATGTGCCAGTAGATATACATAGGTATAGATGCATGAGACAGACAGACAGACAGAAAATGGGAAATGTTGTGTGTGTGTGCTTTTATATGTGTGCCTATGTGTGTACATAGAATAATAATTAATAAATAATAATAATAATAATAATAATAATAATAATAATATATTTGATTTCTTACTCACCCTTCACCATAAGGTCTCAGTGTGGGTTTCAGCTATCTTGAAATACAATACGAAAAGTAGTTTAAAACAGGAAGAAAGGAAGCTGCTTCATACTGAGTCAGACCATTTGATCCATCTCAGTACTGTCTACACTGACTGGCAGTAGCTCTAAGGGTTTCAGTCTCTGGGTCTCTCCTAGCCCTACTTGGAGTTGCAGTCAGGGATTGAACCTAAGACATTCTGCATGCCAAACAAACGCTCTACCACTATGGTCCTTCCCAAATTACAGTCACAAGGTAGGTCCTAAATATATCATTCTCGGGTCGCAATGGTCAGGATAAAGAGGTGCGTTTTCACCATATGAGGAGAAACCTGGTGTGAAGGTTGCAGGTGCACCTCTGTAGGGAAGGAATTCCACAACTTAGGGACTGATTGTCCCTCAGTGGTGGAGCATCTGCTTTGCATGCAGAAGGTCCTAGGTTCAATCCGCAATGGCATCTCAAGGGGGGCTGGGGAAAAACCCTGCCTGAAGAACCGCTGCCAGACAGTATAGACAATACTGGGCTAGACAGATTTACGGCCCAGCTCAGAATAAGCTACAGCTTCCCATGATCCTAACTTAGGGGTTGTCCCAGAGAACCACCACCCCAAAGCTCTGATGCCAGAGGAACTACCAAGAGTTGATCATTCTCTGCTGATCTTAACACCTGAGAGGATCTGTGGGAAAAGAAGAGGAGTCCTTTCAGCTATTTGAGGCCCTGAGTCCTATTTGGCAGCCTATACTCTTCTTTTCGGTTCTTATAGGTGGCCCACCACCCCACAGTGGCTTTCAGGCCCTTCCCAAATGTCCCACATGTTATTAAAATTTATCTTTTCAGGTGAACACTTCCAACAGGAACCCTAAAACAGTCACTGATTTGACTTCAGCCCTTCCCACTTACTGCAAGACAAAGCAAGTACAAGGCCAGCCAGATTAGAGACACCATGAGCAGCAGATGAGGGGGCCGAAATTTGAGGAGCACTTGCTTTGGCCCTGCAAGCTGTCTTGGGAGACAAGACATTCTGGCTGTGCTTTTGAGGAGGCAAGCTTGAGAGACTCTTCAGCTGCTAGGCATTATGTCTCGCATTCTAGGAAGGGTTTTTAAATTTCTCTAAGGCAGGCGGAGCAAGAGATCTAACCCAAGAGGTTCCCCTGCACAAGCAGTGAGTTGTACCCCATCTTAATTCATAGGAGGAGGGACACCAAGATGCCTCCCTTCCCCATTACAGCCAGGATACTTTTATTAGCATTCTTCCATAACAGGTGTTTGGCTGGCCTTCATATATACCAGGGATGGGAACCTTTGACCCTCCAGATGTTGCTGAAATACAACTCCCATCATCCCAGGCCATTGGCTGGGGGTGATGGGAGTGGGGACTCCAACAGCTTCTGGAAAGCCAAAGGTTCCTCATTCTGGAGCTAAACACAGAATGAACCCTTCTGGATTGCCTGAACTACTGTTAATATTATAAAGCCTAACATGGTTCAGGGCCCCAATCCCCTTAGGGACCACCTTTCCTCACATGAACCTACCTCATCACCAGAGGCCCTTCTTCTTGCCCCTCCCCCTCCAAGAGAGGCACAGAAGTTGGCAGCATGAGAGAAGGCATTCTCAGTGGTGGCTCCCTGATTGTGGAGTGCTCTCCCCAGAGCGTTGGACGCACCTAATTCCATCAATATCAGCCATTGAGCACCAGTCAAAGACATTCCTGTTTCCCCATGCATTTGGCTCAATGTGGAGGTCACAGGGTATGATGATCCCCATGCCTGTATTTGTGTTCATCTTTCAGCAGGGTGGGGTAGGATTTATCACTTTCTTTGTTACAACAAGATGAGCACGTTCCACCAATTAATGGTATTTTATCTTAGTGATGTACTTTAAGTTTTGTATCATGCAGGTTTTTATAACTGTAAGTAGCTTTGAGACAGTTTAGTAGTAAATGACAAATAAATGCAATAATGATCCAGCTCACCAAATCAGACAGTCTGGCACTGAAATTCATCATCATCATCATCTAACTAAATAATAGCAGTGATATTATTATTATTCAGGCTCCTAAGACCAGACAGTCTGCAGGATGCCAGGTTAGCAAAGGCTGCCCTAGGACTTCATAAACAGAGCTTGAAGTCTGCAGCATTCCCTTGCTACATATGGAAAGGTAGACTGCCCCAGCACACTGAGGAACCCTCTGAAACCCTCCAAGAATTTTCTGGCACCTTGCCCTCCAGCCAGCTTTAGCCCACACTAAACTGCTTCGGCTCTTGGGAGGGAGAGAATCTGTTCCTAGAAAAAGGACTTCCTTCCTGTCACATTGAATCTGGCGGCTGCTGCTCCTTCCTCTTATCCTCTCTCCGTCTCAGCAGACAGGATAAACAAACTCTGTGAAGTCACTCTCACAGTCATTTACACCAGCAACTAAAATTATGAAGTTGTGGGGAGGGGGGGGCTGAATAATCTCTCTTCTGGAGCGAGGTTCAGTTGGGGAAGGAGATGAGAGAGGGCTTATGAGATTATGAGCGCTGAGAGGAAATTGACAAAGCAGGACAAGGGGGTGCAGAGACAAATAAAAATCATGGCCCACAAAAACCACGTCATCCTCAGAAACTAACAGAGAGAACATAAGAAGAGCTTTGTTGGATCAGGTAAAAAGGTCTACCCGGGCCAGCCTCGAGCTTCCAACAGGTTCCCTAATGGGAAGCCCTCAAGCAGAACACAAGCGCAACAGGGTCCTTATACCTGCTGTGGCTCTAAAAGCAACTGGTGTTCAGTGCTAGACTGCCCTTGGCCATGGAAGTTCCATATAAAGCTATCTCATGCCATCAGGCATCTCATTTAGCACACTTCCAAAGTCTTTTTAAAGTGATGGTAGAGGAAACTGAATTTGAGGCCTTCTGTGAGCAAATAATGTATTCTGTCACCAAGCTGAAGCCCCTTCCAAAAGCCAGTGGTGGATCTCTCCATCTCCATAAATCTGTCTTACCCTTAAGCTACTGACCACCACTCCATGGCAGAGAGTTCAATTCCACACTACTGTCAATCAATTGCAGAGAATAAGCTAGGGCAGGGATGTTCAACTGGTCGATCATGATCTAATGGTCAATTGCGGGGCCCTGATCGCGCCCCCCCAAAAAAGCTTAACAACTCTGGTCAATACAGTGGGTCACTGCCAGTTTTTTTTATAGATCACAGTCTCTTGGAAGCAGGACGTGCCTGAGCTACAGTATTACTGCAGGGGGACACCTACCCATACCATTAATAATTGCATTAATTTCAGTCATCTCCCTCTTATGCCGACATCTCCTTGGCCCAGCCAACTGTCCCCCTCCCTGCTAGTTTTTCGCAGCCAAGAGGTGATTACTGAGGGGTTATGCTGTAGGTATAGAGAATGGATCTTTTACCCCCTTCCAGTGGAACCAGCATATAAGATTGCTCTGCACAAAACACTTGAGCTCTGCACAAAACCCCAAACACTCCAACCTGCTGATCATTTCAGTTGACCTTTTCAGCAGGTCTGGCGCCAGCTGTCAACCATTTGACAAGGGGCCCAGAGTCTCAACAGAGCCCCTCACTTGCCTGACCAGGTTCTGCTGCCATTCACTGCTAAACAGACCTCAGAGGCTTTTCAGCAACAGGAAACGGTCCCACTTTGGAACAGGAGCCAAACTTGAGACCCATCTGTGCTAGCTTTCCTCCATTTTTATGTCACTCAAAAGTATTATTAATGAACTTATGTAATGCCCTGGCCCACAGATCTATAAAATTTACTAATTTCATATGTCTATAGTTCAAGCAGGATTATAAATATATTAAATCTGTAGATTTAACAGATGTATGGGGCAAGGGATTGCATTTTGGATATTGTAAGATGGCAAGTGGTCACCATGGCTGGGAGCAGAGTTTAGCTCCCACTCAAAAGTGGTGGTGCCCATCCATCAATGAAGTGAATCCAGAAGCCCAGTGGAGGGGCAGTGAGTGGTGCCAACGCAGCCACCACCAAAGCAGCAGCAGCAGAAGCAGCAGCAGCAGCAGCAGAGAAAGCATGTGGTGGCCGTGGCAGAGCTGAGCCAAGATCTGCTTAGCTCATCAGCACTGTGCCAAGGGCAACTCTAGTTCTGGTGTTTGTCCTGCTTCTCTGCACCTTTCCCTGCTCTATGCTAGCCATTTTGAGATGAGACAAGCAGAACTGTACCCAGGATTCAAAGTGTGGCTGCCCTATAGATTTGTATAAAACCCATGACGAAACAGGCTAGCCTTATCTTCTGTCCCTTTCTTAACCCACCCTTGAACAGGAGGGTCATTGGTGAGAAACAGAGAGAAGGCAGATCTAAATTCCAGGCCTTCCAGGATCTGCCCCTCTTTGAGCAACTGCATCTGTGCAGAAAAGCACACTTTCATGCCCCCCCAGCCATGCTCTGCCCTTCCCCCACTGGGACTGCTCATTCTCCTTTACTCAGTCCCTATATATGCTTCCCCATCTTCTTAGCACGGACCATGCTTGTAACATCAATAAATAATCATTCTCAGCATTTATACATAGATTTATGAGTGTTCAAACATTGCTTTAACATGTAATGCATCAGAAATCCTTATAAAAGCAGGTCCCTATTATTCTTCCCAAAGCCATGCAGTTAATCAAGAGAGCCAGTATGGTGCAGTGGTTAGAGGTATTGGATTAGAACCTGGGAGACTAGAGTTCAAATCCCTACATAGCCTTGAAACTCATTGCATGGCCTTGGGCCAGTCATAGTCTCTCAACCTAACCTACATTGCAGGGTTGTTGTGAAGATAAAACAGGGAGTAAGTGAACAATGTATGCCACCTTCAGCTCCTTTGAGGACATATGGAATTTAAACGTGTTGAATAAAAAAATAAAAGAATTGCACTTCGAAGGACACACTCCAACCATGCAAAAACACATGGAAAATGACCCATAAGGGGCATTGTCTGGGGACAGACAAAGGGCCATATAGAGAGTTTTAGAGGGCTGCTTCCAGACTGTTATAACTAACCCCATTCAGCAGCCACTCCACTGCAACATTCTGAACCAGCTGTAAGTTTCTGGACATTCTTCAAAGGCAACCATATGCAAAGCCCATGGTAGTAATTCAAATGAGTTTTAATACAGACATGGCCAGATCTGACACATCTAGGAAAAAGTGTAGTTAGTACATCAGCCTTGGTCATGCAGAGACTCTCGGTCACTGCAGAAAGTGGGGTCTCCAGGAGTGAACCTCACCTCATAGATTCTACTTGTTCCTGTTTCACATCCTTATCCTGCCACTCTGTCCTGGTTCCTCAGAAATTGCTTCTATATCCACCCCTGCCCTGTCAACCTCCATTTGACTATTTTGGTGCTGGAGGGAAAAGAAACCTGAGCTCGAAACAATGAAGTTATGCTCAGAATAGGCCCACTGAAAACAATGGACCTAAGTTAGTCACATTCATTCATTTCAATGGGACCGCTCTGAGAACAACTAATGTTGGATAGAACCCTGTCACTGTAGAGGCTCTGATGGAGCAGGTTTCAGCTCCATAGTGGGGTGAAGGTGGGAGAAGAGAAAGGGAGCATAAGAAGAGTACCGCAGCAGCAGCTGAATCAAGACAAAGACCCACCTAGTCCAGCATCTTGTTCTCATAGTGGCCAACTAGATGCCCCAATGAGAAACCCACAAGCAAGACATCTCCAGTGTGTGACAAACAGAACAGAGGTGTTGGTGAATAAGTATTCCCCCCTCTCTCTCTCTCTCTCACGCACGCACGCATGCACACGCACACACACACACACACACACACACACACAATTAACCTGTGGAACTCACTGCTACAGGAAGCTGTAACAGGCAGCAGCAAGAGAAATAGATAATCATAGAATAGTTGGAAGGGACCAGCGGCATAGTATGGGTTGTCAGCACCCGGGGCAAGGCAAGTACGGTAATTTGCGCCCCCTAACCCCTAACCTGCCGCCGCTGCCAGCTTCTTCTTGCTGCTGCCTGGGCTGGTCTGGTGTGGTTCTCTCCCGCGCTCAGCGCTGCGCTGGGTGGCCGCTGCACTGTCCCTCCCCCAGATAGTCCCTCGCTCTCTCTCTGCACCGCACACCTGGCACCCACCCCCTCCACAGTGGGCGGCGACCCAGCGGCTCTGATCGAATACGCACAGCCAGCACTGCAGTGAGAGAGAGTGAGTGAGCCAGGTAGGGGCAGAGAGCTGCAAGTGCGAGCGCGCCCCCCCCCAGATGTTGCACCCAGTGCGGCCGGCCCCCCCTGCACCCCCCACGCTATGCCACTGGAAGGGACCCATGGGCCATCTAGTCCAGCTGCCTGCAATCTCAGCTAAAGCATCCATGACAGATGGCCATCCAATCTCTGTTTAAAAACCTCCAAGGAAGGAGAGTCCACCACCCCTCGTGGGAGTCTGTTCCACTGCTGAACAGCTCTTACTGTCAGAAAGTTTTTCCAAATGTTTAGTTGGAATCTCCTTTCTTGCAACTTGAAGCCATTGGTTTGAGTCCTACCCTCCAGAGCAGGAGAAAACAAGCTTGCTCCCTCCTCTATGTGACAGCCCTTCAGATAATTGAAGATGGCTATCATATATACTCTCACTCTCCTCTTTTCCAGTCTAAACATACCCAGCTCCTACAAGTGCTCCTTATAAGGTTTAATTTCCATACCCTTGATCATCTTGGTTGCCCTCCTCTGCATACATTCCAACTAGTCAACATCCTTCTTAAATTGTGATGCCCAGAACTGGACACAGTATTCCAAGTGTGGTCTGACTAAGTCAGAATAGAGTGGTACTATTACTTCCCTTGATCTGGACACTATACTTCTCCTGATGCAGCCTAAAACAGCATTAGCTCTTTTTTTGCTGCTGAATCACACATGTGGACTCATGTTAAGCCTGTGGTCCTCCAAGACCCCTAGATCCTTTTCACATGTACTGCTAGTAAGCCAGGTGTCCCCCATCCTATATTTGTGCATCTGTTCCTCCTGCCTAAGTGCAGAATCTTACATTTGTCCCTACTGAAATTCATTTTGTTAGCTACCGCCCAGTTCTCCAATCTGTTGAGGTCATTTTGAATTCTGATTCTGTCTTCTGCGGCACTAGCTACCCCTCCCAGTTTGGTGTCACCTACAAATCTGATGAGCATCCCCTCAATTCCTTCATCCAAGTCATTTATAAAAGCACTGAACAACAACAGGCCCAGGACAAAACCCTACAGCACCCCACTTGTCACTTTTTCCAGGATGATGAGGAACCATTAATGAGTACTCTTTTGGGTAAAGACACAGATGAGAGGGTTGTGGAGGTTACTACAGGCTGTGAAGTCCAGGACAAACTAAGTGAGGAACATGCCACTGACAAAGTAGGTAAAGGTAAAGGGACCCCTGACCATTAGGTCCAGTCGTGGCCGACTCTGGGGTTGCGGCGCCCATCTCGCTTTATTGGCCGAAGGAGCCGGCGTACAGCTTCTGGGTCATGTGGCCAGCATGACTAAGCCGCTTCTGGTGAACCAGAGCAGCACACGGAAATGGCGTTTACCTTCCCACCGGAGTGGTACCTACTTATCTACTTGCACTTTGACGTGCTTTCGAACTGCTAGGTTGGCAGGAGCAGGGACCGAGCAACGGGAGCTCACCCCGTCGCGGGTATTCGAACCACCAACCTTCTGATCAGCAAGTCCTAGGCTCTGTGGTTTAACCCACAGCGCCACCCGCGTCGGTACTGAAGCTCAAAGTCAATGAATCCATGTCTCCATCGTTTCAGGGCACAGGAAAGCACCTGTGGCCTCTAATTGGCCAGATTCATAGAAGCAGATCCACCATATGTGTGTGTGTGTGAGTGAGAGAGAGAGAGAGAGAGAAAGAAAGAAAGAGAAAGAAAGAAAGAGAGCCCACAGTTCTTTTCTCCGCTTCTCCTCCGTGTCTATTTCCCTTCTTCCATTTTCCCAGAAGAGAAGCAGTGAGATTAATTAACCAGAAGTTCACTCAATTAGAAAGAACATCCCCCAACAGTCCCTTAGAGTGCTCCCTCCAACCCATCTGATCCAAACAGTCTGTACTGCTCTGCATACAACATCAAGGAGTCTGGACAGTTTAATCTTCAACTTCCTGTTGCCATGTCGCTTGCTTAAATCATATGTAAAGCTGCCTTATATTGTTGGACCGGCACCAGGATCTTAACCACACTAGCCCAGATCCATTCCCAATGGTGATACGGAAGACTGGATTTGGGATCCCCACTCGTGCAAGAGCTGGGTTACACCACAGAGCCACAGCTCTTCCCAAAAAACATTTAGCTGTGCTCTGCCTCTCCCTGGCACCCATTTTCCAGTATTCATGTCCTCAAGGGAGAGAAACCTTCAGAAAAGGGCTTGAAATGAAAAGGGCTTTTGGGACTTCAGGTGTACAAAGATACTGCTTTGATGGCCCCAGGAGGGCCCCAAGGTCTGGTCTAAAGGCACATGAAGCCATCACCTTGCTGAAGTTAAGCAAGTCTAGGTCAGAACAGTACTTGGATTGGTGACTGCCTAGGAACCACATGTATGTTGCCTTCGGTTTCATGTCAAAAGAAATAAGAGAGATGTAAATGTAAAGAAATTTCTAAATTAAATAAATAAGATGATGTTAACTAGCTAGCTAACAATCCACTCAGGGACCACAGAATCACTTCAAATTTACATTGGATTTTTTCCCCCATTGGTGCACAATAAGAACATTAGAAAAGCCCTGCTGGATCAGGCCAAAGCAGGCCCATCTAGTCCAGCATCCTGTTCTCACAGTGGCCAGCCAGATGCCTGTGAGAAACCCACTAACAGGATCCAAGGACAAGAGCCTCCTCCCCTCCTGCGATTTCCAGCAGCTGGCATACAAAAGCACTGCTGCCTTGGACTGTGGAGGCAAAGCATAACTATTGTGGCTGGTAGCCATTATTATTATTATTATTATTATTATTATCATTATTATTAACAACTGCCCTTCATCAAAAGATATCAGGGCTCCTCACAAGATAAAAATACAAATAAGTAGCTAAAACAAAAGCAACAAACAATAGCCCTATCCTCCTCCATGAACTTATCTAATCCTCTTTTGAAGACATTCAGTTTGGTGGCCATCACGGCCTCCAGTGGCAGCAAATTCTGTAATTCCACTGAGGCAGAACCCAATGTTGGAGGAGTTGGGCTCAGGAGTACTAAGAAAGCAAACAGCTATAGGAAGAGGAAGGAAATCACTGATAAAAGAGCACCTACCTTAGGCCGAGACCTCCGTGAAGTTGTGGGGCGAGTGTCTGAAATGGTCACTTCATAAAACTCCTGGATATCTAAACCAAGAGCATGGATGGAAAGTTTAATATTAGATAAAAAGGGGGGGGGGATCCCCAATATTTCTTTTTCTTCTTTTGTCTGAAAAATAAAAGCCACTATCTGGGAGGCACATTTTCACAAAACAGGCCTTGGAGGAGCCTCCTCTGCAAAGAACATCCTCCTGCAAGGTAGGCCAAGGGGAGCAGCTGGCCACACAGGTGTGAGAAGAAAAGGACTTAGGACTCCCCAGGTGCACACCAAGCGCCTTACAGCTGAGCTCCTAGATGCTTCCGGGCATCCCATCCCTACCTCCCTTCAGCCCAGCTCAGAAGTAATTATGAAACTCAGATTAAAGCCTATATTTAGACCCACGAGCTGAGCCAAACCCCTCCCTGGCTGGCTGGCTGGCTGAGTCTCTGCAGGTGCAGCTCTGGCATCAGGAAGAGGAGGAGGAAGATAAGGAGGCTGCTGCCTCCTAGCATTAGGGAGACTCAGCTCTTGGGCCCTGAAGCAAGGGTGAGAGATGAGAGGGCTGAGTGGTTGGAGGAAAGCAGCCCCCAAACCCATACACCTGGGCGCCCTCCATGGTGAAAGCTCAACAAGGCTCACCACAAGCTTCATCTTCCGCCTCCTCCCTCCCCTTCAAAGCTCAGGCCTGGTATTCAGGAGATAATGCCTAATTCCCCTCTGATTCCCTAATTCCCAAAGAAGAAGAAAGTCTTCCCTAACTTTGGCCATTCTCTTTCCCCTACAATTCCCCTTCTAAACCCCAGCCAACCAACAAGCTCCTCCCACTTTTAAGCTTCACCCACTTCTCCCCCCACCCCCATTGCTTCATTGCTTTAAGACCCTCCTCAGTTTATCAAGTTCAGATAAGCAACTGCCGCAGCCAGATCCTCTTCCCTTTCCTCAGGGAATTATGCTTCATAGACCCCAGCCTGGAGCCTTCCAGATATTTTGGACTACTATCAGCTGAGGCTGATGGGTGTTGTAGTCCAAAGCATCTAGAAGGCTCAGGTACCCATTTCAAAAAGTATTTGTACCCCGTGATAAAGCTAACCGCACTTGGTTGGCTATTTGAACCCGTGTGCAACCCGCCCACCTGCAAAACAAATTAAACACAGTTGCTTCATTTCCCCCCTTGGCCTTCTGCATTTTTAGCTCCTCTAAACAGTGTTTTGAAATCTTGGAAAATTACAGGACTTGAGATCCCTGCTCAAAAATAACTTAAGATCTTTTAATCTAAAAATATAGTCAGGAACTATTTTTCAAAAACTTCTCTCCTGGGAAACGGCGGTCATTGAAAATTTTAGTGGGAATTCTCCCTGCCCTGCCCCCTCCAATATGCAATGTCTGCTTGCCCATTTACACCACTATTTAGGAGAGGGATGCAGCTCAGTGGCAGAGCCTCTACAGAAGATCCTAGGTCCAATCCTTGATGCATCTGCACATAGGACTGGGAGACACTCCCTGTCTGAAACCCTGGGGAGCTTTCCCAGTCAGTGTAGAAAATATTGAGCCACATGGACCAATAGTCTCAGCATAAGGCAGCTTCCTCTTATTTCTGCCTCTCCAAGAAGCTTTCAGGTTCTTTTTCGCTTCCTGCACACTTTCTCAGTAGCCCTCCTTCACAACGCCACACTTCATTGGCTTCTGAACCTAGTTCTCTAGCTTATCTATACATATGGGGCAGGCAGGGCTTATTAACTTCAAGGCCTCAGGCTGCATCAACAGAAGTCTAGGATCCAGATCAAGGGAAGTCATAGTCACACTCGATTCTGTCTTGGTCAGACCACATCTGGAGTACTGTGTCCAGTTCTGGGCACCACAATTTAAGACGGATATTTACAAGCTGGAGTGTGGGCAGAGGAGGGTGACAAAGATGATCAAGGGTCTGGAAACCAAGTTGTATGAAGAATGGTTGAGGGAACTGGGTATGTTTAGCCTGGTAAAGAGGAGACTGGGAGGAGATATGTTAGCATCTTCAAATATCTCAAGGGCAGTCACATGGAAGATGAGGGATAGGACCCAAACCAGTAGATTTAAGTTACAAGAAAGGAGATTCCAACTAAATATCAGGAATAAATTTCTGATGGTAAGAACTGCTTGACAGTGGAACAGACTCCCTCGGGAGGTGGTGGACTCTCCTTCACTGGAGGTTTTTAAGCAAAAGTTGGATGGCCGCCTGTCTTGTATGATCTCATAGAGATTCCTGCATTGCAAAAAGTTGGACTAGATGACCCTTGGGGTCCCTTCCAACTCTACAATTCTTTTGTTAATCAAGATGAGTGTGGCTCTGAGCACATTCAGAGTGCATTCCCTGCCCTGCACCTCATACTCCACATTGGGAGTTGGGCTGTTAGGAGGGAAATGACTCATGCATTGACTTTCAGAAACTAAACTACTTTTTCCTAACCTGGAGCCCTCTAGCTGTTTTGGACTACAACATCTGGTGGGCCCCAGGCTTGGGAAAGCTGGACTGAGTACTGCATGTAAGCCCTGCCCCTTGCCCATTAGGCTCCTCCTCAATTTCTTCAAGCAGCACCCTGGCTTGCTCCCCCCATCAGTCCTGGTGTCAGCTACCTCCCATACGCACCCAGGAGAGCCTGAAACAGTTCACTTTGGAAAATCCCAAGGAGCTTTTCTGCCTTGTGTCGGAAATTCTGGTCCAGCAACAATGACTCTTCCATGAGGCGCAGGGCCGCCGTCGTGTCTGGAACAGAGGAGAAGAGAAAGAGAGAAGGGGGTTCAACACCAGTCCCATACCCACAAACAAACACACATAAAAGGGAAGGTTTGGTTTCCCCCCTCACTTGGAGAGGAGGAGGTAATGAGGCAACAGGACAGGGGCCCTGGGGTTAACCCCCCACTCTAGAAAGGGAAGATGCCATTTTTTTCATCCCCAGCCTCAGTTTGCTCAGCTGTAAAATGGACATCCGTGCTATGGCCTGTCTCAAGTGCATGCATTTAGGTAGGTAGGTAGGTAGGTAGATAATTGTTGTGCATACCCGGTAATTCTATTTTATTTATTTAATAGAATTTGTTTGCCAATTAATTGTAAAAACCTGTAAGTAGTTTATATAAAATATACATTAAAATTATTGCTAAAAACTAGTTGACCTCCCCCCCCCCCCAAAAAAAAAGAGTGATAAAATCACCAGTTAACAATATACAGTATAGAAGAAACTTACATCTAAAAATATTAACTTGACCAGTCTGGATTGGCTTGCCTACGCAGAAGTGTTTTTAGCAGGCACCAAACACAATACCGTAAGGTGCCTGCCTAGAAAGAACTTAAGAAGAGTCCTGCTGGATCAGGCCAATGGTTCATCTAGTCTAGCATCCTGTCCTCACGGGGGCCACACAGGTGCCTCTGGGAAGCCTGCAAACAGAACCCAAGTGTAGCAGCAATGCTCTCCCCACCTGCAGTTCCTACCAACTGGTGTTCTGAAAGCATGTTGCCTCTGACAGTGGAGGGAGACTGCAGCCATCATGGCTAATAGCCATTGATAGTGTAGCCTTATTGGACTTTACTAATTGGTAGGGTGAGCGTTGCTCCCGGACGGGAGGAAGGAAGTCAAATGACACCGAGGGTTGGTTCAGAGAAAGAGTTTATTCTGCTCTCTAGATAGCAGAAGGCACTTGTGTGGTCAGCTCACAGCAAGTCCAAAGAAATGAGAAATTTCATGCAGTATATATATCCTCCAGGCACCCTCTCCCCCCTTCCCCAGGAATTCAAGCACGTCAGCTTATACACATAAGTTGACATCCATGACCATAAACAGTTATTCCTGTTCCGGCGCTCTTGACATGCCAAGTTCTTGACATGCCAAATTCTCCATGAATTTGTCTAAACTTCTTTTAATACTATCCAAGTTCGTGGCCATCACTGCTTCCTGTGAGAGTAAGTCCCATAGTTTCAACAAGGCACTATGTGAAGAAGTACTTTTTTAATCTGTCCTGAATCTCCCAACATTCAGCTTCACTGGATGTCCGTGAGTTCTAGGAGTTATGATCAAGGGATGAAAACTTTTCTCTTTCCACCTTTTCCATGCCATTCTCTACCCACTTTCTTCACATAAAAGGTAAAGGTAAAGGGACCCCTGACCATTAGGTCCAGTCGTTGCCGACTCTGGGGTTGCGGCGCTCATCTCGCTTTACTGGCCGAGGGAGCCAGCGTACAACTTCCGGGTCACGTGGCCAGCATGACTAAGCCGCTTCTGGCGAGCCAGGGCAATGCACAGAAACGCCGTTTACCTTCCCGCCGGAGCGGTACCTATTTATCTACTTGCACTTGGACGTGCTTTCGAACTGCTAGGTTGGCAGGAGCTGGAACAGAGCAACAGGAGCTCACCCCTTCGTGGGGATTCAAACCGCTGACCTTCTGATCGGCAAGTCCTAGGCTCTGTGGTTTAACCCACAGCACCACCCGCCTCCCTTCTTCACATAGCACATAGTTAAACTATGAAACTCGCATGAGACTGTGAAGGCCACCAACTTGGGATGTTTTAATAGAAGATTGGACAAATTCATGGAGGCGGCTATTGATGGCTGCCAGCCATGTTGGCTATGCTCTGTCACCACTGATACTTCTGATACCAGTTTCTGGAAGCCACAGGAGAGGCAGTGCTCAGGTCCTGCTTGTGTGTTTCCCACATGGAACTGGTTGGCCACTGTGGGAACAGGATGCTGGACTAGATGGGCTACTGACCTGATTCCATCAGGGTCTTCTAATGCTTTTAAGCCATGCTGGCTCTGCTTCAGCAAGGCTTGTTCTTCCATATGCTTGCTTATTTTTTCTTCCATCATATTTTCTACCAGTTTTCTTGGGAAAGAGACATTAAGCCTATGATTTTCAGGATTCCCTTAGATTCCTTTTTAAAAAATCGGTGTTACATTGGCTATGGAAGCTGATCTGGGAGACAAGGTCTATATTTTTGTTAGAAGATCAGCAATTTAACATTTGAGTTCTTTCAGAATTCTTGGGTGGGTGGATGTCAACCAGATTTGACTATTTGTCAGTTGTTAATTTGTCTATTAGGCCTAGACTTCATCTCTCATCACTACTACCTGCCTCAGTTCCTCAGTTCCTCAGTCTCCCTTCCTGAAAAAGCTAGTTCAGGCACCAAGATATGCCCTATATCGTCCTCTGTGAAGATATTCAGCTTCTCCACAATCTCCTTATCCTCCTTTAGGACATCTTTGACTACCTTGTCATCCAATGGTCTAAACTCCCCCCCCCCCGCCCCCCCGCTGTTAATGTATTTAAGCAACTTCTTGTTTGTCTTAATAGTTTTAACAATGTGCTCCTCATAATCTTTTTTTTTTAGCATCCCTTACTGTCTGCTTGCATTTTATTTTTTTTGCCAAAGCTTGTGTTCCTTTTTGTTTTATCAATTTGATGACTTCATTTTTTTTCTGACTGAAGCCTTCTTATCTCTAATAGCTTCTTTGATTCTGCTTGTTAACCACATGGGCGACCTCTTAGCCGTCATGGTACCTTTCCTGACCTGCAGTATACACTCCACTTGAGCTTTAACACTGTTTTTAAACAATTCCCCAGCATTCTGGAGTGATTTTAACCTCTTAATAATATGTTCTTACGATGTTCTTATGAATTTTCAACACATATCAATGGGCAAGGAGATCCGGAGTGTAGATGCTGCCATGGTGAAAGATAGCTTCATTTTTAAATTATAAACTGCCTTGAATATTTTATAGAAAGCTGGGGTTTAAATGTTGGAAAATAACAAAATTAATGGTGCTGAGCCAGCCGCCTATGGAGAGCAGCGTACATAAAGAATCATCTGTTAATTGTTTCAGAAACATTTGTCTGAAGACATGTCCTTTTACTAGCCTTTCCCTGACCCACAAGATTGCACTCTCTTTATTACTGAATTTCTGTTTATTATAATGCAGTTTTATTGGTTTTGTGTTCCATTTTGTCTACCGCTGGGTATAGCTGGAGAGGCTACTGCATCTGAATGCTTCAAAGGGACGAGCCTTACTTAAAAAAAAAAATCAAATATGTGAAAAATTCAGAGGGAGATACCCCATAGAGACTGTCCCGTTCGTTGTGCATTGGAAATGTGGGAACAAAATGGACAAAATGATAGGAAAGATTCAAAACCTGCGGGACCAGAGATTTACAGAAGATTGGAATAAGTATATGAATTATCTGAAGAGCAACTGTAATCAACAAATTACGCTAGTAGGACTACAAGAAGTTTTGTAAGGAGAAATATACGAAGTGTTACAAAGTATAAAAAGATAGAGATATTGGTTATGAATTTGAAATGTAATAGGGAAGATAAGGAATGCATACTAAGAGATTAGATTGGAAAATTTTCAGACAGGATTGATGGAAGTAAAAAAAAAATTGAATAATCGTTGAAAACTATATGTTAAAAAACTAATAAAAATTTATATATATAAAAAAGGAAATGTTGTGGAACGTTATCTTAAATTAGAACGATGATAGTCCATAAGAAGTGTGAGGTAACATAATCTTGCAGTCTTCACCCACACAAAATTTATGGCGTGTGGAGAATGAGCAAAAAGGGGATGGAGGTGACCTCTCTCTCTTCAGTCTAAGACATGGAGGGTGGGGGGACGGGACCTTGTGCTTTCAAGTGAATGTATGAAGATACAGGAACCACAAAATGGTGTCCCTTCCCTGCCAGGGGAGTGAAGATCAACATGAGGAACAATGGGGGAATAAAGATCTACACCGGGAACTGCTGTCTCAGTGGATCCTGCCCCCTGAGGCAGTCACCCCACCTTGCCTCATGGGTGGCAAAAGGATGCTTTAATTCAAATTACCCATCCTATTTTGCTTGATGAATAGTTCTCTCAACTCCCCATGGCTCCTTTTTGCCTCATGGGGCTGCCCGCTCTGGGCTTATAGAACATCTCAAATCATCTCACTATTGGAATTCCACTGCCACTATGTAAGATATGATTATTTCTGAGTGACAATCAATCAATCAATCAATCAATCAATACAATCTCTGACTGTCTTTGCCACAGCCCAGATAGCCTGGCCAAACATGAGGCAGTTTGAGCAAGAAATCTTCATTATTGCCATAAAATCTTGTCTCAGGTATACCAACCAATGGTCTCAGGTGTATCAAGAAATATATAAAATAATTAAATCCCCTGTTTAAGCCTCCCCACAACTGTCATGGCTGACTGTGCGGACTGTTAACATGAAAGCTTGCCACTCTAAAGGACGTTTGACATGGATGTTTGCTGCAGCTAGGGTTTCAATAGCCCAGCAATAGAAAGCCTTGAAAAAAATCTACATTTAATTTATTTATGAAATTTATACAGTGCTTGACTGGAGGAAAAAACAAAACCCCTCAAAGCAGATTACATTTGTCTTTTGGGGGGGGGTGTAGAAATATACAATTTATGTGTTGCCTCTAGAGGGATGGACGATCCAGAACAATTTTAAGTCATCTGGTGATATTTTATTTCCTGTGCTTCTGACTTAAGAGGCTTGACATTCACCATCCACTCCAGCTCGGGAAATATGGATGTCTTGGTTTATATAGGTGTGCTGCCATGCCTTTCTGTCATAATTTATTGTTTGCGTGTGGTATGAGGTAAGACGCTTTTTGGGTTGTTGGCAATTCTCACTATGTAACAATAAAAAATAAAAGCATAAATAAAAGCTGGATATAACAGGGTCCTACATGATGCTTTTAATAAATGTCTGGATACTTAGCATTTTATAACATGTGCTTAAACTTCTATTCCTATCCTGCCTACTCTACCCCCTTCTCCTTTTCCCGCCAAAAACCCAACTGCCGTTAACTGTCACACACACCTGTTCCAACTGTCACCCGTCACCCTCAGCCAATCAGCACACAGCACACGCCAACATTCCATCCCTCTCACCCTCTTACACTCATCTTCTTTCTGGTCTATCTAATATATATCTAATATATCTAATATATATTTTGGAAAGTGGTTTCAACACCGGCCACCATTTTGATTCAGCACACCGACTTTTGACCTGACTTTGCCCTTCTTTTTTGGGGTGGGGGGGTGTAGATCTGGCCGCCTCTCGAGATTGCCATTGCCAAACTTGCCACAAGGTTTCCTGAGGTGGGCATGGCAGACGCTGGAGACGCTTTGATGCGGGTGCCATTTTGAATCAAGATGGCTGACCAAATGAACCCTAGTTAAGCACTACCCAATAAAAAGAATGATGCAGGTCTGGGTCAGGTTGAAGCCCTAGCTTGGTGGGTGGGTGTCTCCTTTGTAGGCTCAGACGCCCCTCCTCACCAAACTCAGCATGAGGGTTCCTGTCGTCTGAAGGCTGGGAGCCATTTTGAATCAAGAGGGCAGAGCAAAATGAGACTTCGGCATTCCCAGTTCCTAAGACCCTATGAAGTCGCTGAGAGAAAGAACTCTTTCATTTAGCCTATAAGTTCATTTATTTTAAGTATACGATATATACGATATCTTTATTGTCATTGTCCCATGCAGAACAATGAAATTGAAAAACTACATAAAACTACCACAAAACTACATAAAACTACATTAAAACTACATAAAACATTCAGAAACCCCATTTTAAAATACACTATACTAATGGAAGCAAGGCCTTTTTGGGAAAGGGTTGTAGCCTAGTGAGAGCACGCCTGTGTTTTGCATGCAGAAGGTTCTCAATAGCATCTTCAGATAGGGTTGGGGAAAATGCCCCAGAGAGGCAGTGCTGCCAGTCAGTGTTGACAATACTGACCCCAATGACCTGACTCGGTATAAGGCAACTTCCTGTGTTCCCAAGCTTCTAGGTTACACAGAACTCTAGGGTTGCCATATGTCCAACATAGCCAGGATTTGACCGTCACAAACAGTGGGCAGAATTCGCTTTTTAAAAAATGCCGGGGAAAATCCGGACGTATGGCAACCCAAGTCGGAAGTGCAGATTTCAGCTACCGGTAACAATATGGACTCTAACACTATAGCAATCCAAAGAGGCACAAACAGGGAAGCCTGCTGCCTCCCTTCCTATTCATCGTGGCCCTGTGGCCCTAGGACCTCTAGCAATCCAACACCGGGCAGCCCCGAATATCAAGGGAGTGGAAATAAAAGGTAAAACATATAAACTAGGGCTCTTTGCAGGCCTAATGGTCACAACACCATACCCTATTAATACAGCAATCACCTAGCCAAAGAACTCAAAACTTTTGCAGTGGTGTCAGGCCAACAAGTGAAGTTTGCCAAATCTGAGGCAATGTGTTTCAACACTCTCTCATATCCAAAAATGTATAAAATAAAGATAAAACTCCGTTGTACCAAATTCAGATACCTAGGGGTTTAAATATCCAGAAACCTCAACAAATTATACCTCCATAATTAAAAATCCCCGTGGCGACAAATTAACAAAGACCTGAGGTGATGGAACAATACTAACTTCACTCTCTCAGATAAAATAGCCACGATCAAAATGATCACCCTTCCAAAATTAACCTACCCATTCTCAACCCTTTCATTCCGCCATCTACCAAACCATCTTAGTATGTGTCCGAACAAATTACAACCACTCATTTTATCGTACAAAACTTAAAGAACAGATCTCAACTACTTGCTCTTCTCAACCTCAGACTGAGGATGGGGAATTCACAATATAGAATACTACTACCTTGGCGACCAAACACGCATCATAACATACATTCTAGGAGACAGTTGGATCAGTTGGAGTTAGATACAATTTAAAACACGCCTGCTGCATATCCCTTCCTCCAAAACAAGCTGGAAAAAACCTCCCCACAACACTAAATAGGTTCACACTATCCATTTTTAAAGCATGGAAAGAAAAAGTAGGCATATTGTCCCCAACCCCACTAATAAACCAGTCTCCTTGGTTTATCACCCATTATTCCATCACATCATGCAGCACAAAGGCTAAATCACCTAGCAGACATTTACAAGAATAATAAACTCTTATTGACACAGGAAATACAGGACGAACTAGGGGATACCCAAATACCCTGGCAAACGCACCATCAACTACATATCTTGCGTGGCGGGGCCCCGGACCCCCCCAGCTCCCTCCAAAATAAATACACCAACACAAGTATATTGGGAACTCCCGCTGCGCTCCGAAGGCTTGCAGATAGCTGCCTGAAGCCTGGAGAGCGAGAGGGGTCACTGCACACTGATCCCTCTTGCTCTCCAGGCTTTGCTTCGCTGGAGAGGCGCTGCAGTTTTCCCTCTCTGCGCAGCGCCCCTTCAGCCAAGCGGGAGGAGAAATGGAAGGGGCTCCGTTTCTCCTGCCGCTTCGCTGAAGGGGCACTGCGCAGAGAGGGGGAGAATATTTTTTTTCCTGTTCTCCCCCTCCTATGGTTGGGTGCGTCCTATGGTCCGGGGTGTGTCCTATAGAGCGAAAAATACGGTAATTTCCTTAAGAATAGCTCAAAAATGTATTCCCCCCCCAAGAGATTTTGCAAAAAAAGTTCGACGACTTTGGTCAAAACTGAAAAAAAAAGCTCAATGAAAAGGATTTTCACTTTTTAAAATGCGGCAACCCTACAGAACTCTGAGGAGCGAAGGAAATGCTCCGCACCGTTTTCTGTAACCTTTCTTATAACATCCTGTTCACCAACTCTTGGGCTAAGAGTTTTTTAGAGTTTGTTCTGGTAACACTGCTACAAACTAAGCTGTTAACTTCATGAGGAACAACAACCCACCAGCTACGTCCTTTCTCCAGTGTTTTTAATATTGCTTTTTATTTTAAAAAATGTGTTGTTATTTCATTGCTTGTCACTAGGGCTCCTTGGAGAGGAAAAGCAGGACAGAAATATATCAAACAACACAATTGCTCTCCTCACCATAAGCAACAGGTCACACTAATGGCAGGACTAGTCTTTTCCACTATCAGAGGATGTTTGGACTACAGTGGTGCCTCGCAAGACGAAATTAATTCGTTCCGCGAGTTTTTTCGTCTAGCGAATTTTTCGTCTTGCGAAGCACGGTGTCGGAAAAGTTTTGGAAAAGCTTCAAAAATCACCAAAAACCTCAAAAAAGGCTACCACATGAGTTGTATGAGTTGCTCCTCGAAGTCAAGTCGCAACTGTATTAACGGTGTTAAGAAAAAGGAAACAAACTTGCAAAAAACGCAAGACGTTTTCGTCTTGCGAAGCAAGCCCATAGGGAAATTCGTCTTGCGAAGCAGCTCAAAAACCGCAAAACCCTTTCGTCTAGCGAGTTTTTCGTCTTGCGGGGCACCACTGTACAATTCCCATCAGCCCCAGCCAGCATGGGAGATGTAGTCCAAAACATCTGGAGGGGACCAGCTTGGGGTATAAAGTCTGGTAAGAAACATGACACATTATGTGCATATATGCCACTGCTAGTTAACTGCAAAATCACACAACATTTTCACCAATCTTCATTACAGGCAGAACATTTCGTATCATCTCAAGCACAGATGTTTTTAAATGGAACCAGTTTGCGCACATTCAGATGTTGCTGAGAGTCACCGCAGGCACAATCGACGAGGGAGGGCAGCGACTCCATCAGTCCTGCAAGGATTTCACCCAGTCCTTTTTTCTAATAAAAAATCTCTAGGAGCACTCTCATTTTGACTCAAGAAAATCACCATTTTATAGTTCAAATCGGGGGAAATAAATACAGCAAATGGACAAAAGTACAAAATGTTTAGGGGTATGCATCCCCCTGCATCCCCCCCGAAAAAAGCAGTGATTTCACCTGCCCCCAGATCAGCTGTCTGAGCGAAGGTATCTGATGTTGTGGCAGCCCTGCCCTCATCCCCCCCCCCAATATATCCGCACCCGCTGTTTTCCCAGATTTCACTAGGGGTGGGGTGTGAAGGAATTCTTTAAGGGAGGATTTGCTCTTCAAGATGCCCAGAATCTGCATAGCCAGAACTACTGGTATATGACTCCATTATAAGAACCAGGACTGCTATCTGAGCTTGCTTTTCCCTTCCTCCCTCCCCAACTTTTTTGCCTTGTGTGTTGTGTCTTGCAGATTGCAAGCTTGCAGACAGGAAGTGCCTTTCTTTTGGTTTTGTATACTACTGTAGGAACCTTTTGGCGGAAGGTTTATAAATGCTCTACAGAAATATGGAAGTCTCAATTTCTCACGGCTTACCAAGGTCAGGGATGCACCATGCACCTGGCAATAGCCGCAAAGACACTGCAGCACGTGGACTTATTCCTGTTCATCCTGAGGCCCCTAAAGCTGTATCCAGTGTTGGAGACAGAGCACTGGGGGGACAAGGCTCCTTTAGCCTACTCCAAAGCAGTGGCTGTTTTAAAAATTATAAATATGCTCCCTCCTAGTGCATTTAGGCCTATACAAATTATTAATTGGCTAGGTATGTAAGAAGCTGACTAGCAGTGACTCTCCAGAGTTTCAGACATGGAATTTTTCCCTGCCCTACCTGGAGGTGTTGCTGGGGATTGAATCTGGGATCTTCTGCATGCAAAGTGGATGTTCTGCCATTGAGCTACAGCCCTTTGGGATGTTTTGAGTTAGCCCAGAGTCCTGGGACAAGTTCCTATTGTCATGGTTGAGCCTCAGGACATGCAAAGTAATAAAGAAGGGCATCTCTGCACATGTGCAGTTTGTATTCTTTTGGTCCTGGTTAAGGGATTGTCTAAAATAAATAGATTAGGGATAGGAAATAGGCATATATTCATGCACATTCTGGAATTGCATTGCATCAGCCTGGAAGGAGGTCCCTTCCAAATCTACAATTCTATGAAATGTGGCTGCATTGCTTTGCTGCACAATGCGTAACACAGAGACACACTTCACCTGTTCTGTTCACACAGTGTTCCCAAGTCAATTGGATCAGAGTCTCACTTCTGTCTGATCCTTGTTGGATCAGTCCAATAGATCCTGTTCCATCATCCTGTTCTCACAGCAGCCAACCAGATGCCTGGAGGGAAACCCGCAAGCAGGATCCAAGCGCAAGAGCTCTCTCCCCTCCTGAGGCTTCCGGCAACTGCTATTCAGAAGCCTCAGAAAATAAATTGACAATGTGGCCAGTGTAAGAATGCCTCTGTTCCTCATTCCATGTACAGTCTTGCACAGTGCACAACAGCACCTCAGCGCTATCCAAATTATGGATCCCTGCAACACAAACATACTCAGAACAAGTGCTCAGACACCCCAATGCACATGCACACACAGGGAAATGTAAGAAGCTGCTCTAAACAGACTATTTGCCTATCTAACTCAGTATTCATCTTAAAAAGCAGAGGTCAACAAAGGTCCGTATAGTAAAAGCCATGGTTTTCCCAGTAGTGATGTATGGAAGCGAGAGCTGGACCATCAAGAAGGCTGATCGCCGAAGAATGGATGCTTTTGAATTCTGGTGCTGGAGGAGACTCTGGAGAGTCCCATGGACTGCAAGAAGATCAAACCTCTCCATTCTTAAGGAAATCAGCCCTGAGTGCTCACTGGAAGGACAGATCCTGAAGCTGAGGCTCCAAGACTTTGGCCACCTCATGAGAAGAGAAGACTCCCTGGAAAAGACCCTGATGTTGGGAAAGATGGAGGGCCCAAGGAGAAGGGGACGACAGAGGATGAGATGGTGGGACAGCGTTCTCGAAGCTACCAGCATGAGTTTGACCAAACTGGGGGAGGCAGCGGAAGACAGGAGTGCCTGGCGTGCTCTGGTCCAGGGGGCCACGAAGAGTCGGACACGACTAAACAACAACAACTCAGTATTGTCTACACTGACTGGCAGTGCATCTCCAGGGTTTCAGGCAGGGGAAGATCCCAGCCCTATCTGGGATGCTTTGCATGCACTACAGATACTCTACCACTGGGCTACGACCCCTTCCCAGAAGCGATACCATTTTCACGGGGCAAATACCTCTCAGTTGCAAACATCTCTCAGTTGCAAACATCCCAGAAGACACAGACTCAACCCCTTGCCCACTCTTCAGTGAATTAACTGAGTGCAAGAGAATATAAAACTATATCATGCAAAGTCCTTGGACCATGCAGTACTGCCTACAGACTCAGTGACAGTGGTTTCAAACAGGAGCTTTCCCTAGCCCTACCTGAAGATGCCTGGGACGTTCTGCATACAGAGCAGGAGCTCTACCACTCAGCTACAGCATTTCCCAATATATTTTTCTGTATGGCTTTTCAACAACATGTTGCCAAGGCAAACTTCATACGGTTATTCATAATTCATCTCATCGGAACACCGAAATTTGCTTTATACCACATCAGATCACAGAAGTCTATCTAGCTCCATATTGTCCACACTGACTAGCAGAGGCTCCCCTGGATTTCAGCCCTAACTGGAAACACCATTTGGGACTGAACCTGGGACCTTCCGGCAATCCGGCATGCAAAGGGGATGCTCTACCACGGAGTAACTCTGCCACCAGCCTGCTCCATACCCCTTACGATAAGAGGCGGCTTAGGGTTGCTGTTGCAATCAACAAACCCGCAGTGCCAAAATGGGCAGCGGAATGACCAGCCACTCTCTCGCCCCAGACTAAGAGCAGTGGAATAGCGCGGCCACCCTGCATTAGCTGATCACCCTTGGGCAGGATTTCTCCCTGCACCTTTTAGCCTAAGAGGAAGTGTGTGCGTAACCGTGCACAAAACAGGAACTGGAAACCGGATTAAAGATTTATAGCCCTAGAATGGAGCAACCACCCTTCCCCTCAAGCCAGCACCCTGAATACGTTCCACGGGAGAGGGGAGCATTCACCAAAAGGAATAAAAACAAATGACGGGACGGCCCTCTTACCTTGCCTTTTCACTGGCATCTCGGAGGCAGTTTGTACATGTACAACCTTAATCTCCTAATCTCTCTCCCAAACAGCTGCCAGCTTAAAAGATTTGCAGGACAGATTGCAAACTCTACCCCCTCCCCAAGGGCATTCTGGGAGATGTAGTATTGGTCAGGGCCCTTTTGAAGCCTGCAGCTCGACACATCCCAGATCACAAAAAGTCAGGGGAAAGTTTCACGGCAGACTTGAGATCCAGCAAAATACTCAGGCTCTGGAATTGTTTTCAAAAGGGAGGTTGTTTTAAAAATGTCACGGCCGAGAGTTCCTTTTAGAAATGTTTGTAACGTGACAAGTTACATCAAGCATACACCAGCTCAGTTTCACATGTTTAATAACACTGTTCATAAAACACTTACAATCAGATGGCATCCATAAGTGGGAATGTTGACAACAATCATTAGTACAGCAGATCCAAAAGGGGGGAAAGTTGCTTGGGATGGCCCACTCCCCCAACATTGCATTTCAACTGTGACAACTTTCCCCCCTTTAAATGACATGGGCAACATCAGACTTAAATTCCAAGACTCTTACTTCCAACAAGTGCCAAACTCCAACCCAATTTTGGCTGAGAAAGAGAGGTAAGAAGTTAACATGAGCGCTGGGAGGCCAAGATGTGTATATTATACAACCAAAAATGCAAGCGTTGGCATTCTGGGTGGGATGAGGGCACTTCTGCTACTTATTTTACAATCCTTTCCCCCAATGGCTCAAATCCCTTCCACCCCAGGAACGTCACAGAAACTGCCCAGTTGGCAAGACGTGTTTTCCTCTGCCACTATAAACGTCCCCCAGCCCCCTTTTTCTGTAAAAAGCCTTGCAGACTGGGTATTAAAAACCCATGCTCTGCTATCCGATGTGCTGCCTTCCACTTTCTCTTAATTTGCTGCGTGTGTGTCAGCGACTATTTTTAAATCAACACTTGGAAGATAAAAGGAAATTCTCATTTAACATAAGTTAAACTGCAGAGTTCGTTCCCACAAGGAGGTAGCGGGTGGCCACCAACTACGATGGCTTTACAGGAGGACAAGACAAACTCCTGGAGGTAAAGGCTATCAAACGGCTGCTAGCCACAATGGTTTATGTTCTATCTACATGCACGGTTGGAGGCGGTTGCTGGGAGTCACAAAATGGGGCCAGCACTGCTGTTGCGTTCAGGCCCTGCCTGCTGGAGCACCTGGTTGGCCACCGTGAGAAAAGGATGCTGGACAAGATGGGCCATTGGCCTGATCCAGCAAACAGGCTCTTATTATGCTTTAACTGCACCGTCGGAGGCAGTATTGCTTTGGAACACCAGTTGTTGGGAATCGCAAGTGGCAAAAGCATGTCTGCATACAGCTTCTGCTTCTGGGATTCCCACAGGGGAACCTGGTTGGCTGCTGTGAGAACAGGACGCTGGATTAGGTGGGCCTGATCCAGCCGCAGGGCTCTTCTGATGTCAACACGTGCATTACACTGGACAGCTTCTCTGAAAAATCTATCCCACTTCAGCAGCTCTTCAGATTTGTCGATGCAATTTAATAGGTTTTTTCTCCCGCAGAAAATACAGCAATCAGAGGCAGAGGGTTTTATACATGCCGCTGATTTATAGCTAAACTTTCCAACTCAAGTGGCTCGTGAATTCTGGGACGCCAATGAAATAGGCAAGCAGCTGGATTTAGGAGTCTGGTCCCCTTTTGCAATTCAGAGAATTCTGACCTCAGAATTTATGATAATTGCACTGGGGACGGGAGAAGAGTCTTCGCTAAGGTCACGGTGCGCATGCGTGGAGGGGAAGATTTGCCACACTCTCAAAGGAAGCCAAATACAGAATTCAAATGAAAGCCTCTCCCCACTCCTTCAAAATTCGACCTACTACTTGAGCACAAGAATAGCTGAGATTCCTGCATTGCAGGGGGTTGGACTGGATGACCTTCTGGGTACCTTCCAACTCTACAATTCTGAGATCATACTCTAGTCTTCACGTACCCTGCCAAAACGCACAGGAGTCCATTAAGGCATTTATAAAGCAAAGAGGTATATTTCTCTTGGGAGGGGGAATGAGCTACCGACGGTTGACCCCTCCTTTCTGAATCTGCAGGCTCTAATCGTTACATCTCTTAGGGCGGGGGCAAAGAGGGTGTAGGAGGCAGCTCCAGGAACAGCTGGCGCGCCTCAGATGCCCAGAGGGTTGTGAGAAACCACCCCTTCGTTTTCCACCAACGCCTTGGAGATGCCCCGGAGGTTCCTGAAGAAGTGGCGCGTGTTGTCGGAGCGCAGGGAGGTCAGGTTCTGAGTGATGCGGTCGTAGGCCTGAGTGGGGGAAGAGAGAGAGATGGAGCATAAAAATGGTGGAGGTCTCAGCACATAGTACCAAGTCTCCACTCTCTTTGATGCGCCACACACACCTTTGCTTAAAGTAATTATTGTGCCTCAGGGTTTGTTTTTTTCTTCCTCCCTCCGGACCCATTTTCCTTTTGTGTTATGACTTTTAAATTGTAATAATAATAATAATAATAATAATAATAATAATAATAATTTATTATTTATACCCCACCCATCTGACTGGGTTTCCCCAGCCACTCTGGGCGGCTCCCAACAGAATTAAAAGCACAATAAAACATCAAACATTAAATACTTCCCTAAACAGGGCTGCCTTCAGATGTCTTCTAAAAGTCAGATAGTTGTTTATTTCCTTGACATCTGGTGGGAGGGCGCTCCACAGGGCAGGTGCCACTACTGAGAAGGCCCTCTGCCTGGTTCCCTGTAACCTCACTTCTCACAGGGAGGGAGCGAGACAGGCACTGCCTTATAGTTTACATTCATAAGCCACTCAAAGGGTTGTCTAAGAGTGGGATTTTTTAAAAATGCTTTAAATAAATGAGTAATACAATCACAGCCCCAAGAGTGAAGCATGCACCACTGATTTCTGGGCAGAGATCACATAAAACAGGGATTTTACCACTGATTTCTGGGTCTAAAAAACACAACGGCTGTTCTCATGCAAAGCAAAAACAGGGGCGCTCCTTACCTCAATGCACCAGGTGTCGCAAAGCATCTTCTCATGCTGGGCTGTGGGTTCTCCACGCTCCAGGGACCGGGATGCCCTACCAGGGAAAGACAGAAAAGGCATGAGAATTTGTTTTGGGGTGGGGAGAAAACTGACCCCAGAGTTCTGCAGAAAGAAGCTTTCTTGAAGGCTGAGATTCCTGCATTGCAGGGGGTTGGACTAGATGACCCTTGGGTTCCTTCCAACTCTACAATCCTAAGATTCTAGGACATGGCCTGCCAATGGGATTTGAGGTGGGGGGCTTATCCTCGGGGCAACCAGAAGAGGGGAAGGGTCATAGCTCAGTGGGGGAGCATATCTGACTGCATGCAAAAGATTCCAGGTTCAATCCTTCATGGCATTGCCAGTGAGGGCTGGTAGAGACTTCCCACCAGAAACTGGGGAAAGCTGCCGTTTCCAAGTCAAGGTGGACAATAGAAATGAATCAGTGGGTGTGACTCAGTATACAAGGCAACTTGCTATGTTCCTGGAAAATAGGCCTTACCTGGAGAGCACCACGACCATGCCATACAAATCAATTGCACTGTCAGCGATGCGTTTCAACACGAATTGTTCATCTGGGATTTGTGGGAAGGGGGGAGAAGAGCAGAGAGAGAGAAAACAGATACCAGCAGTTATACCAGGAAGCCAGAGAGGGATGAATGGAGATAAGCACAGCAAAAAAAACCCCAAGAGATCCAAGTTCCCAGGATCCTGTTCCCAATAGTGGGCAGCTGGGTTCTCTTAAGAAGCCACCTCATTCCTGCTGCTCCTGCAAGGAGTCCATGAAACTAACAGCTCCTCTCCAGTTGCTTACCCTCAATATTTGATAAAAATGCGACTGAATACCAGTGCAGTGGGCTTTGTGCTCTGATCCAGCCGATGGGCTGTCATTATGCTCTAGCCCCCACTGCACCCCTGCAAGTGTAGCTAAAGAATCTGGGGTTGTTCATCTCTTTTGCGCTTTAATTTAATGGGATTAAAACTAGCTTTGATGACAGATTTATAGAACCCCTTAAAAAGGTATGGGAACTGGATATTGGAACACAAATTCTTTGCAGGGATTGGGGGGGAAATGTTTCCAGTATTCTTAGGGGAAACTCCGTAAAATTACTACACAGGTGGTATTGCACTCCTCTGTAAATGTCAAAAATGTTTTCTTCTGTATCATCTAATTGTTGGAGGGGTTGCAATAGACTTGGCAAACTTTTCATTTGTGGTGGAAACTTCAGTTGGTGCAAGATTTTTGGAATATAATTTTGACCGAAATGATAAATATCACTAAAGAAACAATACTGCATGTTGTCCAAAATTAACATTACTGAATATTTTTGAAGAGACCAATGCAAATATACTGTAAAAAGAACTGATCTTATATATGATCCTGGCAGCATGAATAGTAATTGCAACTCAATGGGAAACTGCCCCAAATCTTACACTGGAAACTTGGCGCTACTCATTCACAGCTATCATAAAGAAAATTATGCGTAATTTTGAGATTCTGACAAGGACTAGAACCTACAGACCCCTTTTATATGGTTTGCCATCCCTTTATGACATATACAGCAGAACCACCATTTCCAAGGCATCTGGAACTCTTGTTTGATGAACTGGTAAATGTTGATAGTCTTCACTTGGACTTTGTTATCTTAACTCATGTGCAACTGCATTCATTGTACGTGCCTATTTTACAGTTTTGCTTTTCCACCTTTTCATCTTTGCCCTGTTGTCATCATTGTTCTCTCTGGTTCACATACATTATCAAATGAAGTAATAATTTGAAAAAACTAACCGAAAGAGCACGGGTGGTGCCATTTTGGCTATTAAAAAACACACACTCACCAATAATCTTTTTGCCGTGTTTCAGAATCTTCTCTTCTACAACAGCACCAAAAAGATCGATCGCCCGTACTGCCTAAAAAGAAGGAAGAGGTTGAGAATATGGTAGCCAAAAGCCATGCAGAGGAGGCAACTAAAAGTTTCCCTCTCTCTATCAGACACGCCCCCCCTCACAATTCCAAACACATTTGTCAAAATATAGATAAAATCCACAGGTTTTGTTTTGTTTTTTAAATAAGAATACATGTCTGAATATGACTAACTCTCTCCAGTTTAGTGCTTTGCTTATTTAGCAAGATAAAATTGCGGGAACCTTTTGGAAAAAGTGTATTTCTGAGGCTTGATGGCTCATAACACCACTTTTTTTTTTTAATAATACCATAAAATTATCTTCATTTGAAAGTAGCCAATGAACATGAGTGTTTAGAGAGCCAATCAGGTTCAAACCTTGGAAACAAACTTTTTCCAGAAGGCTTCCACAATTCTGGCTCCTAGTGTATACTGCTGGGGGGGGAATCTCTATGCAGTTTATAAAGTACAGTATTCATCAAAATTAGCTGCGTAAGCAAGGCAAAAAGAGAGAGAGGGGTAAATTTGCATTTTGTTACACTGGTTTTGCCAATGTTGCTTCAGAACCTGTTTCAACATGCTTGCAACTTGCTCTCTAGTATTCATCCTCAAAAATCAACGTAAACCCTCGCCCCACCCAAAAAAACCCATGTCATTTGGAAAGTGGAATGTAAATCTGTGCAATAAAAAAAATACAAAATAAATCCTGCTTGGCTCTTCAAAAGGCAAGTGGAGAGCTAGTGTGGTGTAGGGTGCCGGGCTAGGACCTGGGTAAGATCAGGGTTCGAATCCCTGCTCAGCCGCGAACCTCACAGGCTAACCTTAGGGGCCCAAGTCACTGCCTCTCTCAGCCTAACCTACATCACAGGGTTGCTGTGGGGTTCAAAGTGAGGAGGAGGAGAACTACCCTGAGCAAACTGGAGGAGGAAAAGTTGGGATAACGATGCAATCGATCAAAGTGCAGAGGATCCAAAAAGATCAGCTGGGTTTGAAACGCCACCACTTACCCGCTCACCGCTCGAGTCCAGACTTGGGTGCACTACGGACTTCAAGGTTATCCCCGTTCCTAAACCGGCTTTCCTGGAAGGGGCAGGAGGAAGACAAAGAGGGCATGATTCTTAGGGCAAGAGAAGGTATAGAAAAAAGGAGAGCCCTTAAAATAAAATGCTTTCAGAACAGTGTCTATCAGGAAGGGGGAACAGAGACACACAATGAGAGAATGACTCAAACCAGGACTCCAGACAGGCTTACAAAAATCATGAATGATGTGGAAAGACGGACAGAGAGAGAGAAATGGTTCTCTTTCCTCCATCTACTGAAAACTCAAGGTTGGTTCGGCAGAAGGTAGCCGGCGTTTATAAGGACGACAAAAGGGCGGTTGGAGTTTATTTGTTTTGGTCATGCAACACGTGACTAACTTATGGAACTCACTGCCACAAGGCGGAAGGGGCAGCTGCCACCTGTCCAGATTGCTTTGAGAGAAAATGAAGAAAAAAGAGAGGCAAGGATTAAAACAGATTCACTGGACAAGGAAGAGGAGGAGAAGGTGATGAAAGCTGAATGTGGGGCGTCCGTATTCAGAGGCAACGTAACTTTCAGTGTCCAGATAGCCAGGGCCTGAAGAATCATGGAGTCATCTAGTTTAACCCCCTGAAAAGCAGGAATCACAGCTAAATGGGGGGGGGGGAGGAACCATTTTATGGCCACATCTCCTCATACGCATCCTCCAGGGTGGCAGGGGAGAGAGATAAATGGTCAAATTAGGTCACATTACTTCGTTTCATTTACTTAAACAGCCCTGGTCAGGTCTGCTAAAAATCCCATTTGTTATATAAATTGGGGGCAAGGCATTGCCATGGAAACTGGATAGCAGGAGAAAGGTGAGAGCCAGTCTGACAAAAGGGGGCGGGCAGGCCTTTCTTCCCCACTGTCCCCTGGCTGGAGGGGATGTCACTCGAGGTGTCTGCATGTGTGAAAGAGAACAACTGACTTGACAGCTTTTGCAGTCACAGAGAGGGGGGGGGAGCTAACAGCATTGGGGGGGGGGCTGGTCACGTCCCCCAGAATCTGGTGGGAAGGCAGCAAACTTGGACACCTTAGTTAAGAGTTGCAGCTACTCTGCCTATTCTCCCCTGGATACAGTTGTAATTAAAACTGTATGCCACAAACAATCTGCAGCTATTGTTGTCGCTTATATAATAAAATTTACAGTGGTACCTCGGGTTAAGTACTTAATTCGTTCCGGAGGTCCGTACTTAACCTGAAACTGTTCTTAACCTGAAGCACCACTTTAGCTAATGAGGCTTCCTGCTGCTGCCGCGCCGCCAGAGCACGATTTCTGTTCTTAACCTGAAGCACTATTTCTGGGTTAGTGGAGTCTGTAACCTGAAGCGTATGTAACCCGAGGTACCGCTGTATACACCGCCTGACAGGAAAAAGCCCTCAAAAAGCTCTTACGAAAAAGGAATTTTAAAAATCAAGTGAGAAAAATTAACAAGAAGGGGTCGATATTGGGGGAAAGGCACTCACTTAAGTACTTGGGTCCCAAGCCATTTACGGCTTTAGAAGCTAGCATTTCCACCTTGAACTGGGCTTGCCAGCTGACTGGCACCCAGCCCTGTGCTTTTAAAAAAATGGCGGTCCATGGTCCCATCATGTTGCCCCTTAGCAGCCCCATTCTGAGCTAGCTGCAGCTATCTCCAAGGGCAGCCCCATGTAGAGTGCATTGGAGTAGACCAAATGGTAGATCACTAGCCTCCAGTGGCCTCGTTCAAAGGAAACCACCCCAGGGTGCACTGCTGGAACCCCGAAACGTATTCCCGCTCAGGGATGGGGATATGAACAACAATTGCATGGCTTTAATTCTGTCATATGCCCACCCGCACCCCACATCCCTTGGGGGATCCATACCTGCGGACTCGCTTCCCAACCTCGCTGACTATGAGCCCAGCGTTTCCAAGAGGATTCTTGATGGCACGCTGCAACCCGCGGAGCTCGTTCCCAGCGTTCTGGGGTAGAGAAAGAGGAGAGGAGAGGTCAGCACGAGGGAGTGGTTATATTGAAAAGTCAGGTGGATTCCGAATTGAAGAAAATGTTCCAACTAACATTTGTAAAAAAAGCCTGAAGCATTTCTGTTAGGGATTGTAGGAAAAGACCTGCCAAGGAAATTGAAGAACATGCCGTATTTTTCGCTCTATAAGACGCACCAGACCACAAGATGCACCTAGTTTTTGGAGGAGGAAAACAAGGAAAAAAATATTCTGACTCTCAGAAGCCAGAACAGCAAGAGGGATCGCTGCGCAGTGAAAGCAGCAATCCCTCTTGCTCTTCTGGCGTCTGGGGTAGCTGCGCAGCCTGCATTCGCTCCATAAGACGCACACACATTTCCCCTTACTTTTTAGGAGGGAAAAAGTGAGTCATACAGAGCAAAAAATACAGTATTTATGTATGTGACAACGGCGGCCAGAGTCTTAATAGCACAAGGATGGGAGAAGGAAGAAATCCCGACAAAAGAACAGTGGCAAGAGAAACTGATGGACTATGCGGAATTGGCAAAATTGACATACAAACTGCGTGATAAGGACAACTGTGATTTCAAAGAATGGGAACCTTTAGCAAAGTACTTAAAGAAACAACAAACTGAATTAGACTCCTTTGCAGGTTTTGAATAAGCATACACAAATTTATTATGGATTATATAAAGACAGATAATTTAAGGATCTTTACAATTTTATAATATGCAGAGAATAACATGTGCTGAAAAACCAGAGAGAGGAGCTGAGGGAAGTCTGAGTGGGGGGAGGGAGGGTGGTTTTTCTTTCCTTTTTTCCTTTTTTCTCGTGAGGGGGAAGGGAAAAATTGGTGGCAGGAAATCAGGATATGTTTTCGATAAAGTGTTATGCTGAGATTTTGAATAAAAACTATTTTTAAAAAAAGTCAGGTGGATTTCAGGCTTTGAGGGCTCGTAAAAAGGTAGCAAAAATGTGTCTAGACTACTGTGACACGCTCTAGATAGGGCATCCCTTGGTGATGGCTCAGAAACAGCGAAGCCCCCCAGAATACGTGTGTGAGATCGTAACAAAGCTTATTCTGCAGGATCTGGCTGCCTTTACGTTACCAGGCCCAAATTAAGATGCTAATGCGGATGGGGACACTCTTTAATATTTATTGCACTGATATGCCACCTTGGAGGAGACTCTTGAGAGTCCCATGGACTGCAAGAAGATCAAACCTCTCCATTCGGAAGGAAATCAGCCCTGAGTGCTCACTGGAAGGACAGATCCTGAAGCTGAGGCTCCAAGACTTTGGCCACCTCATGAGAAGAGAAGACTCCCTGGAAAAGACGCTGATGTTGGGAAAGATGGAGGGCAGAAGGAGAAGGGGACGACGGAGGACGAGATGGTGGGACAGTGTCCTTGAAGGGACCAGCATGAGTTTGACCAAACTGCAGGAGGCAGTGGAAGACAGGAGTGCCTGGCGTGCTCTGGTCCAGGGGGCCATGAAGAGTCGGACATGACTAAACGACTCAACAACAACAACATGCCACCTTCTCTCCAAGGAACTCAAGGCGGACTGACATGCTTTCCCCCACCCTCACCGGATGCCCACAACAACCCTGTGTGGTAGGCACAGTTGACAGGCAGTGACAGTGGGGGTTTTCGTGTGCCCGTGTTCATTTCCAGGAAGCGGTTCTGGTTCCAGGAACTGTGGCAGCATTTGAACACGTGGTTGCAAAAAGCAGATATAAAAACAAGCAAAAAAAGATCCGTTTTGAATTTGAAAGGCAAAATTAACCCGCGGAACTTACAGCCACAGGATGTGGCTTCTAAAGATGATTAAGCCACACTCACGGAGGGAGGCGATGTCTGTGAACAGCTATTACTCACAGCTTAAACACTAGGGACGCGGGTGGCGCTGTGGGCTAAACCACTGAGCCTAGGACTTGCCGATCGGAAGGTCGGCGGTTCGAATCCCCGCAATGACGGGGTGAGCTCCCGTTGCTCAGTCCCTGCTCCTGCCAACCTAGCAGTTCGAAAGCACATCAGATAAATAGGTAAATAGATAAATAGGTACCGCTCCGGCGGGAAGGTAAACGGTGTTTCTGTGTGCTGCTCTGGTTCGCCAGAAGCAGCTTAGTCATGCTGGCCACAGGACCCGGAAGCTGTACGCCGGCTCCCTCAGTCAGTAAAGCGAGATGAGTGCTGCCACCCCAGAGTCGGCCACGACTGAACCTAACGGTCAGGGGTCCCTTTACCTTTAAACACTAGCCAACAGGGAGCTGCAAGGTTGTTTTGTAAGAAATCCACTTTAGCCATTGGGAGCACTGCTTTTACTGTTTTGGATATGAATTTCTGTAAGCTGCTGTTTATTTTATAAAGGAGAGTGTGATATCTCTCTCTCTCTCTCTCCATATTAAAAAATCAACCAAACAAGCAGAGAGAGAGAGAGTGGCTGCCCTCACGCCCTTCCTGTGGGTCTGTCTCCCCGAGGCATCAGGCTGGCTCCTCTGTAAAGATGAACGCTGGAATAGGTGGGCCTTATTATTATTATTCTTATTAAGAAGAAACTCAATACAAAAAGTTAATAAAGATTGGATAATTTTTAAAGAATACATTAGAAATTGCTGTGATAATGCTAACCTCCTGGCAGACGCAGAATGAATCATGAAAAAAAAAGGAAGTATATAATAAGATCAGTTGGAAGAAATGGAAACTAAAATAATGACAATGAAATGCGTATAGTTTAACAAAATGTAATATAGCACAATGAAAAGAAGCGGAAGTTAGTGTCAAGGGTGTGTTTGGTGTGTTTATGTTGTAATTTGTGTAGTGTGTATTGGTTGTGTTGTATGTACTGTCTAAGTTAAATGTTATTAGTACAGTCATACCTTGGGTTACAGACACTTCAGGTTGCGTTTATTCGGGTTACGGACGCGCTGAAACCTGGAAGTACCGGAACAGGTTACTTCCGGGTTTCAGTGGTCGTCCATGCGCAGAAGCGCTAAATCACACTTTGCGCATGCGCAGAAGTGCTGAATCGCAACTCGCACTGCTGCGGATTGCGAACGTGCATCCCGCACGGATCACGTTCGCAACCCGAGTGTCCACTGTAATGTGCAAAGTGATCTTAATTGATGTATAATAAAGTTTATTTATTATTATTTTTTAAAGGAATAGATGGGCCTTAGGCCTGATCCAACAGAGCTCTTCCAATGTTCTCATCAATGGCTGAAAGCCACGGGGGCAACGCAGAAGCTCCGCCTCCCACCTTAAAAAACACTGCGCTCTTTCCTCTCTTCCTCCTCTTCCCCAGATTCTGAACCACAGACACACATTCCCAACAACCCACCTGAAATCCATTGAGCGCGACAAACAGCCGCAGGATGTCATTGGTTCCCTCAAAGATCCGGAAAACTCTCAAGTCACGCAGCACACGTTCCACTCCGGCATCCTGCAGCAGAGCGAGAAGAGAAGGAGAGGAGGGTCAAGGTGGACAGAACCAGGATTCCCCCACCGGTTCTGACCTTAACATGGGGGGCTTTCAATCCAAGGGTCTGGATGGCCCAGAGTCCTGGGCAAGGCAAGTTTAAAATCAAGAGCCTGAGTATGAACAGGACAGATTCAGGACGAGATGAAGGAAAGAGAGCTCCTTCACGCAGTGCATAAACTCTGGAACTCCCTGCCACAAGATGGCCACCAACCTAGAGGATGGAGGAGAGGGTTGTATACGTTGTGCCTCCACATTCAAAAGCAGCCAGGCTTCTGAATCCTAGTAATCATACCCAGCCTTTGTCCATCTCCTATTTGGGGGCAGGAGGTTGCTTTTGGCTTAGAGTCGCAAGGCCAGGTTTCATTCATTTCAGAAAGGAAAATCTGGGGCTGAGTCACAAAGGCCAAGTTTTGGAAGGATTTCAGTCCTGGCAACCTGGACTGCTGGTTTTCCAAGTCTTGGAAAATTGCTTTGCTTGGGGAAAACACACACACACAGAGAAACAAATTCAAGGTGTCCCAGAGCACTCGAGATTAGTTTCCTCACCACTTGGTTTAATTTTATTTCAGATACAAATACAGGTCAGGAATGTCAGGCCCCGTGAGTTCATGCAAATATCTGGATTTAGCATCGCTTAGAATTATCTTTTGTCTTCTTTTTGAAATAATTTGTAGTTGAAATTACAACCCAACCTCTCTCTCCTTTGCCCATTCCTTGATTTCTTATCAATTCAGTAAATTACAAAGCCGTGTTTTCATTTCTTCTCTTTGTATTTTTCTGTCTGTTGTTATTTTATTTATTTCATAAATTTATACAGTGCTCGATTGTTTTTTAAAAAAACCATCAACCTCAAAGCGGTACACAAAGAGAATAAAACGAAAAGTAGCAGTAAAAACAACTCCTTAAAAGCACTCAGAAGATTAAATCAGCAATAAAGTGAAATCAGATTAAAACATACAGCAACGTTCTACGTGTCTGGGCAGGCTTGTCCAAAGAAAAATGTTTTTAGCAGGCGATGAAAAGAGTACATGTCAACAGGCAGAGAGTTCCTGCGCGTAGGTGCTGCCACGCTAAAAAAATTGATTTTTTTTAATGAATGAGGAATGGGTATCATTTTGGCACCTGGAATACTGCCAGTTCCGTAGATCAAAGCGGTCAAATGGGCATAGAGGTGGTACGACAATCTTTCAGGTATTTACTTGCCTTTATTTAAAAAAAAGGGGGGAAATCGTTTTGGAAAGGAAAAGGGAATGAAAACCTGGAACTACGAACACTGTGGATGACAACTGGTGGTTTCGGACAAGGTGGTGGTGGAAGAGATTTCTCCCAATTGACTCACCTTCATGAAGCCCATTCCGCCCATGACCTGGATGCACTCGTCTGCAACAGTCCAAGCGGCCTCCTGGGCAAGACAAAAGGGAAAGGGGGGGAAATGACTGTCTTCTCAGGCTGTAAAATGGGCGCACTGAAACACCACCACCAGCAGCAGCAGCCGCCGCCAAGGGAGATGGTCAAAACAGAGGGACCTTGCCCGTTAAAACAGGGGTGCAGCCAAACAGGTGACCGACAGACAAGGGGACAAGGCCACCTTCCCCATTTCCCACCAGGCCCCTTTCTCACCGAGCCAAAGATTTTGCTGATGGCCGCCTCAATCTGGAAGTCGGTTGCCCCTTGGTCCATATTCGCGCTGATCATGTATGCCATGGACTGTAGGGAAGAGGAAAAGAGCCAAGGGAGTGAGATTCTGCTTCAGGGGTCAGCAAACTTTTCCAGCAGGGGGCCGGTCCACTGGCTCTCAGACCTTGTGGGGGGCCGGACTATATTTTTTTTGGAGGAGGGGGAAATGAACAAATAACCCACAAATAACCCAGAGATGCATTTTAAATAAAAGCACACGTTCTACTCATGTAAAAACACCAGGCAGGCCCCACAAATACAGTGGTACCTTGGGTTAAGTACTTAATTCGTTCTGGAGGTCCGTTCTTTACCTGAAACTGTTCTTAACCTGAAGCACCACTTTAGCTAATGGGGCCTCTTGCTGCTGCTGCTCCCCCGGAGCCCGATTTCTGTTCTGAAGCAAAGTTCTTAACCTGAAGCACTATTTCTGGGTTAGCAGAGTCTGTAACCTGAAGCGTATGTAACCCGAGGTACCACTGTAACCCAGAGATGCATTTTAAAGAAAAGGGCACATTTCTACTCATGTAAAAACACGCTGATTCCCAGACCATCCGCAGGCCGGATTTAGAAGGCAACTGGGCCGGATCCGGCCCCCGGGCCTTAGTTTGCCTACCCACACTCTGCTCCATCACTGTTTTGAAAAAGTCTGCGTCGTAACAGGATGCGCTGAAACTAACAGCTTCTGGGTGCGTCCTGTTAATTTCACCTTTCAGTTTACAACCCTTTGGGGAATTCAGTTGCACTCATCCCCGCCCCCTCGGTTGGCCACTGTGAGAACAGGAAACTGGGCTAGATGGGCTTTGGCCTGATCCCACTGCAGGGATCCTCCTGACGTTCTTCTCAAGTTCCTAGTCCATATGAAGCAAAGATTTAAAGGCTCGTTGCCAGGCTGGGGGAAGGTGGCGGGTCAGGACGGGCTGCAGTCGAGGGCTTTGGTGCTGAGCACTGCGCTTTTTTGGCACGCCACAGCAGTTCACGTGTCGCTGCCCCAACCTCATGTGCTAGCTCACTTTCGCCCTTGCGCTCACCTCTGTCACGTATTGTAGAACTGCCATGCGAGCCAGTTTCTCCTTAATTCCCTCGAAGTTGTGGATTTTGTCTCCAAACTGGGTCCTGTTTGCTGCGTAGTTCACCTTTTTGGATAATTAATAATAATAATAATAAGAAGAAGAAGAAGAAGAAGAAGAAGAAGATATTTATACCCCGCCCTCCCTGGCCAAGTCCTGGCTCAGGGCACCTAACACTGAATATAAATATAGTAAAAACATTTTAAAAAAAAACACCAGTGGATTAAAATATAAGTTAGAATACAGTTTAAAATGCAGTTTAAAATGAAGCCTCATTTTAGTGGTAGCCTATAGATCAAAGCCATAAGGGGTAAAGGTAAAGGGACCCCTGACAGTTAAGTCCAGCCGCCAACGACTCTGGGGTTGCAGCACTCATCTCGCTTTACTGTCCGAGGGAGCCGGCGTACAGCTTCCGGGTCATGTGGCCAGCAGGACTAAGCCGCTTCTGGCGAACCAGAGCAGCGCACGGAAACGCCGTTTACCTTCCCGTCGGAGTGGTACCTATTTATCTACTTGCACTGCATGCTTTCGAACTGCTAGGCTGGCAGGAGCAGGGACTGAGCAACGGGAGCTCACCCCGTAGCAGGGATTTGAACCGCCAACCTTCTGATCGGCAAGCCCTAGGCTCTGTGGTTTAACCCACAGCGTCACCCATGTCCCCCAGCAGATATAGGAACACGCTAAAACATCAAGCATTAAAAAAATTGGAAAGAGGGGGGTCCTCTTCCAACTCAACAAACCAAAGGTACTATGAGACTTCACTCACCGCTTTGCTGATCAGCCCCCGCATGGTGCCGGCCGTGGCAGCGGCCATGCCAAACCGCCCGTTGTTCAGGATATTCATGGCCACCTTGAAGCCAGAGCCAGGGGCCCCTATGACATTCTCGACAGGAACACGGCACCCGTCAAAGTGGACCTCGGCCGTGTTGGACGCCTTGATGCCCATCTTCTTCTCTGGGGGTCCGCTGGAGGGGGGTGAGATAAATACCGTATTTTTCTGTGTGTAACACGCCCCTGTGTATAAGACGTCCCCTATTTTCGGGGACTCCAAATTAATAAAATGGGGGGAGATTGGCCAGAGTTGTTAAGCTGTTTTGGGGGATGATTGGCCAGAGTTGCTGAGCTTTTGGGGGGGGGGAATTGCCAGTCCCCCCTATGCACTATGTATAAGACAATCCCCAATTTTAAACCTAAAAAAATACAGTCTTATACACGGAAAAATACAGTAAATGCATTTAACCTTTAAATGCCTGCAGGAAATTTTTCTACATCGCCAAGCACTGAAGACTAAGGAAGCACCTTCCTTTAATAAGTTAGTGGAGAGTCCCCAATTTTAAATGTTCGTGTATGCATCATTTGCAGGCATTCTTGTAAATTCCCCGTTTTTTAAATGCAGAAGCTTCCAAGTTCAATCTCCAGTGAGCAGAGCCAGGAAATCTCTCCTCCTGTGCGTGGCCTGAGAATCTGGAGAGCAGCTGAGAGCCAGAGCAGGCAATACTGGCCCGGGTAGAGGAATAAGCCGAAGCTGGAGTGAGCTGGCTTGCTCCGATACTACTCACCGCGTGACGCCCCCAAAGGCTCGCTCCACTATGAAGGCCGTGATCTTGTCCTTCACTTCCCCAGTCGCCTCGTCCTTGATCTTCGTTCTTGCGAAAACGGTAAATATATCCGCAAGGCCGCCGTTGCTGCAAGAGATTTGCCAGTCAGGGGTGGGGGGTTGGCGCTCGTAACTGCAGGACCACAGGCAAGCCTCCAACCTCACATTTGAAGGTCTATATTAATATATTTGCGGCTGCCCATTCCATCTGGGATGAATGGCTATGCGAGAGAGAGGGAGAGAGCCCCTTTGGCGGTCGCCCGCCATTTTGGAATTCTCTCCCCAGGAAGTCCCAACTGACACCTTCCTTATCGTTCTCTTTTTGTCACCAGGACTTTTTTTAAAAAAAAGATTCTTTAGATACCATTTTAAACCTCCTAAACCAGGCATGGCTAAACTTGGCCCTCCAGCTGTTTTGGGACTACAACTCCCATCATCCTTGACCACTGGGTCCTGTTAGCTAGGGGTGATGGGAGTTGTAGTCCCGAAACAGCTGGAGGGCCGAGTTTGGCCATGCCTGTCCTAAACTAACACACACAAGCAGTTTGGCAGCTTTTAACTTATGGTGGTTTTTCACATCCTGACATTTATATTTTTTTATTTGGGGGGGGGGATGACATATTTCATTTTGATTTGATATTGGGGCTACCTTTGAAGGTGACCCGGAAACTACAACTAATCCAGAACGCGGCAGCTAGACTGGTGACTGGGAGCGGCCGCAGAGACCACATAACACCGGTCTTGAAAGACCTACATTGGCTCCCAGTACGTTTCCGAGCACAATTCAAAGTGTTGGTGCTGACCTTTAAAGCCCTAAACGGCCTTGGTCCAGTATATCTGAAGGAGCGTCTCCACCCCCATCGTTCTACCCGGACACTGAGGTCCAGCACTGAGGGCCTTCTGGCGGTTCCCTCACTGCGAGAAGTCAAGTTACAGGGAACCAGGCAGAGGGCCTTCTCGGTAGTGGCGCCTTCCCTGTGGAACACCCTCCCACCAGATGTCAAAGAGAACAACAACTACCAGGCTTTTAGAAGACATCTGAAGGCAGCCCTGTTTCGGGAAGCTTTTAATGTTTGATGTATTATAGTATTTTAATATTTTTTTGGAAGCCGCCCAGAGTGGCCGGGGAAGCCCAGCCAGATGGGCGGGGTATAAATAATAAATTATTATTATTATTATTATTATTATTATTATTATTATTATTATACCTGCATTCCGCGCTTTTGCAACAACACACGTCGAGCTCAAAGAGGCTCACAACAACACGGGTTTGGGGGGGAAAACATTGCAAACATTGGAATATCAAACACAGCAGTATACAAAGGAAGGAAACTGGGGGGGGGGGGGAATTCATCAAAAAAAATTAATACAAAAAAGTCAGTATATATAAATGTGTGTGTGTGTGTGTCTGTGTGTATACACACGCACACATATAAATACATACACACACACACACACACACACACACACATATATATTTATTATAGATAGATATAGATAAAGGTAAAGGGACCCCTGACCATTAGGTCCAGTCGTGGCTGACTCTGGGGTTGCGGCGCTCATCTTGCTTTATTGGCCGAGGGAGCCAGCGTACAGCTTCCGGGTCATGTGGCCAGCAGGACTAAGCCGCTTCTGGAGAACCAGAGCAGTGCACGGAAACACCGTTTACCTTCCCGCCAGAGCGGTACCTATTTATCTACTTGCACTTTGACGTGCTTTCGAACTGCTAGGTTGGCAGGAGCAGGGACCGAGCAACGGGAGCTCACCCCGTCACGGGGATTCGAACCGCCGACCTTCTGATTGGCAAGTCCTAGTCTCTGTGGTTTAACCCACATCGCCACCCGCGTCCCTATATTATAGATAGATATAGATAAAAACAAGTTCCTTTTTAACCAGGCCTTTGGTTGACCTGATCAACATCCCATACCCTTTTAAAATATGGCTCTTTTTTGGGGGGTGGGTATTATTGGGTCATTGATTTTATTTTTATTCTTCATACTGTGATCTTTTATGTGAACCACCCTGAGACCTCTGGCTATAGGGTGGTATATAAATTCAATTAAATAATAATAGTAGTAATATATGATCAAAAGCGGCAGTATAAAAAATATCCAAAATATAACACTCCCCCCACCCTGCCCCAATCCGTGCCTCCTCCTCCTCCTCCACCTACCCACCCAGGCTCGCCCCCAACTCACCTGATCCAAATCTTGCTCCCGTTGAGAGTGTAGTAAGTGCCGCAGGGGCTGAGCTCAGCCGTGGATCGGATGGAAGCCGCGTCCGAGCCGCTAGTGGGCTCTGTCAGGCAGTACGCAGCAATGGTCTCACCTAGAGGGTTTTATTTTATTTTATTTTTTAAAAAGGGGGTCGTCATGGGAAGACAGAGGCACCCAAAATACGCACAGCCACCTTTGCCTACAAGGTCTGAAGTGGCTTCCAAGTTTTGTGCGATATAAGCATGCCTCAACCCTCGTGATCCAAATAACACAACCCGGATGGGAAAGAAGAAAAAATCCCGACCAGGGAAGAACGACAAACCAAGTTGACGGACTATGCCGAAATGGCCAAATTAACTGGAAAGCTAAGGAACCAAGATGATACGAACTTTTAAAAAAGAATGGGGGGGTGTATATAATTTATTTAGGAAACTACTGTAAGCAGATGAAAACACTAGCAGGATTTTAATCTCACTTGCAAGGTAACAAAGAATACGGACAATTTACATGGAGAAAAAAATGTGGATAACAGGCTGCTATGCAAATGTAAATATTGACACTAGGACCCTGGAAGGGAGGGGAGGCAGTCATGAGATTCAGAGAGATCTCGCAATATGGATTTTCAATGGATTTTATTATAAGTTTATATATTATAACTATTTCAAAAAATAATAACAACACAACCCAACCTTGTGCACACACAAAAAACACACATACACCATGATGAAAGGGAATTTAGGCAGGTAAATGGGATGTTGGGCGGCGAAAGGGGAAACTTGTGAAGCGAGGAACCCTTGAAGCGGGGATTCACGCAGCAGGAGGGACCGTGTTGCAGGGTGCACTTCCCTCCCTCAACTTCCTCCCTCAGCCCCTTATTCTGCCCCTCGCCTCCCCATCGCCTGCCCCTGGTTATGATGTCTCTGCCCCTCAGCTCCCCACCCCCCACAAGGCCACGACCCCTTACCTGTTGCCAATTTGGGGAGGTACTTTTCCTTCTGCTCCTTGGTGCCATAGAGGAGGATGCCCTTAAACCCGATCGACTGGTGGGCCCCCAAGGTGATGCCCACCCCCAGGTCGTGCATGCCGACGAGCTCCACCATTCGTGCATACTGTGGCAGGAAGAGAGAAAAAGAAGGGGTGTCAGCCGTGAAGCATTCAAAGCTCTCTTGCGCGCCTCTGAGCATGGGCAGAACACATTTTTCTCAGTGGCAAGAAAGCTCAGCCTTCCTCAAAGCAGGAAAGCCACCCCCATCCCTGAAAGGACAATGTCTGAGAACATTCCATGACATCACAGCAACTTGACCAATGGCTGCACAGAGCAGCAGGAAATCCCTCTAAGCTCACAAACCTCCATGTCGTTTCCTTCCTAGGCATAGCTGTCAACTTACAGATTTGAAAATAAGGGACCAGCAGCCAAAATAAGGGATTTTAGTCAACCAGCTGAAATACGAAGTTAAAAGGGACCAGAGAATTTGGGAGAGCAGTGCCGGGTTTTAGCCCTTCGTTTCCAGAGGTTGCTGCTCAAGACACCAGCTGATGAAACACTGCAATTAAATAACTACAAGCAGCAACCACTTTTCGTGCAAAACGAAGTCCAAGCTACGAAGATGCTGCTGCAGTTCTGTATCTTTTCTCTCGTTCTCCATCTGCAGCTCTCAATTCCACCAGGTGGGGCGGGAGGAGGGGGGGGAAATAGCGCCCGAAGTAAACCCGCAGATCAGACCATCTATGCTAGTCTACCACTACAAATCTATGGGAGAAGCTCTTGCGGTCCTTCCTCCGCTTTCCCCCTCTATGGTTAGCCCTTGGAACACCTGTCTGCGCCTCCGCCTCCTCCTCCTCTCTCTGAACTGCTTTCTCTATGGTTGCCCTTGCTCTCCTCTCAAGGCTCCTCAGTCCCCGGCGGGGAGGGGTTCCCGGGGGCCGAGGCTGGTGAGAGGAGGCCGGAGGGGGGCGGGCCAGGCAGCCAAGCAACCCAGTTGGAGCCTCCCTGCTCCCTGGCCGGCAGGGAGGGAGGGAGGGAGAGGAGCTGCTTCCTTTGAAACCCGGGAAATTTAAGGGACATCATCAATAAGGGACAGCAGCGGGACACGGCGCTGGGATAAGGGAGTTTCCCGGCAAATACGGGACGGTTGACAACTATGTTCCTAGGCTTCCCTCCGAGTCTGGTAGCATTTAGGGGAAGGATGGGGGGGGGCGCCAGCCCTCGAGCCTCACCTGTGTGTTGCTGAGCCCCAGTCCCCCGAGCTCGACGGGGATTTGCAAGCCAAAAGCTCCCAGCTCCTTGAGGCCTTCCATGGTCTTGTCCTCCACTTTCTCCAGCGCATCATTTTTGGCCGGGTCGTTCACCTCCTGGTGGAGAGAGGGAGGAAGGGAGAGTCAGATGATGGGGAAAGCATCTATTTAAACCAGAGGTCAGCAAACCTTTTCAGCAGGGGGCCGGTCCACCGTCCCTCCAACCTTGTGGGGGGGGCGGACTATATTTTTTGGAGGAGAGGAAATGAACGAATTCCTATGCCTCACAAATAACCCAGAGGTGCATTTTAAATAAAGGGACACATTCTACTCATGTAAAAACACACTGATTCCCAGACCGTCTGCAGGTCGGATTTAGAAGGCGATTGGGCCGGATCCAGCCCAAGTTTGCCTATCTGTGATTTAAACCCATTCTGCGTTTCCCCTCGCTGTTGGGAATGTGTTCCCCAAGGTTTAGACAAAACCTGCCATTTCTCCTCAATTCCCACCCACATAATTCTGGCCCTGCCCTAATAAATTATTATTATTATTATTATTAAGACAGATGCCATTCTGGGAGTCCTCACCTCAAAGAACCGAGAGACGGGGCCCACCAGCTCTCTCAGTGTCTGGGCTTGATCTTCATTTAGAACTGTAATAAGAGAAGGGAAGGAAAACATCAGCCCCTGCTAGCCTGCTAGCCCTCCTAGCAAACTGCTTTTCCAAACCCCAACATGCACCTTGCGGCGGAACCAATTTGGATTTCCTTGCCTCCTTCTGCTTTTTACACTCTCCAAGCTTTTCCCATCTGAGATGGCTGGCTGCATTCTCTTAACTGCACGCCAAGCCGCATTGTTTTGAATATTCGTTTGGAAGCCGCCCAGAGCGGCTGGGGAAACCCAGCCAGATGGGTGGGGTATAAATAATCAATTATTATTATTAAGGAAAAGGGAGCAACTTAGCCCTGCGCACCTAGAGTTGGCCTTTCCTATCCTCAGCCAACGTTCTTAGACTTAAAACGCAAACCCACAGACCTCCCTCTGCCTTGCCCTTTACGGAAGAAAGAAGCGAAATTAAGAAATTTGTTTGGCTAGTCCAGGGGTCAGCAAACTTTTTCAGCAGGGGGCCTGTCCACTGTCCCTCAGACCTTGTGGAGGGCCGGACTATATTTTGAAAAAAATAATAATGAACGAATTCCTGTGCCCCACAAATAAACCAGAGATGCATTTTAAATAAAAGCACACCTTCTACTCGTGTAAAAACACGCTGATTCCTGGACCGTCCGCGGGCCAGATTTAGAAGGCAACTGGCCTGGATTTGGGCCTAAGTTTGCCTACCCATGGCCTCTAGGACTAGGTCAGGCATCCCCAAACTCGGCCCTCCAGATGTTTTGGGACTACAACTGCCATGATCCCTAGCTAACAGGACCAGTGGTCAGGGATGATGGGAATTGTAGTCCAAAATATCTGGAGGGACAAAGGTTGGGGATGCCTGGACTAGGTCAAAAATGGGCTGCTGATTGAAGTGCCTAGTCCTCAGGAGAAAAGTACAGGGAATGAGGCAGACCCAGGACTCAAAATGAAGGGGGTCTTGGGCTGGGTTTCTGGCAGGTGTATGAATTGCTATTATAATATTATTATTATTATTTGCATTTCCTTTCCTTCTGTATATAATTTTATTAAGTTTTCAGTTTTACAATTTAAAATACCCATTTTACATCCTTAAGATACCAATGATTTCCCTTCTTCTCTTTCCATGGTTCATTTTACATATCACAAATCCCTGCATATTTCACAAAAACGACACCATTCAGTATTCCATTATTGCACCCATCAAAACTTGTTTACACTGCTGAATTTATCTTAATGCTGCCAGCGTTTTCAGCTGTACACAATTATTTCCCATATAGTCAATAAACGTTTTCCAGTCTTCTTTAAAAGTATCTTCTTCTTGTTCTCTCATTCTATATGTCTGCAAGCTGGGCATATTCTGTCAACTTAAGTTGCCATTCTTCTTTGGTTGGGACCTCGCTCGTTTTCCATTTTGGGGCTAACAAAACACGGGCCGCAGTAGTGGCGTACATAAATAACCTTTTTTGACACCTGGGAATTTCAGTCTGAATTATCCCCAACAGAAAGGACTCTGGGTTTGTTTGGAAAGTACTTTTAAACATTTTTTTCAATTCATTATGGATCATTTCCCAATAGTCTGGACTATTATTATTATTATTATTATTATTATTATCTACATGCTGCCCATCTGACGAGGTTACCCAGCCACTCTGGGCAGCTTCCAACGAACTAAAACACAGTAATACATCAAACATTAAAGTCCTCCAACCCATCTCCGCTCCAAGCCCCTGGTGTTTACCTGAAGGATAAGGGAAGACTTGTTCTGTGTTGACCTGGCCCTTGAACATCCCAACGGCAAATGACTTCGACTCCTGGATGGAGAACAAGAGGAAGAGTTGCAACACTTGGGGCTTCTTAAATTTAGAGGAAATGCAAGTGAGAGCCGGCATGACGGAATTCGATAAAATCATGCATATCCCAGAGAAAGAAACAAACGTTTTCTCCCTCTCTCACAGCACTAGACGCTGAATGTTGGAGGTATTCAGGACAGATTAAAAAGGAAGCCGTTCGGTAAACGATGCATAGAAACTCTGGAACTCCCTGCCACTGGAGGGAAGGAGGGCACCCAACATGGAAGCCTTTAAAGATGGATTAGACCAACTCAGGGAGGACAAGTAGTCAGGAGGGCTCTGGAGGCAGTAATACCGTATTTTTCGCTCCATAAGACGCACCTAGTTTTTAGAGGAGGAAAACAAGAAAAAAAATATTCTGAACCAAACAGTGGAGGTTTGGTTGATTTTTGTGGTTCATGCTGTGGCCACAGACATGTGATCTGATGGTGAATTTGGGGTGACCCAATGCAAAAATCCTGAGGATCCATGTGGATCCATGATTTGTAACCACGTTTTTGCGCTATTGCGGCCCCACGCAACAGTGGGTGCGTGATTTTTTTGGTGCAGGCTGTAGCCATGGAGATGCTATGTGATCTGATGGTGAATTTGGGGTACCCCAATGCAAAATTCCTGAGGATCCATGGGCTTTTACCTCCCCACTCCCAGACAGCCTCCTTTATCTCTAGAGTCCCTTATCTCTCTCCTGATCCCACCGATCAGCTGTTTCCTTTCAACACTCCCTTCCCCCTTGTTTGCCTTAGCGTCTTTTCCTTAGCTGGAGCAGTTTTTTGCTCCTCCTTTTCTTCTCATTTCTCTCCTTATTGCTTTGGTCTTCCTGTTTCCCCCCTTTGCAAGTTTGCTGTCTTTACCACCACCCTCCCAGGCAGCCTCCTTTATCTCTAGCGTCCCTTATCTCTCTCCCCGAACCGATCAGCGGCTTTGTTTCAACACCCACTTCCCTCTTTCAAAAAAAAAAAGCATGATCTGCTTTTTGCCCCTGGGCAATTCAGCTCCAGGGACCACGCATTCGCTCCGTAAGACGCACAGACATTTCCCCTTACTTTTTCGGAAGAAAAAAGTGCGTCTTACGGAGCGAAAAATACGGTACTTCTCAATATTGGTCGCTGGGATGAGAAAATGGCACAGGCTGTGAGGCAGGACAAAAGAGAAACAACCTCCACCCAGTGGGGGCTGAAGACAACCGATGGAATACAATTGGGGAATGTTGTTGTTGTTGTTGTGTCTTTTCGTCGTGTCCGCCTCTTCGTGACCCCCTGGACCAGAGCACGCCAGGCCCTCCTGTCTTCCACTGCCTCCCACAGGTTGGTCAAACTCATATTGGTAGCTTTGAGAACACTGTCCCACCATCTCGTCCTGTCGTCCCCTTCTCCTTGTGCCCTCCATCTTTCCCAACATCAGGGTCTTTTCCAGGGAGTCTTCTCTTCTCATGAGGTGGCCAAAATACTGGAGCCTCAGCTTCAGGATCTGTCCTTCCAGTGAGCACTCAGGGCGGATTTCCTTCTGAATGGAGAGGTCTGATCTTCTTGCAGTCCGTGGGACTCTCAAGAGTCTCCTCCAGCACCAGAATTCAAAAGCATCCATTCTTCAGCCATCAGCCTTCTTTATGGTCCAGCTCTCACTTCCATACATCACTACTGGGAAAACCAGAGCTTTAACTATACGGACCTTTGTTGGCAAGGTGATGTCTCTGCTTTTTAAGATGCTGTCTAGGTTTGTCATTACTTTTCTCCCAAGAAGCAGGCGTCTTTTAATTTTGTGACTGCTGTCACCATCTGCAGTGATCATGGAGCCCAAGAAAGTAAAATCTCTCACTGCCTCCATTTCTTCCCCTTCTATTTGCCAGGAGGTGATGGGACCAGTGGCCATGATCTTCGTTTTTAATATTTCACACCAAAAGCTGCATCTGCTTTTGTACATGGAGTAATGTGAAAATGAGGGTGAATTGTTGATCTTTGCGAGCTTCCCCTAGGGCCCGGGGGCTAGCAGGCTAGGATTTTAGAGGAACCACACAATTATTGACTTGTGAAATATACCCCACAACGTCGCTTTTCTACAGAAAACTCGTATTTGGACTATCAGCTCGTTAAAAGATCTGAAAGACTGCTGCGCCTAACTCAAACGAAAGAGAGCCCAGAGCTCTTGAAGATAAAATATGGAATGACGGGGGGGGTGATCTAAAAATCAACCGACGGATAACAAGACAGAATAAAAAGGCCTCTTGCAGGTTAATAGACATACGGACTTGCTAAATATGATAGAAAGTCATACACCAGCGATTGCAATGATAAGACAAAGGTTAAGAGCGGAATTATGAAACTGGAAAAAACAAGAGAAGAATAATGCAGGAACAAGTGAAAGAAACTTTCTCCCGACAGCCAGAACATGGGAAGTCCCATTAAATTATTTAATTTGGAATATATAACTGGCTTTATTTTTTTGTATTATGATTATGCACGGCTGACGAAGCCCAGCAAGGCAAAACAAAGTATTATTCCGGGAATCCTTGTCACGTTTAAGTTCTTTCAACTGACACCGGCATACAGCAACTATATTTTGCAAAGGCACATGTTAAGATCTTTCGTATCCTTCGTCTGATACCTGCATACAGCAGCTGCAAGCAACAACCGTACTTTGCAAAGGCAGTTGTGGAACATTACAAAGAAAAGTTCCATCTTTTGCAAGTACTGCTCCTTAAAGTTGTTACGTTTGACACTTGTATGCGCTAAGACATACGTGGAACACAAAAAGCTTCCATTTGGACAATTACGTATATAAGAACTGATCTATTTGTATTTCCTGTTCTAAATGTTGGTCCTTAATTGCTTCTACTCAATTAGATAATGTGAAAAGAGTTATGCTTATATGATGGATAAAGAATTTAGATAGTTAAACACAGCCAGTTACGTTGTGGGTATCAAGATTTGATTTGATCTGTTACCAATTGGAATGTTATTAATAAAAATTATGTATTTATATATATATATATATAAATAAATATCGGTCGCTGGAAGCCACAGGAGGAGGGGAGAGGGCTCTTGTGATCGGATCCTGGACGTGGTTGGCCACTGTGAGCACAGGATCCTGGGCTGGCTGGGCCATGGGCTTGATCCAGCAGGTTTTCCTCTCATTCTTAGGAATCTGGTGGGAAAGGCACCTGTGTGGCCAGCATAAGGTCTTGGGTTCAATCCTGCCACCTCCGTGAAGGGCTTGGAAGGAATAATCAGAGACCCTTGAGAACCAGCCAGCCAGTCTGGATTAGAGGGCCTCACTCTGCGTAACAAAAACAACCCATGTCGGTTCAGATGCTCCTGCGCTAGCTCACAACCGACAGCCGCATGCAGACCGACATAAATTTAAACCACGTCTCTCTCTGCAAAGGAGAATAAAGGCAGGGGAGATATTAATACCAGCCAACTTTCGCCGGTGCAGAAACGCCCACGCGCGTACGTTTTGGAATTATACCTGCCCTATAATTAGCTGCCAGGGCTGTCGCGCTCACACCCTTATCAGCCCATTTAATTATATTTGTTAATTTACATTTAGCTATATTTTTGGAAAACTGCTCCGCTGTCGGAGGCAACGTTATTTTCGACGCCAGTCGCTGGAAACCACAGGAGGGGAGAGGGTCTTGTGTTCAGATTCTGCTCGGGGCCCGGCGAGAACAGGGTGCCGGCCTAGCTGGATCTCTGGTCTGATCCGGCACGGCAATCCTTACATTCTTAAGGTATTCCAAAGACAGGACATGAAAAAAGGCCTTTGGCCTTGGATACCACCTGCCCAACCGTGTACGGTGGCGGAGACCAGGAAAAGGGCCTCTCATGGTGAATAGGGTGGGGGGTTTGCAGGAGAATTATCACCATATATTAAATTTGCATACTGCCCTACGCCCATAGATCTCAGGGCAACACAACACAAAATTACAATTTATTTTAAAAAATATTAAAAATAAGAACAAAGAGAATCCAAATATATTTTAACCTGAATTTTAAATCGGTTTATTTTTTTATTTGTGTTTTTAATTGTAATTTTACTGGTGTTAGCCACCCTGAGCCCGGCTCTGGCCAGGGAGGGCGGGGTATAAATAAAAATTTATTATGATTATGATTATTAACCCCCCTCGCACGGCACATTGAAAAGGGCAGTTAATTTAATTTAAAAGTCAGCCTTTCAACCAGTTACGTCCCAAAATGCTTGGGGGCCCTTGCTCAGGCAGCCCTCTCCCCCACTGCCCTCCGAGCACAGAGAACGAATGTTTGTGAATACCCCGTAACATCCTGGAAGCTCAAGGCAGTGGGGAGGTCAGGGGTTTGCACAGCAATAAATGACTCCGATTTTTCACGACAGCATTTTCCCTCGAAATTGGGGTGGCAGGTCAGAGAACCAGACCACCACCTAAGCCCATCTTTGTTTTTCTGAAAATTCAATTCAATCTGCCGAATATCTTCCCCACCATCAATTCCCTGTCGTCGTCCCCACCCCAAAATAGGAAAAAAGCACCTACTGCAAGTAAAGGTTTCTTTTCCGGTATCGCTTGGGAAACTGCGTCGGACTTCGCACTCGATTTATCCAGCACGGCCTGCAAAAAGTGACAAGAACGTTATTTGGTGTTAGAGCCTTTCCGGCTAGAGAAATTATATATAAAGCTTTGTTGACTTATCAACCTGCTGTCCAGTCAACAGAAGGACCTCGGCCGAGAATCAAAGCAGAATGGGACATTTTTAAAAAATTAGATGATGAAATATGTTTCCAATGATTAGTCTTGGTTGAGCATAGACTAAATTCCAGAGTTAAGAGAATGGTCTTCCATAGAACAAGAATTTTAAGATATGAGAAATTGGGAAACGCATAGAAGGGAGTCATTAACAAATCAAGGAATAAAACCAGAGATTAGGCGTAGATAAGAAAGTAAGAGTAGCAAGGAGAAATTGATCAGGTGAAGATAAAAGGACTTCTTACTGGAAATATATGTTTATAGTAATGTCGATGATGGTTTGTATTTCTTAAACTGTATGTCTTTGATAAGGTTTTCGTTTAACTTTCTTTCCATTTTTTCTTCTCTTTTCTACTTCTTTTCTCTTTTCTTTTCTATTTTCATTTTGTGTGATTTTTTTCTTTCATAACAGAATAATGTGTTTGATTATGTGTAATTTTTAATGTGTAAATAAAGATAATTAATTTTTAAAAAACCCCACACATAAAGCAGGTACCTCAGGCCTGGCTAGCACCGTTGCCAACTCTTGTCAGCCCAGTATACCTGATACAAACAGCCTCGGTCCAGTATCCCTGAAGGAGCGTCTCCACCCCCATCGTTCTGCCCGGACGCTGAGGTCCAGCTCTGAGGGCCTTCTGGTGGTTCCCTCCCTGCGAGAAGTGAGGTCACAGGGAACCAGGCAGAGGGCCTTCTCGGTGGTGGCACCTGCCCTGTGGAACGCCCTCCCACCAGATGTCAAGGAAATAAACAACAACAGTGGTACCTCGGGTTAAGTACTTAATTCGTCCCAGAGGCCCGCTCTTAACCTGAAACTGTTCTTAACCTGAAGCACCACTTTAGTTAATGAGGCCTCTTGCTGCTGCCGTGCCACCGGAGCACGATTTCTGTTCTCATCCTGAAGCAAAGTTCTTAACCCGAGGTACTATTTCTGGGTTAGCGGAGTCTGTAACCTGAAGCGTCTGTAACCCGAGGTACCACTGTACCTGACTTTTAGAAGACATCTGAAGGCAGCCCTCTGCGGGTTGCTAACGTGCTTCCCACACGGATCACGTTCGCAACCTGAGCGTCCACCGTACTATGATTCAGCCTGTCCACTGCTGGGAGCAGGGAGCTGGTCCTCTGGCCGAACCCAGCACAGTCCCTCTTACTGGTTCAGACTGGAGCCGAACCTGAAATCAGCCCTGCAGTGGGAAGGGGGCTGCAGAGGGAAATCCTGGCGGGATCCCAGGACGGCCGGGACATTTGCCGCTTTGTTCCAGGAATTCCAACGCAACCGGGATGAGCAATCCTCCTTTTGCAGCCACATCACCAGGGCGCCTGGGGCTCAGCTGGTGACAGCTCACCTTTCCCCTACATACTTCCCAAATCGGGGATTAAATAACCTGACCTTTCCCCTAGAAAATGCCGCGTGGAAGTCAGGGAGAGAAGGATATCCAGGATAACACCTCGATTTGCAGAACCGGCAGGGCTGCAGGTGACACACAATCCCTGCTCCACATCCTCTAGTTATCTCCCGCTTGGACTACTGCAATGCGCTCCACGTGGGGCTACCTTTGAAGGTGACCCGGAAACTGCAATTAATCCAGAATGCAGCAGCCAGACTGGGGACTGGGAGCGGCAGCCAAGACCACATAACACCGGTCCTGAAAGACCTACGTTGGCTCCCAGGACGTTTCCGAGCACAATTCAAAGTGTTGGTGCTGACCTTGAAAGCCCCAAACAGCCTCAAAGGCCCAGTAGACCTGAAGGAGCGTCTCCACCCTCTTCGTCCAGCCCAGACACTGAGGTCCAGCTCCGAGGGCCTTCTGGCGAGAAGTGAGGTTACAGGGAACCAGGCAGAGGGCCTTCTTGGTGGTGGCACCCGCCCTGTGGAACGCCCTCCCACCAGATGTCAAGGAAATAAACAACTATCTGACTTTTAGAAGACATCTGAAGGCAGCCCTCTTTAGGGAAGCTTTTAATGTCTGATGTATTACTGTATTTTAATATTTTGTTGGAAGCTGCCCAGAGTGGCTGGGGAGGCCCAGCCAGATGGGCAGGGTATAAATAATAAATTATTTATTGTTATTATTATTTGTACGAAATCAGCCTTTTAAGCATAGCAGCAGCTAAACTTTGGAACTCCCTGCCTATTGACGCCAGGCAGGGACCTTTTTTGTGCTCCTTTCCAGGCAAATTATAGACAGGCAGGCAGGCGGGCATATGATAGATGATAGATGATAGATAGATAGATAGATAGATAGATAGATGAAAGTTTACTTTCTCTGCCCCCCTTTTTCTCCCCACTTCTATTTTCCCCCAAACCCCTAACAGTAATGTTTCACATTCAATGTATGAAGGATTCTATGAACTGAGAACAGATGCTTTATGTACTATTGCTACCAAGAAAATCTTCTAATAAAGCAATTACCAAAAAACCATTTTTGTTTAGGCAAGCCTACCCAGGTATATGGAATGTTTGCACGTGTTTTTTAAAAAAAATATTTTAAGCTTATTGCTGACCTTAATTGTTACCTGATTGCTTTAAACAGCTGTTTTTAAGCATTTTTTATTGATAATTTCACTGTTCCGTCATCTTTGTAAACCGCTTTTTGTTCTACAAGCAAGCAGCGTATTTACGAGACAAAATAATATACGTCTGGAAGTGACAAGTTACAAATCCGTCTGGTTTGAGGTGGTGGAAATGTGTGGGTAGATTCCACCATGGTGGGGTTGCGGCTTCCTCTGGGGTGGAGTGTTTATATATAAAAAAGGGGTGTTCAAAATGGATCTTTTGTGGGGTGGGCGGTTAATAGATGCCAGTTCCAGACATTTGGGTGAGAAAAAGGGTTGCCTTTTAGAGCAACCAAATCCTAAGGACACACTCTGACTTCAAAGCACTTCAACTGGGGAAATAAAACTTTGGCCTCCCTGTCATGGGAACCTGAAAAGGATTTGGGGAACCAGGCGTTCAGAATTTATATATATTCTTTTTCCGGGGTGGGGTGGAGAAGATGAAAGGAATAAGTGAGGCCAATAGCTGCTGGGGTTCTCAATCAGCGTAACGGGGCTAGGATAAAATCCGCCTGACTTTCCAAAAGCTACTTTTGTTTTTAAATCCACCACTCTCCTAGTCTTCATGGAGAAAGGAATATTGTTGTATTGTTTTTAACACTTTATTGGAAGCTGCCCAGATTATTATTATAACTTAACCTTACTCACTCCCCAGAAAGCGTCAAGCCCAACAAAGGGTGTTGCAAGAATAATTGAGATTAATGAGTGTGCAATAGGCATTCATCAAATTAGGAAGCCACGTGCCTTGGGTAACGATGGAGGAAGGGCTAAAAAGGTTCACAGACCTGTTTTGCCAGCACCCGAACCAACAACCGTCCCACGCCACACGGCCCACAAATCCTTACCTTTTTTAACCTCCTCCCTAAAAAACAAAAACAAAAACCCCTTCGTACAACCATCAAACTGCAAAAGCCCCTGGGCCCGATCCACCAGAATAAGGGATTCCCATTAAAATAAAGAGGCGTAACTAGAAATAGACCCTGCCCCCCCAGCAACCCCAAAATACCTCCGCAGTCTGCGTAGCATAGAGTCTCCTTCCATTTGGGTGGGGAGGAAGGTACGTCAAAGCCGGGAGCCCACCAGACCTGGGAAGGGGGGGAAAAGCGAGGGGTGATTCAGGAGAAGAGGGTAGTTTAGTGAAATGGATCCTGAACTACCTGGCCAGGTAAAGTGGCTGTGGTTGTAAATACATATAATTTTATTTTTTTAGAAACAGCCAAGTTTCTAAAGGCTTTATGTGGTTGTGGGGCAGGGGTCCCCAATTTTGTTTTTAGGGCCCCCACCCCCTGGTTTCCTTAAACCCATCCCCAATACCCCCACCTCACTACCCTATAGAAAGAATTACTCAGAAGAACAGCCCGCAGGACTGACTTAGGAAGGTAATAACACGGTAAAGTTTGAAGCAGCGACAAATAATTGTATGTTTGTTCAAAGTCCAGTTAAGACTCTTCCGTTTAATCCCTTCCAGTTCAAAGTCAGTGCTTTTTTTCTGTGGGGGTACACATACCCCTAAACATATTGTGAATCTTTGTACTTTGGTCCATTTACTGTACTTAATTCCCCCGATCTGAACTATAAAATTGTGATTTTCTTGAGTTAAAATTAGAATACCCCCCAAAAAATTTCCCCAATTTTTTTTAAAGGAAAAAAGCAAGGCTGTCTCCTATCGCCCCCCCAACAGGTAACCCCACCGTCCCGTCCCCCCCATAAGGAACCACTTATGGGGAGGGTCCTGGAACCACACACTCATCATCTCCCCATCACGCTCTGCACCCCCAAACCCCTTTCCCACCAGCCCCCATCCCTTCCAAAGCGCCCCACACTCAGATCCCCCCCCCAAAAAAAACCACCACCCCACACCCACCAAAAGGCAACTTTTCCTGCCCCTTCCCTACCAGACTCACCCTGGGGGGCTGCTCAGCCGCAGGAAGCTCCAGCAGAACTTGGGGGGCAGCCTCAAAGCCTGCATGCCTGGGGGGTGTCTATGGGACCTGCCTTCCTCTTCCTCGGAGGCGCTCGCAAGTTTCTGTTTGCCTGCTTCTCCCTCTTGCTCCTCCCCTCCCCTTATGCAAGGTCATCAGCTCAAATATGTGTGTGGGGGGGGGATAGGGCTAATTACTTCCTGCCCCACCCATGGCCCCGGGGCATGCTGGGAGTTGTAGTTTTCTTCCCCCATGGAGACGTGGCTTTCCTTTCCAGGCCAGCAGAGGAAGAAAGCATGTTTTGGTGGGGGGTTTTGGAGAGAGTTGGCCTGCCCTGAGCATATGCAAAGCGCATTTCTTCCCCCTGCTAATCTAGGGCTGTGCACCCCGGGGTGCATTTATTCCTTTACTGCAGTGCTGCCCCCCCCCAAATGTCTCATTTTCCTACTCATATTGAAATAATGCCCCTCAATGAGGCCAAACTTAGATTCAGAAAATGTTTAGAGTTATGCATCCCCCCAGAAAAAAGCACTGCTTTATTGTATTAATGCCCCACTGAAATAAAAAATTTAAGGTCATATGTGTGTGTGTACATATATATGTGTGTACATATATATGTGTGTACATATATATATGTACACACACACACACACACACACATATATAGATATATACACACACACTGTATATAAAAATGTTCATAACTGAATATATAAACCACATGTCTGAAACCCCACAGGAAAAAGTCCTGAAACCATTTTGTCCCTCCCAAACTGACCTCAAATATTTCTCTGCAAGGTTGAAGGAAAATGGAAAAGCCTCCCCATTGTCTTTTCGGTTCACAAATCCTGTCTTAAGGGTATGTCTGTGTATGAATAGGGTGAGCCTGTGACCTGGCTCAGGAACTAAGTATTTGTCATTACAAAAGACTGGCCAGGCTCCCCAGGGTATCCAATCAAGTGAGCATTAACAGGTAAGCTGCCGGACAGGAGATATACAACGCACTCAAATTTCTGTTGTAGACCACCCTTCTGTGATGTATGTATGTAGTTTCTGGGGGTAGTCTTGGACTCCAGGGCGGGCAATTTAAAATGTCTATATAAGGGCGGGCACACCTTGGTTCTGGGTCCTCCTCCTTTCCTGCGTGTGAGGGGAGCACCCTGTTGCAACAGTTCAATAAAGATCAGGCTTACGAGCTGCTTTGCTTCTCAATATTCTCTCGTTGGCCTCTTTTATTTTCTCCAACTGATGGAGAACCTGCAAAAGACTCTATAAGGGCTCGTGTCCCCCAGAAGGGAATAAGGGCAGATTTATGTTTATTACACCTTTTCTCTTTCAGGGAGATCAAGGTGGCATGCATGGTTCTCCACCCCACTATTTTTTTTTTTTTTAAAGATATTTATTAGGAGTTTACAAGTTACAGAAAAAGAAAGAGAACAATAAAGAATTAAACAAAACAAAACAATACCTTACAATACATCAAAAAAAACAAAAAGAAAAAAAATACAATAAAATAACGAAAAAACAGAACAAAAACATTTAAAAACACATCCAACTTTTCCATGTCTTTACCTTTCATATACTTGTTTCATCGACCTCCTCACACCTCCTTTTTTTGTATTCTAGTTCAATTAGCTATTTCAGCAAGTCCTTTCCATCTTTCTCAATTTTCGTTCTAAAATTTAACTTAAGACACTCTAACCTTAAATTTTCCACTTTGGTCCATTAACAATCTATTTTTACTTAATTCTTTATAACATATCTGCTAAAGCCATATAGCTTCATTCCAGCATCCTTCCAACATTCAATAATTTTGCAATATTTCTGTAAATATACTTTAAATTTTTTCCAATCTTCTTCCACCGACTCTTCTCCCTGGTCTCGGATTCTGCCAGTCATTTCCGCCAGTTCCATGTAGTCCATCAGCTTCATCTGCCATTCTTCCCTGGTGGGTAAATCTTGTGTCTTCCAGTGCTTTGCGATAAGTATTCTTGCTGCTGTTGTGACATACATGAAAAGAATTCTATCCTTCTTTGGCACCAATTGGCCTACCATGCCCAGGAGAAAGGCCTCTGGTTTCTTTAGAAAGGTATATTTAAATACCTTTTTCATTTCATTATAGATCATCTCCCAGAATGCCTTAATCTTTGGGCACGTCCACCAAAGGTGAAAGATCGTACCTTCAATTTCATTACATTGCCAACATTTATTATCGGGCAAATGGTAAATTTTTGCAAGCTTGACTGGTGTTATGTACCACCTATAAATCATTTTCATTAATTTCTCTTTTAAGGCATTGCATGCCGTAAACTTCATACCAGTGGCTCCACCCCACTAATTTTACTCCCCACAACCACCCTGCGAGGTAGGTTAGGCTACCAGTCAATCAGACAGGATTTGAAACCTGGTCTTCAAAGTCCTAGTCCGACACTCTAACCATTAATTTAAAGCTATAGCCAGGGGTGCATCTGTCCATGTGCAGAGGGGAACAGGTTGGCAGGCTGCCCAGTTTCCGCCCTCCCCAACAACCAAGCAAGGGGATTCGGGCACAAGGGGTTTCTAGGCCTTAGAAAGTGAGGTCCACAGCCCAGGCAGAAGAATAATGTTGGGGTCCCAAGGCAGGGAAGAAGAGGCAGAATTTAAACAAGGGCATTCTCGCTTCACTTGGCGTGCCCCATCTTTCTGGCTCAGATCCTGGTTTGTCTTGGCCGGATGCAGCCATAAACTATGGTGCCACTGAGCTTGTGCAAAGTGCCCACCGCCTATCAACCTGCAAGGGGTGGCCTGCTTCTTCCAGGCAGCTGTTGGGAGGAAACTAGTTCGCATCAGCTCCAACTGACATGTCCAATAGCCAGGGACGATGGGAATTGTAGTCTAGCGATACCTGTAGGGCCAGATTCTGCCTTGCGTGACTCTTCTAATTTAACCGCATGTTTATCTTGTGGGACAAATAGAGGGGGAGGCAAACTTTGTATGACACCCCCCCCCCATATCATGGGACAATCTCCTTTTCTCTAAGTCTGTAGCCACTCCGAAGCAGCAAGGTCCTCCGTTCTGCTGCCAGCAAAACATCCCATTTGAAATTGATCCATTATTTACCTTGCTTTGTGCTGTTAGAAAGTATCTTCTCCCACTCCTTGCTTGGAATATATTTAAAGAGGGCAAAGCACTCTTGATTTGGGGAAACGCTCCTGCGCTATTTGCATGCAGAATTTGGTAGGAAATGACTGGAGTGTGAAGAGACCTACCTATTCTGCAGCAGGAAAGTTGGAGGTTCTGTTACTTTCCAGTCAGCAGGGGAAGGAAAAAACCATTCCCACGCAGCGTAAATTTAATCCATAGCCACCCTGGACTCCCCTCCCCCAAACTTTCCTTTTTTTCCTTTAAGGTGCGCCAACTGCTGACCCTCCAGTTTGACCTTGAGCATGGGTAGGCAAACTAAGGCCCGGATCTGGCCCAATTGGTTTCTAAATCCGGCCCGCAGATGGTCTGGGAATCAGCATGTTCTTACGAGTTGAATTTGTGCTTTTATTTAAAATGCATCTCTGGGTTATTTGTGGGGCACAGGAATTTGTTCTTTATATATATATATTTCTGGCCCCGCACAAGGTCTGAGAGACAGCGGACTGGCCCCCTGCTGAAAAAGTTTGCTGACCCCTGACCTTGAGTATCGAAGACCGCCAAAGAACTGAAAGATGTCTGAAGCACTAATTCCGAATCTTGCCATTTGGTTTACCCCCCCCCCCAAAAAAAACCCCTCTCCGAGCATCACGGAAACAAAAAGCACGAGTTGACACACTTTGGTTTTATTAGGTTGTTTTTTTAATTATTACTGAATGGTGGTTTTTTTTGTACACAAAAGAGCTAAAAAATAAATATGTTATTACAAAATAGTTATCTGCTACCAATCACACGCACGCACACACACACCCAGGCCCCTAGAAAGAGGGGAGGGCTAAATACTGGAGAGGGGCCCCAATCCCTAGGGGGGTGTCTCCTGCTGCAACCTAGAGACAAAGACTCGCAGGAACGTGCAGGCTGGAAGAAGTAGCACCATTGAAGAGGAAGTTCGTACCCTGTTTGGGGAGGGAGGCAAGTCGGGGTGGGGCGGGGGGGGGATGGAATCCTTCTCCTCCTCCCTTCCACTTTTTCCCTTCTTCCCCGGATTAGACTCTGCAGGATTCAGGGGAGAGAGAATTGCTACAACTCTGGATGGGGCAGCGACAGGAGAGTTTAAAAGAGAGAGAGAGAGCAGGAAGCGAGACCAACATACTACCTGGCACCGCTCAGGAGGTAACAAGAGGCAAATTTCAACATCCACGCTCCGCGCTTGGGTGTGGAAACTGAGAGGCGCAGCGCAGCCGGCCGAACCACCTTCCCATCCAGGTGAGGAAAAGGTTACATTCTGCAAGAGTCCCTGGCCTGGCTTCTGAAACCGGGAGGATGGAAGTGTGGAGGAATCTCGGCTCTCAGCTCTTATCCTGGGCGTCCCTAGTTAGAAAGGCCCTGAAAGTGTTGCACAAACCCCAAAACATCCCACCCCGATTCACTCATGTGTTCCAAAAGCCACAAAACCAGGCCTTTACTTTGCATAAGCCCAAGTCACTCCTGCAATTAAAAAATGAAGAATCCTGGCTTAGGAGATGGTGGCTTATTTGGCCCTAGAATAGGGTTGCCATACGTCCGGGAAAACCCGGCTATGTCCTCTTTTGGGGGGCTAACATGCCCATCCAGATTTTTACATTTTAAAGGCAATGTGCAGGTTTTTTTATCGGGCATAATACTAAGGCAGGAATTGTGGTTTCTTTCTCCCCAGCTCGAGAGGGAAGGAGCAAAGCGGGCACAATCTGCCCGGGCCCCATAAAACCTGGTTTTAGGGCTTACTGCGACAATTTGCAGGTGGAGATTCTTTGGGGTTTGTTCTCCTGCCCACCTACATCGCAAGGCAAAGCGTGAACTATAAACCTGAAGATCCTGCCCAGTGAAAGGCTTCAAAACCGAATTCTCTCTCTAAAAATAATTTTAAGGGCTTGGGGGGGGGGACACCTGTGAGCAAAACAGACGCATTTCAGTCCTAAGCCGTGTTCTCCCAAGTGTCGCACACAAGATGTCCATACAGGCTTAGATCCAAGAGGTTCCCCCTTTGTATGACAGAGAAAGTATTCCTCCTTTTGTTGGCAGAAGAGAACTTTTGGATCCAGTCTCCACTGCCAACCAAATAATTATTATGTACAGTCAGAAGATGGAATCTGAACTCTGTGCCCAAGACCCAAAAGAACTCCTATCCCACATCAATGGCCTGGTCTTTCCCTGGGATTCAAACGGGGGGCAAAGGATGTTGGAATTTTGCCTCAAGTTACCTCCGCCCCCCGCACGGGATGGAAAACTTTAGCAGCTGAAACAGCAACAGGCTGCAAAGGAAACAAACGCATTTTCTATTACAAACAGGGCAAAGAGCACAATTCTGGCAGCGACCCTGGAATCAAACGTCGCCAGTGACACTTTGGTTGTAAACCCTTCAAAATGCAAAGAGTTGTAGTGTTAGGAACACACGGTAAAAAAAACCCAAAAGAATGATCTCACGTTGGGGGGGGGGGTGTAGTGTAAAAATCAGATCTGGGGCAGGGGGTAGACTTTTATACAAAAGGAAGGTTTTTTTTAAAAAAAATGAACCATCTTAACTCCAAAAACATGAATAAAAAAAATTAAGTTTCCTCTTTAATAGAAAAAAAAATAACAGCACAAAACAAAATGAGCACTTCATTGACACCGGGTTTTTTGGGATCAAGTGGGGTGCAGGGATGGGGATCAAATGAATCTACTCTTCCGCTAAGAAGCGGAGACATCGAGACTCACCTGCTCACAAAACCATAGAACAGATCAGGTCATGTGACAGGAAGTCCTGGGCCGTTGCCCTGGGTCATGTGACATTCCAAGGCGGCCACCTAACCACGGAACTCAAAAGGGGCCAAAATTCAGAGGACACCAGTTCAAGGCAGATACAAAACAGGAGGCAGAGGTCACATGATTCTAGAGACCTGAGTCACATGATTAAAAAGTGGCCAAGCCAGCCACGGTACTAAAAAAAGAGGTAAAAAAAGACGGCTCACAATATGGAAGGCGGAGCCATTTGAACGCAATAAACGAGAGAGGACCCGTCAAGCCATCTCCTGTGGCCACGGAAGCCACGTGTGACATCACGGGATGAAGGCAAACGGTTCTGCTGGTGTAGGAAAAATTGCTGGCAAGGCGGGCGTGGGTCACGCGAGCCCTAAGCCGCGCCACGGAAGGGGATGGGGGCCACATTGCTTCTGGCCGAGGCGGAGGACCACAGCATTGTGCCAACTGACGGCAAGAAGCAAATGTTGGGTCCATCCGAAAGGCTCTCTTGTGGCGTGGGGGGGGCACAAAGCCCCGGCAGAGGTCAGAGGGTTGTGGAAGGCTCTGGGGACGGAGGCCACGGCGGTGAGCGCAAGGTGGGGCTCAGGGCCCCCCCCAGCCTCAGTTCACATCACGTCGACAAAGAACTCGCTGGGGTTCCCCATGGCCATGTGGAACGACTGGCGGCTGGCCGTGAGCTCGGGGGGCACTGAGCCCAAGTCGCGCACCGGGGGGGCACCGGGGGGTTGGACAGCCGCGGCAGCCGTGGGCGGGGCGGGGGGCGGGACCATCATGACCACCATGGGGTTGTAAGCTAGGGGGATGCCCCCGGGGGCAGCGTAGGCCGCATGGAGGGAGTGGTGGGAACGGATGCTGCCACCCCCCAGGCTGTGCTGGCTGCGCTGGGAAGACCCCTCCCCGCCGGGCCCCACCGTCACCCCGCCGCGCTGGCTGCCGCTGCGAATGGAGTACTCCGACTCGCTGCCGCTGCCGGACTTGGAGTCGGCCCCCGCCTTCTCCTCCTTGGGCTTGCCGGCCCCTCGGCCAGCTCCACTGCCACCGCCACCGCCATCACTGCGGTTTGACCCACTGCTCCGGCTGCCTGCAGAAAAGGAGGGAGAGAGGAGGCGTGTAAGTCAGGGGAAGCAGTGCTTACCCACTCTCTAATAATAAGACTTAGTTGTTGTTGGCAGCTGTCTGTCTCAAGAAACAATGGAGTGCGCCTCCCAATGGAGTATTTAAAGCATGATAAAACATCAAACATTAAAAGCTTCCCTAAACAGGGCTGCCTTCAGATGTCTTCTAAAAGTCAAATAGTTGTTTATTTCCTTGACATCTAGTGGGAGGGCGTTCCACAGGGTGGGCACCACCACTGAGAAGGCCCTCTGCCTGGTTCCCTGCAACCTCACTTCTCGCAGGGATGGAACCGCCAGGAGGCCCTCAGAGCTGGACCTCAGTGTCCAGGCTGGATGATGGGGGTGGAGACGCTCCTTCAGGTCTACTGGGCCTTTGAGGCCGTTTAGGGCTTTCAAGGTCAGCACCAACACATTGAATTGTGCTCGGAAACATATTGGGAGCCAATGTAGGTCTTTCTGGACCGGTGTTATGTGGTCTCAGCGCCCGCTCCCAATCACCAGTCTGGCTGCTGCATTCTGGATTAATTGTAGTTTCCGGGTCACCTTCAAAGGTAGCCCCACGTAGAGCGCATGGCAGCAGTCCAAGCAAGAGATAACCAGAGCATACATCACTCTGGCGAGACAGTCTGCAGGCAGGGAGGGTCTCATCCTGCGTACCAGATGGAGCTGGTAGACAGCTGCCCTGGACACAGAATTGATCTGAGTCTCCATGGACAGCGGTGAGTCCAAAATGACTCCCAGGCTGTGCACCTGGTCCTTCCGGGGCACAGTTACCCCATTCACGACCAGGGAGTCCCCCACACCCACACCCCCAAAATATACTTCTGTCTTGTCAGGATTCAACCTCAATCTGTTAGCCGCCATCCATCCTCCAACCACCTCCAGGCACTCACACAGGACTTTCACTCATTCATCCAGAGAATCCCGAAGGGCCTTTGCTCGTGAATGAGCATCGCGCAAGGCTGGGAACTGGTTGTCCCAACTGGGGGACCCAACAGCTTCCACTGGGCAGCCCGCAGCCCTGATACCCCAATAGAGCAGTCGGAAGAGCCTGACACTCTTAATCTCAGGGTTGCAGGTTCGAGCCCCACATTCGGCAAAAGATTCCTGCATCGCTGGGGCTGGGGCTAGATGGCCCTTCCAACTCTCCTATGATTCTGAGCGAGGGCCATTTGCAAACACAATAAAAGGGCCAGACGAGATCCAGGGCTGCCCCCCCCCGTACCTTCGCTGTGCTGGCTGCCAGCACTCCCCATGCCGTAGCTGTAGGAAGAGAGCTCATGGTAAGGCGGGGGCTGTGGGCTGTAGGGGTGGGGCGCCGGGTACTGGTAGGAGAAGGTGGGCATCAGAGGCCAGGGGGTGGCGCCCGGCAAGGGCAGCGGGGCCAGGGTGTCCTGGTCGGAGGCGCCGCTGGAGCCGTCGTTGTCGTTGAGGGAGAGGTTGGCCATGTCTGGAGGAGGAAGAAGAGGAGGAAACTGGGAATGAGGACTCCATCCAAGTGGAGAAAATGCAAAGAGACGGGCTGATGGATCAGGCCCATCCAGTCCAGCACCCTGTTCCCACAGGGGCCAAGCAGAGAGAAACCCAAAATCAGGATCCGACCAGAAAGAGCCCTCTCCCCTGCTCCGGTGGTTTCCTGAAACTGGAATTCAGAAAGACCACAACCACCATGGTTAGCGGCCACTGATAGCTCTCCATGCAAGGAGGCAGCCCAAAGCAAGACACTCAAACTGGCTTTCGGCTGTCAAGCAGAACAGTGAGGGGCTAAGGATGGAATGGAAAGGACAGGAAGAAACATCACGGACAGAATAAATGTCACACACAGGAAGTAGGAGATCTGCACTTGCAGTCTTATAAATTACTTAGTGCGTCAACAAGAATAGAAGTTATGAATATTGCAGCTGTTGTATAAGGGATTACTATCATGACAGGAATGTAATTGAAATCAGTTAGATTTTGGAACATAGAAATAAAGTAAACCATCAAGTCGAGCACGCAGGGGGCCACCAAAATTATGTAATTTGGTATTTGAATGATTTGTATTAGGATTTGCATTACAATTTGGCGTTGTTATAATGAGGCTATTATTGGATTGTTGTAAATGAAAAACTAATAAAAATTATTTTATTTTTTTAAAAGATGGAATGGAAAGGAACGAGGCACAGATCATTCCTGAAGACAATTAAATAGGGCAGAGGGAGAGATTTAGCAACTATGTTATTCTCCTCCTCAGGACTCTCCCATGTTACAGCCTGCCTAGGGGGAACCCAAAACTGAGCTGAGCTGAGCTGGCTTGGACTGACCATACGGTCTAGTTCAGCAGTGCAATTTAGTGTGCATTTGTATTCCACAGCCTGGCAAACTATGGCATGGAGCACGCAGAAAATTCAACAAAGTCCGCAGCTGCGACCAGGTTTAGGGCTTTCGGCAACAAGGCAAAAGCTGAAAGCTGCAAGCAGGTCAGGCAGGCAAAGGCAGTGCAGGTGTGAGATCCGGCAAACAGAGAACAGAGCAGCCTTCTCACCCCCCCTGCCCAAAGCTGGCACCCTCCAGATGTTTCCGACAACAACTCCCACCAGCACAGATGTTTCCATCCCTTGTCTCATGAGACCAGGGCCCTGCAGGATCTGATTTCTTTCCGCAGTAAGACAAAGTTGTTCCACCTGGCCTTTGGCTTGGAATCAACTTGATCCCCTCCCCCTCTTTCCTTTTTCCTTTCTCCTGTGATGGAACTCCTATTTGGGGACTTCCCTGGCTTTTTTCTGGCCCACGTAGGACCAGTCTGGATAGTTGGTGAAGATTTGACGTTTTCATCCCCAAAAAGTTTTTGATTTGAGTTTCTACTGAAATGAGGCTGCATTTTAATGTACTTTAATCTTGTTTTTAAGTTGTATTTTAATCAATTGTTTTTATACCTGATGTTAGCCACCCTGAGCCCGGTCTGTGCCGGGGAGGGCGGGGTACAAATAAAATTTATTATTATTGTTATTACTAGTATTACTACAGTATTACAGTAATATTATTATTATTATTATTATTATTATTATTGCCTTAATCATCTCTTCTCTTGGGCTGAGGGCCATCCAGGTTGAATGCCCAGAACCTGTTTGAAGGAATTCAGAACAGGGTGCCTCTGAGCATGTCTGGACCGTGTTTCCTTGCACTCCAAGCAACCTTCACCGCTGCGCTCCCAATAGGAATGTGGGTTTGGTTCCAGGTGTTTTTGACTACAACTTCCAACAGGTGCATTGTTATACATCCACATGGGTTGGGGATGATGGGAGTTGTAATTCAGAACAGAAAGAGAGACAGAGAAAGAAAAAGGGAAAGAGAAGGAGAAGGAGAAAGGAAGAAAGACAGACAGAGCCTGGGGAAGGCTGGAGCACAGCTACAGTTCTGAGCAAAGCCTTTTCCTCCTTACAGTTTTCGCAGCCGCTGAAGTCTCCGAAGATGTAGTAGCACTGCTCAGAGAAGGTGATCTTGTTGACCGTGTGGCGGATGAAGCCAGCCTTCAGGAGGTTGCTAGCGTACTTGCGGGCCTCTCGGCGGTCCTGGAAGCCCTCCACGTGGTGGTACAGCCAGTCCACCACATCCGAGCCTGGGAGGGGTGGGCGACAGGGGTGAGGGAGAGAGCCGGGGTGGGCCAGGTAGGCTGCCACGGAGGGCTGCATGGGTCCCACGCTTCAGGGCCTGGGGAGGGGAATCCCACTCCCTGCCGCCTTTCCACCCTCCCACCTGCCCCGCTCCTCAGCACGGTACCTAGGAAAGCGTTGGGGATGGTGATCTTCAGCCACATGCGGTCGCGGACCTCCAGGCCCGACTCTGGGGAAGCCATGGCCTTGGTGACGGAGGCCATGTCGGTGTGGATGGACAGGTTGAAGTCGTCAAAGCCTGAATGTCGGACGACAGGGGAAAAGGGAAAGAGAGACCTCCGTCAAACCCCCTGGGATGCGAGATCCCGAGCGAGCTTTCCCCCAGGGGAGCTGAGGTATCATTTTTCTGCAGCAACTAAAAGTGCCCAGGGGCCAACGCGCTCCAGATTGTCTTCTTGGCATATAAAATGAAATCAGACCAAACGGCAAACGCAGCAGCTCAAGTCCCACAGGTCTATCAGAGTGTCTACTTTTTCTATATATATTTTAAAATAAAAATATTGAAATCGTTATGGTTCAGACTATGGAGCTCTTTGTAAAAATCATAGGCCACAATGCCCCTTTCCTCTATGGTATGTTCTACCACCAACTCAGTAAATTGCAGAGCTGACCTCTACATTTCTTTATTGACAATTGTGACAACTAAGGTTTTTTTAAAACTCATTTTGCTTTCACTTCTTTCTTTTCTGCAGCTGCCTGTCATTATTAACACTCAATTAAATGTATTTTGGGGGGAAGGTGGAGAGAAAGAAATAATGTTATGGGAAAGGTGTGGAAAATGCTCAGATCCTGGGATCTTCTGTGGATGTGCAAGACAAATGAGGCAATTGGTGCGAATGACCCAGAAACAAGGGAGTGAGATGGGAGACTTAAGATAATCCTGCATATAAAAACAATGTGAAAGAAAAAGAAAAAGAAAAAACACTCTCTCCTCCTGCGTTTTTCAGCAACTGTGGAGGCAAAGCACAGCCATCCTGGCTACAGCAACTGAGAGTCCTGTTAGTGGCTATCATTGTCTCCTGCTGGAATGAGTTCCATAAGTTGGGCAAAAACAAACAAGATGAATTTTAACAGGGAGAAATGTGAAGTATTGCACCTGGACAAAAAAAATGAGAGGCACAAATACAAGATGGGTGACACCTGGCTTGAGAGCAGTACATGTGAAAAGGATCTAGGAGTCTTGGTTGACCACAAACTTGACATGAGCCAACAGTGTGACGCGGCAGCTAAAAAGCCAATGCAATTCTGGGCTGCATCAATAGGAGTATAGCATCTAGATCAAGGGAAGTAATAGTGCCACTGTATTCTGCTCTGGTCAGACCTCACTTGGAGTACTGTGTCCAGTTCTGGGCACCACAGTTCAAGAAGGACACTGACAAACTGGAACGTGTCCAGAGGAGAGCAACCAAAATGGTCAAAGGCCTGGAAACGATGCCTTATGAGGAACGGCTAAGGGAGCTGGGCATGTTTAGCCTGGAGAAGAGGAGGTTAAGGGGTGATATGATAGCCATATTCAAATATATAAAAGGATGTCACATAGAGAAGGGAGAAAGGTTGTTTTCTGCTGCTCCAGAGAAGCGGACACGGAGCAATGGCTCCAAACTACAAGAAAGAAGATTCCACCTGAACATTAGGAAGAACTTCCTGACAGTAAGAGCTGTTCGAAAGTGGAATTTGCTGCCAAGGAGTGTGGTGGAGTCTCCTTCTTTGGAGGTCTTTAAGCAGAGGCTTGACAACCATATGTCAGGAGTGCTCTGATGGTGTTTCCTGCTTGGCAGGGGGTTGGACTCGATGGCCCTTGTGGTCTCTTCCAACTCTATGATTCTATGATTCTATTCTATGATTCTAAGTTTATCTATGCACTGTGTGAAGTACTCATTTATCTCTCCTGAATCTTCCAACATTCAGGCTTCAGGGCTAATAACCTGATTAATCACAAACCTGGGACAAGGTGACCCAAAGGCTGCCTGCCCCTGGACAAAAGTCTTGGATTGCCTGGGCAAATTTTGCTCACGGCATCACATCCGGCAGAATATCATAAGGTGGTGATCCAAAGAAGAGGCATTTCCACCAGAAAGTCCTTCTCACACGCGAAGCAGCAAAGCATCTGTTGCTTCAGCCATCTTGTAGACTGGCCTTTTTGCTCTCCCAGACCCAAAAGACTAAACTGCTTTACATGCCTAGATTCTGTTACAGTGGTACTTCAGTTTACGAACTTAATCCATTCCGATAGTCGGTCCGTAAACCAAAACGTGCTTTCCCATAGCAGCAGGGGACTCAATTTACAAACGGAACACACTCAACAGGAAGCAAAACATGTTCTTATTCCAAGGCAAAGTTCACAAACCAAAACACCTACTTCTGGGTTTGCAGCGTTCTTAATCCAAGTTGTTCATAAACTAAGCTGTTCTTAAACCAAGGTACCACTGTCTTAGCTTTTCTATCCTTTTAAATATGCTTCATACCACTGATTTACTGGATTTAGATTGAATTTTTACTCAAATAATACCGTTTGCTCTTCTATATTATATACTGCTTAAAGGTTTTTTTAAAAAAATATTTAGCGCTTTGTAACTGCTTTTAAATAAATACACCAGATATGGGATTGCATTCATGGTGCTGGCTTTCCCACTGGGTTTATTTTTTAACCTACCACAGTGTGGTCCAGCAGCAGACACCTGGTGTTTCTTGAAAGAGGAGCCACAGAGATTTTCAGAAGAGGGCTTTCACCTCCTCCTGCCCCTGTCCTCTCCCTCCCACCCCCCGGGTAATAATCAGGGGAGAGCGATATGGGTCACTCACGTTCAGTCTCAGTGACGGAGGTCCCCGAGGTGATGGTGCTCATCGAACTGCTCCCAGGGTAGGCAGCAAAGGCCCCAGTCAGGGCAGCTGAATGGGACACCCAAGCCGCTGGGTCGATAGGCTGGATTGGCTCATCTGGACGCAACACAGACAGGGAAGAAGCCTTAGGAAACTCCCCAGCGAACCGAGGCTCCCGGCCTGCCCTGCTCTCCCCCATCCCAGAGTCTAGGCCCTAGAACCAGGACATTTCCAGATCCGGAGCCCAAACTCTGCCTATGCAGGCCCGGCTGTTTGGCAAAACATCTTAGGTTTGGGGGACAGGGGGACCTGTGGCCTGCTATGGCCATTTCACTCCTTTTGGGTCTGGCGGAATCAGAGCAAAGCCGCTCGAGGGTTTGGGGGGGGACACACACGGGTCCCGGCCACTTACTTCTAGGCAGGGTGAAATAGCCTTGCGGGGAAGGGTCCCAGCACTTGGCCACTGTCAGCACAATCGGGCTGCAAAGGAAAGGCGAGCGTGAGCTCAAGGCTGCCCCCGCAAGGCAGCCCAGCGCTCAGGAGGGTGCCCGGGGGAAAGCCCACTCACCCAGGCTTGTGGACAATCTCCCGCAAGACCCTCACGGCGTCGTCGTTGCTCATGTTCTCAAAATTAATGTCGTTGACCTGGGGCAGAGAAGAAACAAGCACTGCTAGGCCGGCTTGATGCTGTGGCTCCGGGGCGCTGCTCTCTCCCCATCCTCAGCCCCCCAAAACGGGAAGGAAGCTCCCCAAAGGCTTTGAGGAGCGTCCTCTCTCCCCCTGCAGCCGCCGGGCTCACCTGCAGCAGCATGTCCCCGGGCTCGATCCGGCCGTCTGCCGCCACCGCGCCGCCCTTCATGATGGAGCCAATGTAGATGCCCCCGTCTCCTCGCTCGTTGCTTTGCCCCACGATGGAGATGCCCAGGAAATTGTACTTTTCTGCTCAGGAAAAAGGCGGGGGGAGAATAAAGGAGGTCAAGTCCAGCAATTAACTAGAAGGTGTTCACGGGAGGTTTAGAAACAGAGACTGGATGGCAACCTGCCAGGCATTCTTTGGCTGTGATTCCTGCACTGCAGGGAGTTGGGCTGGACAACCCTTGGGGTCCCTTCCAATGATTCTAATAAATGATAATAAATGATTCTAATAAATCAGGCATGTCCAAAGTCTGTTTCAGGGGCCTAATCCGGCCCACCGGTCGGTTTAATCTGGCCCCTGTTTATTTCCTGGGGTAAAAATCCTAAAAAAATCCTTAACAACTTCAAACCGTAAAATGAGCTCAACAACTCCAACCGTAAAAGAAACTCAACAACTTCAATCCTAAAAGAAGATCAACAACTTTGGTTGGCCCTCTTGCATGTTCACTTCATCTATAGCCTTTAGTTGTGAGTGTGTGGGGGGGTTGTTTATTTTGGGGTAAAATCCTTTTAAAAAATCAACAACTTTGGTCGGCCCCCACGGCCCTTCACTTCATCAAATCTGGCCCTCTTTGGAAAACGTTTGGACGCCACTGTAATAAATGAAGAAACTGAGGATGGCAGATCTGCAGAGGAGGATTGGTGGACCACCCAAGTCAACGTGGAGGAGCCAGATGTGCCCCCCCCATCATCCCTGAGCGTTGGCCCTGCTGGCTGGGTCTGGTGGGAGTTGAGAGTCCAACGAGCTTGGGGTGGGGCACAGGCTCCCCCACCCCTGATCTACCCCTTAACCCCCCCTGGCAGGTTCCTGCCTTACTTTCTCATACAAGTAGAGAAGAGATGCTATGCCCACCAGAAGAACTCTGCTTGCAGTGTGGCTTAAAAATGCCCATTCTGGCATTTTGCTGTTCAGCTAGCCAGCCTACAGACTTCAACCCTCTCCCGTGTAGTGATTCGCTCACACGCACAGTCCTGCCTTCCATTGCCTCTGCAATCCCCCATTTTGGCCACTCAACCTTCTCCATTTCAAGTCTCTCTCTCACCTCACCCCCCTCAACTGCTCCCTTGCCCAGTGTTTTTTTTTTTCTTCTTTAAAAATGTTTAGGGGTACTCTCATTTTCCTACTCATACAGTGGTACCTCGGTTCTCAAACAACTTGGAACCCAAACACTGCAAACCCAGAAGTAAGTGTTTCGGTTTGCGAATTGTTTTCTGAAGCCGAACGTGCTCCGGTTTGAGTGCCACACTTCCATTTGGAGTGCTACGCTGAGGTCTGTCTGTTTTTGCTATTAATTTTGCATTTTTGCAGCTCCTTTGTTTTTGGGACTGGGACTGTGTGGAACCCAGTTCAGCTACTGATTGATTGTGTGACTGCAGTACATTATTTACTGCTTTCATTTTATGGCTCAATGTTCTTGTTAGATAGCAAAATTCATGTTAAATGGCTGTTTTAGGGGTTGTTTTTAAAAGTCTGGAACCGATTAATCCATTTTGCATTACTTTCTATGGGAAAGTGCACCTTGGTTTTGGAACGCTTTGGTTTTGGAACAGACTTCCGGAACGGATTAAGTTTGAGAACCGAGGTACCACTGTATTGAAATACTGGCCCTCAATGAGGCCAAACTTAGATTCACAAAATGTTTAGGAGTACGCATTCCCCTGCGTCCCCCAGAAAAAAAAGCACTGCCCTCACCCATGTTCAGGGTAACGGTGATGATGTTGAGAGACATGGTTGAGTCGGTGACACTGCTGAAGGACGAAGTCTGAAAGAAGAGTTGGGAAAGAAAGGAGTGAGCAGAGGGAGCTCAGAAGAGCCTGGATGCAGGATCAGGCCAATGGCCCAAGTAGCACAGCAGCCAACAAGACACCTGTTGGAAAACCCTCAAGCAAAGGGGGAATCAGAGTGAGGATCAGCCCCACCCTCCCAGAAGCTTACTCCTCTCGCCCTCCATGCAGGACAAGAGATCCTGCCTCCTCCATCACCCACGGAACAGCAATCCACATGGCCACTGCAGACCCCCCATGCCAACCTACCCGTTCAAGACGTGGCGGGCGCTGCTTCCGCCGCCTACGGTGGCGCTTGAGGAGGCGAGAGGCGCTGCTCTGCTCTGTGGAGCTGCTGAACCTGCCCAGGAAAGAGGAGGAGAGAGACCCTGAAGCCCAACTGCCATATATACACATACCGCATTTTTCCGTCTATAAGACGTCCCCATGTATAAGATACCCCCAATTTTTCCAATTCAAGAAAATGGGGGGCGGAGATGCCCCCGTGTATAAGACGCCCCCTAATTTTTGACATTATTTTTTAGGGGGGAAACCTAGTTTTATACACTGAAAAATACGGTATATTTTATTGAATTTAACTACTGCATCACAAAAGTAAAAAGAAAACACATCATCCACCAACTTGCAAAAATATGTTACACAGAAAGCAAAATGTTACCAAAAAATAAATGTTACATATAAATAAAATAAAATTCTTCCATCCTTTAAGACTTCCGTCTCTCTCAGCATGGGTCCTTTGTTTCCTCAATAACTGCATTATATTATAACAATTAACTTAAGATATGTTGTCTGTATTCTTTATACCATATTATATTGCGAGCGTTAGTCAAAGCGTGTTAAAGGTTTCGTATGGGAACTATGTTTTTTTAAATATGCTCTATAATTATCCCATTCTTTACTGAACTTTTGGGTTGTTTGATTCCTAATTCTCCCTGTTATTTTTGTCAGTTCCGCATATTCAAACATTTTCACCTGCTATTCTTGTTTTGTTGGCAAAGTCTCTCCCTTCCACCTTCTAGCTATCAGCATCCTCGCGGTAAGGTCTCAAGGGCAAGGAGACCATCCAGCGAAAAGGGGGTTCTCGTCTGCCAAGAGGTTTGCCTACCCCATGGGTAGGCAAACTAAGGCCCATGGGGCCAGATCTGGCCCAATCACCTTCTAAATCTGGCCTACGGACAGTCTGGGAATCAGCATGTTTTTACATGAGTAGAATGTGCCCTTTTATTTAAATTGCATCTCTGGGTTATTTGTGGGGCATAGGAATTCATTCTTGGTGGCTTGCTGCAAATCGCTCAAGCCGAAAAGAGGACATCTGGCCAAGAGAGAGCCCAGGAGCCCAAATAGAGCTCATCACCCAGAACTGAGAAAGGAGCCTGCTGCACACCTGAGAATCATGGACCCTCCTGCAACAGCAAGGGGGTAACCCTCCCAGGCTTAAAGGCAGGTGGGACCAAGGATTTCACACCCAATTCTTAATCCAGCCAAGGCAAATTCCTTCCTTTGGTCAAGTGACATACAGCCGTACCTTGGATTCCCAATGCCCTGAAACTCGGACGTTTTGGCTCCCCAACGCCACAAACCCAGAAGTGAGTGTTTCAGTTTGCGAACGTTCTTTTAGAACCTGAACATCCGACCGAGCTTCCGTGGCTTCTGATTGGCTGCAGGAATACGATTTGGTTTTCGAACGGACTTCCGGAACGCATTCCATTTGACTTCCGAGGTACAACTGTATTTAGCAGCCAGTAAAGTGCAAGTTTTCACTCCCGCTAGATGGCAGGGCTCTCCGTTCTTTGACACCTGAACCTGGGTGAATCTCACCGCTTCCCAGCCTCACGTGAGGCAAATCCCACCTTTCATCTTCTTGGCATCAGGGACAGCTCCGGGAGGTAGGCTAGGCTAAGAGGTGATGGCTGGCTCAAGGTCACCCAGTGAATTCCCTGGGTGAGTGGCGATTTGAACCCTCGAAGTCGGACACTCTAACCACACCACACTGCCTAGGGCCAGGAGGTGAGCGTTCCTGACTATACAATGCTCTTGGGGAGACTGCGGGACTGGAAGAGACCGAAGAGCCCCCTGAAAAGCAAGACTTGTTTCAGACCCCACCCTCCACAGATCCCAGGAGAAGCATTTCCAAGGGGAAGGACCCACTGGCTACTCGCAACCGAAAATGCTGGCCCATTTCTGCCCCTCACCTGCTCATGGTGTCATCATCATCTGAGTCGCAGAGGCTGGTGGTCTCAAGTTCGCTGGTCAGCAGGGTGGAGGAGCTCTCGTACCCAGCCAGGTGCCGCTCCAAGCGGGACTGCCCGTTTAGCCGGTGCCCACCTAATTATTTATTTTAAAGGCAAGGAGAGAAGCGTAAGGTGGACTCACAAAATGTCCACTTCACACACATGCACACCCTCCCCTGCAGCCCACAGAGACCCCAGAGTTTGTGCTCCCAGGTGGCCACTGACCTCCGTGCTCCATGCTCTCCCTGCGGCGTGGCCGCTCCCGCCTCAGCGACACAACGGACTCAGTCTCAGTTTCGTGGTCCAGGTTCTCGTGGCTGCTGGAGATGTTTGGGCTGCAAAAGCAGGGAAAGGGCCTCCACCACTGAATTGTATCACAACAGTACCTACCAGAGTTAAGAATGGGCACCTCCCCAAGTCCCCAAACTTGGCCCAGAAAAGAAAAACCTATTGCATAAAGTATTTCTTTGTTCTCATGTTGTGTTTTAATGTTATGAACCACCCCGTAATCTTTGGATAAAGGATGGTATACAAAATTAATAAATAAAACAATAATGTATTGTACAGCCCAATATATTTTATTGATATACTGTATAGTTGTTACGTATAATTTATGTCTGTATGCTTCTGTTTGACTGCAAAATGTATTTGGTTGCCTTGTTAATAAATCTGAATTACAAAATGTGAACTTGGCTCCATGAAATTTCCTGAAGAATACTACAGATTTATGCTCTGGGCTCCTTTGGGGGAAGACACAAAGTATAAATCTAATAACTAATATTTCCTTTTATGCAGCATGCAATAGTCAAAGTAAAAAGGTAAATGACCCCTGGATGGTTAAGTCCAGTCAAAGGCAACTATGGGGTTGCGGCGCTCATCTCGCTTTCAGGCCAAGGGAGCCGGCGTTTGTCCACAGACAGCTTTCCAGGTCATGTGGCCAGCAGGACTAAACTGCTTCTGGCACAACGGGACACCGTGACAGAAACCAGAGCGCACAGAAATACCATTTACGTTCACTCCATAGTGATACCTATTTACTTGCACTGGCATGTTTTCAAACTGCTAGGTTGGCAGGAGCTGGGACAGAGCAACGGGTGCTCACCCCGTCATGGGAATTCAAACCGCTGACCTTCTGACTGGCAAGCCCAAGAGGCTCAGTGCCACAGCGCCAACTGCATCCCAAATAGTCAAACACTGTAAGAACATAGGAATAACTTGATGGATCAGGTCAATGACCCATCTAGTCCAGCATCCTGTTCTCACAGTGGCCAACCAGATGCCCATTAGGGGAAACCTGCAAGCAGGACCTGGCACAAGAGCACCTTCCCTGTGGTTTCCAGCAACTGGTACTCGGAAGCACTGCACACCCACCCAGCAGTAAACCCCAAAGCCCACATTCAGTCTCCCCTTACTCACTGGAAGGAAGGGGGTCGGGAATCCCCAATGCCACTAGTCCGCTCCACGGGCAACGGAGGAAGTGGCGGTGGTGGTGGCGAAGGTTCTGGTAGTACCTCTACGGGAGGAGGGGGAGGGGGAGGGAGCTCAGGCTGGGGGTTCTCAGAAGACACAAGCTGTGGCAGGGAAAAGGAGACGGTAAAATGAGGAACATATCATAATCCCCCAGCCTTACCTCCCCAAAGACTGACCACCTGTTTGGGCGCTAAATAAACCCTCAGAAGCCAAACGCCAGGAATTTAAGTAGAGGAAATGGGCCCTGCTGGATGAGGCCAGAGGCTCCTGCTAGGCTGGCCTCCCACAAGCCCCTCCAGATGTTTTGGACTAGTACTCCCCACCAGGTCCAGCCAGCATGGCTGTGGCAAAGAAGAAGGCCAGCCAGGTGCCTCCAGGAAGCTCATAAGCAGGGCTTGAGGGTAGGAGGCCTCCACTGTTGTGCCCAGAGCCAAAGCAAGATCCCAGACCTGTGGCTTAAAACCAACCCACAGTTAGATCTAGGCTAGGGAGGGTGCCCACAGCGAGACGATGTACCAACTTCATACCCAGGAAACGACTCTGCCATTGAAGCAAGGGAGCTTTGCGTTGTCATCGGAGATCTCCTCCTTCACAACCCTTCAGCAGAAGGAAGAGAAAAGGGAATCAGGAAAGGGGGCTTCCGAGGAGCAAGAAGAGACTAGATGCTTGTGGCCCCTGGGACACCCAACTATGAAGCAATGGGAAGCCACTCCAAAGTGCAGAAAGGATGTGCTCTGAGTGCCTGTGGGAGGAGATGGGGTGGATCCTGCCTCCCAGAGGCCTGGTTCCCTTTCTGTGAAAGGTCCACATCTCAGCGGTAGGAGCATCTAATTTCACTGCAAAAGGTCAACCCACGGCAGCATCTCCAGGTAAACCTGGGAACGTCTCCTGGCAGAGTTACTGCCAGTAAGTGCTGACCCTACTAGGTTAGACGGACCACTGGCCGGATGCAATGAAAGGCTGGGTGTCCTTTCTCTCCCAGGTGCCTGGTGTCTCTGCGAAGTGTGTGGCCGGGGGCAGGGCTGTCTCCCAGACCCCTTAAGGAGGGCAAGATCCTCCTCCTCAAGAACAACAGAGCCCCTTTCTCAGGGTCCTCTGGTGTGAGGCAGGAGGGCCAGGTTGGCACAGAAATGTGGGGGTACTCGGCCCCTGGATGGAGAATTTTGTGGGTGCGTTTGCACCTATGGTGCGAGGGGAGCACCTTCTCCCAAGCACCTGGGTGACCACAAAGGTGTGCCAGGACCCCTGGGTCCAAGGAGCTGAGGGGGCGGGCGTGCCTCTCCCTCTCTCGGACGCCTGGGTCCCCAGGAGCTGAGGGGGCGGGCGTGCCTCTCCCTCTCTCGGACGCCTGGGTCCCCAGGAGCTGAGGGGGCGGGCGTGCCTCTCCCTCTCTCGGACGCCTGGGTCCCAAGGAGCTGAGGGGGTGGGCGTGCCTCTCCCTCTCTCGGACGCCTGGGTCCCCAGGAGCTGAGGGGACGGGCGTGCCTCTCGGACGCCTGGGTCCCCAGGAGCTGAGGGGGTGGGCGTGCCTCTCCCTCTTGGACGCCTGGGTCCCCAGGAGCTGAGGAGGCGGGGGTGCCTCTCCCTCTCTTGGACGCCTGGGTCCCCAGGAGCTGAGGGGACGGGCGTGCCTCTCCCTCTCTTGGACGCCTGGGTCCCCAGGAGCTGAGGGGACGGGCGTGCCTCTCCCTCTCGGACGCCTGGGTCCCAGGAGCTGAGAGGGTGGGTGTGCCTCTCCCTCTCTCGGACGCCTGGGTCCTCAGGAGCTGAGAGGGTGGCTGTGCCTCTCCCTCTCTCGGACGCCTGGGTCCTCAGGAGCTGAGAGGGTGGGTGTGCCTCTCCCTCTCTCGGACGCCTGGGTCCCAGGAGCTGAGAGGGTGGGTGTGCCTCTCCCTCTCTCGGACGCCTGGGTCCTCAGGAGCTGAGGGGGTGGGCGTGCCTCTCCCTCTCGGACGCCTGGGTCCCAGGAGCTGAGAGGGTGGGTGTGCCTCTCCCTCTCTCGGACGCCTGGGTCCCCAGGAGCTGAGGGGGCGGGCGTGCCTCTCCCTCTCTCGGACGCCTGGGTCCCAAGGAGCTGAGGGGGTGGGCGTGCCTCTCCCTCTCTCGGACGCCGGGGTCCCTTCCCCTGGAGGTCTCTCTCCTTGCGCGGGGGGAGGCCGGCGGGCCCTTCTTCCTCCTCCCCTTCCTTCCTCTCTCTCTCTCTCTCCGGGGTCGCGTACCCGAAGTCCTGGTCCATGCTCTTGAAGAAGTACTTGGCTCCCGGCCGGGCGAGGGCCGCCTTGACGTGGCCCAGGGTGATGCGCTCGGCCGGGACGGGGATCTTGACCAGGTAGGGCGTCTCCTCCTCGTCCAGGTGGTAAATCACCTTCGTCTCCCCCGCCGCCGCCCCCGGCATCGCTGCCGCCGCCCCGCCGCCGCCACAGCCAGGCCCGGGGCCCGCCGCCAGCGCCATGGCAACCGCGCGCCCGCCCGCCCCGCCCACCAATCAGCTCCCGCGCGCCGCCAGACGGGCAGAAAACGGCCGACGTGGGAGGAGGCGGGGAGAGAACGTTCGGAGGAGGCGGAGGGGCGGGGGGGGAAGAGGGCAGGCGGGGAGCGCGGCGCGAGACTCCTCTCGCGCAGCGGCAGCGTTTCCCGGCGCGTCTCTACGTCATCACGTTTCACTCCCCCGTCGTCGCCGTCGTCGTCCTCCTCCCACTAAGTATAAACAGACGCGAGGGGAAGGCGTCGTCGCCGCCGCGCCACGTGACACGGGGCGGGCCCTCCTCCCCCCGCCCCTGCCCTTGATTGGGCCAACCGCGGGAGGAAGGGGTCACGTGCTCGAGAGCCGCGTCCTGAGGCCCCGGTCACGTGAGCCTGGCGCCCACGCAATGACGCGGCACGCCGCGGGGCATGAGGGGAGGCGGAGGTGCGTGACGCCCCGGAAGGGGAGGGCGGAAGGAGGAAGACATTCCCCGTCTTTGTCCTCCGGCAGGAACAGCCTCCTGTCACGTGAGCGCGAGACTGACGGCTCCCTGGGAGGGGGAGGGGCCTCTGGCGGTGTCAGAAACTCTGCACATGCTCAGGAGCCGCGCTGAAAAAAATGCTCAGAGGCTTTTCCTTTCATAGATCGGGAGGTGACCTAGTATTTAAAAGAATCGGGAGACGGAGAGGAGGCGGTGCTGGGATTAAAGGGGGCCTGGGAGGCAGTATAGGCCAGCTGCTCAGCAAGCAGCGCTTGGCCACAGCAGAAAGTCCACAGATCCACACAAACATCAGACCCTGCCAAAGTTCTTTTGCACAAGGATCAATGGCCAGTGTGGTGTAGTGGTTAAGAGCGGTAGCCTCGTAATCTGGGGAACTGGGTTCGAGTCTCTGCTCCTCCACATGCAGCTGCTGGGTGACCTTGGGCCAGTCACACTTCTCTGAAGTCTCTCAGCCCCACTCACCGCACAGAGTGTTTGTTGTGGGGCAGGAAGGGAAAGGAGAATGTTAGCCGCTTTGAGACTCCTGAAGGGGAGTGATAAAGTGGGATATCAAATCCAAACTCCTCCTCCTCCTCCTCCTCTTCTGCCTGCTAAAGGCCAGAGAAACAATAAGAGACTCTCCACCCCTCTCCCAGGAGAGAGGATTCCCTTCACCTGCCATGGATAAGACCACCCAAGCGTGCTTTGCAGGGGCAGCAGGGGCACTTAAAGGTAAAGGGACCCCTGACCATTAGGTCCTGTCGTGGCTGACTCGGGTTGCGGCGCTCATCTTGCTTTATTGGCTGAGGAAGCCGGCTAGCATGACTAAGCTGCTTCTGGCGAACCAGAGCAGCGCACGGAAACGCCGTTTACCTTCCCGCCAGAGCAGTACCTATTTATCTACTTGCACTCTGACGTGCTTTTGAACTGCTAGGTTGGCAGGAGCAGGGACCGAGCAACGGGAGCTCACCCCGTCGCGGGGATTCAAACCGCCGACCTTCTGATCAGCAAGTCCTAGGCTCTGTGGTTTAACCCACAGCGCCACCCATGTCAGAGGGCACTTAGGAACACGCAAAGCTGCCTTTCACAGCAGCAAGGCAGCTAACTCAGGACTGTCTACAGGGAGACTGGCAGTGGATCTGCAGGGCTTCAAAAGAGGGCATACGCCCAGACCTACCTGGATCTGCCAGAAATTGGGCCTCAGCCCTTTTGAATGCAAAGCAGGCGCTAGCATGGAAATCTAGAATGGTCACACTGGAAGCAAGTACACCTTGATTCACATCCCATTGCACAGAAGTGGGTGCATGCTGTGTGCAGGGCTCCACATGTGCGTGTTGTGTGTGTGTACGCATGGCCATGGCACAAGACACTCGGAGCATTGGCCAACATCAAATGTGGCCGATGGGCCAGAAAGGTTCAACCACATTCAGAGCATTGACCAACTACAGTGGTACCTCGGGTTAAGTACTTAATTCGTTCCGGAGGTCCGTTCTTAACCTGAAACTGTTCTTAACCTGAAGCACCACTTTAGCTAATGGGGCCTCCTGCTGCTGCCGGAGCACGATTTCTGTTCTCATCCTGAAGCAAAGTTCTTAACCCGAGGTAATATTTCTGGGTTAGCGGAGTCTGTAACCTGAAGCGTATGTAACCTGAAGCGCATGTAACCCGAGGTACCACTGTACACCAATCCGTCCCCCTCCCCAAAGCAGTGCCTTTGTTTTATAAGGAAGGAACATTAATGATGACCACAGCCTTCTGTACAAACGCAAAAGGGTCCACATCTTTTATTTACATTCAAAAACTCTGCCATGTACACAGTTTCAAATATTATAACGAAAAAGGGTGGGAGCTGGAGGGGGGGAACCCAACCAGAAACCCCCACTGATCAGAACAGCTAACCTGAAATGGGGAGCAGGTAAAATATGGGGTTTTGCAGCAGAACAGGAGTTATGAGAGAACTGGGAATCCTGGCATGGGGAGTTTCTGATGTTTTTTTTTAAAAAATAAGCGGGCTTGCCATTCTTCATTAAACCCAAACTCTTGTCTCGCTCTCTGGAACCTCTGCCTCATCCTTATGCTCAATGGGAGCAATCAGAAAACACAAATAAGTCGTCCCTTTTTATTTTGAAGCCAGCAAAATCGCAAGGGTTTTCCTGACAAAGCTCACCCCCTCACAATCCCTGGGGGATGTTAATACTGGGGAGGGGGAGTAAACAAAACCCTTCTCTCTCTCAAAATTTAAAATATATATATATTATTCAATTTCAATGGGGACAAAATCTCCGGCCCCCTCCAAAGAAAAAAACCAAACCCATAAAGGTTTACTTTAAAAAAAAAAAAAAAAAAAGAGTACTTTTTTTTATCCAGCCTCCTTTCTTGGGCTGTATCCCTCAGTTGGCATCAAACTCTGAATCTGGAGGCATTAAAACAAATGCCAGAGAACATTTTTTTAAAAAGGAAAATAAAGAAGAGTCTTCCAACTGGGGGTGTGATGGGAGGGAGAAAATAAACAAAGCCAGAAAAAAAACCCTTTTGCATTCAGTCTATTTACAGGTGAACTTTACTGGGGCAGGGGAGGATAGGTGGTGGGGGAAAGAGCTAAAACAAAAATGAAGAGATGCTTCTACCCCACTTCCTAGTGCCCTCTCTCTGCCTCTCCCCCAACGCTATGTGCATCCCAGCAGGTGAAAACAGGAACCGTCCTGGTTTTCAGTTTCGTCATTCCGGCCCACCGGTGTCAGCCTCCGAATGCCATTCTCCTTCGCAGAGAACATGGAGGTGGGCCAGGATCAACCCCCAAAGGGGGAGTGGGTCTGAAGCGAGAGGCCTGCAATTGCCAGCCAGAATCTGCCTGGAGGGGCAGCCTCTCTGCCTCCCGGGTGCTGGGACTACCACCACCGCAAATACCCCAAGCACCTCCGTCTTCCGCCTCCAGGGAACTGAGGCCCCTTTTGGATACCAGTCCAGAGCAGGCTCCCGACCCTGTCCAGTCTTTTCTGCCCCTCTGGGATGGAAGCCCAGCGCAGAGCCGCCTGTCCTCCCCTCCTGAGCTAGGGCTCCCCACCTCCCCTGGACGCAACGGCGACGGTTGCGCTGGGAACCGCCGGGGGCGGCAGCAGCGGCAGCTTGCGAGAACCTTCCTTGCACTTCTGACAGTAGAAGATGTCGGGGACGTTGGTCTTCTTGATCTTGGCGCAGGAGAGGTGGATCCAGGTGCCACACTGATTGCACTCGATCATGGGGCGGCCCGCAAATGGCTTCTGGCAGTAACAAGTGATGAGGTCCCAAGAGTCATCCCCTGGAGGAGCAGAGGAACAAATTTCAGAAGGCCCGTTTCGCTAAACCCACAATTGCACAGCACACGTTTTGGTTATCTGGCCTGAAATGTATCACCACGAGAACCTCAAGTTTTGTTTTTAAGTTTCTAGTCCATAAGACAACAACAATAATAATATGCTTGAGGATAAGCAGGCAGTGCGTGATGAAAACTGAGAATCAAAGGCTGAACGGGTGGTAAATGCTGATTCGTGGCATTTACACCCTGCCTAGAAGTGGAATAAAACCATGACCAAAAAGATAAATATGGAAGACAAATTACCTGCCTAAGTCAGGATAGCTGCATAGCAAGTACCCACTCCACCCTCACAGAGCTGAAAGCGTCAGAGATGTTTGCTATAATACGAGGGATGGGGAAATCCCAGATCAGGACAGTCAGCAACCGTGTTTATTACCTATGTGCAAGATCTGAACCTGAGCCTGGGAAACACCCTGCTCCCATTGGCCCAAACCAGTCCACTCAGTTAGGAAAGGGCACGCACAGAGACCTGCTGCCTCGCTGGTCAACTGCACACTGCAGCCTTCCCAAGCTGGTGCCCTCCAGATGTTTTGACCTGCAGCTCTCATCAGCCTGCAGACTGTGCTGGTCTGGGCTGACGGGAGCTGTAGTTCATTAAATTCCTGAACACCTCTTCCTCAGAAAGACTCCAAGGCACCTCGCAGCAGCTTAAAATAGATTAAAGGACAGGGGCGCAAAACAATGAGCATCCCAGCGAGGCGGAACCTCAGAGATGCTTAAGAAAACCAAGGCCAGGGTTGTATCCCTGGGGATTCTGGAGAAAGCCAAAACGACGTCACTGCTTGCTAGCATGCTGGCAAGAAATGCTGGAAGAGGTGGACCTTGAACTGATCCGCCAAGGTCTTCCCTGGTGTAGTTCAACTACAGCTCTCACAGGTCGGTCATTTGTTACGCTCTTAATCTTCCAGAGATCCCACTGCTTTGTGTGAGGTCAACACACCCCAGGGAATCAGGAAGGTTCTTTGGGGTGGTGGGTATTCCAATGAATGTGAGAAGCGAAGCACAATCCAGCCCAACCCTCGCTTGACTTCTTAAAAAGCTTTTGCTAAATTAAAACAAGCACTATTATACTCCGGGCCCCACTTTTCAGGTGGGGGAAATGTGTTTGGAGATGGGGAAAAGAGCCTGATATGGTACAGTTAAACAAAAACAAAGCACCCCACTCCTTTGAAAAATTAAGGGGCTTTTTATGTAAAGCGAATACTTTAAATTAAAAAACAACAACAACCACAATGTAAGCTGGAGGTGTTTGATGACAGAGGACAAGCCTGCCACTGGCTATTGATCCCAGAGGACAGTCCGGTGGAAACGTGAAAATCAGCTGACTGTGTCACCAGACGAAACTTCCAAGAACGCAGGGGGAAGCATTACTTGGCAACATACGTGGTGCAGAGGTTAGCGTGCTGGAAAAGGACCTGGGAGATCAGGGTTCAAATCTCAGCTTCACCTACCTCACAGGGTTGTGGGGATTAACAGGAGGTGGGGCGAACCATGAACCTTGAGGAACTTGGGAGAAAAAGTCGGGATATAAACGCAACTAATAATGTGCCTATTGCTTTTACGCCCATGTAACGCTGTGCATTAAGTTGCGTTGCCCGTGCCCCTTCCGGGACACCTCCGGCTCCTCACCTGATTCCACCATGATGTCCTCGTCCATGACCCTCATCTCGCCTTCGCTGGAGCTGCCTTCCCCATCCTGGCTGGTCTCCGTACTGATCCCCCCTTTCCCTTCCGTGTCCTCAAGCTTAATGGGGAAGCTGGCGGCCAACAGCTCCGGCGGAGCCTGCACAGAGACCAGCGCCGTGGCTGCCGTGGCCGAACCCTCCTCCCCTCCGGGCCGCCGCGGCGCCACTGCCGCCCCCTCTTCCTCCTCAGAGTCCGTCTCGCTCAGGGAAGCCTTGTGCTTCTTCTCGCTGCGCTCGGCCTTTTTCAACTTCCGCTTCTTGCTCTTTTTGATGCGAGAGCGCTTCTCCCCCACCGGGTCTCCGCCGCCGCCCCGGTTCCGCTTGGCTCCTCCGCCCGCGTCCAGGGCGGACTTCCGGTTCCGCTTGTCCTTCTTCTTGTCCAGGGCCCCCTTTGGCCCCGCCAGCGGCGGCTGCTGCTGCTTGCCGACGGGGTCCAAGTCAAACAGGGAGTCCTTGAGCTTCATCTTCTCCAGCAGAGAGCTGTCGGACTTGAGGCGGCGGAAGGCCGCCTTCTTCTTCGAAGACTTGGCCTTCTTGACGAAGGTCTCGATCGTGTGCAGGTCCGAGTGCGTCGACTCCCAGCCGTCGCTGTCCACCACGCTCTCGGGGCGGATGGGGGAGTTCGAGCCGGAGGGCGTCCAGTCATTTTCCTGTGGGGTTTGGGGAGGGCAGAGGCAAGGGATTAATTTCTCAGGCTACTTTTCCCGGGTGCCCAGGACTCTCCTCTGCTCCTTCTTCCCAGAGCAGTGGGATTCAAGAGGGCAGTGGAGTTCCTGGGGGGGAGACCCGAGAGGCAAGGGTTGTAGCAGGTGGTGAACAGAATTGCAGAATTGGAAGAGACCACAAGAGTCATTTAGTCCTACCCTCTGCAATGCAGGAAAGACTTTGATAATGCATAATGACTATCAGGCTTTGAAAAGCTGATATCAGCCGATAGCTCCTTTGTGGTCCCTGTGGATAGCTCAGTCAGTACAACATGAGGATAATAATAATAATAATAATAATAATAATTTATATCTCGCCCCCCCCCCAGCCGAAGCCAGGCTCAGGAAGCGGCTAACAAGAGTAAAATGATACAACATTCTAAAATCATTTCAAATCAGATTAATGGCAACTATTGGGCCAGAGTTCTGTGAGGAACTTAGGGCTGTGGGTTTGCAATGGGCAAAAGATTCCTGCATTTAAGTGGGTTGGACTAGATGACCCTCAGCTCTACAATTCTATGGTTCAATGGATCGAGTTCATCTGTTTTGCAGAATTAATTAAACTAAACAGCTTTAATTGGATTTTGAATGAACGTGCAATTAGTGGCTACGGTTTTGAATTTTATTGCATTATTATCTTCCTCGGAGGGTCATGCAAGCCATTATTCTGAACAATGCTTTTCATACGATATAAAAAGGAACTTCTGTGCTAACCTGTGTAGGAGCATCTTAAACAACACAAGCCAAAGAACGTCAGGTTTCCTAGGAAGCAGGGGGTATTCTAAGCTTCCCCGCCTCCCAAACATCTCCGCAGCCAGCACTGCATACAAACCACCAAATCTAGGGAGGGGCCACAGCCCAGGGTAGACCACTTGCTCTGCGTGCAGAAGGTCTCTCTCTCTCTCTCTATGGGAGTCTTCATGCCTGAAACCCTGGAGAGCCATGGCTGGCCGTCAGTGTAGACAATACTGAACTGGACTGACCAGTGACCTACACTCTGGGGCCCCTGAATATTGAACTGCCCTGGGGGCCCCTTTGCAACCAGCAACAGGGTCTGGGTAACCAGTGTTAGCTTCTTCAATGGGGCTGTTCCACAACAGATCAGCACACCTTCACAGCATCTGGGCTACTGACTGCCAAACGTTGGGATCGTGGAAATAGATGCAACAAAAAAATGAATCCATTTGAGCCATGCGACTCAAACTGGGTCTACTAGACGCGAAACATTTGAGCAACGTGGACAAAAGTCGCTTCTGGGGCCCCTCTCTTCACCAGCTTTATAGCAGATCCGCCCCTGAGATGGACCAATGTTATAACTCGGGATAAAGGCAGTTTCCTTTCCCTCGCTCCAGTGCAACGGTCCGCAGTGTTTTGTGGAGTTGTGGGCTGAAGCCAGGAGGTGCCACATCCATCGCATTTAAATACTCATATTGATTTTTAACTCCCTTCTTAATGGCTTCTTTTATTTATAACATGTTTTATATTGCAGTTTGAATTCTAAAGAGCACATTAAAATACAGTACGTGAGAAATAGAAAGAAGCAATAAAAACACAGTTGAAAAATCACACAAAATCTATTATGAGCGCTACAGTCGGCAGAAAAATTAGTAAGTTTCTCAGTGGTCTGAGGGGAAAAGAAAAGTTTGGGAGCCTTTGCCCTAGAAAAATTTCTGGCTGAAAGAAATGGAGGGAAAGCAACAGAAAGAGATAGACAAGAAGGTGGCAATTAGAGAAATCAAAAGAGAGGGAACAAGAAAAAGAAAGGTGTCTTGCAAAAAACATGGGCAAGTAAGTAAGCCTTAGTAAGCTGCTACAGTGGTACCTCGGGTTAAGTACTTAATTCGTTCTGGAGGTCCGTTCTTAACCTGAAACTGTTCTTAACCTAAAGCACCACTTTAGCTAATGGGGCCTCCTGCTGCTCCCGTGCCACCGGAGCAAGATTTCTGTTCTCATCCTGAAGCAAAGTTCTTAACCTGAAGCACTATTTCTGGGTTAGCGGAGTCTGTAACTTGAAGCGTATGTAATCTGAAGCGTATGTAACCCGAGGTACCACTGTACTTGAATAGCTCGCGAAAGTTGAAAATAAACAATATCCATCTTTGTTATGTGTACTTTTATCAACTTCCTTTTAAACAACAGCAGAGCTCCTGGTTAGAATCCACATTCCCAGCAGCTCGAAAAATTTGTTCCCCTTGTGCAAAAAAGTGTCCCGTTGAGTATTAATTAATTTTATAATGAATGATTTTAGAGTGTTGTTTGTGCTGTACTTTTGTACTGTTTTATTGTTGTTAGCCGCCCTGAGCCCGGCTTCGGCTGGGGAGGGCGGGATATAAATAAAATTTATGATTATGATTATGATTATGATTAGAACAAACCCTGCCTAGAGAGAGACTAACTGGTAGAAAGGGATTCTTAAAAATGGAGCACAGAGTACCCTGACAGCTGAAGCAGCAAATGTCTCGTGTTTGCAACCACTGAGCCTTTCAAGCAACACCCATAAGCCGATGCCTAACTCCTAAAACAAGAGGTAAGGGGGCCCATCTGATATGGAAGTTCAATAAATCCCTGGTGCGCGGAGATAGGCGGGAGCCTTCTTTAGCCCTAAGCCCTTGTGAGCAGGTTCATGCTAAGTCCCAGGAAGGGCAGGTCTGTAGCAGGAAAGAGCAACTACAATTCCCAGCATGCCCTTCGGGAAGCCTCCTGAGCCGTGCCGCATAACAAGCCAGGACATGTCCGCCCCCTTGCTTCCAGAACAGCAGCCTACACTTCCCAGCATGCAACACGCCCAGGCCTCCCAGCAAAATGGCCATGCCGCAGGGCATTCTGGGCCTCGTAGTTCCCGCGGGCATTTGCCGCAGCTTCCAAGGGGCTCTGGCAACAAGACTGCGTGGAGACAATGCCGAGACAGGAGGAGGCCAAGGGCTTAGGAGCGAAGGTTTGGAACAATCCCAAATGCACCTTTTAAGAACTTCACGGAGCCGGGTTTGGATTTAACAACAGATCACAGAGCTTGCTTCTGGGAAGGTGCTAGGACAACCCCTGTACCCCGACACACACACACACCAGAAAAATATTAAACTGCATGCTTTGAAACTGAGCGGACACATATTTGTTCACTTAATAAGCCAGTAGGATAAAAGGGGAGTTGGGGGGCAGGATTCTCGCTGGGGGAAAAAACCCCAAACTAACCTCCTTAGAGGAAGGGATGTAGCCAGCGTAGGCTAGGACAAAACTGCAGAACTTGTTGAAATCCTCAATAGTTCGCCTTCGCTTCTCCGGAGGCTGGTGAGACTGGGGGAGAGAAGCAGGAAGTGGGGAGGGGAGGTGTTAATGCAGACAGAGGTAGCCCCCCTTCCCCCAGCCACCCACAAATCTCTAGGCTCTTTCACAACCACCCCACAACGGGTGATAATAAGAAAAGGGGAGTTATTCCTAGAGAGAACTGAGCAGTAACATCCTGTTCCCGCCCCCCCCCCCCCGCAAAAAAACCACAGGCTCCCACAGCTAGAAATGCAAGTCAGGTCTCTCCCAGGACATGCGAAGAGTGCAAAGGGTTAAATATGGGGGGGAGGGGAGGGAGAGAGGGGGGAAAGAGCCTTTTCCGTCACCCACAGAATATCCTTTGCTTTCTCTCTCTCTCTCTCTTTTGCTAAGTGGGGGGGGAAGCACATGCAAAAAGGATGTTGCAACCTTTCGGAAAGACTTTTGGCCTCCTCCTAGGGAGCAGGGATAAAAAGGCAGGGGGAGGAAGAGGAGGGGGTCCCCCAGAAGAACGGAGCCACCCCACGGAAACAAATGGGATTTTTTAATTACGGAGTGGAATGGGGCCCAAGTTTGAGGTAGGGGTTTTTTTGGGGGGGCGGAGGGGGAAATCAACCATCAAATAGAGGCTTTTGTATTTTGTGTTGTTTTTTTACCTGTGTCTCCGGTTTGAGGTTTGGAGGCGGATCTGGAAAACAAGAACCGGGAAGGGGGTCAGTTGAGGGGGGTCCAGGAAGGGAGACTTGCAACAACTCCACACAGACCAGCACAAAGCGAGGGAAAAAATCCTACTTTCTCCCCCGGAATGAAAGCACAGGGATTCCCCCACCCGGAGGCAAGTCAAGGGAGATGGCTGGGGGTGCCAGTGAGCCCTGACAGAACCTCCCGGACCCCTTATTTTGGGGAGGGGGGCTTCCCTACAGCCTTCAGAGGAAAAGGCCAACACACGATGAAGCCCCCCCCCACCCCGCCTGCTTTGAACCCTTCCCCAAATTTCCACTCCAAAATGTATTTAGGTTTATACCTCACCCCCCCAAAAAAAATATACGCTCAAGACACGGAAGTGTCTATCCCCCTCCCCCATAAAATCCAAGATCAGACCTAGACAGACAAGACACCCCGCCATTTCTACAGGGAAGCGGAAAGGGGGAAGCTGGAGCGCGCACCCCCCCCCCCCCGACACACACACCCAGGACGCTTGTCTCCCCCCTCCTGATCTGAGACCCCCAGGGCCCCCCAATTCCTTAGTGCCCTCCAACAGACACCCCCCTTAGGAAGCCTCATTTCCTCATTACTCTCCCCCCCCCCGCACCCAACAGGCCCCCCCGCCGCCCCTCCTCCACGTGCCTCCCCTCCCCCTCCCAACTTTCTTCCTCGCTCCCCCCCCACTCCGGTTTTCTCCCCGGTCCGACTCCCTCCTCTTTCTCCCCCCCCCACCCCACACTTCCAACTCGCTCCCCTTTCACCTGGTTCTTCCCAGCCGCTCCCAAACACAACAGCCCCCCCCACTCCACGACGCTGCCTCCATCTTACCCACCCCCCCAGCAAGGAAAAAAAGGGGTGCTGCCCCCCCATAACCAACTCTCTTCCTCTCTCCTCCTCCCCCCTAAGTCTCCCCTCCCCACCCACCAGGCTCTCTCTGCTCTGACACCACCTGCCCCCCCCCCCCAAACCGGTGACCCCTTTCCACCGACGGACTTTGCCTCTTCTTTCCTCCCCCCCCCCCCAAGCGCACACCCTCCCCCCCACAACTCCAGAACAGACCCCCCCCCAAAATCTCGCGGCCTCTTTTCCCTCCGAGGAGGGGCGTCCACTTGCCCCCCCCACAACAAGCAATCTTCCTTCCCGCCCCCTTAACTCCCCCCCACACCAGCCCCCCAACTTCTCCTCGCCCCCTAATCTCCCGGGAGGGGCGTCCACTTTTCCTCCCCCCCCCCACAACAAACCCACTCGCCCCTTTCCCCCCTCGCAACTCCAGCCCCCGAAATCCGCGTCGCCGGCCCTCCTCCTCCCCACACGAAGACGCTCCCAGCCCCACAACTGGGGGTCTCCGCAGCCTCTCCCCCCCCCACCAAAAAAATTTAAATATTTTTTCCTTGGGAGGGGCGCCCCCACAGAAGCTGGTTGAGAAGCACACGAAAACCCCCCGGCCTCGGCGGCGTCCAGCCCCCCCGCCGCCGCCCCCCAAGTGTGGGTCTGCGAGGCCCCCTTTACCTTCAGGGCTGGGCTCCGCCATAGCCGGCCCCCTGCCCAGCCAGCCAGCCGGCCGCCTCTCCGCCCCGCCGGTGCCCGCGACGGCCGCGGGGCTCGGGAACCCGCCAGCGCCCCCCAAGCCGCGAAGACCCTCCCAGAGACCCGCCGCCGCCGCCGGGAGACCCTCCTCCTCCTCCTCCTCCTCCCTCCTCGCCCGCCGGTGCCGCCCGACTCCGCCGCTCCCTCCTCCCTCCCGGAGGAGCCCCACAGCCAGGCCCCGCCCCTCGCCGCCGCCGCCGCCGCCGCGGAGCATCTCGGGAGACCGAGTCCCCCCGCCCAGAACTCCAAGTCCCGGCAGGCGCAGCGCGCGGGGAAGGAGGGAGGGAGGAGGGAGAGGCGCTGGGTCCGCCTCTTCCTCTCACAGGCTCCAAAATGGAGGGAGAGGAGAGGGGCATGCTGGGAGATGTGGTCTGGGAAGGGACGCCCTAGGGAAGGAGGAGGGGAGGGTTGGGAAAGGAGGTTTGACGTTTGAAGGAGGGAAATGGGGGTGGGGGGGAGATGGGGAAACATGTTGGGGGGGTAGAAGAAGACACACAGACTCCAGGGGTTATTTAGGGACAGGCTATCTCTTTCCCCCATTGATGGCAGAAAGTGAGGAGGAATAATTAAAGAACCTTATAATGAGGGTGAAAGAGGAGAGTGCAAAATATGGTCTGAATCTCAACATCAAAAAAACGAAGATCATGGCCACTGGGCCCATCACCTCCTGGCAAATAGAAGGGGAAGAAATGGAGGCAGTGAGAGATTTTACTTTCTTGGGCTCCATGATCACTGCAGATGGTGACAGCAGCCACGAAATTAAAAGACGCCTGCTTCTTGGGAGAAAAGCGATGACAAACCTAGACAGCATCTTAAAAAGCAGAGACATCACCTTGCCGACAAAGGTCCGTATAGTTAAAGCTGTATGGCCTTAAACGATTGGTTCAAAATTGGGAAAGGAGTATGACCGGGCTATATATTGTCTCCCTGCTTACTTAATTTATATGCAGAATTCATCATGTGAAAGGCTGGGCTGGATGGATCCCAAACTGGAATTACGATTGCTGGAAGAAATATCAACAACCTCAGATATGCAGATGAGACAACCTTGATGGCAGAAAGTGAGGAGGAATTAAAGAACCTTTTAATGAGGGTGAAAGAGGAGAGCGCAAAATATGGTCTGAAGCTCAACACCAAAAAAAAAACAAAGATCATGGCCACTGGGCCCATCATCTCCTGGCAAATAGAAGGGGAAGAAATGGAGGCAGTGAGAGATTTTACTTTCTTGGGCTCCATGATCACTGCAGATGGTGACAGCAGCCACGAAATTAAAAGACGCCTGCTTCTTGGGAGAAAAGCGATGACAAACCTAGACAGCATCTTAAAAAGCAGAGACATCACCTTGCCGACAAAGGTCCATATAGTTAAAGATCTGGTTTTCCCAGTAGTGATGTATGGAAGTGAGAGCTGGACCATAAAGAAGGCTGATCGCCCAAGAATGGATGCTTTTGAATTCTGGTGCTGGACTGCAAGAAGATCCATTCTGAAGGAAATCAGCCCTGAGTGCTCACTGGAAGGACAGATCCTGCAGCTGAGGTTCCAAGACTTTGGCCACCTCATGAGAAGAGAAGACTCCCTGGAAAAGACCCTGATGTTGGGAAAGATGGAGGGCACAAGGAGAAGGGGACGACAGAGGACGAGATGGTGGGACAGTGTTCTCGAAGCTGCCAGCATGAGTCTGACCAAACTGCGGGAGGCAGCGGAAGACAGGAGGGCCTGCCGTGCTCTGGTCCAGGGGGCCATGAAGAGTCGAACACGATTAAACGACTAAACAACAACATCTCTTTCCCCATTGGATGGGAAATGGCCCTATTTTGGGGTTCAAAAGCAAATGGGTTCTTGATTGACAGTCCGCAATGCCCACCCCCTTTTAGGGTAGGAAAGGACCCTGGGAGATTATTATTGTTATTATTATTTATTTATATTTATACCCCGCCCATTTGGCTGAGTTTCCCCAGCCACTCTGGGCGGCTCCCAATTGAGTGTTAAAAACAATACAGCAAGTTCACCTTGGTTCCACAGTAAATCCGTTCTGGAAGTCTGTTCCAAAACCAAAGCACGTTCCAAAACCAAGGCGTGCTTTCCCATCGAAAGCAATGCAAAACGGATTAATCCGTTCCAGGCTTTGAATAACAATCCCCAAAACAGCAATTTAGCATGCATTTTACGATCTAACGAGACCATGGACCCGTAAAACAAAAGCAATAAACAATGTGCTGCAGTCACACAATCATTCAGCAGCTGAACTGGATTCCACACAGTCACACACACACACAAAAAGCCACAAAAACGGAAAATAAATAGCAAAAACATGACAGAGCTCAGCGTAACGCTCCAAACAGAAGTGTGCCACTCAAATTGGAAGTGTAACACTCAAAATGGAACACATTCCACTTCTGGAAAAAGTTTGCACACTTGCTTCTGGGTTTGCAGTGTTTGGGTTCCAAGTTGTTTGAGTACCAAGGCGTATGAGAACCAAGGTACCACTGTATTCTTTTTATTTGTGACATTGACATCTCACCTTTCCCCCCAGCCCTCCAAGGTCAAAGTATAGCACGTGGTTCAAGCACACACAGCTCATTCAATCGTCACAACCACCCCCCTGTAAGGCAGGCTAGGCTGAGAGGGGCAGCAGCTGCTCCACCTACCCACCCAGATCACCAGTCTTTCCCCAGGGCCTGATCCGACAACCATTACACCAGGGATTGGCCACTGTGAGAAAAGGATGCTGGACATAGTTGGGCCACTGGCTTGATCCAGAAGGCTTCTCTTATGCAGATAAGATACAGTCAAATCTGAATGGTAAAGGGAAGATTTCTGGTTGCTTTTGCCCCCCCTCCTCCCCGGACTGGGCCTTAAAACCTACACACCTGAACCGTTACTAGTTTATTTCTCTCCTTCCTTTCAACTGTCCTGGAACTGGGGCAATTAAAATGTTAAAAGTTAAATAATCTTTGTGGATGGAGGAGTGTTAAGGTATATAAAATTGTACATATGGTTGATTTGAATATATTACTAGTGATTATGTAGTGGGACGCGGGTGGCGCTGTGGGTAAAACCTCAGCGCCTAGGACTTGCCGATCGCATGGTCGGCGGTTCGAATCCCCGCGGCGGGGTGCGCTCCCGTCGTTCGGTCCCAGCGCCTAATCTAGTAAAATGGTGTGACGTTTACTCGAGCGTTTACACCGCTGTGAGGTCCAGGAAAAGTCATGTATCTTGGATCTCAGGAGATGGGGAAAGCTCCATTATGCGCTTTGCAACTTGAGCAATGAGCATCGAATCTCCCCAGAGGGAGAGTGAAGTGCTCCTTGAATCCACAAAAATGCAGGCCTCTCCAGGCTAATGAGGTTATCTTTCTGCTGCTGATCTGTAGCCTTGAATAGCCCTAATTTGGAGCCAGAGCATTCTTCCACCCCTCTAGTTTTTGAGGCCAACACCCTGCTTACCAACCCACCTTCCATTATTCTGCTAAGAGGGTCTTGCCCGTCATTCTCACCCAAGACTTGTAGTCTAGTCACTTCTTCCTCCAAGTAGGTGACAACTGCCCATGTACACACTCAGGATCTGGTCCTGGGATTCCAGTCTAGAATATCTATTCCTGGGATAGCTCAGTCAGTACAACATGAGACTCTTGATCTCAGGGTTGTGGGTTTGAGTACCACATTGGGCAAAATATTCCTGCATTGCAGGGGGTTGGACTAGATGACCCTCGCGGTCCCTTCCAACTCTACAATTCCATGATTAAAAGTAGCCAAGATCGCCGCCCCCCCATCACCCATTCATTTAGCAAACCACCTTGCAACCAGATCCCAACCCCCTGCCAACAGCTTGACCCCACTGCTACAAGTTCACTCCCCAAGTATTTGCAATTTTAAATTCCTCAATTCCCGATTAACACCAGGACGCAGATACCTTTCCCTCAATCGGTACAATCACGCAGAAAATCTCGAGAGGCTCAAAATTTCTCTTTATATATATATTTTTAATTAGCATTCCCCATCCCCTCTGGTTACAGAAACTGCCAGGCAGAGCACAGCCCTGATAGGAGCAAACTCAGGGCGCGGTAGTGAAGATGCAAGACTGAAATGGGGGAGGAAGTTTTTTTTCCTGTTCAGTATTTGAGGCCTCTTACCCCTTAAAAAAAAATGGGGGTGGGGAAGAGAGAGAGAAAGGGGAAAATGGTATATGGGAGGGAGATAAGGGGGGGAACCACCAAAAGAAAAAGAGGTATTTTATTTTAGCCACAACCACCTCAAAGAAAGCCCAGAGCGAGGGGAGGGGAACGGGAGGAAGAAGTGTGATTAGGCATAAGGGAAGGAGGTTTAAAGGATAAGAGAGAAGGAAGGAAGGAAAGAAAGAAAGACCCGCCCCTTCCCTGGGACAAAAAGGCTCTTTAACATAAAATCAACAACAAACAACAACAAAAAGTGCAGGTCCCTTCAGGAGCACATGCCCCCTGGTGGCAGCAGGTGGAGGCACGCCTTACACGCTGCCATAGACGCTCTCATCGCTGTAGGCAATGTACAGGAAGAAGTCCTCCTCGTGATGTTCCTGGAAAGGGGGACGGAAGAGAAAACACTGGAGTCAAGGCATAATTTGGGCAGGGGTACAAGCAGGCAGAGCCCAGGGACAAGAGTGCCAAGGTTCAAATCTTAAGCCTTTCTGCTAGTTCAGAGTAGACCAGCCGGAGCCCTCTACTTTGCAGAGTCCTCCTCCTGGTACTCTTTCAGCAGTTACAAAGAAACACCATTGTATTTAATTCTAAGTGTATGACTTCTGCATCCAGTTCCAGTTGGTGGAAACTGCGGTTCCAGCACAAGACAAGTGTCAAGTCTACCCTCCTAGAACACAATCTCAAATCACAAGTTCCAGACTAAACTACATTCCTGATGTTGCTCGTGAAAATGCACCACATGGTGTCTCTATCACCTTATTAATATTGTTATTATGTTGTTATTGGGATGCGGGTGGCGCTGTGGGTTAAACCACAGAGCCTAGGGCTTGCCGATCAGAAGGTCGGCGGTTTGAATCCCCGCGACGGGGTGAGCTCCCGTTGCTCGGTCCCTGCTCCTGCCAACCTAGCAGTTCGAAAGCACGTCAAAGTGCAAGTAGATAAATAGGTACCACTGCGGCAGGAAGGTAAACGGCGTTTCCGTGCGCTGCTCTGGTTCGCCAGAAGCGGCTTAGTCATGCTGGCCACATGACCCGGAAGCTGTACGCCGGCTCCCTCGGCCAATAAAGCAAGATGAGTGCCGCAACCCAAGTCGGCCACGACTGGACCTAATGGTCAGGGGTCCCTTTACCTTTACTATGCTGTTATTATTGGTTTCTATTTGTTGCTCATATAGGATATTTCGTTTTTTAACGCTTGATGCTTTGCTGTGTTTTTATATATGTTGTAAGCCGCCCAGAGTGGCTGGGGGAACCCAGCAAGATGGGCGGGATATAAATTATATTATTATTATTATTTACTTCCCAAGCATTTGGTAGTTCCACTGCCCTGAGAAGTTCAGGGGGTGGCGGCCCAGGAGGGAGCCTGGTCTGTGGCAGCTCCAGAGGAGGGGAACTCCCTCCCCAGAGAGATGTGCCAGGCACCTTCACTGTGCAGCTTGCAACACATGCTGAAAACACCCCTCTGCCCTGGCCTTTGACAGCTCAGGTGCAGGGTGGTGTTCAATGCTAGCAGTGAATTGAATTGAATGGCATGGGCTTTAATTAATATGCCCATAACCTTTAATGGGTCTACTCACAACAAGACTGGCATTGAATACCACCACTTGCAGTTTTAATGACCCACCCTCTTCTTTGGCCTGCAGTTGCTTTCATGATGGGTGGAGAAGAATATAACAACAAGTCCCACCAGTCCAGCTGATGGGAGTTGTAGTCCACATAAGAAACAGATACCAGGCTCAGTGGACTAAAGGTCGCCAGCAGGTAATTCAACCCTAATTCACCGCTACCTCTCCACTCCCACACATAGTAATACAAATTTGCTCCACGCTTTGGTTTTGGCAGGGGTGGTGTGGCAATTCCTTCCCCCCCCCTTTTCCCTTCTGAATGCTGCAGCTGGTTCAACCCCTCTCTTTTAATTCCCCTAGTTTGTTTTGTTCTTTTCCAACCTGTTTGTTACCCATTAATTGAACATTTCAAAGACTGTTGCAGAGTGTCACTTCTCAAGCGATGCACATTTTCTTAAAAAAACAACAACAAAAACCTGTGCAGCAGGCCTAAGGCACACCCACCTGGTAAAGCTGCCCCATGGTGGCGCTGGTTGGGGGGATGACATTGTTGACGAAGAAGAAGAGGGCGTCCTCTGCTCGGAGATGGATTCTTTTTCGGATCAGGAAGTAGAACTGCCCAACTGGGGGAGAGAAAGGGGGAGAACGGATCTGTTAGCTGAAGGAGCAGAATAAAACTACAGAGATTGAGGCGAGATCTTGACATGCCAACGAGATACACCCGTTTCATCAGGTGCCACAAACCTAGGTCTCCAAAATCAATGGGGCTTGCCCAGACAGCTTCATCCAGCACTTCACTTGACCCTCCGATGTGCGGACATCTTGCCCCCTCCCCTTACCAAAGGATGAAGGAGATGACCCCCCCTACTACTCCCTCCTACAGCCAGCTGCCCCAATCCTCAGGCTGGGCCCTGGGCCATCCAACTGAGTGCGTACCTGTGAGGTCTGACGGGACAAGGTATTTCTTCTTGTCCAGGTCTCCTATCCGGGCCTTGGGCGCCTTTTCCACAATGACCTGCAAAGTTGAGAGAGAAACAGAGGTTGGGTCAGCGAAGGGCAGAGAGAAAGAGTTCACGCAGGAGCACCAAAACATTTCCTAATTACAGGAACGGTTGAGCAACCGGACGAGTTATTCGAGGAAGAGGCGAGGCCGGCCGGCCGGCCTGCCGAGAGAAGCTTTTGCTGGTGACAGTGGGAAGTTGGAAAGCCGGTCACAGCAGGGCTGAGACAGCATGAATCATGGGAGGCCTTGAGAAGATGGGGGACTGTTTCAGAAGGACAGAGCCTCAGAACACCGGTCCAAAGCAGAGGTCAGGTTTAGTACGGAAGAGCCCGCTGGATCAGGCCAATGACCCATTCAGTCCAGGATCCTGTTCTCACTGTGGCAAACCTGCAAGCAGGATTCGAACACAAGAGCCCTCTCCCCTCCTGTGGTTTCCAGCAGCTGGCATTCGGAAGCACTGCTGCCTGCCTCCAACAGTATAAGTAAAGCATAGCCATCATAACTAGTAGCTGTCAACAGTCCTCTCCTGTGCCATGAATTTGCCTAATCCTCTTTTAAGCCATTCAAGTTGGTGAGCTGCAAAGTTTAACTTCCTTTTATATGTCCTGAATCCTGCCCAGGAATTTCCTCTGCTTGGCTAAGTGTAAAGGTTGCAAGGAAAGCAAACAAACCGAGAGGCGGCAGGGACAGCCTCATTCACAACTATTCTCAGAAGAGAAAGAAAGAAAGAAAAGTTAAACATTTGCACACAGGGGAAGGCAAGAGGCTCCCTGAGATGATTAAATGTCACCAGAGATTTTTAGGACTTCTTAGGACGTCAGTCCCAGCGCACCTCCTCCCAAGCAACCTGCTTAAGGCAGCCTTTTGCCTTCTGCGAAAGATTGCCAAGTTTTCCTTTCAGTAGCCGAGCTCTTGTGCTTCTAACAAATAACAGACAGGCAGAAATTAAACAGGTGTATCTCTCCCTGTCATGCATCCCCAGGCTGGGGCAGCAGCAGGAAAGGGAAGCATCACCACCTGCTGAATGAATCCTTGTCAGCCAGGCAGCTCATAAAAAGATGAGATCCTTGGCTAGAAGAAGGGGGAATCCTTCATTCCAAGTCTGACAGATCACCCACCTTTTTCGGGGTGGGGGAATCAAAAAGCTTTCCGTTTGTCAAAACCTTCATGCAACACAGCTGAGAAAGCCTGGGAAAGAGTCCAGAGCCTCTGTAACCTGCGTATGAGGCCCTAAGGTTGCTCCAACTGCACCTTTGCTTGTAAGGCTACTTTTGTTTTTCTTTTCTATGTTAGTCAGGGACGAGTTCAAGGACTCAGATACCAGAAGCCACGAGGAAACCTTCCGTCAACCGGGAGCCCTCCAGGTTTGTTTTGGACTACAGGTCCCATCAGCCTCTGGTGGGAGTTGCACTCCAAAACATCTGGAGGGGCACCAGGTTGGCAAAGGCTGTGTGGGATAAACAACATTGGCAACATGGGGATAACATGTTAGCCGCTCTGAGCCCGGCTTCGGCTGGGGAGGGAGGATATAAATATTATTTTTATTAACGACAGAGTCGAGATAGATATGTCCCAGACAGCAATGGCTTGGGGAGAGCAGTCGGGAACCAGGGGAAGCATCACTCTGATCTATGTTAAGGGTCCCCCATTAGAAAAAGATGGGCCTGGAATAAGGCCTCTAGCTTCTCCCTCCCTCACATTATATACTCATTACATTGCTATCCAACCCTTTTCTCTGAGGAGCTTGAGGTTGGTGCCACAACGACCCTGTGAGGTAGGGAGAGTGCCTGGCTCAAGATCACCCAGGGAGCTTAATGGCTGAGTGGGGATTTGAACCCTGGTCTCCCATGTCCTAGTCCAACGCTCTAACCCAGGGGTCACCAAACTAAGGCCCGGGGGCCGGATCCAGCCAATTGCCTTCTGAATCCGGCCAGCAGACGGTCCGGGAATCAGCGTGTTTTTACATGAGTAGAATGTGTGCTTTTATTTAAAATGCATCCCTGGGTTATTTGTAGGGCCTGCCTGGTGTTTTTACATGAGTAGAATGTGTCCTTTTATTTAAAATGCATCTCTGATGCATTATTTGTGGGGCATAGGAATTAGTTCATTTCCCCCCCCCCTAAAAAAAAATATAGTCCGGCCCACCACATGGTCTGAGGGACAGTGGGCCTCTGCTGAAAAAGTTTGCTGACCCCTGCTCTAACCACTACGTCATCTTGGCCCACATTAGGTAATCAGGACGTTCCATTTTGTTCCCCTGGAAAGGTTCCTGTGCCGTTACAGGGTTGCAAAATGGAGAGGAAGAGATTCTCAGACATCGTGCGTTGGTGGGGGGGGAAGCTCTGCTTTCATTTCTGCAAAACCATCAGGCAAAGCGATAAGGGCCTCAGACCAGGCCATTCTGACTGTGTGGCAAGGCTGTTTTCCACCATAACCACCCAGAAGAAGGGGGAGGGAGGGATGACACCACAAAGCAAAGCACCGCCTCCCAAAATTCATCTGTGATGCCATCTCCCTCACTTCCTTCAAGACCCACTTCTGCCTCCAGTTCCCGAACGCAACTGTACTCTGTAGAGCGTATCGGTGGCGATTATAAAGGAGAGAGCTTCAGAAAGGAAGTATACAACCTGTCTCGAGTCTCCTGAATTTAGGGCAGGCCATAAATCAAAATGAGGAGGAAAGGAAAGCTCCCGTTCTCTGGCCACAGTGTTATTGCCACTGTTCCCCATGGCTGTTCTCTGTACGCATAAAACATGTACATATGGCAACGCTTCATACGTCTGGCAAAAGAGGCGTATGAAAAAGGATTCTGCGAGCACATTTAAAGGTAGAGGGACCCCTGACCATTAGGTCCAGTCATGGCCGACTCTGGGGTTGCGGCGCTCATCTCGCTTTATTGGCCGAGAGAGCCAGCGTACAGCTTCCGGGTCATGTGGCCAGCAGGACTAAGCCGCTTCTGGCAAACAAGAGCAGCGCACGGAAACGCCGTTTACCTTCCCGCCGGAGCGGTACCTATTTATCTACTTGCACTTTGACATGCTTTTGAACTGCTAGGTTGGCAGGAGCAGGGACTGAGCAACGGGAGCTCACCCCGTCGCAGGGATTCGAACCGCAAGTCCTAGGCTCTGTGGTTTAACCCACAGCGCCACCCGCGTCCCTGCGAGCACATTTACTCCAGCCTAAATCCCACAAACTCGTGTGGGACCATCCTCTTTGGGAGCAAATCTTAAGCCTGCAGGCGAAGACACTCTTTTCAAGAAGTGGGGCCTGCTGGGTGTACCAGAACTGCACTGCACGGCTGCAGTTACCTGGGAATCACAGCACACAGTAGTGCAAGCCTGTTTAAAAAGAAAGTCCCAATTTCTTGGGGTAACTGCGTTAGGCTGCTGTAGCCAGAACAACAGGGCAAGGCAAGCACATTTTGCCAACGTGGTGCCTGCCTAACAGGAGCTGCAGCCCAACATCTGGAAGATACCAGGTGGGCCACGGCCGGCGTCCGCTTCCAGGACCCTTTCCATCCTGTGACAAACGTCGCTGGCCTTCAACGTGCCCCAAGTCCCTTTCCGTATTTTCAAGGGTAACCCAATCCCTGTTTACTCCAGAGAAGAAGCCACCCCCTTCCCCACCAATACTATCCTCCCTCGGCACCAAGGAGATCACTTCCGCTTGTTGTTTGTCTGCTCACAAGTAAACTTTGAGGGAGGTGCGGAAGTCGTGCTTTTGCTCCCTTTGCGCCGCTCTCCAGCCTGCAGGACTTATCTCGAAATCCCGCCCTTCCTCCCAAAGGAGCCCCGATCTTTACATATTTTAAAGCTGTCCTTGTTTTGCAAAGTGGGGAGGGGCGTCTGCGTGAACAAAACAAGGGGTGGGGGTTTCCCCTCCCTGGAACTTCTCTTTGCCCTGGAAGCCTTTAATGAACGGTGCATATATTACTATTACTATTTTTTTGTAAGCCGCCCGGGGAAGTTTAATGCACTATGGGGGCAGCACCAAAAAAACAACAAAAGCAGCAGCTGGTGGGGGGGGGGAGGGAGGAAACAGGACTTTGGGGGTCCGTTTTCCCCCCCTCTCCAGCCGGTGGAGCGTGAGGATCACATATTCCAGTGATCGCTGTCCGCCGCCCTTTGTTTTGTAAGCCGCCCGGAGCGCTTTGTAAGACACTGGAGGGCGGCGCCAAAAAAAGGGAAGCAAAAGGGAGGCTTTTGCGGGGTCGGAAATCCCCTTTTGGATCAGAGCGGGGAGAAAGGGGGGAGGAGGGGGCATTAAAGCGAGGAAGGGGGCAAAGGGGTCTCTCTCCGAGGGCCTTCTGGCAGTTCCCTCCCTGTGAGAAGCCAAGTTACAGGGAACCAGACACAGGGCCTTCTCGGTGGTGGCCCCTGCCCTCCCACCAGATGTCAAGGAAGTAAACAACCACCAGACTTTTAGAAGACATCTGAAGGCAGCCCTCTTTAGGGAAGCTTTTCATGTTGAACAGGTTATTGTATTTTAGGGCTTTGTTGGAAGCTGCCCAGAGAGGCTGGGGAAACCCAGCCAGATGGGCGGGGTATAAATAATAAATTATTATTATGATGATCATCTCTCCGGGGCGGAGGGATACTGTGCCGGGATTTGGGGGGGGTCCTCTTTTTTCCTCTTCCCTCCTCCTCGCGCGCTCCTCTCGGACTCACCGGGACTCGGTCCGGGTACTTCTTCCGGATCTTCTCGCCCTCCGAGCGGCGCTTCTCGAACGGGTGCTCCTCCTTGTAGACGAACTTCATGGCGGCGGCTGCTGAGGCGGCCGGGCGAGGAGGCGACGGAGACGGACCAGCTGACGGGGCCGCGCCACACACAGACACTCGCGCACTCTCGCGCAGGCGCGCGGGGAGACGCCTCCGCCGCCCCTCTCGCTCTCGGGCTCGCGCGCGCAGGGATACGCGGCTCAGCCAGGGGGCGGAGCAAGCCTCGCTTCCGCCAACCGCTGCGCCAGAGGCGTAGGCGCTGCCCTGGGAGGCGGCGCCGAGCCACGCCGGCGGCGCAAGCGGAGAGCGAGAATACGGAAAGCCGTTGGCGGCTCCGCTCCTCGCGCGAGCGTCCGTTGGAAGGTGGGGGAGGAGAAGCCGCCGCCGCCGCCTCAGAAACTGAGGGAGGCTGTGCGGCCTCCGCTTTTCCCCGAGCGAGGGCGCTAGGCCCGCGGAGGAGGCGCCGCCACAGCCCGCCCTGCGCTAGTCGCGTAGCTGTGAGGGCGCCATTTCCACGCAGGTGGCGCAGTTTGCGGCAGAGAGGGGGCAGCTGGCGCTGGCGGCGTAGCGGAAGGCGGCGGGCGCTTCAAGCCCCGCCGGCCTTCCCCAGCCCCTCACCCGCCCGGTCGTGAGGTCCCGTCGCCGCCCAGGGGCCGGCCCCGTCCGCGAACCTCCCTCGCGGCCCCCGGTGTGGCGTCCAAGCGTTACGTCAAATGGGATTCACGAACGCGACCGGCGCAAGGGCTGCGCCGCTGGCGTGCCGTGTTGACACCAAAACAAAGTAGTCCGGGGGGAGGCGCCGTTCCTCCTCTCTCTCCGAGGAAGAGGGCGCGCCGAGGGGGGTGGGCAGCGGGGCGACCGAAGGCCGAGGCAGCCCAAGCCGGCGATGTAAAACCGGAGGGTTTTGTTTTTATTTTTATTTTAAAAACTGAGGTGCGGAAGGATCGGGAGGCGACGGCGGCGAAGCGACTCGTCATGTGACTGACGTCAGCGGAGAGGAATTGTCACGTGTACCCGCCCCGGAAAACAGTTGCGGAAGGCGGGGGAGCCAGTCACGTGAAGGGCGACCAATAGGAAGAGGGGAGGGGAGAGGGCAGCTTCCCTGTTGCTCTGGCAGGACGCCTGGGTCCCTGCCATAGAGAATAGGGCCTTCGCTTCCTCCCCCCTCTCCCCCAATGGGAGCTTTGCAGTGCCAATAAATAGCCCTTCTCAGGGGCAGGAGGATCAACCGGGATCCAGCAGGGGGCAGCTTAGCTCAGGCACAAAAGCAGGATGGGGTGGGGGGAGGGGAAGAGGATGCTTTGCCTATATTTGGGGAGAAAGCTTCTCCACCCCCGTTTGGATACTGGCTGGTGGAGAACGAGCCCCCAGCCAAGCTTTTGTAGCAGCCCAGGGAATAATAATAATAATAATTTATTATTTATACCCCACCCATCTGGCTGAGTTTCCCCAGCCACTCTGGGCAGCTCCCAATCGAGTGTTAAAAACAATACAGCATTAAATATTAAAAACTTCCCTAAACAGGGCTGCCTTCAGATGTCTTTTAAAGAGAAGATAGCTGCTTATTTCCTTCACATCTGAAGGCAGGGCGTTCCACAGGGTGGGCACCACCACCGAGAAGGCCCTCTGCCTGGTTCCCTGTAACCTCACTTCTCGCAGGGAGGGAACTGCCAGAAGGCCCTCGGTTCAGGATCTCAGTGTCCGGGATGAACGATGGGGGTGGAGACGCCTCCTTCAGGAAATGCATATGGAAATGCAAGCAATTAAATCAAACCTCCCCACCTCCTGAGAAAGCCCCCCCCCAACCCCACTCAGAGGCCGGCTGGCTTTCTTCCTAAGTGGGTTCTACTTTTCTCCTCCCCTTCACTATCTGTGCCAATTCCTGGCAGAGGGAGGTGCGAAGAGAAGCTGAAGCAGAAAAGAGGAGGAAGAGAAACTAGTTAAAGGAACCATTTCTCTGCAAGCTGCAGCCTGCTTTTCCAGAGCGCAGGAGAAAAGGAGGGTGGGCACAGGTGGACTGGTTACCGAATAGCAAAACCAGGCACCATGGGATATCACAATTAACAGTAACACAGGAGATGGTGGCTTGACAGACCCCATCTGCGGCAGGCTCCACTTCCGTGTTTTTTACTGGCTGACTGTATTCTTTCAAGGATTCGCCTCCAGCAGTATTGCCATTCACTCCTGGGCTTGCTTCTCCCTTCCCTCTCAACTCTTCACAAAGGTGCTTAGTAACTATCTGTACCATTTAATTGCATCTACTCCAAGCCCCAGGGATAAAAAGTTGCTGAAAGGTGAGGAACTGAAGGAAGAGATATAGGCACTCTGGGCAAACATCCCAGCAAAGATGATTTAGCTGGAAGCCTCATTTTCTAGCTACACAGTGGGACAAGCATTTTGACAGTGCTATTTAGAGTTCTCGTGTCTGGGCTGGGCCTTGGATTAAAAACTCAAGCCTAGTTTAAAAGCAAGTATGTTACTCTTGAGCCTTTTCTGCCTACAACTTCGTTTTCTAGGAAGGAAAGGTAACATCCTTCGCTCTGCTAGTGTATTTGGACGGGTAGGAAAGTATCTCCCTCCCTCAAATGTTGCAGAGCCCTGGAATGTACCGCCCTGGCCCATGAGACTGAGGACAAGAGGCTAAAGGGCATTACTTTCACCTGTAAAGAGAGGAATCTATTCTCTGCTGCCCGCAAGCCCACCTTCCTCGTAACTCTTTCCCTCAATGATCTATCTTACCAGCTCCAACTATAAATAACAGTGAACCATGCTCTACCCCTACGCAGACAACACTCCCCCTGTGAAACCCCCAGCAATGTACTGGTCTGAATATGGAAGGGAGATGAATTAATATCTCAAAACCAGTTGCACCGCAAAACCAGCCAGCCACTCAACCAATGTGATCTTCTCCGTCCCCCCATCCGCAATAAGAACTCCTGAAAATCATTTAGGGTTGTCGGGTTGTTGTTTTTTTTCCACCTCAGTTCAAGGCTATAATATCTCATCATTCAATCCCTCCCCGCCCTCCCCAAAAAAGTCAAAAATAAAATAAAACAAGGGGCAGATTGGAAGGAGTGGCCTCCTCAACACAATTCCAATGGAGGGGAAAAAGGGGAGGGGAGACGCTCCTACTTCCACAAAAAAAGGAGACAAGACTTTGAGAGGGGGTTGAAGAAATTAAACCAGGCCTGTCAATCATCTAAAAAATAGATGGCCTTAGATGAAAGGGCTTCTCTCTTTATCAAGAGCGTAAGGGGAGGGAGAAGAAATGAAAACAAAGGAAAATAAGATCTTTGTACAGGGAGCTCGGTCTTTAAAATGAGAAAACGCAGCCTCGTCTCAAAGTGTCCGTCGCACTCCTCCGTGCGGCTGGCTTGTTTCACCCCCTTTCTTGTACATCTGCCCCCCCCAAGCAGTTGGTGCCATCGTGCCAATGGCGCCGGCCCCGCTTGCTGCCCTGCAGAGTCCTGGCCAGTCCCCCGGCGGGCGGGCGGGCGGGGCGGTGGTCATGGGCGCAGCTGGCTGGCGCAGGAAGAGGCGGCAGGGCTGCCCACCAGTCAGGTGAGGGGCGCCGGCCGGCTCACTCCCAGCTCCTCCCCTCCTGGTTGGCTGAGTCCGGACACGTTCGCCAGAGTCCAAGCGACCAAGGCGGGGGGGTCACGATGGCGGGATAAGGCAGAGGTCGCGGGCCAAGCCCTGAAGAAAGGAGGAGCCACCGTCACCAAAGGCGATGCTGGTGCAGGTTTCGGCTCAGCACCGACCGCACGTCAGCTGTGAACCTGGAGGAGGAAGCGGGGGAGAGACAGAGTAAGAGCCACGCAAGGCCTGCCTCTTTGGCCAAGGCACAGTCCGACCCCCTCCTTTGGTAATCCTCACAGAACTCTAGCCCAATGGTTGCCATTAATTTTATTCTGAATTGATTTTAGAATGCTGTGTTACTTTTATTCTTGCTAGCAGCTCTGAGCCTGGCTTCGGCTGGGGAGGGTGAGATATAAATAACATATTATTATTATTATTATTATTATTATTATTTATCTTCCACAGGATTTGGTCCCGCACGTCAACCAGTTCTAGGGCAATAAATATCGCGCACACGCAAAGCGACAAGCAGACTCAACAGCCTGCACAAGAGGGGAGGAGACCGCATTTGGAACACCAAATTTGGGTCACCACCGCTCAAAAACGCCATCGTAGAATGGGAAATGGTCCAGAAAAATGCAGCTCAAACAATCAATTGTAGAACTCCCTGCCGCAGGAGGCAGCAATGGCCACTAGCTTGGATGGCTTTAAAAGAAGAGAAGGGCTACCAATGGCTGCTAGCCAGGATGACTATGTTCTCCCTTCACAGTCAGAGGCAGCGATGCTTCTGAATTCCAGTTACTGGAAACCGCAGGAAGGGAAAGGGTTCTTGCGCTCGGATCCTGCTCGCTGGTTTTCCCTGGGGCATCTGGTTGGCCACAGTGAGAACAGGATGTTGGCTAGACCAGTCGTTGAACAGATCCAGCAGGCTATTATGTTCTTACAAAAAACACAGGCGCAGGGCTCCTAGAACAACCCAAAGAATCCCCGTTCCCTTTTCTCCTCCCAGCTCCACCCCAGAGCTTTACCTCAAGGCATCGAGCATGGGGAGCAAGTTGAGAAGTGCCGTGTCGCTGGGATCGCTGAACCAGGACTTGATAGGTATTGCGTTATCTGCCGGACGCACACAGAGAGAGAGACACACAAACACAACCGTCAGTGCGCTTGAACCACACCCTAACCCCCTCTGACCAAACCTGTGCTTTGGGTTGAACCACTTAAGATTGCCGGGGGGGGGGGGGGGATACAGAAGGGGCTCCTACAGCCGAAGAATCTTTTGTGTGCACACACAAATCCCAAAGTGGAGAGTTTTAGCCTTGCCTTATTCCCAATGCACAAGTGCTGCAGGGGACTGAACAGAGAACACTTACATCATATTCCTGCATCACAAGGGATTGAACGAGATGACCCCTTAGGATACCTTATTTTTAACAATTGTGAAAAAAATGTATGTATAGTTGCATCCGCAATTGCAGGTGTAATTTGTTTTAATGAAGGCCAGAGAAGGCTGGTTCTCTTGGACCACATCAGATTGGCTTGCCAGATCTGCTTGAGCGTAACAGACAACTCCGAAAAGCGGAAGCGGCAGGAAGACGAGAGAAGAACGCTTGCTGAATAGAAGCAGAGAACTAAGCAGGATGCTTCAATACCATCAAATGAAATAATTTTCTCAGCTGGTGAAAATGAAGAACAAATAGCCGATGCCCAAGATGGGCATGACGGAAGTTATGAATGGGCATTAGGAAAACCAAGACGGAGTGAAACACATTGGAAACACATAATGTTGCTACGCAGAGCATCGGATATGGTGTTGGTCTGTGTGCGACAGCTGCCATCACCACTGCTGGTTTGATCACTGAAGAAGACGAGAGACTTGCGGATGATTGCAATAAAGTCAAGAGCCCAAGAAAAAGTGATGAAATCTCTGGATCAGCAATTTGTTAGAGGGGTGAAATTGACTTCATCTTCTTTGACGGCTGCCAAAATAAACTAATGTTATGCTGAAAGCCGACAATTCAGATCAGCCGTCCCCCAGAACAGAATTACTATAGTTTTCCATGTATAAGACGATGGTTTTTTTAATATTTAAAAATAATGTTAAAAATTGGGGGTCGTCTTATACACAGATAGTGCTGAGGAGTGACAGGCGATTGGTTGCAGCCGTGAGCAGATTGTCAGTGGTGACTTGGCGGGTCATTGGTGGCTGTGGCAAGGCCTGCTGTTGATTGACCGCCGCTGCACCAATTGTGTGGGCGATTGGCGGCGAGCGGGCAGACGATTGGTGGCTCTGGCAATTGTGAGCGCCGGTCAGGTGGGTGAGTGATTTTTGGCAACCCCCCCAAAAAAACACTCAATAACTCAGGGTAAGCGCCCCCCATTTTCTTAATTTGGAGTCCCCCAAAATAGGGGTCGTCTTATACATGGGGGCGTGTTATACACGGAAAAATACGGTATTTTGTGAGAGGTGAGCCATCTCTACCACTTCACTCAGAGAGAAAAACCAGCTGGAGTTATTGCTGATAATCTTGTGGATTTCATGAAGGAGGGCATTGAGATTGCAGGCAATTGGAGGCAATTCTACAATTGTTAACACTGGCTCGGAGTGCGGTACCCATGCACTGGGTAGAGGTCAAGCGTGGTCGTAAGCTGATCTGGTTGGTTTGTGCCCTCCACGCCAGCAAGTTACCCCTGCGACACTTGATCGCAGCACTTGATGGAAGACCTTGTCTAACAAGCAAGCAAGACAGGTAACATTGGCAAGATGCTACAGAACTTGAAATTGATCCTCCATGCACCAAACTCTCCGTTGCAGAGCCTCTTACTTCACTGAGTGGCAAAGTCGTAAAGGATCTGTTTAATGATCAAGCACACAGGTATTGGATCACACAGGCCATAAGGGCATGGAAATGGGTCCAGTGAGCCATTCAAGGTGGTTAACAACAGCAAACGGGCTTTGTCGCATACGGGTTTCAAAACATGGCCTTAAAGGCAGAACCCTCAGCGATTTAAGACTGATACATGCATTGTCTGCAAGTACTACACCTGCTGATTCAACATCAGAGTAGAACACTTTTGGGTGGAAGGCCCACTCCACATTTTGTCGAGGAGAGTTAGGCTGCAAAAGAAGGTTGTGGTGGATGCTGTTTGGCCAACCGTCCAGTGCTCAGCACGACATGCGTTTAGCAAAATGATAATCCAGACGCTCTTGTGCTCAGATGACCGTGAGGAGACGACAGCTGGTGTCCAAAAGATCGGTGACTTGAGGTGTGAAGAGGACGACACACTGGGAGGAGATCTTTGTGTACATCCGAGGAAGGCGCTTTCCAGCAACCCCAGCGCTTCATCCCTGTTGGAGCTGACAGACTGGTCTGACAGGCTATAGGAACCTCCTTTGACATGTAAACTTGCTACAGTGGAAGTAAGTTCGCTAGCAAGCCCATACAAATTTCACAACGGCCTTGTCATGCTCGGTCTATAGCAAGGCACGTGAAAGAAGTCACAGAGTCAGCAGGTAGGGTGTAACTCATGAGGAACGTGAGGCGTGTATCAGAGGCCAAGAAGTCTGCGGCTGATGTCCAGGGATGCAACTTCTTGTTTGCATTTCTTCTTAACTGATGCCATTACGTCCTGGTGTTGTTTCATGATTACAAGTGCGCTTAGGAGGATATGTTTCATGCAGAGAAACTAAAATGTTTACAGCATCACCTGACATTTTCAGAAGGTAAAATTAAAAATCTCTGGTTTACCGAAAGCAGTTTGTGAGCTTTTTAATCGAACGTGGACTTACCAAGTACAAAAAGAATAGCAGATTCGAACTCCTCACACCTGGAAACGTGTTTTTAAGATGCCTCGCTGAATATGTCTGCAAGAATTCACCCCCTAAAATGGCATGCTCTCCTGTGGGAATGAGTGGCTGGTTCCTTAAGTCCCCAGGGAGACGGGAGTGAGCAAGGAGGAAGATACAGCAGGCCCTCCACGAGACATCCTGGGCTGCAGAGAGCGGCCCCTCACCCAGCAAGCAGACCACTGGTCAAGGCACAGGACACCACCCCTCACCCACCACCAATTTTCAAAGGGGACGGCGGGTCTAGCCCCCTACCTGGATGGCTCCTGTAGGCTCCTGGCGAATTGTCCAGGATGACTATGCTGGACAAGTCGTTATGGACGACGGAAAGGTCTTTGATGTAACTGCCCAGCTCCAAAGTGCAGTGCTGGAAGGAGAGAGAGAGAGGGAGTTGGAGGGGGGTGTATGTTTGCACACAGGACAGAAATAACAATTCTCTCTTAAACTGGACAGGGCTGCAGCTCGGTGGTGGAGGGTGGGTGACTTGTGGAAGTCAGCTGGTAAGTTCACCAGACCTCAATCCATCACAGAAGATGAAGAGCCCCAGCCGAGTCTTCAGAGATTTCCTGCTTTCCCAGCAGAACGGCTTCTTCCAGAGTCCCACGGTTATGGGGAAACCTCTTCTCCCGCACTGTTCGAAGTGTTCATTATTTCCAGGCGCAAGGCAAAGCTAAACGCCACTATGGACTTTATACAGTTCTTCTGGTCTTTGAAGTGAGGGTGCTTATGTACGGAGAGATCCGCTAACGCTGTCACCCTGCTAGCTGACGCTGCTGTGTAAAACCCACAGCCTCTTCCCCCGACTCTCACAGATTCAGAGTCAGACCCTGACAGCAAAGCAGGAGAGCATCAGGACAGGACCTCACATAATGGAAGAAATGCCCCGGAGACTATCATGCCCGTCTCTGCATTCCTGAACCAATGGGAGGGTGAGCGACTCAGCCAGTCAAGCCCAGGACCTTGCTGGCGTTGCTACGGTAACCCAAGCGCACCTGGTAGCCTTCTCTCAGCACATCCAGGTGTGCCACTCATTTGGCAGCAAGCAAGCCAAGGCGGGGAGCCTTCCCTCTGAGCCGCTGGGTGGACCCTTCTTCTCCCTACTCCACAGGCTGTTTCACAGCCGTAAGGGGCAAAGGACTCACCTGTCTGTAGTATCTTCTCTTTAGGATGCTCCTATTATTGTCTAGCTTGTCGGCCACAGCAGAGCCATATATTTCCATGCTGGCCGTGAAGACCACCAGCTCATACCACTGGCTCACCTGAGTCGGTGGGAGGGGAGAAGAAAAGGAAATGGAAAGTCAGAGGGGAGCTCCCTTTGTCCTTCACACACAAAAAGCCCCTTTCACTCTTGCAGGCAGATGAAAGCCCAAGATTTCGGCAACTTTCACCCACACATAATCCAAATTAGACTTTCAGGAAACGCCATCTAATCTCCCCAAATCTTCCATGCCCTCCCAATACAGATTACATTTAAGCATCACTTAAAACTTGTCGGTCTGAAAAGCTCTTCATGAACGGATTGTGGCACGGTTATTACGCCAGCCCCTCCAAAGAACGACAGCCAGGCAGAGTGCAGCAGGCACCCATTATTAGTCCTGCAGAAGCCCCCCCTTCCGTTCTCAGCCCTTAACGGAAGAAGCTGCTTCCTGCTCATAGCTCCTATCGACCTGCAACAAGAGCCTTGTGATGCTTTTGGGCGCTTTCAGTGAACACCTCTTCCTCTTTCCCAACCTCCTTCCCCCTGGCAGCTTCGCAGGTTCTGGCCAGCCCTCCTACTATCAAGTCTAAAGCTAAGTAATGATGGCGCCAGGCAAGCCTCCCTGGGGAGAGCATTACACAAGTGCGGGGCCACCACTAAAAAAGGCCCTGTTCTTGTGTCGCCACCCTCCGCAACACCCGTGACGCAGGACCTCAGGGGATAGTTGAAGCGCCTGGGTTGGTGCATGTGCTTTTATGTATTCCATGATTTGCACCCTTCCCTGGATTTGACGGAGATGGTGACTAGCCTTAGTAAACAAAGCAAAGCTCCAGGGGCCTGCTTCAAATTTTCCAAGTTTCCGGGAAGCAGTGGGAAGAGAGAAAGTGAAGAGGAAAGGGACTACTACCCTAAAGAAGCTGGGACGAATTGCTGTGAGCAGGATTAACGCGGATTAGGCTAAACAGGTGCCGGCGATTAGAGGCAAGGCTGGCTGATCCAGTTGGGTCTGGGATCAGCTCTCCACCCTTGAACCAGACAAGGCAAGGGTGGAGCAGGACAGAATGGATTTAGCACACCACCGTCTCTCCCAGGCAGAGCTGGCTCTGGGAAGATCCATCCCTGGGCGTGTGCATCACTCGAAAGGCCACCCAAGTTCAAAACATTTCCGGGTGATGCGCGTGGGCAACACACAACACAATGTCTTCCCAGTTGCCCTGGCTGCTACTCTCCCTCCCTGCCCCCATGTCACTACACCACCCTCCAAGTAAACTTTTCCCGAGCTAGAACCCTCCCCATGTTTTGGACTACAACTCCCATCAGCCCCTGTCAACAGGCGCTGACGGACAGGCATGGTGGAGGACAGTCCTTCAGCATCGGCAGTGTGCCAGGATGCTCATACCTGCTTGGCAGTTTCTCCACGGAGCTCAGTGAGGGGAGGATGGGCCTCCCAACATAGTCCAGCTCAAGAGCGTGAAGCTGAGAGGCTTGGAAAGCCCCCTCTGGACTGGAGGAGCACGCCCAGCGAATCAGTGGCAGTGCAGCGGTCACAGCTGTGGGTTCAAATCCGCCCTGGCCACGTGAAGCCTGCCGGGGTGAACTTGCAGGCCGGTTGCTATCAGTCTAACCTACTTTTTGTAGGGTTGTTGCGACAATAAAAATATAGAGGGGCGGAGAATTGGCACGTCTTGGTCTCCTGGAAGGAAAGCTGGGAAAGCAATGTTCTGCAGACACACAGCTCTGCTTCTTTACATCTGCAGGTGTGGGAGTGGATGTGCTGGACTGGTGTCTTGCCTCAGTAATGGACTGGAGGAGAGCCAATAAACTGAAGCTCAGTCCAGACCGAGGTACTATTAGGGGGCTGTTTCCTAGACTGGATGGATGGGAGGTGGCCTGCTCTTGAGGGGGGTTAAACTCTCTCTGATGGAGCAAGTATGCAGCTTGGGGGTCCTTCTAGATCAGGGGTAGGCAACCTAAGGCCTGGGGGCCGGATGCGGCCCAATTGCCTTCTAAATCTGGCCCGCAGACGGTCCGGGAATCAGCATGTTTTTACATGAGCAGAATGTGTGCTTTTGTTTAAAATGCATCTCTGGGTTATTTGTGGGGCATAGCAATTCGTTCTTTTTTTCTTTTCTTCAAAATATAGTCCAGCCCCCCACATGGTCTGAGGGCTGGCTGACTGGCCCACAGCTGAAAAAGGTTGCTGACCCCTGTTCTGGATCCTTTGCCTTCCATCCACTACGGCTGCTGGCCCAGCTGCACCCCTATCTGGACTGGGACAGCCTAACGTCTGTTGTCTATGCTCTGGTAACCTTCAGGTTAGATTACTGCAATGCGTTATACATAGGGTTGCCCCTGAAGACGGTCTGGAAACATCAGCTGGTGCAGAATTCAGCAGCCAGGTTGCTCACTGGACCTAGGATGCTTTGAGCCTATAACGCCAATCCTGGCCCGACTCCACTGGCTGCCAATTACCGTATTTTTCACTCTATAAGACGCACCAGACCACAAGACGCACCTAGTTTTTGGAGGAGGAAAACAAGAAAAAAAAATTCTGAATCTCAGAAGCCAGAACAGCAAGAGGGATCGCTGTGCAGTGAAAGCAGCAATCCCTCTTCCTGTTCTGGCTTCTGGGATAGCTGTGCAGCCTGCATTCGCTCCATAAGACGCACACACATTTCCATTTACTTTTTAGGAGGGAAAAAGTGAGTCTTATAGAGCAAAATATACGGTAGTTTCTGGGCCCAATTCAAAGTGCTGCTTTTGACCTATAAAGCTTTAAACAGCTTGGGACCGCCTCTCCCCATATGAACCAACAGATCATCTTCTGAGGCCCTTCTTCAAATGCCCCATCCACAAGAGGTCCAGAGGGTGGCAACACAAGAACGGGGCCTTTTCTGCGGTGGCTCCCCACTTGAAGAATGCTCTCCCCCAGGGAGGCTCGCCTGGCACCTTTGTAACATATATTTAAGTCCCAGGCAAAAACTTTCCTCTTCTGCCTGGCTATTGATTAATTAAACAATCTATGACCTTTTAAACGGGGGGCAGGTATTTTGTTGTCGTTGTCATTGTATGCATTTTTGTGTGTTTATATTGTAGACCGCCCTGGGATCTTCGGATGAAGGGTGGTTTAGAAATTTAATAAAGAATAACAATAATGGCAATGTTATAATCAATAAAATAAAATAAATAAAATATCTGTCTCGCGCACGAACACCTTACCACTTCTAGGAAAAAGTCCACGTGAGGCCTCTTGTGTACAAAAAAGCGGACTGGATGTTTGTCTATGACAACCTGGAAACAGAGGAAGGCCTTTTAGTCAAAGCCTGGCAAAGTAAATATGGCCCAGAGCCTTCTTGATGCTGTGGACTACAACAGCCGGAGGCTGGGGCTGATGGGAGTTGTAGTCTAACACCACCACAAAATCGGCAGGTTGGTGACGAGAACTCACTGATAAGTACGTTTCCAAGCACCATTCAAAGTGTTGGTGCTGACCTTTAAAGTCCTAAACGGCCTCAAAGGCCCAGTACAGTGGTACCTCGGGTTACATACGCTTCAGGTTACAGACTCCGCTAACCCAGAAATAGTGCTTCAGGTTAAGAACTTTGTTTCAGGATGACAACAGAAATCGTGCTCCGGCAGCGTGGCAGCAGCAGGAGGCCCCATTAGCTAAAGTGGTGCTTCAGGTTAAGAACAGTTTCAGGTTAAGTACAGACCTCTGGAACGAATTAAGTACTTAACCCGAGGTACCACTGTATATCTAAAGGAGCATCTCCACCCCCATTGTTCTGCCCGGACACTGAGGTCCAGCTCCGAGGGCCTTCTGGCGGTTCCCTCCCTGCGAGAAGCCAAGTTACAGGGAACCAGGCAGAGGGCCTTCTCAGTGGTGGCGCCCGCCCTGTGGAACGCCCTCCCACCAGATGTCAAAGAGAACAACTACCAGACTTTTAGACGACATCCGAAGGCAGCCCTGTTTAGGGAAGCTTTTAATGTTTGATGTTTTATCATGTTTTTAATATTTTTTTGGAAGCCACCCAGAGTGGCTGGGGAAGCCCAGCCAGATGGGCAGGGTATAAATAATAAAAAATTAATTATAATTATTATTATATTATTAGGCTCCGTGGCTGCCTCTGATCCTCAAAAAATGAGACCAAACTCAATCCCCAGTGGCTAGCGTGGGTTGCTGTGGGAACTTCAGGGCTTCACCTAAGCCAAGGCAGCTGCTTTCTGAAGCCAGGAAAACAGCCCTGGACACGTGAAGAATGCAGACTGGCTGGTGCAGAGATCCTCTGCAATGGCTGCGCCACCGCAAACTGGCTAAAGGTTGCAAACCCTCCCTGCTGCACCTTCCGGAGGCCAAGAGGGCCGCCTCCTCCCTTGAGCCTACACACCTGCTGTCACTCGAGTGTGCAGGTCAGTAACCACAGAGTTCAGAGATGGAGTTAATTCTTTGTTAGCTAAAAAGCAGGATCTCCACAGACTTGGCTGAGTGTCAGGCTAAGGCCTAATGAGCAAAACAGCTCCCTCCATGAAAACCAGTGGCAGAGACTGAAAGTCCCTTCCTCTCCCCAGGGCTTTCCCCCAAGCAATCAGAGACAATATACCATATTTCTCTGTGCATTAGACGAGGTTTTTTGACTCAAAAATCATGTCGGAAAACTGGGGTCGTCCTATACACGGATAGTGGCGTGAGGGGGAAGCTGCGCCCCCCGCCAGCTGGTTTGCGGGCGCGCAACTCCCCCTCCCATGTTGCTGCGGGAGGTGCGCGCTCTAGGGAGCAGTTTCCCGCAGCGGCGTGGAGGGGAAGCTGCCCCTGCCAGCCAGCTGGTTGGCAGCCCGTGCTCTAGGGAGCTTCCCGACCACAGTGGCATGGGGGTAGTGGCTGCCCACTTTGCCAACCCCCTGCAACGGCCCTGCTGGGGTGATGGCTTGTGTGCAATTCCCCCTAAAAAAAGCTCATCAACTTTGGGCCATCTCCCCTCATTTTCTTTAAATTTAGTCCCCAATAATAGAGGGGCATCTTATACATTGGGGGGGGGGCGTCTTATACACCGAGAAATACAGTATGTGTATCGTCAACCTCTCCTCCTGTCTCCTGGGCTCCCACCCTTCTGCTTTTTTCTGTCCCAGCTCACTAAGCCCTGTTACCCCTTCGGCTTTTGACACCTCCTCCTCCCAGTTTCCTCGCTCTTGACCATTCATCGTCATCCCACCCCCAATCCCCGGGCTCTGAGCCTTCCTCTCTGGGTCCATTCCTCTGCGTCCAACCAGCCCCTGCTACCTGCGCCCCTCGTGCCCAGCTCCTCCCGCACCCGAGAACGGCTCACCTTAAGGATGAAGTCGGGCGGAGTGCCAGGCCTCACCGTGGGCCGCAAGACTCCGTCGTGATGGGAGTGGATCAGCGTCTCGTCCAGGTCGAGCACAAGGATCTTCCTCTTCACCTGGTCTGGTGGAGGTGGGGAGAGGAGCGTCAAGACAAACAGCTCAGTGCCCTACACACCTCCCTCCTTCCCAGTGCTCTGGGGAGAGCCTGGGGCAGGGCGAGGGAACCAGGGAGACCCCCCCACCCTCCACGGGGCAATGTACTTACTGAGGCGCTCCCGTGAAACTTTGGAAAGGGGAAGAATGTCGTAGCGCACCGTCTGATACTGGATCACCTGCCGGACAGACACAGGAAAAGGGGGGGGTGAGTTTATAAAGGGTGGCCCAGAAAGAACACCTGAAGGGCCAGTGTTAGAAATTAGGCAGGTGCCAGGCGCGTTTTGCGACCAGCACTGGTCCAACTGCAGCCCCATGGAGATCTCTGGACGCCAGGTTAGCGACAGACATTTCCATCTGGCTGGCCCCTCAAACTTTCTTAAGCAGGTGAGCTCATTTCTTGCATTTGTCTCCCACCTTTTCCTCCAAGGAATACATGGTTCGCCCCGCTCAACAGTTAATCCCTACAACGACCCTGTGAGGTAGGTGAAGAGGCCGCGACTGACTCCAAGGTCACTCAGGACTGTGCGAGGATTTGAACCTGGAACTCCCAGGTCCTCGTCTGACACACGCACCACTGCAAGCACCCTGACTTCCTAGAATCCTTCTGCTATGGGGCAGCTCTATAAATTAAGCGGGTAAATAAATATGGGGGGGGGAGCAAAATGTCACATAGAGAAGCATCTGAAATATTTTCCTTAAAGCTTGAATTTCTTTTATTCAGGATTGGTTGACTGGATGTAAACCACTTTGAGATATATGTAAAGCGGTATAAAGGTAAAGGTAAAGGGACCCCTGACCATTAGGTCCCGTCGTGACCGACTCTGGGGTTGCGGCGCTCATCTCGCTTTACTGGCCGAGGGAGCCGGCGTACAGCTTCCGGGTCATGTGGCCAGCAGGACTAAGCCGCTTCTGGCGAACCAGAGCAGCTCACGGAAACGCCGTTCACCTTCCCGCCGGAGCAGTACCTATTTATCTACTTGCACTTTGACGTGCTTTCGAACTGCTAGGTTGGCAGGAGCAGGGACCGAGCAACGGGAGCTCACCTCGTCGCGGGGATTCAAACCGCCGACCTTCTGATCGGCAAGCCCTAGGCTCTGTGGTTTAACCCACAGCGCCACCCGCGTCCCTTGTAAAGCGGTATAGAAATGAAATTAATAATAATTTGCACTGCATGAACAAAACAGCGCTTAGACATTCTCTTGTGGCGACCATAGCTGAGGTTCAAGGTACCCTTTGGCAATTAGCATATATATCCAAATTTCTAACGTTGCAGAAGGCAGGATGCTCAGGCCAGAAGAGCTGGATTTCAAGAGAGGCTATCTGACCTTGCCTGCATCGCCTCCCTAACCAAGCCGCTTATTCCAGGCCCAGCTGAGAGAGGCAGTTGTCACTGCTGATACTAACAGCCTCCAGGATACCTCTGTGACTGACACTTTCCACCTTTGCAGGTTTAGGACTTTTTAAAAGGAAAACCCCGCAGCAACCAGGCTTGCACTTGGCGTTTGGCTGTTCTGAAAGCCAACCCTCTTTCTACTTCCAAGGAAACCGCTATGAACTGGGCAGCCTGGTCACTTGCTCATTTCTGCTGAATTCTGCTCAGCAGGAAAAGGGTGTCGCACCAAGCAGCCTGGAAAGGAGAAGCTGGGTGAACTGTGCAGGGCAAGGCCTTATGGGGCAAGGAGCAGGCTGCGTGTTCACCACACATTTGAGGAGCTCGCTGGACGTGACCAAAGGAGCCAGCCATGGCCTCCCTCAGGCTAGCCTACCTCTCAGGGTTGTTGCTGCAGGGATTAAATTGGGACGGAGAGAGAGAGAGCCATATACGCCACCTTGGAAGAGAGGGTATAAATGCAACAAAGGACAAAACAAAGTTAGAGCCACCAGAGTATTCTGGACCAGTGGAAACATTATACAGAGAATCCCGCAAGCTAATAATAATAATAATAATAAATTTTATTTATACCCCGCCCTCCCCGGCCACAGCAGGGCTCAGGGTGGCTAACACCAGTAAAATTACAGTAAAAACATAAAAGGAGGGGAAACCCAATTTAAAATATGGGTCAAAATGCAATTTAAAATGCAGCCACATTTTAAAAGTAGCCCATAGATCAAAACCATAAGGGGAGGGAAACATGAGGGTCAGACTGAGCCCAGACCAAAGGCCAGGCAGAAAGATGTCAAGTCCCGCAGGGCCCTAGTCTCTTAGGACAGAGCGTTCCACCAAGTCGGGGCCAGTGCTGAAAAGGCCCTGGCCCTGGCTGAGACCAATCTAACCACCTTGCGACCTGGGACCTCCAAGGTGTTGTCATTTGTGGACCTTAAGGTCCTCCACGGGGCATACCAGGAGAGGTGGTCCCGTAGTTCTCCAAGTTCTCAGGTATCCTCCCCGCACACCCTCAAATTCCCTCTCATATCTCTTGCCAAAAGACCTTCCATCCTTTGGATTTGTTTTTTTAAAGGGCCAGAACAAAAGAAGCTGCCTTGTACCAGTTTGGCCTATTTGTCCACGGGGCCTAGTATCACCTGCTCTGACTGGCAGAGGCAGACCGTTCCCGTCACCTTCCGGCAGAGATCCTTTTAGCAGAAGGCGGCCCCGGGGACAAAACCTTCTATATGCCAAGCAGTTGCCCTGCCACCGAGCCAGGGGCCTTCTCCTTAAACGGAGAGCAGTGAAGGGACTGAGCTCTGAACCAAAAGGCCTGCATTAAGAGAGTCACTTTTGCCCTGAGCAAATTCATTTAGGCAAGTCGAAATCCCCAGTCTCTGTCCTAGCCGGTGGGAGGAGAACCCTGACCCACCCTGCAAGGAGGCCGTTAAGGAAGGATTCTTGGCGCAAGGCGAGTGAAACCCTCTGGATGCTCAAAACGCTCTGACTGCATTCCAGGTGTGACGAAGTTCACCTGGTGGCGGTGCCTGGCACTCCAGCACCACGGCCGGACCTGCCTCAGAGGCCAGGAAAGTAGCCAGATCGCTGTCTGCCTGATCAACAAACCACTTCGCAGCCAGAAGCTATCATCAAAGCGGTGTAATAGGGGAAAGGATTACACACCAGAAGTCGTTTCTACCATTGTACAGTTAAAATGCCGCCATCTACCTTTGGGGAATCATAGAACCTTAGTGTGGGAAGGGACCCCAAGGGTCATCTAGTCCAACCCGCTGCAATGCAGGAATCTCAACCCCACCTCCACAGTTACGAGGCAGGAACGGTTCTCAGTGCCAGTTGCTGGAGACCACAGAGTGGGGAGAGTGCTCTTTTATGGGGATTTGAACCCCTGACTCCCAGGCCACAGATCAGCACTCTAACCCATGGGTAGGCAAACTAAGGCTCAGGGGCCCGATCCGTCCCAATCACCTCTCGCGAGTCTCCTCTTTTCCAGGCTAAACGCACCCAACTCCTTCAACTGTCCCTCATCAGGACTGGTTTCCAGACACTTTATAGCATGGGTAGGCAAACTAAGGCCCGGGGGCCGGATCCGGCCCAACCGCCTTCTCAATCCAGCCAGCGGGCAGTCCAGGAATCGGCATAGAATTTGTCCTTTTATTTAAAATGCATCTCTGGGTTACTTGTGGGGCATAGGAATTGGTTCATTTTTTCTTCAAAATACAGTCCGGCCCCCCACAAGATCTGAGGGACAGTGGACCGGCCCCCTGCCGAAAAAGTTTGCTGACCCCTGCTCTAACCCCTGCAACGAACTGCCTCTTACGAAAGGCCCCCAGCTGCAGAATTTCCACACTGAGAGTGCAAAACGCCTTCGGATATTCCCACGATGCTTCCTGGAGCATCTCTTGGGGAACGGAGGCCTCTAGGAAATGGGATGGGGAGGGCTCAGAGCCCATGCCAGGGAAGATGCCAAAGCCCTCTCCGGTTTGGAGGGTCTCCGACAGCCACAGAGGGCAGGTAAGGTCTCAGCTGCCCGCCAGAGCTGACCGCACTGGGCCAGAGAGGCCAATGGGGTGACTCTCCTCATCTCGTGCTTGTCCAGATCTATTTTTGCCTCCCACCTGCTGCTTTTCCTCAAAGGGCTCCTCTGCAAGGGCACATAGATGGCCGCAGGCCCAGGGGTCTGTCTCTCGCTCTCTTCCGCCCCCCGCCCCGGCCTGGCTCCTTACCCACCCACACTCGCTCACACGACAGCTGCCCCCTCAACTGCCCTTGGCAGGCACCTGCAAGTCCCATGCCTGTGGCCGACACCCTCCCGCCCCACGTGGTCCCCTCCCAAATTTAGCCAGGGCAGCCTCTTGCGACTGGGAAGCCGGCCAGAGGCCAGGAGGCCCCTGTCCCAGAAGAAGGCACTGGAACTGGGGGCTGGAAGGAGAGAGAGAGTGGGGATCGGAGGCCCAGCAAGGAAACAGAGCAACCTCAGGGTGGAGTGGGGGGAAATCAAGGAGCATCGTGGCCCCCCAAACCCTTATTGTGGGGGCAGCCCTGCCTTGTCTTTCTCTCTCTCTCTCTCTCCCCTACACACACTTGGTGAGAGGCCATCTGGGGCCATGGCAGCAGATACTACAGTTTAGCTCCATGTTTCTCAAACTTGGGTCCCCGGCTGTCGCTGGACTACAATTCCCATCACCCCTGGCCACTGGTCCTGCTAGCTAGGGGTGATGGGAGTTGTAGTCCAACAACAGCCGGGGACCCCAGTTTGAGAAACACTCTAGCTAGCCCTTCCTATGCTTTGACCTGACACCCAGTGTGGCATAGCGGTTAAGAGTGCTAGACTCAGCCAGTGTTAAAATCTCACAATATATAAGCCGGGTGCCAAAAGGCATCTAATGCTGTCCAGGGTTGCAAAGACTGCGGAGAGAATAATTGGGTGCCCTCTTCCCACCTTGGATCAAATCTACGTTTCCAGGTGTCATAAGAAAGCTGCAGAGATAGTGCAGGATAGTGCGCACCCTGGAAATGATCTCTTTCAGCTTCTGCCTTCTGGAAGAAGGTACAGGGTTATAAAGACTAGGACCAGCTGCCTGAGAAACAGTTTCTATCCAAATGTGATTTTGGTTTAAAACGCAGTGTAAGGTAGTCTCTGTGGGAGTATACAGTGGTGCCTCGCAAGACGAAATTAATCCGTTCCGCGAGTCTCTTTGTCTTGCGGTTTTTTCGTCTTGCGAAGCACGGCTATTAGCGGCTTAGCGGCTATTAACGGCTTAGCGGCTTAAAGAAAAAGGAAACAAACTCGCAAGAACTCGCAAGACGTTTCGTCTTGCGAAGCAAGCCCATAGGGAAATTTGTCTTGCGGAACGACTCAAAAAACGGAAAACTCTTTCGTCTTGCGAGGCATTCGTCTTGCGAGGTACCACTGTATTGTATTTAATTATGGGGTATCAGAGTTTTTAGGGGGTCAACCAGGCTGGGATAGTTGGGATAGCAGGCTTGTTGGTTTTTGAATGTCTGGTGTAGATTTTTTCAATTTCGTTGTTCTGTATGGGACAATGACAATAAAGATTATTGTATCGTATCGTAAATGACCCTCAGGGTCCCTTCCAATGCTATGATTCTATGATATCAACTACATTGCTTGACTGTAGCTTGCTCGTACAACAATTCACGTGCCCCAGTATGCAAGAAGGAGAAACACTGGTGTAAAATGGAAATAGTATTAACTATGGACTAAGGCAGAGGTTTTTAAACTGCGATTGCCAACCTGGTGCCCCAAAATCTCTGCATAGTGGCAACTGGACCTGTGCTAGTAGCAAAATTTGCCTGGTGCCTGGCTGATTCCTAACACTGCTCTCAGGCTAACCTACCTCGCAAGGTTGTTGGGAGGATAAAGTGGGGGCGGGGGAAGATGTACGTACACCTCCTTGGAGGAAAGGCGGGATATAAATGTCGTGAATAAAACAAATCCTCTTCTCACACAGACAGAAAAGTTGGCAGAGAGGTGTAAGCAGAAGAAGTCAAGAGTCCAAGCCTTGAAGCCCATGTAGCTGTGAGCGTGATCCAGGAAGAGGCAGATTTCTTGCCTCTGGGGGGGCACCTCTGCCTTCCCCCTCTTATCAAGCAGATGGTGGAGGGAGGGGTTTATGAGGCACAGGTGGACTTAAGGAGATCCAACCTTCCACTCCAGAGTAACCCCACTCCCCCTGGTTGCTCTCGTAAAGACGGACTGAGAAACTAAACCAGAGGCTCCACTTCCTCTCCAAGTCGCTGGGGCCTCAAAGTGCAGAACCTCACCATCACTTTGACAGAGCTTTGGAACTGGTTGTGAAAAGGAAGTTTCTGGGGTTTGGTTTTGACAAGTGGGTTGTTATTTTTTCAAAAAGAAAGAAAGCCAGCATGCATGTAAGTTTTCTCTTACTAGAGGGAGGCTGAGGAACAAGGAGAAAAGAAGCCGAGTGAACAAAGAGACGGCTTTTGCACTCCCCATGTCACACACTGTTTGGGTTTGTGCTCTAGGTGAGATGGAAAAGGATGCCTTTGGCTGCCTGACACAGACAGACAGACAGACAGACAGACAGACAGACACCTGGCCTGGCCTGGCGTCAATTGCTAGCCATTTCTTTGGGTTACCAGATGAGCCTGACAATTCCTCAAGAACCGGGCACAACGCGCCGTTCAGCTCCCAGCTTCACCCGCCACAAATTTCACCCTGGACCTCAACATTCAAGTGCTAATTCTGCAGTGGCACCTGGAGAAGCCCACTTCTGCCCAGGGCCCTCCTTGCTCGGGCTCCTAGAAGCTCAGCGCTGGAGTCTAGGAAAAGGAAACATCCGAAGTGCGGGTATTAAAATTACAGTGGTGCCTCGCAAGACGAAATTAATCCGTTCCGCGAGAGTCTTCGTCTAGCGGTTTTTTCGTCTTGCGAAGCAAGCCCATTGACGGATTAGCGCTATTAGCGCTATCAGCTGTTTAGCGGCTATTAAAGGCTTAAAGGCTTAGGGATTAGCTGCTAAAAGGCTATTAAAGGCTATTAAAGGCTTAGCAGATTAGATAAAGGGGGAAGCGAAAAAAATCTCAAGCCTCGCAAGACATTTTCGTCTTGCGAAGCAAGCCCATAGGGGAATTCGTCCTGCGAAGCAACTTCAAAACGGAAAACCCTTTCGTCTAGCGGTTTTTCCGTCTTGCGAGGCATTCGTCTTGCGGGGCACCACTGTAACAGCAAAAGCATTGCCTTGTCTATTGTATGATGGCTGAGGCTGTCACCAAGCCACTCTCATTATTTCTCCTGATATGACTGTTCCCTGCCCTCTCTCCTCAGAAGTCCGCCTCTGAAGACGATGCAGAAACTTCAGCTGGTGTAGAATTCAGCAGCCAGGTTGCTCACCGCAGCAAGAAGGTTTGAGTGTGTAACACTGCGCTGGCTGCCAATTAGTTTCTGGCCCACTCCAAAGTGCTGGTTTTGAGCTATAAAGCCTTAAACAGGTCAGGACCGTAATACCTCAAGGACCACCTCTCCCCATATGAACCAACCCAGACCCTGTGATCATCATCCGAGGCCCTTCTTCATGTGCCTCCTCCAGAAGAGGTCCACAGGGCAGCCACACAAGAACGGGCCTTTTTTGCAGTGGCTCCCCGTTTGTGGAATGCCCTCCCCAGGAAGGCTCTCCTGGCACCTTCATTACATATCTTTAGGCACCAAGCAAAGCTGTTTCTCTATAACCAGGGCTTTGGCTGATTCTATGGTCTTTTAAATATGTTCAGGCCACAGGAGGAATTATTGGTTTGATCTTGTTCTTGTTTTTATTATGTATTTTCTGCTCTCATTTTGCTTGTTTATGTTGTGAACTGCCCTGGGATCTTCGCATGAAGGGTGGTATACAAATTTAATAAGTAAAATAAATAAAATAAAACTCCTGAGCTGTCTTGGAAAAATCCAACATTTCCTTGTCCCCTAGAAGGGGAACCGACACTCCCAATCACAACCTTTCTGTTAGAATGCCCCCAGCCTCACTCAGGACTAGACCCCCTCCACCCTTGGCCATCTGCTGCGCTCCAGATACCCTGAACTACCACTCCCAGCCAGGACTAGGTTGGGGAAGGTTGGTCAACAACACCAGTCAGCAGGGGGGGAAAGCAGCTACTCTCAGGGGAGCAACCAGATGGATCGGGTGCATTTGGATAATCTGGAGGCGGTTGGGGTGTGTGGATGGTGGTCAACTAATTGAGGTTGAACCCAAACAAGACAGAAGTACTGTTTCTGGGGGACAGGGGGATTCACTGGTCCCGAATGAAGTAACTGTGCTCCAAAAGGACCAGATGTGCAGCCTGGGAGTCATTTTGGACTCACTGCTGTCCATGGGGGCACAGGTCGATTCAGGGCCTGGACAGAGCAGCTTGGCAAAGCACCATAGATCCTCATGCCAGGGGTAAAGCAGAGAGCAGGCAGCCTAAATGGGCTTCAGGTGCTCTCAACTCCCCACAGTCTAAATAGGAATCAGAGGGAAACAAGGTACTGTTTCATTAGGCGACTTCTCCCAAAGCACCTTGCCGTCGCTAAACCCAAGGAGGAGAGATCCTGCCTTATCCAGCAGTAGCTGTGCCTGGAAGGAAAGACAGCTAGTAGGAGTCACACAGGCACACACATACACATGGCACTCGCTTCCTTATATTTCTGCCAACAGCAAACTTTAGAACACACACACATGCGCGCCACAGTGAGGGCACGGCATCCCTGGTGCCCCACAGCTATCTTGAACGGCAAGTATTTTAAGCACTCCTAGAATCCCCCCCGGCAGCTGTCCCAGGACCAGAAGGAGACCAAAGGGCTTCAAGGTAGCTCCTCCGCCTCATGACATCCCAACCCATTTCCCCCCAAAACCGGTAATCCAAAACCAACACCCGTAGAAACCAGCCACACGGATATAAAATTATCAGTGTACCACCCTGTGATAAACTCCCTGCCATATGCTAGAAGCATCTAGACAGAGCTGCTCCACACACACACCCCTCCACATATTTCACACCTTCAAGTACAGTATCTTATTAGTCTAGTGTCAAAGAAACGGGCTCACGAACCAGTCTAGTTTGGGCTTGAAACTCTCAAGTGCAAACATGGCAACCTGCTTAACTGTGAGTGTGGTGAAAGTTTCTCCTGCAAGAAGGAAGAGAAGAGGACTGCTTCCCCACCAACTCATGCTCCAGTTGCAACTGTCCCAGTCAAGCTTTATTTCAATTTTACACACAAGGTAACCAAGATGGAGTGATCTATAGGAGAACCGTGCCCTACACCCAAGAATCCCACGTCTAAAGGCAGCCCAATACTTGAACTGCACTGGCAGTCCTCAGCATGGTACGGGCACAAGGAAGGAAACAGAGGCCCACTAGAAACCTAGGAGAAGGAAAGCTGTACCTTTCATAATTAGGTACAGGTTGTCCCTCTCTCACACAAACGCACACACAGCAACAACAATGGCTGTAGCTAAAGGAGCAGTCAAGCTTCTAACCAAACACTGAAATCTCCAGGATCTCAAGCTTCACACTTCCTGTCTCCATGAAAACCAAAGCACCCTGGTTTCCTCCTCCTCAAATCCCTTCTAATCTTTGTTACTATAAACCAATGGACCCCAGTCTTGTTCCCACCCTCCAAAATCATCTGAAACAAACAAAAATATTGGAAAGCAGATTGTGACACCTTAGGATGGAAATTGCAAATAAAATTGTTTTGTAGTTCCTACTGCTTCTAGTTTCCTTTTCCTCCAGTTCCAGTTCACACATGGGGCAGGGGTGTACTGAACTGGGGTATAAAACAGATACTGCAAATTGGTGCCCTCCGGACACTGAGGATTACAACTCCCACCACCCCAGCCAGCTTGGCCAAACAACAGGGAAGATGAGGTTTGCAGTCTATGACCATCTGAAGATGTTGAGAAAATTAGGTGGCAATCCCTGCAGATTGATTCCTAAGGATATTTGAAAAAAGCACCCAAAGTTTGATGAAGCTGTGAGCTGAAGGAACAGGAAACTGCACGGCACCATTAAACGTTGTAAGTGCATTAACCGGTCAAACCAAGTTTTACATACGTATAGTTTGTAAAGGAATTTCAGGCTCAACTGACAGGCCTGACGTTTTGTTTCAACTGAGCTCCCAATCTCAGAAATACCCTTCCTCTAAGGCCAAATGGGTTAATGGGAAGAGTTACCGCCCTTGTTTTGGTACCCCATTGTTTTCCTATAAACTACTTCTGCTGTGACCTAAGGAAGCCTTTTCCAACACTGTATGCGCCAACTGTTTTGAACTGTAACTCTCCTGCAGCTGGTGAGAGTTATATTCCAAAACCAAGTTGGGAAAGGCTGGCTTTCAAGAAGCCACTTCAGAAGTGTTAAGTTACTACTCTTTTAAACTTGGTGACACATTCACTTGCTGCTATTCACTATCTCCACTATCTGGGCGTGTGTGTTTTTAGGGTACTTCTCGTTTTCTTTAAAGCTGAAACGGCACTTGCAAAACTTTTAGTAAAACATCCCTTGCAGGGTCAATGGTGAGAAACTGTAACCACTGGCTGAGAAACCCTGGGCCAAATTTGAAAAGGCACTTGAACTGTCGGCAAAGTCTGAAACCGGTGCATTTCCTCGCTAGCTCAATTTTAACAGCATCTGAACTGTTTGCCACAACATCAACCACACACCAATCACTTTAGGGTACCTCCAGCAAGGGGAGACATCTGAGCCAAAGCTTTGGTACAAACCCCAGGCCAGGATTCTCAGCTGTACACTTGGACCTCACTCACACAAGCCAGTAAAACCCATACCCAGTAAAACTCAACAAGGTGTGAAGTTGTTACAACCTTCCACCCTGGCCAAACCTTCGGCCATGGAACTGGGCAGGTACGCACAAGGCAAGGTACGCACAAATATCTTTGTCTATGCACGCACACCCCTCGAAACAACTCTTCCAAGGAAAGAGGGAGCATGTATGTAGCAGCTCTGTCGCTCACAGGTAGAGCATCTGCTTAGCACGCGAAAGGTCCCAGATTCAACCCCCAAAAGCGTCTCCAGGTAGAGAGACACCCTGGAGAGTTGCTGCCGGTCAGCACAAATAGCGAGCGAGGAGGACCAATGGTTCTGAGAACAAGGCAGCTTCCTAGGCTCTTAGGTTGGGCTGGCGGAGGGTCACCCTGGTCAGGAGGGCAGAGAGGTGCGAAGCGAGGAGGATTCCCGGCTTGAGGCGGCCCCACTCTCTCACCCGCGTTGAAGGGGGCCTGGCTTTCAAAAGGGAACGCTCGCTCTCTGCACGTCCTCAGAGGCACTCTCGCCCTCGGAGCGCTTTCCCACCCGGAAGCGACGCCCACCCAGCCACCGCGGGGGTCGGGAGGGCGCTACTCACGGTGCGGGCCTGCCGCCGCAGCAGGTACAGCAGGAAGCCCCAGAGCTTGGCGGCGAAGGCGAGGAAGGCCCGGAGGCCCAGCAGGCACTGCGAGCGCATCATCCCGCCGGCGGGGCCCGCCGCGCCCCCGGCCCGGCCCAGCTCCGCCAGCTTCCAGCGGGGAAGGGAGGCCGGGCGGAAGCAAGGAAGGGAAGGAGCCGGGGAGGGGGGAAGGGGAAAGCGAGGCGGGCGAGGGGCCGCCGCCCTCCGCCTCAGCCCGTGCCCGCGGGCGCCGCCATCTTAGCTCCCCGCTGACGGTCGCTACCGGCTTTAGGGGGGAAGCGCTCCCCCCCTCCCCCGCCGCCGACCGTAGTCCTCTTCTTCGGTCCGCTTCCGGGGCAACCGACCCAGCGCCACAGACTGCTTCCGGGGCGCGCGCGGCAGCGTCCAATCAGAAGCCGAGGGAGACGCGGCCACGGCGCCGAGGAGCGCACTGCGCCTGCGTCGAAGCGCTGGAGGAGACGGTTCAGTAGCGGGAGTTGGAGCGTGTGGCGCTGGGGGGAAGAGGCATGCGCGAGGACACAGCCGCGCATGCGGACAAGGTTGGGGGGTCTGGGAGGGCGGCGTTGCGCACGCGCGAAACGAGAAACATAGACACACGGCCAGCTGAAGGAGGGGGGGAAACAGGAGGGTGAAGTGAGCAGGCGCGGGCTGATTAGAGAGTCTTCGGGTCTGAGCATGCGCTGAACGACCGGGGAGGGGCGAACACAACAGGGAGGAAACGGCGCGTGCGTGAGGAACCAAGACGCTCGCTTGCTATACTAGATGTATAGCGATAGACCTACACGCAGAGGGTTGCTTCCGGGCTCAACATGCATTTTTTTAAAAAAATAAAAAGAAATTAAGTATTGCCCTACCTCAACATCAAAAAAACGAAGATCATGGCCACTGGGCCCATCACCTCCTGGTGATGAAGGGGAAGGGGAAGGGGCGATGAAGAAGAAGGGGAAGAAAGGTAGGCAGTGAGAGATTTTACTTTCTTGGGCTCCATGATCACTGCAGATGGTGACAGCAGCCACGAAATTAAAAGACGCCTGCTTCTTGGGAGGAAAGCAATGACAAACCTAGACAGCATCTTAAAAAGCAGAGACATCACCTTGCCAACAAAGGTCCATATAGTTAAAGCTCTGGTTTTCCAGTAGTGATGTATGGAAGTGAGAGCTGACCATCAAGAAGGCTGATCGCCAAAGAATGGATGCTTTGAATTCTGGTGCTGGAGGAGACTCTGAGAGTCCCATGGACTGCAAGAAGTCAAACTCTCCATTCTGAAGGAAATCAGCCCTGAGTGCTCACTGGAAGGACAGATCCTGAAGCTGAGGCTCCAAGACTTTGGCCACCTCATGAGAAGAGAAGATAAGACTCCGGAAAAGACCCTGATGTTGGGAAAGATGGAGGGCACAAGGAGAAGGGGACGACGGAGGGCGAGATGGTGGGACAGTGTTCTCGAAGCTACCAGCATGAGTTTGACCAAACTGCGGGAGGCAGTGGAAGACGGGAGTGCGTGGCGTGCTCTGGTCCAGGGGGTCACGAAGAGTCGGACACGACAAAATGACTCAACAACAACAACAAGTATTGCCCTGCTGGGAAGGTCGCTCATAGAAAAGAAGCGGGAAAGCCAGATTTTTTGCACAACTCTGCTTGGGTACAGGCGCGAAGAGATTGCAGCCAGGGTGCCCCACTCAGGTCTTGTTGTGCTTGGCAAATGTATTTTTGCTTTTCTTTTTCAAATATAGGTTTGAAGATGGGGCTGGAGTGGTCCCCCCCAAGTCCTCTGTCCTCGCCCAGGCTTCCCACCCCTCTCCTGCTACTTAACCATTTCCCCAGCCTAATCCTCGTTTAAAGCCATCCAGATTGGTGGCGATCGCTGCCTCCAGTGGGAGAGAGTTCCGTAGTTTAAATCCGCGCTGTGTGAAGAAGTGATTTTTTCCCCCAGGCAGCAAACGCTGTGTCCAAAAAGGTGGTGGGCTTTTCGCGGTAGGAGGAGGGTCCACACATGAGTACTGAGGCAACCCAGCTTAGAAGGTAGCAGGCGTTGCAAAGGCAAAGAATTCGAATTAGAGGAATCCGACTACGGCACCAGGAAGGTTAAATGCACCTGCACTGGATTGTCAAAAAAGGAAGAGGGGAGAACCTTTGAAGCGTAAGCAGGCAGCTTTCAGAGAGAAACCACACTTCTTTGAAAGCAAGCGAGGCTGTCTGAACATAAGGAACTCCCTGCCACTAGAGATTCAGCCCTCTGCCTTCCGTGCCAACTTTCAGACGTCTGCTGAAAACCAATTCTATTTCGCCAGGCCAAGGCAGGCAGTTTTAAGAATATATCCTTCCACAATGGTTAACTGACATCTGTTTTTAACTTTTCAAGGTTTTACTGGATTGCTTTATGTTTTTATTGCTGCAAACCACTTTGATATCTTGTATACAGCGGGTGTTGGGACGCGGGTGGCGCTGTGGGTTAAATCACAGAGCCTAGGACTTGCCGATCAGAAGGTCGGCGGTTCGGATCCCCGCGACAGGGTCAGCTCCTGTTGCTTGGTCCCTGCTCCTGCTAACCTAGCAGTTCGAAAGGACGTCAAAGTGCAAGTAGATCAATAGGTACCACTCTGGTGGGAAGGTAAACAGTGTTTCCATGTGCTGCTCTGGTGCCGGCCAGCAAGAGCAGCTTAATCATGGTGCCATGTGACCCGGAAGTGTCTGCGGAGCGCTGGCTCCTCAGCCAATAAAGTGAGATGAGCGCCGCAACCCCAAAGTTGGCCACGACTGGACCTAATGGTCAGGGGTCCCTTTACCTTTACTATACAGCGGTATACAAATAATTTTATAAAATGGAACATACAAAACATTTCTAAAGTAAGGCTGCCATACGCCCTGGATTTCCCAGACATATCTAGGATTCGTCCGTCGGAAATAGTGTCTGCTTTCCGAAAATCGTTTTTAAAAGTCCGTGATAACACAGGTGGAAGGCAACCCATGCCGGAAGTGTCAATTTTTTGGCAGATTTCCTATTATAAAGGAGCTTAGCTTCATAACTTTGACAACACGCTAGGACAGAATTTATTTTAGTTGTAAAAAAACCACAACACTGAATATTTGCCAAGCAAACTATTGTGTGAAAAATATTGAAATGGGTGTGATATGTCATTTTTTCCTTAAAAAAATATAAATAAATCACCAATCCATGTCCGGTTTTTTAAAATCTTCATTTGTTTATCCTCAAAAAACACACACATGTTCTTTCCACAGAATAACTTCCTGTGTTAACCCTCTCCTCTTTGCATACCCATAGCAGGATGGGGTCAGGATTGTGTCCATTTAGCATGTAAAAGAGATTGATTGTGGCAGCTCCTGCAGGAACATCCTGAAGTTTTCAGGGGCTTCTGTGTCTCTGCCCTTTCAGGGAGGATTCCTTCCTATTAGCTGTGAGCATCTATTCCCAAGGCGAGGGACGATTTCCCCTTCGTAGGTGGCTCCAAGGCGGATGTTCAAGTGGGAAGAAGCCAAGAGAAGCCATCCAAGATGGCGGCTTTCAATAAGGCACCAGAACGTTCCATTCGCAGCCGACGCCCCATCGCTCATACATCCAAGTCGTCGTCCGGGTCTTCTTCGTCTATGTCATCTGCAGCATCCGGCTCATAATAGATCTTGCCCTGGCTGGTCGGCGTCTGCAGTAAAGATGACTTCCTGCAGCAGGGCGAGAAATGGGGGTTAGAGGCAGGGGGGAAATGCCGGTCAGAGAATAATAATAATAAATTTTATTTATATCTCGCCCTCCCCAGCCGAAGCCGGGCTCAGGGCAGCTAACAACAATAAAACAGTACAACACTCTAAAATCATTCATTATAAAATTAAGTCAAATCAGCCTTGCCCCCTGGGTGGCTTTGGACTACAACTCCCATCAGCCCCTGCCAGTGCAAAATTTTAAAAATTACATAAAGCATAAATCAGGGCACGAACGTCCAATCTCAAGTGCTGCCAAAATGTCCCTCTGGAAGACATCTGAAGGCAGCCCTGTTTAAGGTAAAGGGACCCCAACCATTAGGTCCAGTCGTGGCCGACTCTGGGGTTGCAGCGCTCATCTCGCTTTACTGGCCGAGGGAGCCGGCGTACAGCTTCCGGGTCATGTGGCCAGCAGGACTAAGCCGCTTCTGGCGAACCAGAGCAGCGCACGGAAACGCCGTTTGCCTTCCCGCCGGAGCGGTACCTATTTATCTACTTGCACTTTGACGTGCTTTCGAACTGCTAAGTTGGCAGGAGCAGGGACTGAGCAATGGGAGCTCACCCCGTCGTGGGGATTCGAACCGCCGACCTTCTGATCGGCAAGCCCTAGGCTCTGTGGTTTAACCCACAGTGCCACCCATGTCCCATGCAGCCCTGTTTATGGAAGCTTTTAATGTTTGATGCATTACTGTATTTTAATATTTTGTTGTAAGCTGCCCAGAGTGGCTGGGGAAGCCCAGCCAGTTGGGCGGGATATAAATAAATCGTTATTATTATTATTATTATTATTAGGGAGTTACAGCCATAGGCATCCATTTTTTTTAAAAAAGAGTAAGGTCCCATCTGCACTATATGTTTACAGCCGTGTCATACCATTTTAAACAGCCATGGCTTCCGCCCCAGGGAATCCTGGGAACTGTGTTTGGTCCAGGGTGCTGAGAGTTGCCAGGAAACCCTCCTGTTCTGTTCGGAGAGATGCAACTCACAGAGTGGTTTTAACAGTCTATCCCTCTTTCCCAGAGAATTCTGGGAAACTAGCTCTGAGAGGGGAAGTGGGGGGTCTCCTAACGTTAGACTACAACATTAAATACAGTTTTAAACAATTTAGAATCACAGAAATAAGGCGGGTCATGAAAATATACACCTCAAGGGGGTCACAGAAGGCCTGTGCAAAGAAGAGCGCCCGGAAGCTTAATAGTGAAGTTGCCAGAAGCACTGCTGTGGGGAAGGAGTTCCACAACTTAGGAGCCACCACAGAGAAGGCCTTCTCATAGGCTGCTGTTCCCACTCCACAAACCTCTGAGGGTGATGGAATAACCAAGGGGGCTCTCTCCCCGAATATCAGCACCCGAGAGGGACCGCAGGGAAGGAGGTGGCCTGTCAGGTATTGAGGCCCGAGTTCGAGTTCTGTAAGCTGTTTGCATTAAATACAGCCCAGATGCATCCAGCAGACTTGAAAAGCAAACACGCAGAGTACAATTCTATGTCTGGGTCATAGCTGTCAACTTACAAATTTGAAAATAAGGGACCAACAGTCTCAAAAATAAGGGATCAGCAGCCAAAATAAGGGATTTTCCAAGCACAGGTATGTTCAACTTCTAAGCCCCTCCGAGCCAAAGGCTGAAAGCCCAGCCAGCAGCCAAACGAAGCCTCAAGCGGTGGTTCCCACAGCGCAGCAACCCAGCAAAGGGGATGCAGCAAGGAAAACCACCGTCCCCTCTCCGCTGGGAAGCGCTGAGCAAAGGTGAGTCCCCAGGCAAGGCAGCCGATTTGATTGGCACAAGGCATGCAAGCTCCACCCCCCAGTCATTCTCAGACTCCTTATTGGGTGAGCAACGCAGCCAAGCAACACAGTTGGAGCCTCCCTCCTCCCTGGCCGGCAGGGAGGGAGGGAGAGGAGCTGCTTCCTTTGAAACCCGGGAAATTTAAGGGACATCATCAATGAGGAACAGCAGCGGGACACGGCGCTGGGATAAGGGAGTTTCCGCCAAATAAGGGACGGTTGACAGCTATGGTCTGGGTAGGCTTTTAATGTTTTTAATTGGGCTGTGAAAGCAAGACAAAGACACTTGGCAAATATTGACAACAATAAATCCACCTCACCCACCCAATCAAAGGACTTACTTTTCGTCACTGAACTGATACGGGAGAGGGACGGACTCCTTGGCCCGGCGCTCAGCTTCCGACAGGCGCAGGTTAAAGGTCAAGTTGGCGGCTGGGTCGGCCTGAGAGGAGAAGAAGCCCAGTCAATACCAGCAGGAGGGGGAGATTTGACAGCAAAGCGATGGGACAGCTGCTATAAATCTCAGCCTTGGAACAGGTGAAATGGGTACAAATTTATTTATTTATTTATTATAAGATATTTATTAAAGTTTCAAAAATAAAAAAAAGAAGTTACAATAGTAATAATAAGAAAAAGAAAAAAAGAATAAAAGAATAAAAAAAGAAAGAAGAGAATACAAAATACAAAAAAGTAAAAACCATTAAAAACAAATCAGTCTTTCCATATCTTGTCTTTCATTCACTTGTTTCCCTGACCTCCTCACATTTCCCCTTTTTGTGTTCCAGTTCAGTAAATTAATTCAGCAAATCCTTTCCCTCTTTGTTTTTATCTTAGTCCTTTGTCTTAATATGTAATAACTGTATATTCTCATCTGTTAGCAGTCCATTTTTACATACTCCTTGTAACATTGCTACTAAAAACCCCTTAGCTTCATTCCAACATCATTCTAACATTCATTAATTTTACAGTATTTCTGTAGATAGTCTTTAAATTTCTTCCAATCTTCTTCCAACGACTCTTCTCCCTGGTCTCAGATTCTGCCAGTCATTTCCGCCAGTTCCATATAGTCCATCACCTTCATCTGCCATTCTTCCAGGGTGGGTAGATCTTGTGTCTTCCAGTACTTTGCAATAAGAATTCTTGCTGCTGTTGTGGCATACATAAAGAAAATTCTATCCTTCTTTGGCACCAATTGGCCGACTATGCCCAGGAGAAAGGCCTCTGGTTTCTTCAGGAAGGTATATTTAAATACCTTTTTCATTTCATTATAGATCATCTCCCAGAAAGCCTTAATCCTTGGGCACGTCCACCAAAGGTGAAAGAATGTACCTTCAGTTTCTTTGCATTTCCAACATTTATTATCGGGCAAATGATAGATTTTTGCAAGCTTGACTGGGGTCATGTACCACCTGTATATCATTTTCATAATATTCTCTCTTAAGGCATTACATGCCGTGAACTTCATACCTGTGGTCCATAACTGTTCCCAGTCAGCCATCATAATGTTATGTCCAACATCTTGTGCCCATTTATTCATAACAGATTTCACTGTTTCATCTTGAGTATTCCATTTCAGCAGCAAGTTATACATTCTTGACAAATTCTTAACTTTAGGATCTAACAGTTCTGTTTCCAGTTTTGATTTTTCCACCTGGAAGCCAATTTTCTGAAATGGGTACAAATTTAATGGGCAGGAAACAGGATCCGGGTGGGCCTGAAACCCTAGTGCCTTGCGAGCCAAGATGGAGTTCTTGTTATTAAATATACCAAGAAAAAAGCACACCAAGAACTCGGGCCAATGTACGTTTCAATAGTGGGAGTGGTCCCTACTCGCAAATCAATAGTCAACTGTAACAAAAACTAATCCATTCAAAAGTATGTTTTCTGGCAAGGATTACAGACTCAAATAGAGATTACAAACTCAAACTCATAAGGATATGTATATCCAATTATGGGTCAGAAACCAGTAAGTTCATGTTAGTCCACAGTCAGATTCGATATGAAGGTCTTAGTTTCAATCATTGATCAATCTTAGTTCAATCATTTCGATGTATTCACCTTCATCAGCTAATTTTTAAAGGGTCGTGTAAGTTTGAAGAATTCGTATAAATATAACCTGTTATTTTCTACGTTTCTCAGAGATAACAACTACGTGTGGGTAGATCACCATGTATCTTGAGCTTTTCTGTTATCTCTGAGAAACGTAGAAAATAACAGGATATATTTATATGAATTCTTCAAACTTACACGACCCTTTAAAAATTAGCTGATGAAGGTGAATACAGTGGTACTTCAGGTTACATACGCTTCAGGTTACAGACTCCCCTAACCCAGAAATAGTGCTTCAGGTTAAGAACTTTGCTTCAGGATAAGAACAGAAATCGTGCTCCGACGGCGTGGCAGCAGCAGGAGGCCCCATTAGCTAAAGTGGTGCTTCAGGTTAAGAACAGTTTCAGGTTAAGAACGGACCTCTGGAACGAATTAAGTACTTAACCCGAGGTACCACTGTACATTGAAACAGGGCCCTGTCCTGATTTCTGATCCATAACTGGATATACATATCCTTGAGTTTGAGTTTGTAATCTCTGTATGAGTTTGTAATCTTTCCTGAATCTCCCAGCGCTCAGTTTCACTGGCCGGCCACGTATTCTAGCGTTACGAGAGGAGAAAAGCTTTGCCTGAAGCCCCAGTGAGTCACTGCCAATCAGTGTAGGCAATACTGAGCTAGACAGACCAAACGTCTGACTCAACTCAAGGCAGGTGCCTATGTTCCAAGCAAAGAAAGGAGGTTCTGGAGTCTGAGCCCTGCATCTTGTTACTCCTTAAGGGCATTGGGTAGGATTTTTGTTTTTTGAATTTTACTGTCATTCATGTTTTTATACTGTATTTTATGCTGTTTTTATAACTAAGTGTTTTAAATTTGTTGTTAGCCGCCCTGAGCCCAGTTTTTGAACCGGGAAGGGCGGGGTATAAAAATAATTTATTATTATTATTATTGGAGCTCCAGCACCCAACGAGATTCCCGTCTCGTCTGCTGCCACCCCCACCTTACCATTCCTCCACTTGCAGACTCCCTGGCACAAACGGCCTACTCGCAAGCCCCAGAGCCCACAGAACTGGATGCTTAACTACCGTATTTTTCGCTCCATAAGACACACTTTTTTTCCTCTTAAAAAGTAAGGGGAAATGTCTGGGCGTCTTATGGAGCGAATGTGTGGTCCCTGGAGCCAAATTGCCAGAGTGCGGCACTCTCTTGGGCTGCTCTTTGGTGGGGGGGGGAGCCGCGCTCCTCTGCCGGCAGCCTCGCCTTCCCCCTGCAGCCCCGGGAAGCTTTGCAGCAGCGGGAGGGCTGTGCGCCCATGCCCCGCGCTCCTGGGCTGCTGAATGGGGGTAGGGGGTGCTACTCTGCCCGCAGCCTGCCCTTTCTCCTCAAGCTTTGGAGCAGCGGGCAGGCTGTTCGCTGAGAGAGGGGAGGAAGAGGACGGAGAGGAGGGGGACCAAGAAGCTGGGTTAAGGGAGACCAGGTACCGTAGGTTGCCGTGAGTGGAGAGTCATGGTAGAGGGCAAAGGAGAGGGAGCAGGGAAGGGGAGAAATTGCAGACGTCACCTGAGGTGTTTGGGTGAAAGGGATGGAGAGGAGGAGGCTGGAAAAAGGGGCTTGCACGCGAAGATGGTATTTTACATGAAGATAGCGAAGAAAGTGATGTCAGTGATTGTGAGCAACTAAGCTCCATCAAGACAAATCCGTTTATTGTGAGGACCATGCCTGTACACAAACATTAACACAACAATAGTTAAAAGATATTAAAATTCATTACATACTACGCCAACAAAACCTTCATCCCACAAAATAGAAAGAGAGGGAAAACGAGCAACGAGTTAAACAGACGATGAAGGGGTCTTTACATTGTCATCCATAAGTCTTTCCCTGGCTTTCATGGCCTTTATCACAAAAACCGCTACCACATGGGTAATACGTGGGTTTGCATCAACTAACAAAAATTTTACTCTATCTTCAGGATTGGTTATAGAGTTGGGTATAATTTGCAGCAATGCATCTCTAAAGCTCGAGTAGATGGGGCAATAGAGGAGGTAATGTGTAAGATCCTCTTTAATTTTCATAAGGCAAGGGCATAAACGATGTTCTACTGGGGTTTTTGTGAATCTACCGGTCAGATATGCAGTTGGCAGTGTTTGAAACCGTGCCATAGTGAAAGCTCTCCGAAGGGTGGGGTCAGTGATCTCCACCAAGTAGTTGGCACAGATTTTGACTGCTTTTACTCGGGGAAGCCAGTAGGAAAACCCAGAGTTTTTTATCTTTGTGGAGTCCAAAAAGGCGTCTTTTTCAAAGATCCATCAATTCTGACTCTAGCAGTGTTGAGTTCTTGGGGTTCACAGAAGACTAGAAGAGTACTCAAATCTTAAAGTCTCTCTTCATTCGTTAATGAAAGTGATGATGGTTCTTAATGCCACTGTTGACTGCTGTTCACTTTACATGGCTGTAATATGATTCTGATATACCGGTTGTTTATTAAATACAGTAGTTTAGACAACATTTGATTCAGAATATTTTTTTCCTGTTTTCCTCCTCTAAAAACTAGGTGCGTCTTATGGTTGGGTGCGTCTTATGGAGCGAAAATACGGTAAATAAGCAAGTAAGGTCACCTACCGTAGGCGAAGCTTTGCCATCCTCTGGACGGCCCCCTTCGGAAACGCCGTCCCGTGGCACCTCGCCAAGGTGCTTCAGGAGAAAACCCGGAAGCAGCGTAAAGCGTTCTTTCTGGGAGGGAGCAAAAGAGGGGCGAGGGGTGTCAGGAGCAGGTCAGCACTAAATCACACCTAGTAAGGGAAGTTAACTCTTGGTGCAAGGAAACTGTGTATTCTCAGGAGGCAGGATTTACGCCTTATCAGGTGCGGGTGTGGTTGCTCGAGAGTAAACAGGCAGGACTCCGACCTGTCTTTTCCAGGCTTTATTCTTGGTGCAAGGGACGCAGGTGGCACTGTGGGTTAAACCACAGAGCCTAGGACTGGCTGATCAGAAGGTTGGCGGCTCGAATCCCCGTAACGGGGTGAGCTCCTGTTGCTCAGTCCCTGCTCCTGCCAAGCTAGCAGTTCGAAAGCATGTCAAAGTGCAAGTAGATCAATAGGCACCGCTCCGGCGGGAAGGTAAACGGCGTTTCCATGCGCTCCTCTGGTTCGCCAGAAGCGGCTTAGTCCTGCTGGCCACATGACCCAGAAGCTGTACGCCGGCTCCCTCGGCCAGTAAAGCGAGATGAGCGCCGCAACCCCAGAGTCGGTCACGACTGGACCTAATGGTCAGGGGTCCCTTTACCTTTACCTATTCTTGGTGCAAACTATTTACAGTGCAGAGCGTCATAAGTTCATGTCTGGCTCAATCGCTAGCAGAATCTGGGAGTGGCCGGTTTTTGTACCTCCCCCAGCATAAAAGTGTGTTGAGGCTCTCCCTAGCATCCCCTGGTCCCTGCACCTCTTCTTCACTGGGGGAGGGGCTTTCCTCCTCGCCGGGGGAGGAACTGCTTCGCAAGATTTTCGGAGGCTCCCTGTAACACATTTCCCCTCTATCTCTCGCCTCTCCGCCGATGGCAGTTCCCCGACACGCCTGCTACGCCGCCCACTCCCCAGGCACATTCCGCCTCCCCGTCTGACACCCGGCCAGCCTCACCTTCCGCAGCACTTTGCCACCTTTCTTCCTGTGCAAGGTGACAGCGACTCGGGGAGCCTCGTCCCCCTGGCACACGTTCCATGGCGCCAGCTCCAGAGCCACCATAACGCGAGCCAAGGCATGCAAGGCTTCTAGTTGTCCAAGATGGTGCAAGTCCCCATGGACGAGGGTCACCAGCTGGGCAATTTTCAGACCTGCAGAAGATCAGGAAATGTTGGGAAAGCCATGAGACCCGTCACGTCAGCACAACAGCCTTTTTTTCCTTGTTAATATATTTTTATTAAAGATTTCTTAGTTTACAAAAATAAACGCGTTGTCTCTTTTTTCAAGTTGCGTTTTCTACAAATCAGTTTCATTTCTTGCGAGACATTGGTGTTAGATACAGTGTTAGATGGGTCAGCAAAAATTTTCAGCCGGGGGCCAATCCACTGTCCCTCAGACCTTGTGGGGGGCCGGACTATATTTTGTAGGGGGGGGGGGGGGAATGAAGGAATTCCTATGCCCCACAAATAACACAGAGATGCGTTTTAAATAAAAGCACACATTCTACTCATGTTAAAACACCAGGCAGGCCCCACAAATAACCCAGAGATGCATTTTGAATAAAAGGACACATTCTACTCATGTAGAAACACGCTGATTCCCGAACCGTCTGTAGGCTGGATTTAGAAGGCGATTGGGCCAGATCCGGCCCCCGGGCCTTAGTTTGCCTACCCATTGGTTAGGAAGAAAAGAGGGGGAGGGGGAATGGTGAGTAGGGTGGGGTCAGGTAGTTATGCTTCTATTCATCTACTTAGTGTATGTGTGGGGTTTTGTGTCAGCACTACTTATGTGGGTTCTCTTGCTATTCGCTTGTTGTATTTCCTCGGTGGTGAGAGAGGTTGGGGGTGGCTTAGGGTGTGGTTGGTTGTCTCTGCTTGGCTGTAGTGAGATTTGTTTTTGTGTGAGAAGGGGGTCTGTGTGTGTGTGTGTGTGTGTATTTGAATTGGGTTAGCTAGATTGATTTGTATGTTGTCGGTGGATTCTTGTTGTTGTCTTGTTGGGCTGTGTATGTGATAAAGGGGAACCATACCGGGGTGAAGGCGTCTTCTTCTATTTGCCCCCGTGTCAGTTTCAGTTTATTCATAGCTGTCAACTTTTCACTTTTCTTGCAACGGATCCTATTCAGAATAAGGGAATTTCCCTTTAAAAAAGGGAAAAGTTGACAGCTATGGTTTATTGGTTAGCTTTTTCTAATAAGGCTGTTTCCCGTACTATTTGGTACCATTGGTCCAGCTTACTCCTGACTGGTCTCTCCAGTGTCTGGCTATGATGTTTCTGGCTGCTGAGAGTAGGTGGGTTACGAGAGCTTTATGATGTGAGTGGGCGTTATTATCTTGGGAGATGCTTAGCAGAGGTCTTTGACTCCCCCAAAGACCTCAGCGATCAGGCAGGGATATAAGGGAGCAGGCTGTGCAACAACAGCAGCAAGAATACTCATCGCGAAGTATTGGAAGACACAAGATTTACCCACCCGGGAAGAATGGCAGATGAAGTTGATGGACTATATGGAATAGGCGGAAATGACTGGCAGAATCCGAGACCAGGGAGAAGAGTCGGTGGAAGAAGATTGGAAGAAATTTAAAGACTATTTATAGAAATATTGTAAAATTAATGAATGTTAGAAGGATGCTGGAAAGAAGCTATATGACTTTAGCAGAAATGTTATAAAGAATTAAGTATGAATAGATTGACAACGGGTAAAGGTGCAAAACTTAAGGTTAAATTGCATTAAGATAAATTATGGAACTAAATTTGAGAAAGAGGGAAAGGATTTGCTGGAATAATTAATTGAACTAGAATACAAAAAAAAGGAGGTGTGAGGAAGTCGAGGAAATAAGCAAATGAAAGATAAGGATATGAAAATACGGGGTTTTTTTGTTTTTTTCTTTTTTTTCCTTCTATTTTTTTAAAGGTTTGTGTTTTTTAAATGTTTCTGTTTTTTCTTTTTTAATGTTTTGATGTACTGTTGTTTTGTTTTGTTTTATTGTATTTTCTTTTGTTTTTGAGGTTTTGTAACTGTTCACTGCTTGCTGTTCTTTTTTTTTTGTAATTCTTAAACTCTAATAAATAGTCCAGCATCCTGTTCTCACAGTGGCCAGTCGCGTGCCCATTATGGAAAACCTGCAAGCAGGATTCGAACACAGGAGCAGCCCTCTCCCCTCTTGTGGTTTCCAGCAATTGGAATTCGGGGCGTTGACTGTGGAGGCAGAACACAGCCGTCACGGCTAGTAAGCTTTGACAGCCCCCTCCGCCATGAATTTGCTCAACCCTCTTTTAAAGCTACCCTAGGCTTCCTAGGGTATATAAGGGTGGTGTAAGGCACACGGGTGGCGCTGTGGGTTAAACCACAGAGCCTAGGACTTGCCAATCAGAAAGTCGGCAGTTCGAATCCCGCGACGGGGTCCCTGCTCCTGCCAACCTAGCAGTTCGAAAGCACATCAAAGTGCAAGTAGATAAATAGGTACCGCTCCGGCAGGAAGGTAAACGGCGTTTACGCTCTGGTTCGCCAGAAGCGGCTTATTCATGCTGGCCACATGACCCAGAAGCGAGATGAGCGCCGCAACCCCAGAGTCAGCCACGACTGGACCTAATGGTCCTAATGGACCTAATTTACCTTTACCTTTAGGCTTCCTTGATGCCGACAAAGGTCCGTATAGTTAAAGCTCTGGTTTTCCCAGTAGTGATGTATGGAAGTGAGAGCTGGACCATCAAGAAGGCTGATCGCCGAAGAATGGATGCTTTTGAATTCTGGTGCTGGAGGAGACTCTTGAGAGTCCCATGGACTGCGAGAAGATCAAACCTCTCCATTCTGAAGGAAATCAGCCCTGAGTGCTCACTGGAAGGACAGATCCTGAAGCTGAGGCTCCAAGAGTTTGACCTCCTCATGAGAAGAGAAGACTCCCTGGAAAAGACCCTGATGTTGGGAAAGATGGAGGGCACAAGGAGAAGGGGACGACAGAGGATGAGATGGTGGGACAGTGTTCTCGAAGCTACCAGCATGAGTTTGACCAAACTGCGGGAGGCAGTGGAAGACAGGAGGGCCTGGCGTGCTCTGGTCCAGGGGGCCACGAAAAGGCGGACACGACTAAATGACTAAACAACAAGGCTTCCCTGAAAACATCCCCCCTCTCTCACCAGCAGCCTTTGCTCTCCTAGGCAGCTGCGGAAGGACCTGGCAGACGCCGGCAAACGGCAAACGGAGAAGCAGCCAGCTCAGTGAATCCAGCACGACCGTGGCAGGGCCTGGAGACCCTGGAGTCAAGCGAGCCACCAATTCCGAGGCAGAGAAGTCTCCCAGGGTGAAGCCACGGGGCTCCTCAGCCCAGCCCAGGGGATCCTGGAAGGCATCGTGGAACCGTATCCTTGGATAAAACAGGTAATATTAATAATAATAATAATCACCACCAATGGGCCAGATTAAGGCAGGACTACCTCTAGAGGAGAAAGAAAATCCAGTGTTTCCCAAACTCAGTTTTCCAGTTGTTTTTGGACTACAACTCCCATCATCCCTAGCTGGCAAGACCAGTGGTCAGGCATGATGGGAACTGTAGTCCGAAAACAACTGGAGAACCTAGTTTGGGAAACGCTGGTTCAAATCTATTTACCGAAGTTTCTAAGCATTCAAGAGAAAATACCTTTAAAATTTTAATTTTTATTTGGTCATGCATTTCTAACGAGAGCATCTACCTCTGTCTGTACGATAAATCTGTTTAATAATTAAATCTCTTGTTTATTTCATTACAGTGGTACCTCAGGATGTGAACGGGGTCCGTTCTGGAGCCCCGTTCGCATCCTGAAGCAAACGCAACCCCAAATTGTGCGTGTGCGCTTGTTGCGATTTGCCGCTTTTGCGCATGCGCGTGACGTCATTTTGACCGTCTGCGCATGTGCGAGCGGCGAAACTCGGAAGTAACGCATTCCGTTACTTCCGGGTTGCCACGGAGCGCGACCCGAAATCGCTCAACCTGAAGCAACTTTAACCCGAAGTATGACTGTATATACATTTAATTAAGTTTACTAACTGCATACGTTACATAATATTAATTGACACTTTAATCTTCAATGTGGAAGTTTAATTCAGCATGTGGCCTGTGGGTCCTGTGTCGAAGTTCTCTGGTGGCCCGTTTGGTATGGAAAGTCGGACCGCCCCATTCTAAGCGGCGTGCAAAAATTGTTTAAAAGCATGCAGTGGGTAAGATCAATTGGAATTAATCACAAAAGCAGAAAGAGTTTCTAACACTGTTCACGACATACAATATAAAAATCGCAAAATGCATCATCAAAACAGGAACGAAAACAAACCAATAATCCCCTTGCCCACAACACATTTAAAATCATCCAAAGGCCTGGTTGAAAAGGAGTATCTTTACCTAAAGGTGCATAATGACGGCACCATGTGAGCCTCCCTGGGGAGAGCATCCCATAAGTGGGGAGCCACTGCAGAAAAGGCCCCGTTCTCGAGTTGCCACCCTCTGGATCTCTCATGGAGGAGGCATATGCAGAAGGGTCTCTGACGATGATCTCAGGGTCCTTAGCAGTGACTCCCCTGAAGACATCAGTGACCAGGCAGGTATATAAGGGAGGTATCCTGGACCCAAATAGTCCCAGGCTTTGTGAATTCATTCAAGAACCTTGAACATGGCCTGGAGTCCTAGGGGCAGCCAGTGCAAGCTTTTAAGCGCTGCAGTGATGTGCTGGCAACGGTCTGTCCCATCAACAGCCCAGCTGCAGCACTTTGCATGGGCTGGAGCCTCCAGAACGGGTCCACGGGTAGCTCCACATAAAGTAGGCATGTCCAACCAGTAGATCTCGATCTATCGGTAGATCCAAGGCTGATCTTGAAGGATCGCGAGACCCTTATTGATTGTGGGATTAAATAAAGTTTACCAAAAGTTAACAAATAAAAGCTAAAGAACTCTGGCCAATCCTACCCCAAAAAAGTTAGACGACTCTGGGCTCAGCAACTCTGGGCAATCCACCCACCCCACGAACGCTCATTTTTACGACAATGAGGAAATCATGCCAGTTTTTTTTATACTGGGAGTAGATCGCAGTCTCTTGGATGTGCATTAATCGTGTCTGGAGGTTACCAGCGCATGAAACACATTGGCCAGGCTATCTCAGTGGCTTTCTCACACTCACCGGGAAGTGACTTCGGCGCTGAATCCAGCCTTGAATTCTTCTTCTGGGACCTCAAAGCTGAAAACGTAAACAGATTCACCCCTAAAGGAGGAACGGAGGCGAGAGCTGATTATGCTTTTAGGGGAGAGAGGAAGGGGTCCCTTCACAGTCCCAAAGTAGAAGAAAGCAAAGATTGAGGGCAAGAAGATTGAGCTCCAGAGGGAGAACATGAGCTGGTTCTAGACTTCTTTGGTGAGCCACACCTGTCTGAAAGGATCAGGGTGACATATTGTGGTTATGGAGCATCAGGAGTGAGGGGGTTGGAAGTGCAAATCTCGTTCAGAAAGTACTCAAAAGTTAAAGTTTTATGTCACTAATAAGGCCATAAAGGTAAAGGGACCCCTGACTGTTAGATCCAGTCGTGGCCGACTCTGGGGTTGCGGAAACGCCGTCTACCTTCCCGCCGGAGCGGTACCTATTTATCTACTTGCACTTTGACATGCTTTCGAACTGCTAGGTGGGCAGGAGCAGGGACAGAGCAACGGGAGCTCACCCCATCGCGGGGATTCGAACCGCTGACCTTCTGATCGTAAAGTCCTAGGCTCTGTGGTTTAACCCACAGCGCCACCCGCGTCCCTAATAGAATGCCTATTTCAGTTTGTGTACTGATTGGCAATACACCCACAATATAACAGGAAATATTACTATTACTCTAACTAAACGTTTACAGGCCACTATTCCACAAAGCTGCACTCAGCATTATACATGCAGAAAATTTGTGCGTGTAACACACAGTGACTTAGTACCCTCCCGCACCTCATATTTCTGGCCACTCATAAGATTCCTCCTCTCTCCTATATATGATCTTTTGAGGATTTCCTCATGGATCTGCAGAGAGGATGGGTGCCGCCCGCCCACCCAAACCATCCCTGCCTTGTGGTGGTGGTGGCGGGTGGGCTAAGTGGCCAAAGTCTAAAGGTGGATTTCACCCACCTTCGGGCCGACGCTTCCACGAAACTCTTGAGGAGGGTGCGGCCCTCGCAGGCGACGCAGTCTGCAGGAGGAAAACCCAGGATGAACAGAGAACAGATTGACCACCAGAAGTCTTTCAATATTAGTAATAATACAGTGGTACCTCGGGTTAAGTACTTAATTCGTTCCGGAGGTCTGTTCTTAACCTGAAACTGTTCTTAACTTGAAGCACCATTTTAGCTAATGGGGCCTCCTGCTGCTGCCGCGCCACCGGAGCCCGATTTCTGTTCTCGTCCTGAAGCAAAGTTCTTCACCCGAGGTAATATTTCTGGGTTAGCAGAGTCTGTAACCTGAAGCGTATGTAACCTGAGGTACCACTGTATATTATTTGTAACCCCACCCATCTCACTAGGTTGCCGCAGCCACTCTGTGCAGCTTCCAGCATATATAAAAGCAAAATAAAGGTTGCCTCATACACCACCTTCCCCCTTCACTCCCCCCTCCAGGAGTGCCCTCCTTCACCTGAATCCTCCCAGCCCACACTTCCCCCTTAACCCCCTGCCCCACACACTGTGCACCTCTCCCTTAGATCCCTGCCCCACGTCCCCTCCACTTCCATAGGAGCTATGAAGAAAAGGGGGCAGGGGGGATCGCCAAGTCCCCCCACCCCTGGTTCCCTGCTTCACCCCCACAGCAGCTGCTAACAAAGTGGGGCAGGAGACCCCCGTCCCCTAAACCTCACAGAATTGCAGGGACCCCCATGGGTCATCCAGTCCACCCCCCTGCAATGCTAAGGCCTCCCTGAAAGGTGGGTCCCTGCCCCGCCCCATTCCAGTGGGGGGGTTCTCCTTCTCCGCCCCCCTCCCCACCTCACCTTGGATAAGGACGAGACCCTCGGCCCCTCCGGCCACCAGCTCCCCAAGCATCCCTCCCCTGCCTCCCCCGCCCCTCTCCGCCGGCGCCTTGTGTCCTCGCTCACGCCGCCCGGCGCGCGCCACTGACGTCACTGTACGGACAAGCGGGCCGCAGCGCGAGAGAGCCGCCCGCGAAGGCCCTTTGTACGGAAAGGGGCCGCATGGGCGCTGCCATGTTGAGGGAGGCCTTATGAGGCTGCCGGATTGAAGTGATTTGAGGGGAATAATTCCCCTGCAACACGGGAGGCCCTCCCCGGATTTAAAATAGCTGCCGAGAACGCGGCTTGGAAACGCGAAGGGTCCTGTCTCTGTGTATGCAGATTATATATTTATCTTTTTGGACAGGCAGGGGTCTGGACGCCTTAAAAAGGTCCTCATTTGTCTGGCTGGCGGGGGCTGACGGGAGTTGTAGTCCCAAACAGCTGGAGGGCGCCAGGCTCGCCTGCAGGTATCCTTGTTTGCTGAACGAGAGATGCTGTGCCTATCGCAGCAGCAGCTGGACTTGAAAACGGCAAACCGCCTTGGCAGAAAGGCGGCAATGTGAATGCAATGAATGAATGAACAATAAAGAAGCAGAACATGTACAAGTGCATGGCACTAGCCTGGGGAAGATTCAACCTGTTGAATTTCTGCCTGCCCTTTGGTGCTTACGTATTACACAGGCGCCGTTTACCGTATTTTTCGCTCTATAACACGCACCCGACCATAACACGCACGTAGTTTTTAGAGGAGGAAAATCCGTAGGCATGCCACCCGTAGGAATTCCCTCCATAACACGCACAGACATTTCCCCTTACTTTCTAGGAGGAAAAAAGTGAGTGTTATGGTGCAAAAAATACGGTATATTGTTCATCGGCGCCTCTGAAGACCTCCCTTTTGCAAGATGCGTTTTTAAGTGGCTCTTTTCGGCGCCTGTTCAATGCCTCCCTCTTCCAGCAAACCTTTTAAGTAGAGATATTTCTCAGGCTGCATCTGCTTTAGGATTGTTTCAGCATAGCGAAGCATTTTTTAAATAATGTATGGAATTTTGTAGTGGTTGGGTTTTTTTGGGTGATGCTTTTATTACAAAACTGCTTTGAGATATTTTATCTTCTTCTTCTTTGGCGACCCCTCGTAGCCGAGTAAGATTGTCTTCCATAAACACGGTTTTAACAATGAGTCCATAAGCGACCGTGGAGGCCAGTTCTGGATCCACACGTCCTTCCACAGTGGGGACATAGGTCTCCAGGCGGGAGTTGATCATGGTGAGGGTTTGCCAAGCGTGCCTTCCTCTTAGCACGTTTCTCCCTCGCGTGCTGAGTTCGAGTGTCTTCAAAGCCCACAACACCTTTGGTAAAGGCTGTTCTCCAACTGGAGCGCTCGCAGGCCAGTGTTTCCCAGTTGTCGGTGTTTATACTACATTTTTTAAGATTTGCCTTGAGACAGTCTTTAAGCCTCTTTTGTTGACCACCAGCATTGCACTTTCCATTTTTAAGTTCAGAATAGAGTAGTTGCTTTGGAAGACGATCATCAGGCATCTGCACAACATGACCAGTCCAACGAAGATGATGTCGAAGAATAATTGCTTCAACACTGGTGATATTTTATATAGGAAGTGATTCATAAGTGGAATTAAGTGAGGCAAATCTCTGATAGGCAGAGAACCAAGTCAGCGACCCTTCTGGGCGCAGGGGAAAGAGGGTTGTGGAATGGGTAGGAAATGGGTGATTGCTGTGATTATTCTTAAGTGGAAGAAAGATCACACACACATATTGGGGTGTGTGCAATTAAGTTCTACCAAGATTAGACCCACTAAAATCAATGGCCATGAGTCTACGCCCTCACATTGGCTACAACCCACAGATCATCTTAATCTCTGAGCAGCGAGATTTATCCAGGGATTCCAGTGTTTTCTGTTTCTGTGGTGTCTTTAGGATATATGGTTTTATTTACACATAATAATAATAATACTAATAATTTTTTATTTATACCCCGCCCTTCCCAGTTCAAAAATCCGGGCTCAATTCAATAAATATCATATTAAAAAAAACAAAAAACAAAAATCCGGGCTCAGGGCGGCTAACAACAAATTTAAAACACTTAATTGATGCAACAAAAAACAGCATAAGATACAGTATAAAACATGAATAACAATAAATTCAGAATTTAAAAATCGATTTAGGGGGGAAATCCAGCCAATAAACATTAGATGATCACCAGGGCTAGATGGCTAAATTAGTCCTATTTAGGCCAGCAAGGAGACCAGGGGAGAATTAGCTGTGGGATCCCAGAGCGGGTAATCTTCATAAAAAGGGGAGGAGGAGGGAAGGGAAGGAAGGGGAATAAAAGATCAGGCTAAGTTCAAATTGAAAGCCAGGTGGAATAGTTCTGTCTTACAGGCCCTGCGGAAGGAGGTTAAATCCTGCAGGGCCCTGGTCTCCTGGGACAGAGCATTCCACCAGGTTGGAGCCACCACTGAGAAGGCCCTGGCCCTGGTGTTGCAGCTTTGAACCCATCACACTGCAAGCATGTCTGTCTCCAACTTCCAGCCTTCCAGCTCATCTCATGGACATTCTCACACTGTTTTTCTCCTCCCTAGCAGCTAGATATTGAGTGGGGAAAGTGCCCACCCATTAGCCTGGAAGGGACCATCCCTGAGTGGGAACTGAAGTGTAGTTGGGTTCCCACAAGGCAAGACACAAGTGATAACAGCAAGAACCTTTATTGAACTACATAACTGGGAAACAGGGGCAAAGCAACTGCTTATATACATTCGCAAAAGCCTGGGCCACTCCCACTCCCGACATGATTGGCTGTCTAAACTTCCAAGCAGCGAATCACGACTCACAAGTTCAAGAGCCAATGGCAGAGGCCCAAATCCTGAAATGTTCTGTGATTGGACATCATGTATCGAATCAGAACACAGGAGCTCAGGATCCTCAGTCCGGACTCAAGCTCAGACAAACACAGACCCACTGAATACATAACAGGAACCATCGCTTGACAAACTTTTGAGGTTCTGATGAGGACATTTAAATGGCCAGCTAAGGCCGTTCTCTTGCTAAGATGCTTGTCTGACTAGGTTCAGCAGCAACAGAATCATCTGTTAGAGTTGAACCCTCACTGGGTACAAGACTCCAAGAATTGGGAACTCAGGGCATCATCCAGACTGACCCCCCCACAATACAATTGCACAGAGGGAAATCCACTTTCAACTTGTTTTATTAACACGTGCACACACAAAATTAATTGCAACTCCGCACTAAGCAGCATCAGCCCCCGCATCTCTGGTACACGAACTGGGTTATCATGGCAAAAAGGACGAGAGCAAGCGAAGATACGACGATAATCAGCGCCATTATCATCCCGGGATCCTTCATCATCACTGCAAGGAGGAACAGCAAAACTCCAGTGAAGATTATTTCCTCTTTTTTTAAAGGCCCTGATCACACTAATTTTTCCCCAAATACGATATAGCAGGGTGCTAGCTAAGGGGGTACGGTTTGGGCCCAGATAATCTGAAAGATCGTAGCTCCCTTTACAAACCTGCCCAGGTGCTAAGGATCATCAGGTGAGCACCTTCACTGGGTCCCATCAGCATCATGCTTAAAGTAGGGTTACCAGACATCCCCGTTTCCCGGGGAGAGTCCCCGGATTTGCGAATAAGTCCCCAGACAAATTCCATCTCCGGATTTCATCTAATGTCCCCGGGAAACGCAGCAGCTGCAGTCTCAGCAGCCCAGAGCAGTTGGGTCTTGCTGGCTTCAGGAGCTGCTGGGAAGTCCCCATCTGATGGTGGTGCAGGGGCTCTCAGACGCAGCTTCCGGGCTGCCTCCACCTTCCCTGAGCCCAGAAACTAAGCTGTGAAGGGAGGCTTCACGCTGCCTATCAGAGTAGCCTCCCAACTCCTACTTGCGTGCAAGCAGGAGGGAGCAGGGATCTCTCAGTTAGGCAACGGGAAGCCTCCCTTCCCAGCTGAGGGATCCCCGCCCCCTCCTGCTTGCACACAAGTAGGAATGGGATTGGAGCTGCTCCGATGGAAAGGGAGGCATCGCGCTGCCCAAGCCTCGCTGCTGCTGCCGCCGCTCTTCTCCGCCTTCCATGCCTGACCCACCGCGCACCACTTTCCCACAACCAACAACTCAGGGGCTGCCCATGGAGAAAGGAGATAGAAGCTTCGGAGGAAGGGGAAACATGGCGGTTGAGGTCAAGGCGGCCGTCGCCCCTCTGCCACCGCCATCACTGCAGAATCAACGTCCCGAACGTGTAGTAATTAATGAACGTGTTCCCAGATTCATTGAAAAAAATCTGGTAACCTTCGCTTAGGGGTAAAACAAGAGCCTTCTCTGTGGCTGCTCCCAGATTCCAGAATTCCCTCCCAAAGAGAGCTTAGACTGGCTCCTTCCTTGTCCTTCCTCCAAAGATCTTCCTGTTCGGACAGGCCTTTGGAAACTAAGGAACAGATTATGGTGATGGCTGGGCCTATTTTGGAGCTGTGTAACAGAGCAACAGACCCTCCAAGCCTCCCTATTTTCCAGGGACATCCCTGATATAGAGAAGCCACCCCAGTTTCTGATTTAATCCCGGAATGTCCCACTTTTCCTTAAAGGTAAAGGGACCCCTGACCATTAGGTCCAGTCGTGGCCGACTCTGGGGTTGTGGCGCTCATCTCGCTTTACTGGCCGAGGGAGCCGGCGTACAGCTTCCGGGTCATGTGGCCAGCATGACTGAGCCGCTTCTGGCGAACCAGAGCAGTGCACGGAAACGCCGTTTACCTTCCCGCCGGAGTGGTACCTATTGATCTACTTGCACTTTGAGGTGCTTTTGAACTGCTAGGTTGGCAGGAGCAGGGACCGAGCAACAGGAGCTCACCCCGTTACGGGGATTCGAACCGCCAACCTTCTGATCAACAAGTCCTAGGCTCTGTGGTTTAACCCACAGCGCCACCTGCGTCCCGCTTTTCCTTAGGGTGTCCCTATTTTCGTTGGAGAAACGTTGGAGGGTATGGAGTTATCCGACCCCCCAAGCTATCTGAAGGCAATCCTGTACAGTATAGGGAAAGTTTTTTTAAAAA